CTGGTGTTGACACCGGGGTGGTCTCTCTTCTTGTAGCATCCTCGCCAATTCTCTCCTCTAAAACCTTGAGAGCAACTTGTCTTCTTCTCTCAGCAGCATTTCTTGTGTCCGGCTCATGAGACGCATGGCCAGTTAGACGTCTGCTGGCAATGATATTACCTTGTTCGATGTCAGTTTCGTTGAATCTAGGCAAGATATTCAATTGAACTAGAGTCTCGTAAAACTGGTTGAAGATCGGTCCAAGGATTGGGGCAAAGACATCTGGGAAGAAATGAACAAAGCTGAAAGTCTCAGAGGCATCTCCGTATATTCTTCTAACACCTACCACGTTATTGTGTTGTGGTAAAAGAGGGTCAGCGACACTTGATTGGAAGAATCTAAGGTAGGTCCATGAGGCTATGAGACCGATCCAGGCTTGTAGAGCTGGGCTGCTCGATGCCGTCACAGATGAAATGACAGTGACAACGATGAGAACGAAGAAAGGAATATGTTTCACTCTGAATTGCAGAACACCTTTGAAGAGCACGACAGAGTGTTCTGGGATCAATTGTTTCAAAACAACCAGGTAAGAGACCAACAAACACAAGTTCCCGTCAACTGGGATATTGAAGAACTCATTGCCGAAGATCAGGTTCGAAAATATGAGAGCGATCGATGTCAACAAGTTGGCAGCTCCACCCACGATGAGAACGAACCTGACGAGTTCTTTACTGGACCACGATCTCTCGATGAACTTTCCAGCAAAGAACATGAAGAACAACGACACGAGGTATCTTGACACAGAGGTATCGACAAACAGCGCAGTGATAACAGTCCACGGATGCCATAACGTATGGTTTGGAACCAGTTGCAAGAAGGGAACAATGATATAGTCCATGTTGATATCCGTTTCACCTGAGGATACCAACGCCTTGTACATGTTATTCTTCAAGAATTGTAACAGCACAGTACCCAGCGTCAACGTGATCAGCAGAGCTCTGGTTGCCGGTGGCACGTTTAAGCTGGAGAAGTTGAGTTTCGATGTCAATGATGAGGACATTTTGACGAGATATCCAGCTAACAGTAGTGTCAGGAGTCCAATCTTGAGTTATATGGGAATAGAGAATTGAGGGTGGTTTGCAGTACTTGACTGATATTGACCAGATAGTTGTCCAATTTGAATATGTCTAGCCTATTGATCACCAAATAGCCTAATTCTGTTGGCGTGAATTGTCCAGATTGAAGACACAAGGGAACTACGTGTCAAAGCGTGGACTTAAAGACAAAGACAAAAAAAAAGCGGGATTATTTGAATTTCAAAGAGGTGGGAAATCCTTCACCGCGACGCGCATACTGTGCGTTTTGTCCTGAGCCAGTTCTTCTCCCTGTGCAACAATTCTACACTTAAACAATTAACGCTAATTTCAAGGCGTGTCTCTAAATAGGCAAAGCCACTTTGGACAAATCGATCCATTCGTTAAATAAGTCAAAAGGACAAGCCATGTCTGAAGTTTCCATCGCACAACATGGTGACACGTCCCTTGTGCCAGACGTGAAACCACAGGATACGAAGAGGACGCCCCACCTCACCGATGAACAAAAGAAAAAGAATCATATTGAAAGTGAACAGAAGAGAAGAAAAGCTATTCGAGAAGCGTTCGAGAGGTTGACAGAGCTCGTCCCTGAGTTGAGCCCCGAACATTCTCGCTCAGAGATACTCGTGCTATCCAAATCTGCTGATTATCTTAAGGAACTCCATGTCGAGCACCAGACACTTTTGAGGCTGCTTCGTGACAAAGGCATTCAGGTACCCCCAGAGCTTCAAGTCAAACCACCAGAAAACTTGGAGGAGGTTTGAGACTTTCCTTGGTTCAATTTTAACGATCCCCACCGATGTAATGACATAATTATAAACTTAATGATACGTATAGATTCTTCCAATAACTTAGTCTCTAATGGCAATGTTCATTGCAATCTAAGCGCTAGTCCCCCCAGACATTTAAACGTTCTCGTCATGGCGAAATCTCCGGTTTTGTCCATCCACCATGAAAATAGCGAACAAGTTGAAAAATCCTGTGAACTTGTCCGTACTCCCCCCTATCGGTCCAAACTGAAATCGACAAAGAAAACAAAATCAACGCTTTAAACTGAACCCCCCCCCCCCCTTCCAAAGACATTTGAGCCGGACAAAAAACCCAAAAAAAGAGACAAAGACAGGACAACCCATTACGAGACCGAAACTTTATATATCCGCTGGCCACCAATTGTTTTGAACTAAAGAGAACGATGTATAACAACTTCGGTCAAGGCGCTCCGTTGTATGCTCAGCAGACTGGTATTCAACCCCAATATCAACAGGGCTTCCAGCAGCAGCAGCAACAACCGTTGTACTCTCAGCCAACAGGCTATGTTCAACCGCAACAGACCGGGTACATTCAACCACAGCAGACTGGATATGTCCAACCACAGCAGACTGGATATGTCCAACAACAACAGACCGGGTTCTACTCTGCTTCTCAACAGATTCCAAAGAACAACGAGCTGAAGATCCCAAACATTCGACTATCCTTCATCACCGCTGCTGATCAGCAGCAGTATGAGCAGATCTTCCGCAGTGCTGTTGGCAAGGGCTCGAACTCCATCACGGCCGATGCTGCTAGGGACATCTTGATGAGATCTGGACTACAGCCACAGCAGTTGGCACAGATCTGGGAGTTGTCTGATTTGAACAAGTCTGGTCAATTGTTGTTCCCTGAGTTTGCCCTTGCGCTGTACTTGGTTGGAAAGGCGTTACAGACTCGTCAACTGCCGTACCAGCTGGATCAGTCGATTAAGAAGGAGGTTGAAGGGTTTATCGATGCGATCAACTTCACCGTGCCTGATGAATCTCAGCCAAAGGCAAAGACCCCGTTTGACAACATGAACTCGCTCAATGGGCTACAGTTTGGAATCCCTACACCCACAGGTGGTGTTCCTGCTATGCCACAGACTTCTTTCCTACAGGCTCAGCTGACTGGCTATCAACCACTGCAACCTCAATCCACTGGATTCAGACCTCTACAGGCTCAGGTCACAGGGTATAGTCAACCCTTGGCTCCTCAGACTACTGGTTTTTCAGGGATTCAGCCACAACCATTACAACCACAATCCACCGGTTTCTCTGCTCCGTTGTTGCAACCTCAGTCTACTGGGTTCCAGCCTTTGCAGCCACAGGCCACGGGCTACATGGCACCTTTGACTGCTCAAAAGACCGGTGTCGGTAATAACAGTTTCTTCCAGACGAATCTGCTCCAACCTCAGAAGACTGGATTCCAAAACTTGCAACAGTACGGCCAAAACCATTATCAGCATCAGGAGTTCATTAAGCCCCAAGAGAGGCAGTTATTTAACAAGATCTTTGACTCGTACGATAGATCAAAGACAGGACTATTGGACGGTGCGACATGCTCTGAGATCTTTAGAAAGTCTGGTCTCAACCGTGCAGAATTGGAGAAAGTGTGGAACTTGGTTAACGTCAATGACAGCCCAAAATTGAACAGAGAACAGTTCTCCTTGGGGATGTGGTTGATCTATAAAAAGCTGAACGGGCATGACTTGCCAAATAGACTACCAGACTCTTTGGTCCCTAAGAGCACACAACTCATAGACGACGTTAAAGACACCATGAAGTTGAAAACCCCTGCATTCTCTAAGAAACCATTCGGTTCATCAACCTTCCAAAACAATGATGACGAAATAAAACCTTCTGAGAATAGAAGAAGGGCTGCTCCTGAAAGTGGAGCTGATTTGGAGCTGATCAAGGCCAAAATTGAACAGAAGAAATCAGAATTGGACTTCATACAGGGACAACTTGATTCGAGTAGCTCATCACTACAGGAGAATGGTGGAGATATGAGATCAATTGAAGAGTTGAAAAGTAGAATCAGAGCACTCCCAGCAACCAGTGCCGGCACAGATCGTCTGCAGTTGAAAGACAAGTTGAACCAATTGACGTCAAAGGTTCCAGATTTGATTCGTGAGATCTCTCGTATTGACAACGATATCACAAATTCCAAGATTGAGCTCTATAGCATCAAGCATCCAAGCTCGATCATTGGCACTGGTCCAAATGGCGAGGTGACTGAAGCTGATAAAAGAAAAGCAAAGTCGAAGGCTCTTTTGGCCCAAAGAATGCAAGCTTTAACTGGTAAACCAACTGCTGGTGCTGACGTTGACTTTGAAAAGCAAGAGAGGGACTACAATGACCATGTCACCAGGGTAAAACAAGAGAACAAGGAAAATCAGGCTATCATCTATGACATTGAGAAGAGCATCAAAGATCTGGCCTCCGGCTCTCAAGGAGTTCTAAGCAGAGATGGTGATGCTTCTGGGTACAGAAAATTTGAGCTAGGCCTCGATGTTCAGCCAGAAGTTGCATCCTTCCTCAGAGAGTTGAGAAATGCTAATGTATTATCGTCAACACAGTCATACTCTGCACCAAAGGTGTCGTCGTCTTCTGTAACTTCGGCGTCGACTCCTGCTGGCCACTCTTTTTCACCTTCTGCTACCTTGTCCAACGCTTCACATGCTTTGAAGGCACCTGTTGATAGAGCTGCTTACATCAAGGAACAGGCTAAAAAGAGAATGAGTGAGAAGTTGGCAAAGTTTGGTATTCATAGAAGACAACATGATGACTCTGCCAGTGATTCGAGTGCACCATCCACTACGTCTGCTGCTGTTCCGTCGCCTGCAGTACCATCTCCTCCACAACATGAAGCACCTCAAGAGGTGACGAGTACTCCTCCAGTGGTTGCAAAGCAACCTGTTCAGCCTTCACAACCAGCAATTGTGAAGGCACATGCTCCTCCGCCTCCACCTGTTGCAAGATCGTCTGCCAAAACGTTGGTAAGTCATGATGATGATGATGAAGAAGATGAGGAAGAAAAGAAATTACGTCAACAGCTCGAGGCTCTGAAGTTAAAGAGAAAGGCTGAAAAGGAGGCTAGATTGGCAGAGCTCCGTCGTCAAATTGAAGAGGAAGAAAAGGCTGAGGAGGATGAGGAAGCATCCTATACTTCTGCTCCACCTGTGAAGACTTTTACTCCTCAGCCTACGAAGCCAACGAACTCAAAGGAGGCACCAAAGGAGGCACCAAAGGAGGCACCAAAGGAGGCACCAAAGGAGGCACCAAAGGAGGCACCAAAACCAGATATTGCTCCACCAACAGCACCACAGCATCATGACACCAATCCATTTGCAAAGAACTCCTCAGCACCAAGTACTTCTTCCAACAATCCATTTGGCAGACCAGAGACTTATAACAAACCAGCTGAATCAAATTCTAAGCCATTGTTTGATCAAAACAAGATTGAGGCACAGAGAAAGGCTCAAAGAGGCTATGACGACGATGACGATGGTTGGTCTGATGATGAAGTGAACAATCAATCTGACGATGATAGTTTGCCTAATCGTCAAGGAGCTGCACATCTAGCTGGCCTATTGTTCTCAGGCATGGGACCAGCGAGATCCACATCACAATTGAATACACCTAAGGAGGAGGATAAACAGTTGGGTCAACCAGCAGCTAAACCAGTGCCTATTGCAGCTCCTTTGCCTACGATAAGCACACATACTACTGAAGTACCTGTTCCAATTGCTGGATCACTTCCATCTGCATCTGAACCACCAGTACCTGTGGCTCCACCTGCTGTTCCACCTGCTGTTCCACCTGCTCCTCTACCAGCTTCGGAACTAACTCCAGTTGCTTCCGTGTCACACGCCTCAGATGAAACACAACCTATCCCTGTTGCTGAGACAGTTACCTCTGTGGCTCCACCACCTATTCCAATTGCTCCACCTGCCGTGCCTTTGGCTCCTCCTGCCATCCCATCGACTGAATCTGTATCCAGAGAAACTCCAGGCACAGATGAGTTTACTGACATACCTGGGTCTTTCACTTCCTCTGTGGCATCTCCTGATACGGTTTCTCTTCCAACGCCAGCACCAGTGGTTGAAGCTTCCAGTGTGCCTGTTTCTGATGCACCACCGATTCCACAGGGTATTGCATCGTTTGCCTCCCAAGAAACCGAAGAAGTTGATCAGTTCGCAACGCCTACTGCTCCTTCACCTGTCTCTGCTCCATCTTATGAGGCACCTGCCATCGTTGCACCACCAATTCCGCTATTGGATACTCCATCACTACCAGAGGTTGGCCCACCATCTATTCCAGATGTTAGTTCTGTGGGGGCTTCTATATCAGAACCACCTTTGCCTGAAGTGAGTGCTCCACCACCACCACCATTGCCTGAAGTGAGTGCTCCTCCTCCTCCACCATTGCCTGAAGTGAGTGCTCCTGCTCCTCCACCTCTTCCAGAAGTCAGTGCTCCACCACCACCACCATTGCCTGAAGTGAGTGCTCCTGCTCCTCCACCATTGCCAGAAGTCAGTGCTCCACCGCCTCCACCTCTGCCAGAAGTCAGTGTTCCACCACCACCACCTCTGCCAGAAGCAAGCGCTCCTCCTCCTCCTCCAATGCCATCTATCTCCGCTCCAAGTGGATCTCCACCATCTGCGCCGGCTTCTGTTGGAGGTGGGCTTCCATTCCTTGCCCAAATTCAACAACGCAGGGATGATAGATATGTTGTTGAGTAAGATTAAATAAAACTTCCATTTGACTCTTATGGCTTGTACTTTATAAGACATCCACATATTATTGAAATGTGCTTTGTTGCTCTAAATCTAGACCTTGTGTATGATTGTACGGACTGCTAAGGTGAAATAGGATAGCCATCACCATGTGTCAGCCCTTGGTGCCATAACTGCTACAAACGAATCATATGCTGAGATCGCCTAGGACTCTGAGCCAGGGTAAGCACTCAACTGGGTGCTAGATCTCTGAGAGTACCATATATGTAGGTTGTGAGCAGCTCAAAGGACTGGCAGTCAGCTGACACCATCATTGACGCCAAATGTCTAGCACTGCTGGAGATCACGAATGTCGCAATGACCAGTGCTGGGGCGCATTAAGGGCCATCTTCCAACAAGCACAGTATCCAAGAGCCACTTAGGCACTGTCAGTCATCTGAGATGTGAGCTAAGAGGTAAATGTACGTGGAAGAAAGGGTCAATATCAGAATAGAGGTATACAACCAGCAGCAGACATCACTGACTTTAAACAGGATCGTCTCAGATGAGCATCAAAGCTTTTGTCCAGAGAGATCACCAACACACGAAATGAGGTCCAGCCACGTTCCACAGCGTCAAACCAGCATAAGCAGCCAATAACAACTCACTATACACCAATGATGAAGTCCGCACTAACGGTGAAGCTCATACTGCCCATAAACACAACAACTAATAACCCGCCCGTTGCTGAAGTAACAAAGATGGTGTCTCCCTGGCAATCATCAAAAACACCAATGACGTCATTTATCCCGAGCTCCCTCTCCCCCCCCCCCCAAGATTGGTGTCTGGATGTGTCAAACCATCCAAACGGAGAAATCCCCACGGCTAATTAGCAAAACACATAGTAAACAAATCCCCCCATTTGCCTGATGCGGTGTCCCCCCCCCCGCAAAACCGTTGGCGAAGGGGACGGGGATTTTGTGTGTGTTTGCCCTTTTTATCCTCGTCCGGCTTACTTTCACCAACTCGCTGAGCTACAAAGAGGAAGCAGAGAGCAAACAGGGCGCTAACAGAAAGCAAACAGAGCGCTAACAGAGAACACCACAGATGTCGATACTGTCCAAGCTAACTGATCCGAGGATCCGCGAGAAAGAGTGGAGGCTCATCATCACGAACCTGGTCCAGCTATACAAGGAGAACAGGAAGCATCCGTCCAGGCATGTTGTCATCTTCCTGGCCACGCTGCTGTCGTCTGGTGTTATTGGCATTGGCTACGTGCTGAACAAGGTGATCACGGACTTCAAGGATAAGAGGGATTCGAGGCCGTTGTACAGAAGATCGTCGTCGATGCTGTTGAGCAATGGTGCCAGGCAGTTGTTCATTCCTTATAGGAATAGACAGAAGAGGGTCCTCATCCAGCCCACGGAGCCTGAGGTGTTTGAAAGGGACAAGTTCAAGTTCAAGAACTTTGCTAAGAACATGAAGAAGGACGGAGATCGGATGTTCAGCTCGAAATTCCTGAATCAGTTGATGGTTGTGTGGCAGATATTGATTCCAAGCTTCAAGGATAGGAATACGCTGTTGCTCGTGGCACAGTTCTTCTTTTTGATCTTGAGAACGTGGCTGAGCTTGCTCATTGCTAAGCTAGACGGTCAGATCGTTAAGGATATCATTGGTGGTAAGTTCAAGAACTTCATGAGAGACTTGGTGTACTGGTTTCTGATGGCTGTTCCTTCCTCATACACCAACAGTATTATCAAATACTTGGTGAAAACCATTGCAAGTAACTTCAGAACGAACTTGATGAGATATATCCATGACATGTATTTGGATAGTAGAATGGTCTATTACAAGGTGATGTTCAACAACCGTGCGGTGAAGGACATTGATAACTTCATCACCAGAGACGTTGACAGGTTTGCATCGTCCCTTGCTGCCTTATTCTCCAACATTGGTAAGCCAATGATGGACTTGGTATTCTTTGCAGTTTATCTCAGAGATAACCTGGGTACAGCTGGTATCACAGGTATCTTTGTGAATTATTTCACCACGGCTTATATATTGAAATGCTTCACCCCTCCCTTTGGAAAATTGAGCAAGGAGAAGTCCTCGTTAGAAGGTGAATACTATAATGACCACTTGAACTTGATCAACAACGGTGAAGAAATTGCCTTCTATAATGGAACCATGTTGGAGAAGATCAAGATCAACAAAGTGTACAACAACATGATGGACCACATCTTCAAGATCAACAGAATTAAAGTACGCTATACTTTCCTTGAAGATTATCTATTGAAGTATACTTGGTCCGCTTTAGGATATCTCTACATCTCGATTCCTATTTTTTTGGCATCTTTGCAAGATGATGTCAAAAGAAGTACAGAAGATAGAAATATGCGCCAGTTCATTGTGAATAAGAGATTGATGCTTTCGATGGCTGATGCAGGTTCAAGATTGATGTACTCTCTCAAGGATATCTCCAAATTGACAGGCTATACCGACAGGGTGTTCACTTTGCTAACTGTTCTTCATCAAGTTCATGCTGCCGAGTTCAACTATGGTGATGAGTCCGACGTGAATACGTTAAGAGGTACTGTACAATACCATTACAACGGTTTAAGATTTGAGAAGATCAATGTTATTATCCCTTCAAAGAACGGTCATGATGGGATTAAACTCATCAAGGAATTGGACTTCAGCTTGAAGAGTAATCAAAGTATTTTGATCTTGGGTATGAATGGTTGTGGCAAGACATCAATTGAAAGAATCATTGCAGGATTATGGCCATTGTATGATGGTTTACTTTCGAAGCCAAGTGAAGATGATGTCATATACCTACCTCAGAGACCTTACTTCAGTACAGGAACGCTAAGAGATCAAATAATTTATCCCCTTTCCTATGCAGACATGTTGGATAGAGGTGTTACTGATCTTGACTTGGTTCAAATATTGAGAGAGGTCAAGCTTGAATACTTGTTGGATCGTGAATGTGGATTGAGTTATCTTGATTCAGTTCAAGAATGGAAAGACGTGTTGAGCGGTGGTGAAAAGCAAAGAGTACAGTTTGCAAGAATCTTGTTCAAGAATCCAAAGTTTGTCATCTTGGATGAGGCAACCAACGCAATTAGTTCCGATATTGAGGCGTATTTGTTTGATTTGTTGAAACAGAAGAAGTTCGCCTTCATCACGTTGTCTCATCGTCCTTTGTTGATTAAATACCATGATTATCTATTGGAAATTCAAGAGAATGGTGATTGGATATTTGAAACGATGGGTTCTGACCAAGCCATTACTTCTATCGAAAAGGAGATTAAACAGATCGAAGAGAAACTTAAGGACGTTGCTAAGCTTGAAGGGCGCAAGCACACGTTAGAGTTGTTACTTGATGGCCACGAGGTTAACGACACAATTGTTACTGCTTCAAAGATGCTTGAGTCTTCAGTAGAGGTTATTCAGGAAATTGAGACTGAACCCGCTACCATTTCAAATGCGACTTCGAAACCATCAGCAAAGCCTTTGCCAAAGCCTTTGGCAAAACCTGGTGCCAATCTTGGACGTCCTTCTCCTGTGAATGTTTCAAATACAACTACTACTTCTGGAGGAAGTCCAAGGCCTTCTAAGCCATCGCCAAAGCCTTCATTGAGTTCCTTAAAGAGATCACCGTCTATCATTTCTAATTCGTCTTCAAAATCATCATCCTCTACATCATCATCAAAACCACCATCCAAGCCAGGCCGTGGGCTGAAGAATACCCTGAAGAAGGCTGTATCCAAGAAGCCACCAACGTCTAAGTGAAACAGTGCTATGTTAGGAGAGTTATGTGTCTAATACAAGCTTTACTATTATATATCATTCTCGCTCTAATGATCATAATCACTTTGTCCATGGTGGGGTATAAGCATCCAGTCCCTCTGAATCTCCAAACAAAGGTTGCAACTCTGGACAAGAGATTAGATAACCATGTTGTCTATTGAACGGGTTTCTGTTCTTCTTTTTACTTCCAAGAACAGGGCCATTCCCCAGAGGGTCCTTGGTGAACTGGCTTACGGCGTTCTTATACTCTGCCTTCTTCAAATCGTCAAAGTATTTGAGCCATTGCGTACTCTGCTCGTCGTAATCAGGCTTAGGCCCTAACCCTATATACGTAACGTTGTTGAGGTCAAATTGTAACGCTTTGAAATGATGATTCATGAACCTTTCTCTCTTAAACTCAAACCCTGGTATAGTGATTCTCTCAGGGTACGATCCAGTAATCTCCTTAAATCTTGCGATGCTAAACAGCACGTTCTCAAAGCTGTCCCGTGCATACTCTTCTGTATGGCATCTCTCCAAGGATTCGTCCAAATTTCTCAACTCCAACTCATTGACCAGCTCTCTGGCCAGCAGATAGTAGCTCTGTGCCTCTGACATACACCCAGCCTGTCTCTTGGTCTGTCCGCCAGAAAACATCACAATTGCTTCAGAATCGTCGTCTGCTAACCGCAGCGCAGTTTCTATATGCTTGATGAAGTACAGGTGATCATGGCCTTCCACTTGGAACGGTTCCAAAAGCCAATCCTCGGAGGCTTCTCCTTTGTTTGTGCCCCTCCATATCCCGTGTCCTGGAACAATGACCAAGTGTCCAGCAGCCATCGTCCGTCGCACTGTCAGCTCATTCTGAGATGGAGGCTACTGCTGCTGAAAGCTCGGACTAAAAGCTCTCCAAAGTAGTGGTGGTGTCCGGATGTATCAACAACATTAGTGGTATACTAATATAGTACGATAATGATGGATAACTACATGTAAAATATACGCTAATATTTCCTTAAATCCCGGAAAACCCCAGTACTCATTTGAAATCCTTATAGGTCCATTTCTCAGTGATTTTTGGAGAGTATTTTCTCTTCTGCTTGGTTGGTCTTCTGGTCTCAATCTTACCACTACTTTGCATGGATCTCATCTGGTCGTAGAGCAAGTTACCTTCAGCTTTCAACTTTCTTAGAGAATCGGATAGCTCGTCGCTGAGTTTCACTTCAACCATGGAATCCTCAACTTTGTACTTGGATCCAAGTTTGTTTCTCTTTGCAACCAGATCCTTTTCATGGTCAAAGTTGTCCTTCTTCGTCACTGCAGTGATGACTTGTTGTTCGTATACTGGCAGTTTTTCCAACTCGTGGATATGGTGTTTCAGATCTTTGAGTTGTTTCTCCAACTCCAGACGTTCTTGGTGTCTCTTTTGCCTGTTTCTCTGGGTCTTGGTCTTCTTTTTCAGAGCAGTTGGTTTATTCAAGGAAAGAGAGGTGCTGTCTTCGGCCTTCTCCTCCTCTTCTGAATCATCCTCGTCGTCATCATTACCATCATCGTCTTCCTCCTTAGCCTCCAGTGTTTCAATCAAAAGTTGAATCTTCTCCCTGTGCTCTTCTAATGCCAATCTCTTCTGCTCCTTCTCGTTCTCATTCTCAAACTCTCTCTGAATCAAAGACTTCCAGGAGTCCAAAGATGGATTGTAGGATTTACCCGCATGCGGCAGCTTTTCAAAGTCTCTGACCTTTAATGGGGCATGTTTGATGGTCTTTGGTAAGTTCTTAGCCTTCGTCCAGCTTGTGGAGCTGAATTTCTCCAAGATCTCTGGTTTAGAAACATTGTCCTTCTTCGACTTCTTATGCTGTGGTTGAACTTCTCCCCAAACATCGTACGCAGGTGTATTAATGATACCTTCTTTGGCAACTATGGTCTTCACCTGTGACTCACCTTGTACCCTGCCTGCCAACTTCATCAGTCTATGGATCTCTTTCTTCTTCACACCGCCAACTTTGTCATCACTCTTCTTATGAGCATTGACAAAACCCGGAGCCTTCGATCTCTGGGCCAAGATCTCCGAGCTCTTTGTGACTTTGTATGATTTGACAGATTTCTTCTTCGCAAGCTTTTCATCACCAGCAACGTCAATCGTGAACAGCTTGTCATGGTCCAAATCGTCGGCATGTTCACCAAATGCAATCACTTCATCACGACGCTCTTCAATAGCCTGTTCTATGTCGTCAATGTCGATGTTTTTTCTCCAAGCCTTCTTACCCTTACGGCTCGGTTGCTTCTTCTGTTGAGGTCTGTTCAAAGATGACATTTTGATCCACACGGCCCTTGGCTAACCTATTCAATTGTACCAGGCGATGGGGATTAAAGTGAAGAGTGCAAGAAGCTCATCGCAGAGGAAGTGGGAAAAAAAATTTCATCGTCGCGGGCTTCATAACCATTTCCGCATTCGGCATACTTAGTAAGGGAACGTAGCCTGAGTATGTGGGTACAAGTTTGATCTAATGAAACTCCAATGCTTTGTATATTGTTGCTGACTATGGTGGGCTATGGTTGTCCTGCGTTGTCTTCGTCGGTCCATTGCTCGTTGATGATCGTTATCAGTTCCTTGATGATTCCCAAGACTGCTAACGGATCGATGCCACCAGTGCAACACACATAGGTTGGGCACTGGTACTTTTTCGTAATGACATGAGAGATCCTCTTGGTCATGTCGAACAGGGGCTCCTGGCTATTGTTGAGGGTCGTCTGGTAGACCTGGCTTCTTCGTATCTGGTGGTGTAACTGTTAGTCGGTGTTCGATTGTGTAGAGTGGTTATAGTGGTCCTTACGTCGTATAGTCCATAGATATAGCACCCAATTGGCACATTGGCTGTTCCTGGTGGTGCTATGAACACTGATATCGCAACCTTGTTCCTATGCCCCAGAATCGGTTTGTGCTTTGGCACGTTCAAGAGGAGTTGAACGTCTTCAGCGAATGGAGGTGAGATTATATGTGAGCTTGTTGTGGTCATTTCGTCGAGTTCCTCTTGTGTTTTGTAGTGGCTAATGCTGACTTCACGTCGTGTCCAATGTGATATATTTTGTCCCTTGTGTCTTGTGTCTTGTCCCTTGTCCTATGTCTTGTCTCTTCACTTGAAGACATCGCTTACTTTTTTTGCGCTCCCGCACACACTCGTGGATCTGCAAAAAGTCAATAAAAGAGCGCGTCATAGACATTAAAACAATCCACTCATTAAAGCAGTCGTTAATCGGTGGATAAGAAAGTCTTCGTGATCACGTATCAGGATAGAGACAAATAATCAACCAAAGAAATGTCCAAAGGTAAACCGTTATCACTAATCGTTGCTACGCTATTTCCTGAATTTGGCATCGGCTTCAAAAATGCCCTGCCCTGGAAGCTTCGCAATGAGATGAAGTACTTCAAGACAGTTACTACGAACGCGCCAACTGGGCATCAGAATGCTGTTATAATGGGTAGAAACACATGGGAATCCATTCCCGCTAAATTCAGACCTTTGCCAAACAGGTTGAATGTCATCATTAGCTCAACCTTGAGTAACTTGCCCAATGAGGACAACGTCCACTATTACAACACGGTTGAGAGCGCACTGGACGCTTTGAACTCCATGGATACCATCCACAGAGTGTTTATCATGGGGGGTGCCCAGCTGTACAACCACTGTCTTTACAACAAGTTGGTTGACGATTTACTCATAACTGAGGTCTATAGCAATTCTCAAGACGTTGAAGTCCCCATGGATACCTTCTTGGGCAAGGAATTCATCCTTGACAACTATACAAAGACATCAAGAGACGCGTTGGAGCAACACCTGGGTTTCAAGCCGGATGAAAAACAAACAGAAGGCACCTTCCAATACGAATTCACATTATATAAGTTGAAATAAACGCCATGTGTAAGAGTACTAATAATCTTTTACTGCAATGAATCGTCATGTTGATCCTACTCACGTGACTTGTCTTTAAAAGACACATATTTTTATCTCGGCAACACGGGAAGCACAAGAACCGAGCCTTGTATACCTTTTTCCCTCTCACGCAACACAACGACATACATTTTAGCGTGAAATAAGTCTAAACCGGCGCGCTAAGGGAAGTAGCACCCCCCCCCCACCGCGGAAAAGAGCTCAGGACAAATCGAAGGGGAAAACGGACACAAACTGTCCCAAGACTACATATCAAATGACGAGTCTCTAGGCGGTAATACCAGGGTAATTTGATTTCAGCCGTAAGAAAAGGACAAACATCGGAAGGTTTTTCCAATACTCTCATATGGCCGAATAAGAAGCAAAGAAAGTTCTATGTAGGCTAGGCAGGGAGCGGGATCAGAGAGTGGGATCAACTTGAACAGAACAAGGCACAATGACACGGGACAAAAAAATTAGGGACAACAACAAAGCAAAAAAAAAAGTGGACGCGTTGGTGTTCCTCGTTGGGCAGACGCTTTTTTGGACAGGAGACTTCCTGTCGTTGAGACGTCGAAACCGTGATGGACCCCAATTTTGTCCTTTTAAATACTCCTCTTAACCCATTTTATATAAATCCTCTAGTCAACTCACATCTATAAAGCTCTGTTTGACTTGTCCCTTGTCCAAGTCCCAAACTTAGAACTTGAACTTTTTGTCCATTGTCTTACTCGCATAGGCACATTTTATCATTAGCAGCACAAAACCACGACCACCGGGATTTCCAAAGTTGATTTTTCAGCAAAAATTCCCCCTGTGCCTCTTCTCGTTTACTCCCTTTTTTGCCCTCTCGCTCTCTCTCTCTTTCTCTCTCTTGTTGCCTTTTTCTTAATTTATTATTAAGACGTCAACACACTTGGACAAGGTTATTGGACATTATCCTCTGATTCCACTGTTCAATTGATCAAAAGGGGCAAGTACTAGCCAATTTGAAAAAGAGGGAAATTTAAATTATAGGAAAGATTTGCCCACCGTGAAGTTCAGAAAACACTCTCACAACCAGGACAAAATGACAGACGCATCCAAATCTTCATCTTGGACGTCATTTCTCAAGTCCATCGCTTCATACAATGGTGACTTGTCCTCGCTGACTGCGCCTCCCTTCATTCTGTCTTCGACATCGTTGTCTGAGTTCTCACAGTTTTGGGGTGAGCATCCGGATTTACTCATTGCACCAAACTTCATAGGCGACAAGGAGTCCCTGAACGGGCCAGACGCTGATAAAATTGCCCTTGAGCGTATTGTTGCAGTCACCAGATGGTTTATCTCTACTTTGAGATCGCAGTACTGCTCTAGAAACGAGGAGCTTGGTTCTGAGAAGAAGCCGTTGAATCCATTCCTCGGTGAACTGTTCTTGGGTAAGTGGGTGGACAAGAGCGAGGACCAGAAACTCGGTGAAACCATCTTGTTGTCAGAGCAGGTGTCACATCATCCCCCAGAGACTGCTTATGCCATCTTTAACGACAAGAACAAAGTCCAATTACAAGGTTACAACGGTATCAGGGCTTCTATCTCTGCCACTTCTATCAACGTTAAGCAATTCGGTCATGCCATCTTGGAATTCAAGGAGCTTGGTGAAACGTTCCTGTGTACTTTGCCTCCGTTGCACATTGAAGGTTTGATCCTTGCCTCACCATACGTTGAACTTGAAGGTCGCTCTTTTATCCAATCCTCCTCTGGTTACATCACCGTTATAGAGTACAGTGGTAAGGGTTACTTTAGTGGAAAGAAGAACAGTTTTAAGGCTCGTATCTACAAGGACTTTGCCGCATCTAAGAGCAAAGAGAACGCCCTCTATACAATCTCTGGTCAATGGAGTGGTATTTCCTACATTAGTAAGGGTAACTCCAAGGAAAAGGATGAGTTGTTCTACGATGCCCACTCAAAGAACCCTGAACACCTTGTTGTTAAGCCAATTGAGGAACAGAACGACTTGGAGTCTCGTAAGGCTTGGAAATCGGTTGCCGACGCCATCAAGATTGGTAACTACGATCTTATCCATAAGGAGAAGTCAACTATTGAGATTGCACAACGTGAGTTGCGTGAAAAGGAATCAGAGAGTGGAACCAGCTGGCAAACGAGATGGTTTGATGAAGTTGATGTCAATTCCAGTCCAAAGAACGGTGAAGCTGCTGATCCTCTGGTCGAGTTGGCCTCCCTCGCAAATTTGTCAAGAAGAGACGTTGTCAGTGGTACGCAAGTTGGTGATAAAGATGACAAGGCATCTGCTCCTGCAGTACATTGGAGATTCATAAGAGCCAACTGGGACAACGAAACTGAAATCAAAGTTTAGATGGGTGGGTTGTTCTCTGAACGCCTTTCTCTGTTGATCTTGTTGTTTCTTATGATAATGCGTTATTACTTTTTCTGCCTTTAAAGATATCCGTTCTTATAAACTCGTATCTATTTGTATCACGTCAGTGTAGCTGAAATCGTTGGATATGATCTACAAGTCTCCGGTGTTAATTAAAGAAGTTGTACCTCCCCGTGATATTTGAATGCGATTGCATTCATTCGAAGAGCTCTTAAATATATTGTGCTGTTACTTAGCAAAATTACAGAAAGACCTGCAAAAGCTTCCAGTCCTTTCGTCTTGAAATGACTACTGACGAGTCGATATTACCAAGAGCAGTACACTATGTCAAATCACAGTGAGCTGGCTCTCGTTAATGAATCGTAGATTCTGCCCACGAAGACCAACGTCAAAAGAAGTACGTTTAAGTCACGTGATCATTGGTGCGGGCACCTTGTGCAAGTCATCGCTGAGCGAAAAAAAAAAGATATGAGCGGTACGGGAATCGAACCCATGCCTAGTGCTTGGAAGGCACTTATTCTACCACTGAACTAACCGCCCGGATCGTTGAAGTTTCGCCCAGATGGCATTGTTTTGTTAAGAGTTGTTGTGATTGCTTTGATCATTGGTGATTTATCATGTGGGCACTAGGGAAATGGTCTAATGTCTAGTCGATAAGTATCTGAGGCCATACGACGCCAGTATAATCACCTGGAATAATCAACACTCCTCAAATTGAAGTTCTTCTGACTATGTTTTTTCCAGAGCTCCAAAAGAGCTAAGGTAAATCCATGTGAACACTGAAAGTGACAAATATAGTCATGCTATGTTCTGCTTCAGATAAGTGAGGAGTCGGGTGTATTCTGTAGAAGAAGAGTACTTTGGCTGAACATAACAGGGTTTCCGTGTCGAAGAGCAACGGAACTATTCCTGGGAAGGATGAATACCGAAGAATGATTCTGGTTGTATCTCTTCTCTTAGTGTCCACTCAGACAGGAAGGGATTCGGATTGAAGACAAAATTCGTCGACAGCAAATATTATGGACAAGAGTAACGGCACATTCACCAACTGTACCTCAAGAATTTGTCGACATCACTCTCCAATTCCGTGTAGCACTTTGTTAGGCACAGTTGTCAGCCTACCTACTATTGGTGGCTGACTACGAACAGCAAATTACAACTTCCAGTCAATGCTGATTCAGAGGGGGAACCAGAGGGGGAACCCGTGATCGGGCTCGATTGATACACTGATCTTCTTTGATGAAAGATGAAACTGTTTTCTATAATCCATCGCAGTGTACACTACATAGACAAGTTTGTAGTGGTACTGGCTGTTTTGACGATCCGCTCATCGAATGTGCATGGAACGCACGGTTATGCATCAGTTTTCAATGCCGGCATACGTGAATTCAAAAAAAAATGAGCGGTACGGGAATCGAACCCATGCCTAGTGCTTGGAAGGCACTTATTCTACCACTGAACTAACCGCCCGAATTGAATACTAAGAAATTAATTTAGTGAGTCAGGAGCATAAATGGGGTTATTGAAGCTCAAATCTTTATTTATAGCTCGCAATGTAAATTATTGTTGAAGATGTAGAATGTACTACCTCAGACAGTGGCTACATAGTTATTTAATGTTTCAGGTGCGGTGTTTTAGGTGGTTCAAAGCATTATAAAGAACAGTTAGATGCAAGCAATCGGTACATGACAGAGAGAGTATATGTATCGTAAGGTTTGATGGCTAGTGATGTGTAGTCTGTCCCGTTTTTGTCCAATTATAATGGTCAATCGTTGAAAGACTGATTCAATCGTCTATGGAATCTGTGGGCGTAAATTCTCTCCAGCAAGTACATGATTAGATTCGTTGTCGACTCAATGAATGCTGAGAGTGATCTGGCAACAGAAATAATGAGAAACAATGGGCCTCCACTTCGACTATTGGGCAACAAATGGACTATTCAACTACTGGAGAAACAACAGGGGAGCCTGTGATCCAGTCTGACCACGTTCTAACCTTCGCTAAGCACAAAACAATCGATTGTCCTTTCTGGGCTTTCCCTTCTTTCAAATCAATGTATATCGTTTAGCAGGCTAAGATGTGGTGTCCTGATGTTTCATGTCACCATTTGACCCAGCAAGCCCTAATATTATCGCATAAAAGCGATTAAACAAAGCTTGAATATACAGCTATTTTAGTGTTGTTTTTCGACAGTTATTCATTATTGTATCTAATGAGATAAACTATACTCAACCTAACTACCTGAATTGTCACAAAATACTGAAACATTAAGGCTTTTCTCTTTAAAACCAATTTAATTGGCGTATTAAATCATATGATACAAAATGAACCCATCTCTTTTTAAATTAAAAATTCGAAAAAAATATATCAAACTGATTTGTTAATGCTTATTGACACCTAAGCTAGTACAAATCATCCCAGAACATATTACCGGGCCTCAATCGTCAACAATGGACTACAGCTATAACGTTGCGTTGAGACATAATCCAATTCAGTCACCTCTAAAGCTTTTAAACAACACTACACGAGTTTTGAAACCCTGAATCGTCCTATAAAGAGCTTTCAAATCATGCGAGCACTTCCAGCTCCATGTGTAAGCCCAATTGAGCCCATCTGGACACCCCTTATGATGTAATTGACAGTGTTAGAACCTCAACTCCCCCTATTCGCTCTTCCTTGCCCACATATTGAGATCGGTCCTGCCCACGCTCACCGCCGTCCCCTCCCTAGGCTCAGCCTGAAAGTCCTGGAGGAAAAATCCTAGGCTCAGCCTGAAAGCCCTGGGGGGAAGGAACTGGGCGGGGGAGCCGTTGTGCGATGCCCTGAAATTTAACCACATCCCCCTTGAAATTTCTCTCCTTCCCTTCTGCCACTATCTACCAAAAGCATTGGCTAATACCATCTACGTCCATCAATTGCTTCATGAACAGAATGTCAAACTGTATCTTCTGCAAAATCATCAAAGGTTCGTGTGCTTGATTGTTTATCGTCTCGTTGTGCCCTGCGAGCTCTCTCTTCAATACCCATCTTCCCGGAGTTGAATTGCATCGTATAGACGTCGTACTAACACCATTGAACATAGGCGAGATTCCTTCGTTCAAGCTCTTTGAAACTGAAAAGACTTACTCATTCTTGGACATCCAGCCAACGTCTGAGGGCCATGCGCTCGTCATTCCAAAGGAACATGGTGCAAAGCTTCACAACTTGTCGGATGAGTCGCTTGCAGATCTTCTGCCTGTTGCTAAGAAAGTTGCCAACTTGCTGGAGTTGAACAACGACGACCCGGAGTCGTCAGTTGGCTACAACATCCTACAGAATAACGGCAGAATTGCTCACCAGGAGGTTGACCACGTTCACTTCCACGTTATTCCAAAGAAGGATGAAAAGACTGGGCTGATTGTCGGCTGGCCAGCAAAGGAGGCCGATTTCGAACAACTGGGTAAGCTACACGAGAAGTTGAAGGCCAAGATTGAAAAAGGAGAATACTGAAACTTGTGTATACACAGTAATATGCTGAAGTTGCTATTCCATCTCTAATATCAACGTGTTATGCGGTAGATTACGAACCCTTCTCTCAACTCTGGAACTAAACAGTGCTCCAAATGCCTCCATATTCTCAGTCCTCTTGTCAACACTTGCTCGACGAACTGCTCGATGTTCTCTGGGAGCCTAAGTTGTAAAGCTATCAGAACCGTACTGGTCTGGTGACAAAGCCTTGCAATTGCATCAACTAGGAAGGGTATGAGATAATCGTTATAGACAACGTCACAGGCAACGATATAGTCAATTGAGTCCAAGCTACAGACCTGTTGTAAATTCCAAACACCACTGTCGAGGTCCTCCCAGTCAAGCTCCACAACGTCAACGGTGCCTTTCAACTTCCCACCGTTGCTAGGAATGTGCATCGTAGAACTTGCAAAATCACACAAGTTCGAACAAATGTTCTGCTTCAGTAGCTTCAGAATGTGATGCTGGTCTGTAGATATGTAGTGCTTACAAGATGGCCCCAGAGCACAGCTCAGCAGGCCAGTCACACCACTTCCCAGTTCCACCACGGTCTTCCCTCTGAGATCATATGGTGATAACTTGTCGTTAAGTATCCACCCTACAAACGGTATGGAAACACTCCATAGTACAAACCCAGTTGTGCTTCCCTGCTGGTTTAACGAGCTCAACGACTGCTGGAATTCAAACTCCTTGTCCACATCATCAATTGTCACCTTCACCATTGACGTCCTCGACTGGATCCCCAAATCGTGCTCATTAGGGTGGGAATAGAGCTCATAGATGTGCGAAGAGACATCATCCAGAGTAACTTCCTCGAGGAAATCCTCCATTTGCTTCACCATCAAGTAGCACGTTGAGGCAAGCTGACGGTGGTTAAGACGAACACTGCTCTCTCCAATTTAGAGCGATCTTCCCTTATATGTGTCCGCGAACTACACAGTGAAGTAGTAGTGATACCTATATAATACCAAATAGAATAGAATTAGATCAAACCCTTCTTCAACAAGATCTCAGCGATCAAGATACCAGCACCTGCGGCACCGATGATGGTGTTGTGGGAGAGAACAACCATCTTGAAGTCGAGGACTGGGTCCTCTCTGACTCTACCGACAGAGACACCGTAGCCGGCATCTCTGTCACGGTCCAATCTTGGCTGTGGACGGTCTGGTTGCTCCAGGACATGGATGGTCTGCTTTGGAGCCGAGTGGCATCCCAGCTTGTAGGCTTCACAGACGTACTCCTTCAAACACTGCTTGACTTCGTCGACGCTTGGCTTGTTCTGAGTCTTGAACCTAAGGGAGATGCACTCTGTGTGGCCGTCTGAGACGGCAACACGGTTACACTGGGCAGAGACCTTGATCTCGTCATCGGACAGGATGCTGAACCCGTCTTTGGCATCGTTCAAGCCACCCAGGATCTTCTTAGTCTCCCATTCGATCTTGTCCTCCTCACCAGAGATGTATGGGACAATGTTGTCCAAGACGTCGATACCAGAGACACCTGGACTGAAACCAGCACCGGAGATGGCTTGCAAGGTGGTTGTGGTCAAGAGGTCAATAGGACCAAACTTCTCCACCAGTGGCTTCAGTGGAGCAACGAGACCAGCGGTGGAACAGTTCGAGATACACACGATGAATCCAGGGCGCTTCTCACCCTTGGCCTTGGCGGCGTTCAACTTGGTCTCAACAACTTGTAGATGGTCTGTGTTGACGATTGGAACAATCAGCGGAACATCCGCTTCTCTTCTATAGTTCTTTGCGTTGGACACAACAGCCAACCCATTTTCTCTAAACTCCTTCTCAATAGGACCAGCATACTCAGCATCCAGCCCGGAGAACACAACATCACAGTCCTTGAACGCCTCGTAGGTGCACTCGGACACGATCAAGTCCTTGGCACTCTCTGGCAACAGACTGGTCTGCTTCCAGGTAACGGCATCCTCATAACGCTTGCCTGCGGATCTGGAAGAGGCACCCAGTGCGCTCAATTCAAAGTCCGGGTGGTCCGACAGGAGAAGAATGAAACGTTGTCCAACAGAACCGGTGGCTCCAAGAACACCAGCTTTCTTAGCCATCTTTATTGTATGTTTAATCTATGCTTTCTTGCTGAAGAAGTGTGTGTTGAGGTTGTGTGATGGTGCCTTTTGTTTTCGGTGAGGTTTTGCTCGATGAGTCAATGGCGGTACGCGCCACACAGGGAAATGAGATGTCTGGGTGTTGGTATGGGCAGCACTTGGGCTAGTGCTCATAACCTTTCCCTTTTCAGTAGTTCTTCTCTCTCTCTCACACTCTCTTCCTTGTTGATGGAGCCTTCACGTGTAGGATGAAGAGAATGAACTCAGTGGGGATGAAAGAGGCGTTGAGAGGTCTCATACGACAGACCAGATCATCGTTTCTAGATGCTAGAACACAACGGCTGATGATTGCGGAGTTGAAGAAGAGGATACGCCGTGATCAGCCGAAGTTGTTTGATGAGGTACGCCATCTCATCTCGAAGGTGTCCGATGGAGACGTTTATTCGATCCCCACAGTGCTGGAAAGGTACTATCTCCAAGGTAATTATAGGGACCATAAGGATGTTCAGTACTTTCTGAAGGGCCACCTGGATTCGTGGCCACATGAAAGCATAAGAAGGATCCTGAATAACGAGAAGAACACATTGGAACAGAAGTGCAGACATATGAACCAATTGAAGAGCATCAAGTTCCCCCAGAGAGATGAGCGACAGATACCTTCCATCTCGAGCATTATGGGCATATCGCATGTCTCAAGAGACATCGATATCTTGCCTGTGGAATCTACAAGGCTCTATACGGATAAAGACCAACGATTTAACCTCATGTTGACAAAAGTGCTGGCGATATACCGATTCCTATTGGGAAACACTTATGTACACTCCAGAAACTTACAGTCACCAATCGCTAGAATTCCACTGAAAGTCTCTGGTGAGGACGTTGCGCAGTGTAGAAAGGTCAATATAATAAGGAAGAAGATAAGGTATCTGAGACATGTGTTGAAGTCAATACCACCTCTGGAGCTGGACGATCACAACTATTTGACAAATCTATTGGACACGTACTATCTTGATCCTCCTAAGGAGATTGATAGACACCTCATGAAGAAGATCAGAAGAGAATACAAGAAATTTCTAAGACGTACGTATACTGTTGATCAAGACTCAACAGTAAAGCATAACAAATATGCATTCATTATAGCTAAAAATGCCCCAGACAGTGCGTACTTCCATTAGCTGAATAGCCTTCCTGTACATAGATATATGCCATGTGTTTCATATTTGGTTCATCACAAATACTGTGTAGTGTTTCATGTCGCTGCTGATGCCACATCCAATGTTTCTTCCTGTGTTTGTTGTCACATAAGAAACCTGAATATCATCCATAGGTTCGTTACTGGTCAATGATAATGTTTTATAAGTATGAAGGGATTGGTCAAATAGATATTGATATGCAAAAGTGACCAACCTGTGTCCAGACACAATGAGTACATTATCATCATCCAAGACTTGTAAATCCGAGATGGCATCTTCAAATTCGACTTTTGTTGACGTTGTGAGTTTGCTTTCAACATTTACCTTGAAAATCTCCAGAGTTGAGTCCAACGCACTGAAGACGTATAGATCATCGTCAATGAATTTCATTCGTTGTTTCTCCGTTATTTGACCCAATGGAATTTGAAGCAGAGTTCCATCTTCTTCTATATGAGTAATGCTAGCTCGAATACTTTTTCTTATGGAGTCAAACATATCCTCTGCTGAAATGGTCACTTTGTTAGATTTCATCCTCATCAAAGGAACAAGAGTGGTGAACACAGACCTTTCCAAATGTGCTGATATGTACTCAGCTACGCTTGAAGTTGAATATTCAATGTCACATGAATCTTCCTGTAATTCTGTGAACGTGAACTTGAGCCACAGTATGAACTCGTTAAACAACTCTTGCTCATTGTTGATCTTCTTTATTAATTGGAATAGCTCGATGAGGAAGTGTTTGACCTCTGAGATAACAACCGGAATAGCACCAGCAATGTCAAATGGTGTGTCCAATAAAGATGCAGTGTTCGCCACAGATATTGATCTTGATAGCAAAAGTATTAATCTATCACAGGCAGGTATCAAATGGTAGATGAGAAGTTTTCTCGTGTTGTTATAAGCTGCTTCACCACTGCTTGTCCATCTCTTTAAATTTCTATCACCGATGGAGTTTTGTATCCAATCTTTGATGTCTTCACTCATCATACCCGTCAATAGCAGATTATACAACTCGTCACCAACGTTGAGCCCCTTCTCCTTTAGTTCATTGCGTAGTACGTTTAAAAACCTATTGTGGTCATCGAGGTAGGACTTTACCAAGACGGCAATACTGCTCAGTACTTCACCGATATACCCCAACAACGCAATGATCTTAGACGACAAAGTTGTAATTTGTGAGAAGAACTCGTAATGCTGTATAAAGTTCGTCCTGAATTTGCGTAACTTGTACTGCATCGTATTGAAAGAGGACGTCAAGATGTAATGATCCTCTAGAGAGTGTGAGATACAATTGACAATCTCTTCGTCATCCTCATTTTCTTTGAAGATCTCCACAGGGCCAAGGGAGAACAACCCATGTAGCGTAAGATTGACCGAATTGGATCCAAATGCAAATAACAAATCCATGTTCTCCTCGTTCGAACCTATTTGGATCATCGTATCGATGGCCTGTTTGGAGCTGAACGTCTTGTTCATCCTCGGAGCCCCCGATATGGACAACGGCGTCAATTTCGGTAAGCTATCCCATATGTCATTCAGCTCAAACTTCCCGTGGAACTTGTTCTCAGAAGCTGGCCTCTTCATCACGATCCATCTCGTAAAGTTCACAGAGCCCTGCGTCTTCAACCGTGTCAGTTCCTCATTGGAGTTCACGTCATACAAAACCACGCTGTCGTCAACACACACAACACAGAGCTGCTTCCCATCAGGCCTCCACTCTATGCATTTCACAGGACTGGAAGAAGTATCTATCTCGTACACCTTCCTTCCATTCATTCTGTACAGAGAGATGCACTTCCCATTACGCTGCGACACCGCCAACAAGTCCATAGACGGACACCACGAGTAAACAACGCCATCAGCATCGTCCTCGAAGCAATACACCCTATCGCTCTTGTTCTCAGACTGTATAAACCTCATCAGCGGGAGAAACAACAGCGAACTGAAGCAGTTAATGCCCTTTGATGAAGTTGGTGGAGTTGTTTGTTTACATTTCGACAAGAGTACCGCGTGGTGTACGGATGTATCACCACTGTCTCGAGGACCTCATCGTGATGATGGCTCTCTGCTCTTCTTCTTCTTCTTCTTCTTCCTCCTGGACGACCACTCTAAGCTGGTTAGCGATGTCGAAGAACGATTCCCAGGTAAGTCGATAGCGCTTCTTGCCGAGGAGCATGTGTACTAACATGGAAATTAGATCAAAGCTCTGTCGAACTTGAAGTCGTCTGAGCGTAGGAGGTTGCTGTCCTCGATCATCGAGACATATAAGCTGCCGACAAACCTCACAAAGAGCACCCAGGAGTTGTTCTTGCCGAGCACAATCAAGTACACGGAGTTCAAATCACCAAAGGAGCACGTGGATGTGCTGTACATGGATAACGACCAGATTCCAGTGTGGTTCTCATCAAGGGCCGGGAAGTTAGTGCCAACAGTGTATACCTTGTGGAGGGCGCCATTCCTGCTGGAGAAAGTGTACACTAACCCTCATGTTATAGAGGTCCTGATAGGTGGCGCCAATTTGATGCTTCCGGGATGTGCACCATCTTTTGGTACGATTCAGAAGGGTGATGTTGTTGGGATTTGCGATACTGCTCATCCAAATAGGGTCATGGCCATTGGATACGCAGCACTTGACCTTAAGGACATAACAAAGACTGTAGGCACTACCGGGATTGCCGTGAATGTGATTCATAGAGTCGATGACGTTATATGCCATGTTGCTAAGAAGAAAGTTGAGGTCCCCGAACAAGTTGAGGAGGTGACTATGGTGTTGAAAGAGGAGGAGGAGGAGGAGGAGGAGAAGGGGGAGGAAGAGACCGATGTGCAGGCAAAAGAAGAGGACTCTAATCAGAGTACACATGGAGATGATAGATCTGAAGACGTAACTACAGACCAAGTTGAAAAGTTGACTAAAGAGCTCAACGACTTGACAACAGATGATGTTGATTATCTTCTCAAGAGAGCACTCTACCAGACCTTGACTCAAACCCCAGTCACACCACCGTTGTCATCTTCACAGTTCATGGACCAACTGGTTCAAAACTTGGCTACAGATCATTCAGATGTCAACATCAAGAAGTCGTCGTGGAAGAAGGCAGCGAAATTCCTGAAGGCAATGGAGAAAGATGGATTTCTCAAATTGAAGGGCAAAGGCGATGACTTGACAGTTGTTGAAGTTGCAAAGTCTTCAAACAATGATACTCTCAAAGGTTTCGTTCCTTACAAAGTGAAGAAACCAGCAAAGAAATCCCCTTCTGAATCCTCATCAAATGGAAAAGCAGCCGGTTCTCTCATCTTGGAGCATTATTACAAACCAACTTCTGTCCTTAGACCGTTGTATAACTCTCTGGACCTAGAGCTCGATGCTTATTACACTACAAAGGAATTGAGAAAGCACTTGGATCAGTACATTGACAAGGAGCAACTCGTGAACCCGGCAGATAAGTCCACTATCATAGTCAACGACTTCTTGAGCAAAATTATACCAGGGAACAAGAATCTCGTTAAACGTAGCCAGCTATTGGCACCTTTTGAGAAGCAATTCTCACCATTCTATACAATTTCTAAACCAGGTCAAAGCAATGGATCGTTAAAGAAACTCCGTGGTACCCCACCGAAGGTTCATATTGTTATTGAAACGAAGATTGGACGGAAAACCATCACAAGGGTTTTCAATTTTGAGACCTATGGCGTCGACGCTGAAGTGTTGAGTGCTGAGCTCAAGCTGAAATGCTCTGGCTCTGCGACAATCAGACCAAACGTCCAGAGTCCAAAGATTATTGAAGTTGTTGTGCAAGGTTCTCATTCCCAAAAGGCTGTTGAGTTGTTGACGACGAAGTTTGGGCTGAACCCAAATTGGATCGACAGCGAGGATAAGTCCAAGAAGTCCAAGAAGAAGAAGTGAGTATGCTCCACGATACTTGTAGTGCCTTGTCGAGCTTATAGTCGTTGACGAGTTGCTCAATTGTACGTTTGTCTTCCAAACTGTCCAATCTGTTGTAGTTTTGTCGTACCTGATCAATAACCATTCTGTCCAGCTTATAATGGACGCTCTGAGGCCCAACCATCGGCGATCCCAATACCCTGAATAGCTGGCCTGTGACCTTCTCCAGTATTTGAATCATATCCTGATCTCCTAGAGGCTCTTCAAGAGTATACACCAGTGTGGATCCCAATCTCGGCAACACCAGCTCATCAGGGTAGTATATTTCCCTAGTCAGCACTATCAATTGTGTAATTTGGCCATGGCTCCAATCAACGTACGTAGTTGGATCCTCCCCCAGGTCCTCCGTGGCATCAGCTGTATATCTTACTTCGAACTTGATATCCAGTTGTACCACTCTGCTCAGAGACTCCAACACAGGGGCCATGAGCTCAGATACGAACTCGACATCCCAGTATCCAGCGTCCATGAGTATGATCCACGTCACACTCATTTTCCGGTCTTTATTCATAGCCATTGCCCCTGTTGAGCTGTTCAGATGGAACACCTCATCAACAAGGATGTTCCTTATGAACTCGGGCATGGTGTTATGAGCAATGAGAGAATCAGTCTGGAATATCGTGATCGACCTCCCAAAGGGGTCCACGTAGTAGCTGGGCACCTCAGCGTACCCCAGCTTGATCCAGTAGCCATCATCGGGGATGTCTTCAGCGCAAGAGGGCACAATGATCTTCAGCTTCGTCTCGTTGTCCTTCAGGTCCTTCTCCAATAGTGAGCTCGTCCTCAGGGCCAAGAAGCGCAGAGGAGCTGGTAACGGGAAATAGATTGGAATCGTGACATTCAGCGCTACTATCAGTGGCAGTAGCACCAGTACAACAACCAGTTTCATCAAGTTGTTGTGCTCTGCTGCTTCCCTCAGAGGCGGTTTTCTGAGGTTGAAGTGGGAATAAGCCCGGTTGAAAAAGCGTACATCTACAACATCCCATCATCAGCATATAAGGCTACGATGTCTAGCGTTACAAAGCACGGTGTGAATGACAGAAGCAACGAAAACACACACACACACACACACTGAAGCGTAATTTATATACATGTTGATAGCTGACCTATGTACTGTTATACGTCGGTTCATTTGACGTTGATGACCATGCCCGGCCCGTGTGTGGACTGGATCACCGTCTGACCCAGTATGCTCTGTCTCTTCACCTTTTGTTCACTGATGGCCTTCTCTAGAGCGTGACGAGCAGCAATGACGTTTCTGATGATCTCGTTATCGGAAAAGTTGACACGACCAACAGCCAGCGAGATCTGGTCCGTCTTCTGTCTGAATGGAATGGAGCCCGAAACCTCCCTGATGAGCTGAGCAACGTCTTCGCTCACAGTGCCCTTCTTCACCGTCGGCATCAGCCCTCTTGGGCCTAGCGTACGTGCCAGCTGGTTCAGCTGTGGAACCATCTCCGGCGTGGCGAATGCCCTGTCGAACTGGAGCTCCAGCTCGCCTTGCTTGATCTTCTCCACCAGCTCCGCACCGCCAACCAGCGACGCCCCCTGGCCCAGCGCAAGCTGCTTCTGTTCCTCCACAGACGTGAACACCAGGATCCTGGTCTCCTTAAGAGCCTTCGGGAACGCAATCGAGCCGCTGAGTCTCGGGTTTCCCTTGGCGGCAACCACCGACGTGGTGATGGAAATCACAGCCTCCTCGGGCGACCTGCCAACCTCCGCGGCCCTCAGGTAACGCAGAGCCTGCTCGATGTCCATGTAGTACTGCGATCTCTCTGGATTCGCACGCGCTTCAGCTCGCTTACGTGCCATCTTTCTCAGCTCCGCCTTTCTCGAGGCCTCCTTCGACTGAGCCCTCTCCCTCTGCTCAGCAACCCTCGCCAGGTCGTCGTTTGGGCCTCTCAGCGGAGCCAGCACCGAAAACTGGCGTGCCACAGAGCACGCCCTCTGTCCCTGTAAGCCTCTCAGCATCTTCAAGCCTGTGAGCATCGTCCAATGTCGTTGCTTCGCTGTGCCAAAGTGTGCTCTTCGTACTCGAGCCCGTTGTTTGTGTCGTGTTGGAGTGAAAAAGTTCGTCGGCGGAAAATTTCAGCGCTGTGCGCGGAAGAGGCGGTACGGGACACACAGGCATACGCTCAAGGTGCTTTGTATGGAGAGGTTAGTACTAATTAGAATGATACTAATAAAAACAGTAGACCCGTATTCAAAGTTCCTAAAGTATGCCAAAATGTAGCTCTTACCCGAATTAAGGGATAGGCAAAGTATGGGAATGTAATCTTTGATGGTTTCTGAGATATACCAATTCATAGTTTGTATGGTGTAATCGAGAGAAACATATAGATTTGGTTATACCTCAGCAACAAAACAGAAATGGGGAAAACTGAAGAGAACAGCAGGAGATCAGATCGATATCATCATAAACACTAACTTTGGCTTGATTAGATCGATGGCTCTTTTAAATTAAATCAGAACGTGTTGCGTTATATATGTAATTCTGGTTCTTCGTTGCCTTAGCAATCGTAAAGATGTAAGGATGTTTTTGATTTTGTCTGTGTTGTTTACATTTTGAATTCTTATCAACACAAAATGACACAAAACCAATACAGCTTTATACACAATGTTTAAAACATCACCAAACAATGGCCAGAAACAAAGGATTAAGCAAGCAAAGAACGATGGCTGGGTGACAGCCAAAGAAACCCCAGAGAACTCTCATAGGGATCTTCTAACTACGTCCTCAACTTGAAGAAGAGACATCAGCGGCTGATCCAGAACCACAGCGGCAAGTTCAAACCAATGGAGGTACGAGACAACAAGAAGAACCATTAATTATTGAAACAGACTAACTGAGCTGTTATGAGAGCAAGATATGTAGTCAAGGAACCTTCAAGTTCTGTCACAGAAAACCCATGCAGACGTCACAGATTTACTACAACAGCCGCCGTTACTTGGACCTGCTAATGGAACTATGGCTGATAGAATAAGAGATAGGCAAAGAAACGCAGCACAGGTAGCAGAAAGAGCATTAGAAGAAATTAGATATGATGGTACTTTTGACCATGATCCCAACTCTGAAAACATCATTGAGGATGAACACCAACGGTCTCAATGAGAATGATGATCCAGTTTATTACTAACAACAACAACGGAGACCACAGAGACCGCGGAGCTCAGTGTATAATCCAGGACTTGAAAAGTGTTGGGATTATTGCCATGCTCTCCTTATCGATGCAGAATTACGATCTTTTTGTTGTGATCGGGGAAAAGTTTCACCCGGCGAGATATTCAAAGAACCTCCACAGTACATGAAGGACATCTTATTGGATCCAATCACGTCCAAATACTCTTGAAAAATCAGTACAGTTCTTTCACTATCATCTTTGGATTCTAAAAGTACTGATGATTCGAGAGGTGGAACTTCCTCAATGACCATCAATGGACGTTTATTCCATATATTTGATGGTCTGATAGCTTAGGAAAATGGCTAAACGAGGTTTGCAGAAATTTATACACTAGATCCAGGATTAGCTACAAATCGTCATCTTGAATTGCTTAGAGGTGTTCTTCAAAAAGATGAAGAATATAATACACTTGAGGACTACATTAGCAAAATTGGTGGATTCCCTCTCCAAATAATCATTATGCACAGCTGTTATATACCGCTAGAGAAATTGTTCAACAGGAAATTACAGAGATGGGCTCAACAAGAGAAGAGACCATTGTTCAATTTACCAATATTGAACCAACAGCACCAACAAATTCAGAACATCATACTTCTTTATTACTAGAGGTTTAAGAGTTTGATTTGGCGCGCAGGAACATAATAGCAAAACAGACTTCATTTTCAGTACACGTATAAAGGAAAAATCTACAAGTGGCTTCACTCTTATCAATATTATGTCTAAGAGTGTTTTTTTATCTTTGAGATGTGTTGTTCTAATAACTGAAGGGTGAGCCAAATCTTTTCCATACTAACGGTACTCAAATTAGTATCATTCTGACATATACACACCATACACACGCTTGTGACTACACATACGAAATCTTACGCTACAGTTTTAGAAAATTCTTTAAAGTGTGGATTTTGTTAGTTTCACAATCATTCTATCAACGAAAGGGACCAGGCATTAAAGTCAATACCCGATGGACCGCGCAGCGCAAGTTGATTACGAAGATCCAAATCGCGTTTACCGCACCGAAGCACTACAGATCAACTTGTTCATGTTATATATGGGTGTTTCTATGGATGGGATGTGGGCAAATGGCTGGTGGCCAATGGCTACTGGGTGAGGCCATTGGACAGTGCCGTGTTCAATGCACCTTTATGGACGACGATGGAGTCTCTGGCTATGTGTCCCGTGTCCTTTTTAATGACGAAGTGCGCCAGATGCTGCTCGTGCAATTGTGACGATTGGACGTCGACGCCGAAGTAGTCTGCTTGGATCTGATCCCTGGCGATGCAGAGCTCGTAGTAACCCCTGAGGTAGCCCTCGTTCCAGATGAGGTTGTTCTCGCGGACGAGCTCTTGAGACATCGCAAGAGCTTGGCCTTCAGATTGGTTTCTGGGAAACGTTGACGGTGAGCTCACGGCACTTGTGGTGAACTCCACAATGACCGAGCCCTCGCCGGTGTCAACGCTATACGTGCCGTTGGCGAGCTTCAGCTCGCTCACAATGGCAATGTGGAAGTCGCCACTTAGCAGAACAGAGTTCTTCAGGTGGTTTGCCTGGAGGAAGTTCAACAGCCGGTTTCTATTGGCAACGTACCCGTCCCAGGCATCCTGGTTTAGCTCTTCGAAGGGGAAGCCGATGCCCCCGGTCTCTGGCAATGTGAAGTTGATATCTCGGACGACACACTGGCTGGAGATCAAATCCCAGACGGTGTCGTTTTTGACGAGTTGTCTCTCTAACCATGTCTCTTGATCATACCCTAGCATGGTTCTATCGTCGTACTCCTTTATCCCACTGATGAAGTCCTGGTTTGTGTAGTAGTCTGTGATGTCACGAGAGTAGTGCCTGGTGTCAAGCATATGTAATTTGAACAACGAGCCAAACTTGAAAGACCTCCAGATCTTGTTGATATCACGCTGATGTCTAATTGGTAGCCATTCGAAATAGGCCTGAGTCGCAGCGTCACGTCTCTTCAAAAATTCATAACCCTTTGTATGAACAGACCCACGCAGCCATGAATTGTCTGTGACTTCATGGTCGTCCCATACTAGAATCCATGGAAAGCGTGCGTGCGATTCTTGTAGGGCCATATCAGAACGGTACAGTGAGTAACGAGTACGATAGTCCTCCAATGAGTAACACTCGTGCTCCGGCTTATGGTCTCTGTCTAGATGAGTGCCGTTTGTATATTCACCATTGGCGTATTCGTAGATATAATCACCAAGATGGACAACAAAATCAACGCTTTCCTTAACGACTGGCATCTTATACGCATGGTAATACCCACCAGCATAATTCGCACATGAATAGACGGCCAATTTCAGCGAGTCCAACTCGTCGTCCAGAGGCAAAGTTCTTGTAAGACCAAGTGTGGACTTAGAATCATCATTGAAGAAGATATAGCTGTAGGATGAGTTTGGTGAAAGGCCCTGGATATCAAGCTTCACAGTATAGTCGACAAGACCATTTGTATATGTCTTTCCATGCAGCACCAAGTTCTCTGATCCAGCTTCACGAATTATAAACCACACTGGAATCAGCGTGGTATTGGATATTTCAACAGTGTTCGAAGGGCTTATTCTTGTCCACAGGATAACAGTGTCCTGAGTTGGGTCTCCAGACGCAACACCGTGCCTGAACTGAACAGGCACATCATTGTCAATTGCCCATTCATTGCGACTAGCAAGCCCATGGTTCCAGTAGTCCTCAGGCAACGTCCAGACTGTTCGATCCAGCAGTTCAAAGTTCATATTCTCAAAGAGCCTCTCATCGTCATTGCTAAAGGCTAACCAAGCCACCAAGGCAAGTGCCAGCACCAATAGTGGAGTAGTGCTTCGGATCATCAACCTGGCGTGTGCTTTGAAGAAGAACAAGCGAACCCAATTGAGCGCAGAGGGAAAGAAGGAAAAGAAAATCCTCACTACACCATCAGAGTTCATCTTTATAATCTCGTCTTCCCACGTGTGACACTACCACTATATACACTGCTGTACATGCAGACCTTCAAATGTCGTAGCACACATTCCCGTGAAAAGTACCTTTCGTAGACAATAGAAGCCTTACCAGCACCACATTATGCATTAAGAGCGTGTGAATCACCTCCACTGGAACTGACACGATAAGAGAAGCATCACAGCTGGTAAAAATCCCATGTGATTGGTCTTTTAATCCAATGATTGAGCCCACGTTGGTTGAGAAAGATGTATCAATTATGCAAGCGTTTGGTAAACACCGCCGGCGGACCATCGTTACCGGGGCTATCGTTACCGGGGCTATCGTTGCGGGACAACGACGCTGCTACGTGCGCGCCATTGTGCATGCGTCCGCAGAAACGTTATAGCTTATTTTGCGGAAGTTGATAACAGATTTAAACGAATAGAAGCATCAAGTTTTGCTACTGTAGGAACACAGCTCCGTCTGTAGAGACAATGCGTAGCTTGAATCGATGGCAGTGAGGCACAACATGCTTTATCCAGCAAGGTCGTGTCCGCAGTTAATTGATCAAGCACCCACGTGAACGACTCTCCCATAGCCTTGCACATGTACATGTTCATACAGTTTAGACAGTTCACATCATTCACACTATTCGACACGTATGGACAGAGCATTGAGGTATTGCGAGTATAAAACAGGCCATGTTGGCTGTCAGGGATCACTCTAAGCCATTTCGTGTGTTCCAAGCAGCTTCTACACGATGTCCATTGATGAGAACAAAAAACAGTTCGAGGTAACCACGGAAGAGAGATCTTTGGAGTTGGACCAATCTCCAGACGGTTGTCAAACGAAGAAGGAGTCCAAGTTCCACAAGTATGCTGGTGTGCTTACTGGTGGTGCTGCTCTCATGTCTGATGGGTACCAGCAAGGTGTGATGACGATGACAAACGTGCTGTTGGGCCAAGTTCTTGGTTCCTCCTACTCCACGAGCTACAAGACGATGGTTTCAAATTCGATGCTTGTTGCCAATATCATCGGCCAAGTGATCCTCGGGTTTGTCTGCGACCGTTGGGGCCGTAAACAGGCCTTCATATTCACGACGCTCTTCATCATAGCCGGCTCCATCGTGTGTGCATGTGCCCAAGGTTCTTCAGTGGACAAGTTACTATGGATGCTTATCATCGGTCGTGGAATTGCAGGCTTTGGAGTCGGTGGTGAGTATCCATGTGCTGGAACTTCTGCGATGGAGACAGCTAACGAGAAGCTCGACCACAACAAGCGTATCATACCTTTCATCTGTGCAACTAACCTGCCGATCTCACTGGGTGTTCCAGTCTCCACCATTGTCTTTTTGATAGTTCAGGCCATTTGGAAGGACAACTATAACGGTACATGGAGAACTCTTTTCGCCATTGGTGCGTTTATACCGTTAAGCATCTTCTACTTCAGATGGAGATTGGATCATTCTCAGTCGTACAAGGAAAACGCAATCAAGAAGAAAGTTCCATACATCTTGGTTATGAAGAAGTATTGGAAGCCGTTTGCCGGCACCGCAGGAATGTGGTTCCTGATGGACATGATCTTGTACCCAAATAACATCTTCTCGGCTTCCATCTTACAAGTTGCCATTCCAAATGCCTCTGTGAAGAGAGTAGGTGAATGGCAGCTGTTTTTATCATCTTTTGGTGTATTTGGAACGATTTTAGCCATGGTTGCGTTCAGGTTTCTTCATCTCACGAGAAGACAACTCATCATCAGTGGGTTCATCATGTACGGTGTAATCAGCTTTATCGTGGGAGGGTGCTTTGAGAAATTCACAGAGATTCCAGCACTTCTGATCATCTTCTATGCACTCTTGTCACTGGTGCTCAACTTTGGCCCTGGTTCGTTCCAATCAGTTGTATCCACGGAGAGTTTTCCAACAGCCATCAGAGGAACACTGTACGGTATTTCTGCCGGTATTGGTAAAGCAGGTGCAGCAATTGGAACTGAGATCTTTACACCAATCCAGGTCCATACAGGCAAGAGAAATACCTTCTTCCTCTCTGGAGGACTGGCGTTATTGGGAGCCGTTGTTGTGTGGTGGGGAGTCCCAGACAACGGATATCGTTCATTGGACGAGTTGGACGCTGAGTTCTCAGAGTATCTGAAAGAACAGGGATGGGAGGGACAAGTTGGAGAGTCCAAGGAAGACCAGGAGAAGAAGTACTTCTTATAGGCACAGAGCCAGCTTTAGATATCTTTATTTTCAATCAATATGTACAGAACAAACACGCCTCTATGTTGGTAGATGTAGGCAGAGGAGAGACACAGGAGGCCAGAGACAGGAGACCAGACACAGGAGACCAGACACAGCGAGCCAAGCTCAGTGGGCCAGGTACCATCTGCCCTTGGCTTTTCTTCTCTCGACGATCTTTCTCCCAGTTTTGCTTCTCATTCTACTCATGAACCCCAGCGTTCTCTTTCTCTTGTAAGTGTTTGGCTGGTAGTTGTTACCTCTGGACTTCCAACGACGGCCAAGCAAGGTCTGCACAATAGAAGACACAAGAGGAGCACTAACAGGGGTAAAACTCGTAGGAGACACCACCTGCTGTGACAGCTGCTGCTGTTGTTGACGAAGTTGCATCATTGGTGATACTGGACGAATAGTCGAGAACAGACGAGCCCTACACCAGAGACCACACACTGTTAGTATTCTGGCAGCGCACAAATCCACGTCGCATACACTTACCCTAATGGCTTGAACGTAGAGAGTCTTGAGAACATGGTCAGAGCTGAAGATTCTTGCCGAATGGAGTCCTTGAAGGCGGTTATGTGTTGGAGTAAAATGGCCGTCCAGCGTAATTTTCTTTCTGCTCGGCCTGGCTTTTTTTCCCTTGGTTGTGTGCCCTGCCCAGCCTGGAAACCACCGCCTGGAAATCACCGCCTGGAAATCACCGGCACAGAGACGGGCAAAGAGCCCAGCGCCGGCAAAGAGCCCAGCGCCGGCGGACGGGCGAGAGGACTAAGGCTTCATGGGCAGACTGATGGGAAGCCCTCGGGGAGCTGTATAGCAAGCGTAGATATCCAGCCCATACTCTTCAGCAATTGGCTCGCTAGTTCTCGGTTACGTAAGACCGTTACAGTGCTGAGTTGTGGGCTGTATGATGAGATGTTGCCCCGAGCGATTGCCTTCTGTGCGGGAGCTCATCGGGCCTGGAAAATTTTCATTCTTAGCAGTAGAGAGATTGTCATATAGTGGCTCTATAGAGGTATACAGAGAGGCTTTAGCGGTATAGACGATGTCACAGGTCAGACCGAAGAGGATTGCACAATCGGCAGTCAATACGCCAATCACGACTCACCTGAATTCGAGTGTGTCGTTGCAAGGGAAAGAGGCTGTTGAGAGGTTTCTAACGGCGTTTTTGGATGACGAGGAGCAGAGACAAGTTGGACAGAAGGTGCTGAACTCGAATAACACCAGTGTCATTTCACAGCTGAAGAGAATACAGAGGGACCTGAGAGGGCTTCCCTCAGAGGGCAGCAGCGTGATGAGGGCCAGCACTCCATCTGCCGGTACAGCTGTGAATAGTAAGAAGCACAAGAGATTTGACGAGGAGGAGGTGAGCGTTGGAGTGAAGGAGGAGGCCACGGAGGAGGCCAAGGAGGAGGTCCAAGAGGACGAGGAGGACAAGATGGATGTTGATGAACCGGTAGAAGAGAACGTGGAGGAAGAGAAGAACGTGGAGGAAGAGAAGAGCGAGAAGAAGGAGAAGAAGGAGAAGAAGGAGAAAAAAGAAAAGAAAGAGAAGAAAGAAAAGAAGCACAAGAAGCACAAGAAGGAATGAGAGCACATTGGGCCCCAATTGGTTAAGAAAACAATACATAAGGATTGAATGGATCCAATGATCCAGTAGTAACTACAGTAGCACATGTTAAAAATGCACCAAATGTCCTGAATAGGCAATATACCGAAATAGGAAAGTAGAACAAAAAGCATCAACAAACACAAAAATCAACAAAACAACAACAACAACAAAACAACAAAACAACAAAACAACAACAACAACCAACCAACCACAGCGGCTGTGCCCACTTACCAAAGATCGATGCAGAAAACCTCATTCCACAACAAGGAGAACACTGTTATTCCATCAACTCCTCGTAAGAACCACGTATCGCCAAAGAAGAGCAAAGGAGTGAGGGTTCCTTTGGGTGGTAAGGATACGAATAACGTTACGCAGAATGTGGATGATAGCAATCACAACATCAAGCCTGTTCATAGGCTCAGGAAGCTACGTGGAGCCTCGCCGAAGCTGGTTAATAGAAAGCAGATGAAAGTGCTGCCAGATGTCAGTACGTTGAATGAAGTTATCTCCAAGGGAGAAGAAGAAGGCGATGATTACGAGTTGGAATACAGATCGATACCACAGCCAGAATTACCATACATTCCATTGAACTATACCCCTGTCACGCAAGACGACTTGAACAACTTGAGTGCCTCGCCCCTGAAACGGCCGTTCAAAGCGTTGTGCGAGGATGAAGACAATGACAATGACAATGACAATGACAATGACAATGACCATAATGACGATAGCGACGAGTTCCCCTTGAACTTCGAATCAGACGAAGAGATGGAACAAATCGAGGCACGCGATGACGACAACGACAGGATACCACATTTCATGAAGGCGACCGTAGGGTCAAAGTTGAAGGCAAAGGAGAAGATGGACATATACCACGATGGGTTGACAAATGCTGAACTACACAGGTTGGTTGATGAGCAATGACAAGGGAAACAATTTTCAGTTTTATATGCAAATTTAACAATCCGTTTGTAGAGTATATACACACTGTCTCTTTTGGTCCATCACTGCTGCGCACAGTAGGAACTGTTCGCATTGTCGTTATCGACAACTCTGAACTCCTGATTGTTTTCATTGACGATGGAGAAGTCAACCTGATCAACGTTCTGCAAATCAACATCTTCAAATTCACGGTTAGGTTGTGTTGTTGGAAGGATGTTCTTCAACTTATTCAGCTCGCTACGCTCTGTGAACCAATTGTCACTTGGGAACTCAACTTCAACAAGAACGAACAGGTCTCCACGTCTTGTAGTATTCTTCACGGGGAATCCTTCACCTTTGATCTTGATGTAGTCGTTTGGCCTTAAAACTTTGCCAGTTGGTGATGAGATCTTCAAATAACGGTCATCCAGGTGCTTCAATATCACCTTGTCCTTGAATCCACACAGCGACTCTTCAAGTGAGAAGGTCACCTTTGTATAGAGATCATCTTGACGTCTTTCAAAGATCGTAGAGTCTGAAGTATCCTCATCTAATGATAGTATGACATCTCCAGTAACTTTACCAGGGGACTGATCGCTTTCACCACTGAGCACAATCTTGTCGCCAAACTTCGCACCAGGGGAGATGACGAACTCCAGAATCTTCTTCTCTTCATTCACCTTCACACCTTTACACTTCTTACACTTATCACTGGTCTTGTACACTTTCCCCCGTGCTTCACATCTTTTACAAGGCTCAACCTGTTGCATCACCATTGGGCCCATACGATGCACCACTTTGACACGCTTCTGACCATCGCAGGCAGGGCACGTTGAACCTTGAGCCTTCGGCTTCAGCCCAGATCCCTTACACTGAGAGCACAGCACGTTTCTGGAGGACGTTATCTTGACGGTTTTACCGTTAAACAGATCTGACAGCGTGCACTTCACGTTCAGCTTTGCATCTTCAGTTCTGTTGCTCTCTGGCGGCGGCTCATCATAGCCATAGCTATCATATCCACCACCATAGAACCCGTTTGCACCACCTCCACCGAAAAAGGAGAAGAACTCATCTTCGTCGAACCCTCCAGGGAACCCATGGCCATTCCCATTGCCCGTTCCTCCACCGGCATCGTACTGTGCCCTCTTCGCCTCATCGCCCAAAATCTCATACGCTGCGCTGATCTCCTTGAATTTGATCTCAGACTCTTCACGCAGGTGCTCTGGTGCCTTATCAGGGTGGTGACTCAAGGCAAGCTTCCTATACGCCTTCTTGATCTCAACCTGTGTAGCTGTACGCTCCACACCGAGAATCTCATACAAATCGTCTGACACTTCACAGCGCAACGCGGAGAGCGTCGCTTCTGTTAGTAACACACACACACCGTTTGTACACAGGATCCCATATACTTACTTCTTCAAACCTGTAGAACCACAGGACTTTTCACCCAATTCACACAGCTTTTACACAACAGTTCACAGTTGATGCCCTTGATTGGCAGGGAAGCCCACTGGGGCAAAACCGCGAAAGCGATGAGATATTTCCCGGTGCTGAGATTTACGCCAGAATGGGCTGGGGGGCTTCCGAGCCAGCGTAATTTTCAGAACCGGACTTTGGCCGCGGGGGAAGCAGTGAAACACCCGGACACCTGTTTCCTCCTAGAGCCGTTACTTCACACTCTCATCAGCGATATTGATGGAGGGCAAGTTGGCGTGAAACCACACCCTGGGCCAATAGAAGATGAGTTTCTTACCCAATCCGTGTCTGCTGGGTATACTGCTATCGATATCTACACACAATGGTCCCCAATTGGTGTTCCACTACCCACCAAAGCCGAAAGACTTTGGCTTCAAGGCCACACCGTTCGCTCTTGATAACGACTTGTTGGACAGCGACGAGTCCTCCAGCGACGAGGACTCAGACACCTCGTCTGTGACCGACGAGGCTGTTGGTAAGAATGACAGTAACATCTTCCAGGACCCGAACTACGTCTCGGGACAGACCCTGTTGGACCTGCTCGACGAGCAGGACAGGAGAAGAGCTGCGAAGGAGGCCAGGAGGTTGATGAAAGAGAGCAAGAAGAACTCGATCTCGTCGAACCCAAGGACGAGCTCAGAGATCAATTCACTAAGATCAAGCGATCACCACCATCATCACCACAATAAGAAGTCTGAGAACAAAGTGTTTGGGTTCGACGTTGAGTTTCTCAGCGAGATTGTGACACCACCAAGACAGATGTGTAACTCACGCTTTGAGCTGGCAGTCGACGATATGGCTTTCCTTGGCCTACCAATCCATATAAATGAAGAAGGACAATGGAGAACGAGTGCACCAAAGACAGGGAAACATTCCAAACGGTCCAAGGGGTCCAATATCAGTCGAGAGGAGGAGGTGGAGATGTTGGAAGAGGAAGAAGGAGATGTTGAAGAGGGAGCCTCAACAGAGAATACAATGTCAATGTTCAACATTGTCTTTGTGATGAACCCACCTGTCGTTGAATTCAACCATAGAATAGATGAGATGTTCCATTACGTTGTGTCGAGGCTGGCGATGGTTCTCAGGTACGAACAGGCTAAATCTGATTATGTGTGGTTAGAATCGCAAAAGATCTTGAAAGTGAAAGAACAGAATGAGGACCTGTCTATAAACGAACTATACGATAAGATTCTAAAGGAGTCTTCACTGGCACAGACCATTGCACAGTGTTTCAAATCCATATCGACTTCAAATATTGCGGATTTGCAGATCCAGGATAAGATGATCTCCCTTCAAATCCCGTTGAAGAAACAGTTCAAGTCATTACCACCGAAGACTGAGCCTGTGCTGCCTGGCTCATTCCTGGCTTCAACAGCCATTGATGAGACAAGCACTGAGGAGGAAGAGGAGAACATTGGATACATGGCACTGTTATTGCTAGACGATGCTGAAAAGATAGTATCCGAATTGAAGATTGAACAAGGCTCACAATTGGCACAGTTCATCAAGAGCATAAGCCCTACACTGTCGCTATACTCATTGTCACAGAGCAATGGAATGGAACCGTTACAAGTGGCCTCATTTGCTAAGCATTTAATCTATTGGAGACGTGCCAGAGCAGTGGTACCTCTGAACCCGAAATCGGTATTTATCGTTTCTCCAATGGCTCCATTGCACAACTTGGGAGAGAGGATCATATCCTTTAGACAAGAATTCCCGTCCCTTCCTTCTCTACCTTCATTTCTATCACTGCTTTCGAACGCTAAGCCAAGATCTTTCATGGCTATCATTCCGAGTAAGGACCATAAAGGAATATATCTTGATGCTTTATCATGGCTGATGAGATACGGGTACGTCACACAGCTGTTGATCTTTGTATGGTTAAAGATACCCAACCGTATCAAAATCGCAGTGGAGGAGGATCTTGAAAGGGAGGGCTTGACGAAGAAGACGAAAGATTCCAAGTTCAAGTTCGCTGACCTATCTACTGATGCTACTGGTAAGGAAAAGACAGGCAATCGGTCCGGATCATCATCTTCCTCACAGATCAGAAGCGTGTGGAATGGACAGGATATGGTGATCGAAGAGGAGGATGAAGATGATACAATTCTACTGGAACCTGAACGAGCCACTGCCGTGGAAAGAAGATGGATTAGCAAAGTGATCAAGGGACAACCTCCAGAACAAGCTGCTCTTTTCCATAAGCTGGTAAGGTACTTGAATGGAAAGACTCCTCTCGAGCTTGTGATGTTGAAAGAGAACATTTCAAGACACGACGTTCGAAAACTCCTCCATGGTATCAACGACTACATCATATCGGTAAAGCATTGGTAAATTAGTGTGTATATAAGCGTCAACAATATCCAAGATTTTAATCTCTATCGTCATCCCATGTTCCCTCCCTTCGTCTTAAAAAAACAGTCTTCGAATCTAATCATATAGCAGGAACGCAAGTCCTAATTCAGATCACATCATTTGCAACTGTGTCGGTATCGACAGAGAGCATCATCACACTCTTCATGGCACTCTCTAGATCCTCCTGATCACTTGAGAAAATGGCCTCTCCACATCCCTTACCAAATTCAACTTTCTGCAGTTTCACATCATTCCCAAATATATCGGTGACAGTAACGTGTGATTTCAACTTTGCAAAACCAATACGGTCATATATTGGTTGGCCTAAGAAGCATGTTTGGATTTCAACTTGAGCCAGTGCCTCTGTGGATTTTAAAGCAACTGGGTCCTTGATATCGGTTCTCACAACGACTTCTTCAACCGGTTTCACTGGGATATGATCAGGTAACAGTGATTTTGGAATTGGTGTATCAGGAAGCTGATACTTTGCGTTGGATATACCGTTGAATTCTAAGTTGTATATTTCATCGCCAACAAGCGCAAAGATTTCTGAACTATTGGAGGACACTCTCAACGCACGCATATTCGGCATGATCCATTTGGAGTCCTTTGTATTGAAGCAATGTATAGAGCCACTTGATCTTGTGACCATGGTGTACGTGGTGTTATCAACCCAGTACATGTCCTGTATAACTGACGCAGTTTTACCTCTGGTCTGGATATCGACAAGCGACACTTCAATGGGCATACGAGACAGGTCCCACCTGTATACTTGATCACCTCTCTGTGAAACTGTGAGTAGCTGCGTATCAAAAGGAGACAATGAGATATACTGGCAGCCATTAGGAGGAGAAAAGTTTGCGAGTTGATCCCCGGTAACAAGATCAACTATGATCACCGTTTGTGAGGCCTTGAGCCCATTGATCAGATTCGACAGATACAGCTTCAAGTTGGCGCTGACGTTGTTCTCGCTGATCATTGTCTTGATTGATTGAATCTCTGTAAGCTTGTAAATACCATCCAGAGCAGTGATGGATAAGCTTTGTAGGATCTTCGAATATATGGAGTAGTTCCTTGTTGGCACGTTCAACGTTGTACGAGGTGAGTCTATCGGATCGCTAGGTACGTAGCTCAGGTATCTCCCTTGGACGTCAAACAGTGGATTGCCATTCATTATGAGCACGTCATAGCTCTGTGGCAATGGATGACCTTGCTCACTATCAAATATAGTCAAGGATCCCTCATCTGTTGATATGGCAACAAACCTCTCTGACGCCTTCACCGTGTATGGGTACAATCCATGCACAAATGGCGGGAGAATCAGAGGCTTATCAACGCTGTCTTCAATGAAGAACTGACCAAACTTCTTCATTTGGAATCTCCTCTCAGACTTGAGCTGAATTGTCAACACCAAAACGTACGTGTTTGTATTCTGGTCCATCATCACGGGAGTTGCATCTTCAATAACACCATCCACCCCAGATAAGCTCCCTACAAGGTACAGGCACCTCTGCACATCCTCCTTCTTCTTCGCACGCTCATCCATATCCTCAATCTCCAACGCCGCTGGAATCCAATCCCAAATCTCCACAGCGTTTGGGTATATCCGTACAACTTCACCATTGAGACCAAATCTCGTGGTGAATCTCCCCTTTGGCACGGAACTCGGCGTTGCCGAGCTCTTCACCTTGGACCAAGCAGCTCGTGTTCCCAGGGAACAGGGAAAACGTGGTGATATAGCGCTGTTTCGTGAGAGTGGCGTCAGTATATGATCCCTCGATGATATCGGGCGGGAGGATTGCTATTCGCAAGGACAAACCCGTCCAGACATCCCCCTCCGGCTCCAGTTGTGTAAACTCACCTTCTATAGATACGTGTGGGATCCATTCCCGTAGGCATAGCTGTTGATTGTGTCTTGTGTGTGTATAATTGCTGTGTATTGGTGATCTCTTCGATGTTGTGGGTTGTTTGTTTACTTTGTTCATCTCTGGGATTGTGACACCTTTTCTTATCGGATAAGGGATGGCGCGGCAAAGTTGTGAGACGAGGGGGGTTTCGGTTGACACACGCTTTTTTGATATGCGCAACACGTAGGGTCGGTCACGTGTTGGTGAGTGGAGAGGGAACGTGACTACGATGTACCGCACGTGACTACGGTGTATCGTATAAACAGAGGAAATAATGTAATCAAAACTAGTACGATAAAGCTTTCTAAGACAAGAAAAGTGCATAATAACGGCGCAGCATCCCTTTCTAACGTCCAAAGTATTTCAATTCGAATGGACGGGACACGTTGTAGGCGACGAAGGCGAAAGCAGCCGCCAGTTCGAACCCGATATCGGCACCACCGTATGGACCACCTTCGTTGATCAATTTACCAACTGGTCCAAGGAACCAGACCTGGTCCATGCCCATAACTGCACCAAAGACACCGAAGCAGAAGCCAATTGTACCAGCGATACCGATTGGCAATTGAGACTTATCGTTCCAGATGGTGACGTCATAGCCCTTGAATCCCCTTCTATAGATGAAGTGCTCGGAAAGGGAAATGGCCTCGTAGATGGCCAAGTAGTAGCCGATCAAGTTCATAAAGTTATCCATAACGGTCTCGAAGTGGTAGTACGCTGGGATACAGATGACCAATGTCAGACAGTTACCAACAAGGGTCCAAACGACTCTTGGCACTTTAGCCAATGGTGACCAGAATGATTGGGTACACAATGCAATGGTGTACATGTTTGGAATGTTGTTGGCCACAGTGGACATGGCAAGCAACACCGAGCAGAATTGGCCAAACCCACCAAGGGAGTTCACTGAGAGCACTGCGAACATCAATCCACCGGCTTGGTACTCAGAGTAGTAGTTAGCCCAGGTGTCATCTTTATAGGTACCGGAGTAAACAGCGGCACCCAAGACTTGAGTGAACACCAATGGGATGAAGAGACCGGCACACAAACCAAAGAAGATCACTCTTTTTGGGTAACCTTTTCTGACGAAGACGGTGTAATCAGCTGCGTAGGTTGTCCAGCCAGTGGCAAAACCGTAGATCGCACCACCAAACGAAAGAACACCGGCTGCAGTTGCTTGACCACCTGGGAAACCACCACCTGTAAAGTTACCGGATCTAGCCATTTGAACAATGAAGACGATGAAGACAGCCAGATTTGGAATCCAGGCCCATTTCTCATACGCGTGCACCACCTTGTAACCGAACATGGAGACGATGATGGTGGACACAACAAGTACCAGACAACCCGCCCATGGAGGCAGAGAGTGAGGCTTGTTCACCATATTAAGCAACTGGGCAGAAACCATGATGTTCACGGCACCCCAACCGACACATGCGATGGCGGTGATCAGGGCAAAGATTCTAGCAGCGAAGACACCAGTAAGGTAACGGGAAAGGACCATCTGTCTGAGACCAAACTCTGGACCGAAACATGAAAAGAAGGCCACGGGCAAAAGACCGAGGATATTGAAGAAGATAATGACAAACACTGATTGCCAGAAGGAGATTGCCCACACGGCCTGACCAAGCATACCAAGGGACATCGAGGCAATGACCAAGTTGGCCGAGAACCACATGGTCGCAGACGAGAACACACCTTCCTTTGGGTTTCTCTGGTCTTCAGTGACTCTCTCAATACCTGTTGTCTCCGCATTGAGCGAGGCGGCAATCTGGTTGATCCAGGACAGCTTTGTATCCGACGATTGGCCATGCGTTTGGTCTCCAAGGTAGCTCACCTCGTCGTCGTTCATCGACGACGTTGCGACCTTCTCAAGGTCTTGTAATTTCATGTCCGGTGACGATGACATTTCAGGCAAATTGGTAGTTTGTGGAATAAACGACTTGAAACCCGACCACTATAGCAGAGATCAGCACAGAAGCACACACTGGATACAATGCTCCTTACTGAACGTCACGCTACTTACTCCAGAGAGAGCTATCGTCTCTTTATATAAAGGAAAAATTTTCCAATCACCGCCAAATAGACGTTCCTCTGCACTTCATCGCTCAGCAGACCGCATGTCACCAGGACAGTCCGACAAGTCGTTTCTTTTCTTTCCTCAGTGGCCTTATCTGCGCGATGGGCGTGCAGCCTTGTACGGACAAAGCTGTTAGATGTACGAAAAAATTGATGCCTTTTGCCCTTCAACGGACAAATGTCATGACGTTCCCTACGGTATATCCTGCGGCAAAAAGTCTGACTTTGCTTCACGTTCATTGGTTGTCTCCTATTGGAACGATCACCGAGGGAGACTCCTTTGGAGATGGCGGGGGTATAGCTTTTGGTTCTTATCTTGCATTGACAAGTCATGACCGTTTGGCCGTGGCCTCGAAGCGAACGAACACATGCGTTACTGTGACAATACAGAGAAACAAGCAATGTTTCTTGGTAAATTTGTAGGGCCTGTCCGAGAAGGCTTGTCGATTTAGCGAAGACAGTGCAAGGGCTTAGGGCTTTGAATAGCGTTCCTGCCGTGTAATGCCAATACACTGTGCTTGGCGGAGCTAAAACCAGCGCAAGACAGGCTACAAGGGTAGTGGGAGTGGTCAACGGTGTTGTGTGTATATTATTTATGTAATGTAGCTTTTAGTTCTGAGATGGGATCTGCTGGTTTTATTATGTGGATGTTATTGAAGAAGCATAGGAGGCTTGCTATTTTGTGAGATTTTGAGGTGTTGAGGTTGGAAGGAATGTGTTAGGAGTTCCTCTCGCTAACGGGAACGAAGCACTGGATATGGTTATTGGGTACAATTTACCGGCTACCGAGGGGGAGGACCAAACTACAGAACATTCACGATTAGGCTTACGGGGACATCCGCTAGCAGCACGAACACTTAGACAGGTTATCGTGGTGTCAAGCTCATTTGGTACTTAAATTCCGTTCTATTATGGTCCCCATCGTAAAGTTTCGGAAATGTATGGACGCTGGGACCGTAGCCACAGCTCTGCTGAAAGAACCAAGGTACAAGTAAGGTACGTAACTGCTAGAGGGCACACACAGAATACTGGCGAACTCCACGAGATCACTTTCACACCTGTTATCAGTACAGATATCCAATTGCTGATTAAATCCAAACGAGGGCTACTCTTTTTAGGAACTACTGCTTTACGAGCGACAGATTCAAATTGCAAAGGAAACATGACTTTTCGTTTTATACATCTGGCATAGGCAATTACCATCGAAGTTGGAATCCATGACTGCTGTTGTCTGATGATAAGGCAACTGTGTTTTCACCCCCCACTGGAATTTACGAACTCATCAGCAATAGGCAGCTAAGGAGTCGGGGCAAGCTGCCAATTTACACGCCAATTGGGCTTCAGCCTTAGCATACTCAAAGGGACGTGTCTTATAAGGCGGAAACTGAGGGTCCTGCTATGAATGTTTTATTCACCAAGTCTTAATGATTAGGAAAAATTCTCATGAGAGGGCGGTGGGGGTGAGGTTGTACTGTGCGCTGTGTAATGCGATGCGCAGATGTTATCAATAAAACTGTACTTTCCCACCACGTAAAAAGATTCAAACGCACAGATTTCGTTATCAGTAAACGTTAACAGATGAACTGGTTTGCAGAATTGCAATTCCCCCTTCCAACGGCACTCAACTTGGCCAAATCAACAGTGATATTAAAGAGCTTTGCAGATCCTGTGTCGGTGCTGAATATTCGAGTCATAGAAGCCGTCGGAAACCACAAGCGTACGACTTCACATCAGATAGCTGATATTTACATAATCAGGTAATTATTAGCTGAAAGGGCAAAAATTTACAACATAACTCAATATAAGATAATATTTCAAAGACGGATATACAAAAACACATAAACTATACTAATAACTGGGAACCACCAATATTAAACAAACATATTATCAACTTTTTTTCTTCTTTTTTTCAATTTTCCACTTAGCTTTTTTTTTCTTTTTTTTGACTTTGTAGTTCCTTTTCAACGTTGAGCCAACAAAGCTCTCAATCTCTCGACCTCTTGTTCCAAAGCTTCGTTCTTCTCTTGAAGTTCTTCAACTTTGTCCTCCAATTGGCTCATTCTCTCCATCTTTCTAGCTCTTGAACGTCTTGCAGCCTCGGTATTTCTAGCTCTCTTGGCTGCAATAGGGTCAGAGCTGTCAACAACGATTGGGCTCAATGGCAAAACACGTTGCTTACGGTTGTAAGCAGTGACGCCGAGCTCATCAACGGTTGAGGATTTCTTAGACACCGGCAACGACAAGTCAGCCTCAGAAGCAGAGCGTTTGGAACATAATGGACGAGCAACTTCAGGTGTTTCAGTTGCAATCTCTTTAGTCTCCACTAAAGGTGTGACATCTTTCTCAGCAGGTGCTGGAATAGAAGAAAGCAGCTCTGAAGGCTCGAAGAGAGATTCCCAGTTGTCAGAGTCCATTTCGGTCTCTTCAAACATTGGAGAGGTACCAGCAATTGAAGGTGAAAACACGGACTCCACAATGGAAGAGTGCAACTGCATTGGGGTTATAGTCCCAACGCTTGGACTCAGCTCTGGAACATCCATGTTTTCCAACAGGGTCAATTCCTCTGGTGATGAAACAGACTCCCTAGCGCCAGAGATGAACTGTGAAAACACAGACTCACCCAGGATTTGACGGGGCTTGGAGTAGTTCAACTCCATGGAGCCAACAGCTTTCTGCTGTTGGGGTTCGAACATTGTTGTTTCAACAGCGTCGTCAAACAAGCCAAATAAAGTAGCAGTAGGTTGATCAAAGTTCATGGTTGTAGTATCAATAGTTGTTTTTGAAATAGTAGAAGTAGCAGCAGCGGCAGTAGCAATAGTTTCAGGTCTTGTAGTGGTAACTTTGGACATATTCAATATTTTCACGGGAGGTAGGATAGATTAAATTCGTTTCTTTCTTTAAATGATTGTTATAACGTCATAATTGGACGGAGAGTTGACTCGTTCTGGTTGATAAGTTCACGGGCTCATTTTGGCAATACACTTGTGGTAGTGGGGTCTTCACTGTTTGGATCGATTAAACCGATTGTTGATCGTTGTTTCTTCTTAACACTTTATATCTTATAGTCGACTCATTTTCTTAATAGTTCTTGGAATGACTTAATAACACACGTAATAGGGGGCGGTTTACAAACACATTTTGGATAGATTCTCTTTCAAGCTTTGCTATATTCTGTCTCTTTCTGGTGTAAACTGGCGGTAATTATGTGTGTAAAGTGTGTGAGGTTGGAGAAGTGGGCGGAAGAGTAAAAGAGTGCGAACGGCGGCGCGCCTTGTCCCTTTTTATAAAAAAGCTGGTTGTTTTTTTCGCTTTTGTGTTCCGCTGCCACCTGGAACGGCGGTCGATCTCAACTCGAGAAAAAATTTTTTTTCATCACAGACGCTGAGTCACACCGGCTGATGCTATGTGTCGCCAACCGATACAATATTTTTACGCACCACCTGTGTCGTTGTTGGTGGGTGTTGGCTATTCTGGTTTACTTGTATGAGCTATGGAGGAAACTGTTCCTGTTCTCTTAAGCTCTGCTTGTTGTGATGTTTATCCAGCCGTTGAAATGTCCAATTTGGTGCTACATAAGGTAGGTGCTAGTGTAGAAACGTTGTGAGGACTTTGAGTCCCTGTCAAACTGCTTTTCGGACAAACTGCCAATTTGGGACTTTTGAGCCGGTACCGGTACAGCGGAGTTGGGAGTCCGCACTGATTAGCACTTCGGTACTGGTGACTCTGGTGAGGACCAGCAAGGAGGATTGGAAGGGAAGGGGAGGGGATAGCGACATGCCTCTTATGCCCTGGAGCAACCTCATTGGCCGATAAGAATACATGCGTAAAGTGTCCTATGTACCAAGCCACTGACCATCACATCAGGGGTCAGGGTGCTGCGTATGACGATGTACAGTTGGGATCAGGTATAAGCGTACACTTATAAATCTAGGCCACTTGGGAGTACATTGGGTAATTTAGACAAGCGGAGCTGGTTCGTATAGTCATCAGAGATACTAATACAACATGCAAAAAACAACAATAACAACAACAACAACAACAATAATAACAGCACATACACACCGACAAATAGCTAACCTCTAACAAGCTATTTCAATCCCTTTTCCTCATCGATAAGCAGATATAGGCGAGTGCAGCCATAATCGCTAATATGCCCAACAAATACACCATGGTTTGGTCCCTCTGAGTCTTCTTCTTGCGTCGCTTCAGCTTCTTAGAGAACTTACTCTCGCCTATGCTGGAGTTCTCAACCTGTATGCCTTTCTCAGGGACTGTGTAATGGCGGGCATCATCGCTATCGTCAACGACACCAACCAGAAGAGGCCTCAGCATGTCCAGCGAGTCCTGGCTATGCCCAACCTCGTCAAAAGCAACGGAGGCATCTGTGCCAACAGCATCGAATAGCACCTCTGCGCCTCCTGGATGGGAATCAACAACAGACGTTATATCGTACACCTTCCCATGTAGAATCATCCACAGATCGTCACATGACCCATGCTTCCCAATCTCCTCGTATGTATACGTTCGTACCGACCCTGCTGCGCTTTCTAATGGCATATCGCCACTCTCTGAACGTGTAGAGGACCTGGAGATCGTGTTTTGTTGTAACAACAACGCTGGTCGACGTCTCAATGTTGGAAGCTTTGAAGGAACGGGAAACAACAGAACAATCGTTTGGATCGTATATACAACAGAATGCAGTCTCGTCTGCTAGGTATATGGCTATATCTTAGTGTGCAATGCAATGGAGCTGGCCATATATACTGTGAAACAGGACGCTGTGCTTTTTTCCCTCCCTCTCCTTCTAAATCGTCTTCCGTCTAAACAGGTCGCTGTTTCGCTCTGTCTGTCCAGCGCCCCGTTCGCTGGGGAAGTCTCTCCCCCCTTTTCGGCCTAGCGAGCTGGGCCACGGCCCCCGTTTCCACCTCCTGTGCTGGGACGTCTCATAACAACACATTTGGCTAAAACGTTGGGTTCAAAACGTTGATTTTAAAACACAGCAAGAGATACAACCACATCGTCAACATGTAGAACGCACTCGCATTGTAAGCCATCAATTAGCCAATCGTTTGCGTGTATTCTGCCACCAAATTACCTGCCCCCCCATGAACCAGGGGTTACCCTACCTAGGGAACGGACTTGTCGCTGTACCCACGAATCAGGCCAACACACTCGAACCGGCACACAAACAGTAAACAAACAAGAGCAGACATAAGTCGAATTATCACTGTTCCCCCATCGCCCCTGTTGCCCGTGAGAGACGTAGAGCACCACACTCCACCGGTCACTGAGGAAGATGTCTCGACGTGCGAATGACAAGAACTTGCAGATACTGAAGACGCTGCTACGTGATCCTTCCAACTCCCACTGTGCTGATTGTAAGACGTCCTCTCATCCCAGATGGGCCTCCTGGAACCTGGGTATCTTCATCTGTATTCGCTGCTCAGGGATCCACCGCTCGCTTGGTACGCACATCTCTCGTGTGAAGTCTGTTGATCTGGATACGTGGACTGATGAACAGGTGAAGAGTATGGTTCTCTGGGGTAACGCTAAGGCCAACGAGTACTGGGAACACAACTTACCAGAAGGTTATGTCCCGGATGGCGGTAAGATTGAGAACTTTATCAGAACCAAGTACGACTTGAAGAAGTGGGCCAATGGGCCAATACCAGATCCACAGAGCCTTTCTGGTCAGGCCCCAGCCTCCAACATTTCCTCCACCGCTCCAGCGACACCTACCGCCAACAGTGCCCACGGAGCTTCTGCGAACCCTCGTCGTCCGGTCCTTGCGACATCGTTCTCATCATCACAGCTATTGGATTTGGAATTTGGCTCTCCAATCTCTTCCACAGCTGCTCAGAACGTGACACAGTCCCAGCCTCCATCTCGTACATCCACGCCATTGACAGGTAACCAGTATCATCGCCAACAACAATTTTCAACTCAACAGCAACGAGTTCCACAGCACCAAGCCCATTTACAGCAGCAACAGCAGCAGCAGCAGCAGCAACAACAACAACAACAACAACAACAACAACAACAACAACAACAGCAGCAGCAGGCGAATGCTCAGAATGCAAGACCTGATTTGAAAAAGAGTATCCTCTCCCTGTACTCTGCACCAATGGCCACTAACAGTGCTCCTTCTTTTCTCAACGGGCCTGGTTATAGCAATGCTAGTGCACATTCTTCTGGAAATGGTTCTTCGGTACAATCCTTGTCTCAGAACAACTCTCTAGCTGGATTGAACTTCAACTCTCGCGCACAGCAACAGCAACAACCTCAACCTCAACAGCAATACGGAGTACAAAACGAATGGTCTAACTACACTGCTCCTAGTCAGACCAACCAGCAGTCCTTGAACAACGTTAGGGGCCTAGATGATGACCTCTTCAAGAACGTTTGGAATTGAACAGGTTGCTCTATCCATGAATGCGTACATACAAAGCATACACGCAGAAACAGATGAGCGTTATAGAGTAGACAGTTTCTTCATGATTTCCACATTTATGTACAGATATACTTAGTGCTTAGCCTTCTTGACGGTAACACTCTGTTTAACCTCCAATGAACGTTTTCCCGTGGGTGATTCCTTCTTAATCTGCTGATCAACATGTTCCATTTTGACCTCATAATGGTCATTGACAAATTGTTCGAATTTACGAACAAGAACTTTCCCGTTACCAACGACTTTAACTGGTACAGCTTGGTGGTGCTCGTTCTTTGTGGCTAAACAATTCTTAAGAAAGCCAACCAGTTCCAGCGAGCCCTGTTTATCGATATCAACGTCTAACAATAACTTCCCTTCAAGTACTGCCCATGCAGTTAAAAACATCAATTTGTTGAAATTGGGGAACTTGAACTTCTTGTCAACTTTGGTTCTAATTTCAATATCTATGATCTTCAACTGTTCGCTAATGTTGAAGCTGGTTAGGAAGTTACCACCGACAACGAGCGTATCCACTGGTGTATAGACGGCATGGATCCAACCAGAGGGGATAATCATAACGTCACCTGGAAGCAATGTGACTTTAACCCCTTGTTCTAAGCCCAGATTCCCCAGGAATTGGCTAGTTAGCGAAGGAGTGGTTATCCATTGCACGTACTTCTTCAAGTTATGCTCTGTGGGAGGGAAGAACATGAACGATTTCTCACCATATATGACGGTGTAGTAAACGCTAGTGCCGGCAAAGTCCAAATGAAAATCCGTGTAAGAATCCTTCACGCCCATTAAACAATACTTCTGGACAATTGGCTTCCCAGAAAGCTCATCTGGCCATAGTTTATCCACGAGGTCAACTTGTTCCACGTATGTGGGTCTCTTTATGGCTTCACCAACAGAACAGTTTGAAATCTCCAACGATAGCACGTTGAAGATTCTTTCCCTCGCCTCTTCAGAGGACTTGAAATAGTCTCTCCATTTACCCAATTGCCATTTATCCCTCGAGCCATTCTGCGTCAACACATCCATAACCTCCATGTAATGGTCCTCGCCCATACTGCTTACAAGGTCATCAACGTCAAATTTTGGAATCGTGAACCCCAGCCCTTGCGTCCTGGCACTCGGAATCTTTACAGGCTTCGGTATCCGTGTCCTGAGTGCATACTCCAATGTCAATTCATCTCCCGCCAGCTCGTCAATGGTACCATCACCCGCCCACTCTTTGAACGCTGCAATATGCGGGTGTTCTGTCTGTATTATCGCATCGTCAACATCACCCTCATCTAGCGCCTTGTAGTCCACCTTGTTCCTCTTTCTGCCAGAGCTTCTCATCCACACCGTCCCACCATGCTCAGCAGCACACTCCGGACAATGGTACTCCTTTATCCTCGAGATGTCATGTCTTGTCAGAGAGAGACAGTGAGCATGGTACCACTTTGAGCATATGTCGCATGAGATCCATGTCTGTTTGAGAGGGACCGTGCCTTGGTACTCGGCACAGCGCGAGCAGCTGCTCCACTCTTCATCACTCATATTGTAACAGTCGCAACAGGATAACGGCAGCACACCTTCCACCAAAGGTTAGAGGCCGTACGCTCATCGCTTCGTGGTGGGTGCTTCTTCGTCGTATACTAAAATAAGGACATAGCTATCTGGTAGGCGCAGCACTGGATGTCAATTTTCGCGGGCCACAAAAACGGACAAATTTCGAAGGGCCTTAGAAAAAACCGCTGAAAAAACCAGTCAACGTTGGCATTTTGAGTGCTTCAGCGGTGAAAGAAGCATCGAAACGGGAATTAAAACATGTTTAAGCACTGTACACGCTTGTTCTCCACATCCGCTGCGAGGGTGAAGAATGCCGCTAAGAACAACGGCATCATGGGCGAGCCGCTCGAGAGGGCGCCGGTTCAGAGTAGCATCAACATCATTCCAAGTGCGACCCGTTCTTTGAACGCTGACACTCTGTACGATCCCTTTGACTTCAGTATGGCGAAGATCAGACTGGAGCGTAGAAAGGCCAAGGAGAACATCAGCCACAAGATGTTTGACGAGAAGAAGCTGAACCCGCTGGACTTCTACCTCGAGACTAAGATGCTCAGCAACTACATGACGTCTACTGGCAGAATACTCCCAAGAGAGGTGACGAAGCTGAGCGTGAAGAACCAGAAGAGATTGGCCAAGTCGATAAAGAGAGCCATCGCTGCTGGATTGCTGAGCAGTGTGCACCAAGACGTATCAAAGCTTACACATAAGAACTGAGCGTGTGTATATGTGTATATAAAGATTTGTTCATGAATTCATGTAAATATAAATATGTATACGAGAGGTAGACGAAAAGCGGGTTTCACGGTGTAAAGAATGAGCAGCCATCACAGCAGTGCGGTGTCAGGTCCAATCAGCGTAACGTATACATCAGTTCCTAAGCCATAACAACTTTGCAATTCCAACTTACCACCAAATTGTTCAACATAGGCCTTCGTCAAGGGCAAGCCATAGCCCATGCCGGCAACCATTGCAAGGTCTTCGCCAGGCATGACGTTGTCTCCCATACCGTTTTGCTTCTCCTGTGCTTCCACGGAGGTGAAGGAGTAGTCAAAGACATTAGCCTCAATATCTGGGCTTATACCACCACCTTCATCACGGAAACGAAGACTCAGCGTGCGATGGCCAGAAGGTGAGGTGTCTTGCACGATGGTGACAAGAACAGGGGAGTCCAATCTATCTGTTTCAATCTGTGCCCTTATGGCATTCTTCAACAGTTCTGTGCACACGTATTCAAAATGGTGACGGATATAGGGGAATTCGATATCTTCACCAAAGTCCACCTTCACTGGGACCGTCTTGTAGTACTTTATAAACGTCATATCGTTGACATAGCCTGCGAGGATGTTGATCAGTTCAGAAGGCTTCATTTTGGCATATACAATACCAACATGGTCTTCCAAATTCTCGTGTTGAGTCACATAGTTGGAGGATATCGTTTCCATGTTGATCTTGTCCCTGAAGTGATCGTTCAGGAAGCTTACGATTTGGTCTCTTGGATGGAATCTTGAAACCTCTTGAAATCCCTGTGATAAGGACGGGATAGCATCCGCGTGGATATCTGTAACTTGGCACAGCACGTCATGGATCCTTTGAGGGTCTTCAACTCGCTGCAATTGCAACAACAGCTCTAGAGATCTGAGGTAATGGCTATACGTTTCGGCGATATGGGGGTTCAAAACAACAAGGTAAGGTAAGTGTCTGAACGCTGCCAATCTCTTTGCGTTGTAGATGGTCATATAGTCCACAGTGGCTTTGCCTCTAGTCTTTGAATCCGATTTTGCCAACTCAATCAACGAGTTTAGAGTAATCTGAGGCAGTTGCTTTGAGCTGTAATCCGATATGAATCTTTCCAGTGACGATCTTATCGCATATTCCTGCTCAAATGACAGCATCGAGTCAGGCCCACCAGGCTTCAGATGGTGTTGTAGCTTTGAAGCCCTGGAGAACACCGGGACGGTTGTATGAAGTAACCTTTTGAACATTGTGTCTTTTCAGCCAAAGCAAAATGGATACGACAAGTAAGCGCAGGACGTAAAAGGACAAGCCCACGTTTCACGGAACAAAACAGACAGATAACGGCCAAGTGCACACTGAATGTACCTTTCCTATTACGTCTAGCAAGACCTCTCAAATGCGTAGACACAACGGTGCAGAGAAACTCTTTGGACAAAACCACCAAAATGTCCCAGAGAGCACCCAAAAAAAAGACCAAAGAGAAAGTATACACAAAATGCTCCCCCACCCAAATCCGCAGGGAAAGCCGGTGGGACGATTTATGACGGGAAGTTCCGTCTCACTGTGGTGTCCGGGTGTTTTCTCAGACATGTGGTGGGCGCAAAGACAAACGACTTGGACAAACGACTTGGACAAACGATATGGACAGGCAAAAAATTCCGACGGTTTATCCGAAGGACTCAAGACTGGTTTTTGTCCCAACGGTTCTCCCGAGCAGAGAGGGCGAGAAGATAAGGCAACGGCGGAACCTTAAAGACACTTTTTTGTACATTTTGTATGTGTCTTTTCTTTTCTCGCATACTTCAAGCAGAAAGTGCTGAGCTTGACACTTTTTACGAACTGTATGACTGCGCTATTACGGTTTGGCGTTAACCGTCTCCATGGAATGCAAAAAGGAGAACCCTGCTGCAGCTGTTATGCCCCTGTTTTGTCAGCCACTTGGTCGTCGTGAACAGATCAACATCACTTTTCCCGTCTCTTTCTTCTTAGTGAGACCAACCTCATCACCATGACCACTTTAATCTTACACCATGTTATTATGACCATGGCCAACGGGTCCACTTATCGATGATTATTCACAGATCTACGAACGAACGGCAAAGTGCGCCAAGCGATCACACGCATTCTACCTCCACAAAGAGAATTCACAGGTGGTCGCCAATCCCTAGGGCGATTAGCTTGCTTTGCAAGATTATTATTATTTTTCCCACTCTCTTGACCGATAAGCTGAAATTGTCTTGGTATTGGTGATCATGTCCCGTCCGTAGATGGCCAACCTTCACAGCACAGGGTTATTCGCTGCGGACGATGACTTGGAAATATGTATCATTTTGAGCCCAAAGCAGAAAATTTTTTATTCATATTTTTGGTCTGTTGACCAGGACATGGCCAAGATGTCCAAGGTATAAAGAGAGACCGAAATGTCCCTTCTGGCTTCAACTTGATGGTATCCGAGTCGATACCGAAGAGCCGATTTTGACCATGTCCATCAGTGATACCAAAGTGTACGACGTTGAGAAGCAACTCTCAGTTTCGCAAGATGAAGAAATCTACGAACAAGAACCGGTGGAGAATGTGAAGCTTCCATGGTACTCGAGGCTGTGGGCTGCGCTCAACACCGAGTCCAACTCCATTGAGAGAATCCCGGAAGACCAGAGAAACCCCAATGAAGGCGTGTTCTCCTCTGCCTCCATGTGGTTCTCTGCTAATTTGGTGATTGCTGCAATGTCCCTTGGTATGCTGGGCCAGGCCATCTGGGGATTGTCCTTTTGGCAATCTGTGTTTGTCATTGTGTTCTTCAACATTATTGGATTATTACCCGTGGCCTTCTTTTCCTGTTTCGGTCCAGAGTTTGGTCTCAGACAGATGATCCTTTCCCGTTACCTTACTGGTGTCCTTGCCGCTCGAATCTTTGCCCTGGTGACAGCAATCGCCTGCGTCGGTTGGGGTGCAGTGAACATCATGGTCTCTGCCCAGCTGCTCAACTCTGTCAACAGACCACATTCCCTGCCTCCGTGGGCAGGTTGTCTGGTGCTGGTGCTATCGACGATCATCGTGTCTTGTTTCGGCTACAGAGTGGTGCACGCGTATGAGAAGTGGGCCTGGATCCCCAACCTGGCCGTTTTCATCGTCTTCATTGTCCAAATGGCCAAGTCTGGCAACTTTACTGGCGGCGGCTTCACCGGCGGCGAGGCAACCGCAGCTGGTGTCCTTTCATTCGGAGGCGCTACCTATGGTTTTGCCACTGGCTGGACAACGTACTCTGCAGATTATACCGTGTTCGTTAGAAAGGATTACCCAAAGAAAGTGATCTTCTTCGGCATTGTTCTTGGGTTGTTCACACCATTGGTGTTCTGTCAAGTGTTGGGAGCAGCAGTGTACTCTGGTACTTTCAAGGACTCCATGTGGGCTGAGCACTACGCAGACCATCAGGCTGGTGGATTGATGTTCGCAGTGCTCTCTGTGAACTCCCTTGGTGGGTTTGGCCAGTTCTGCTCAGTGGTCCTTGCCATGTCCACTGTTGCCAACAACATTCCAAACATGTACACCATTGCCTTGTGTACGCAGGCGTTTTGGTCACCATTGGTCAAAGTGCCAAGAGTCGTTTGGACCCTTGTTGGTAACTTCTTGACCTTGGTGATCTGTATCCCAGCATACTACCATTTCGAAGAGGTCATGGATAACTTCATGAACATGATCGGCTACTACCTGGCCATCTACGAGGCAATCTCTCTTTCCGAGCACTTCATCTATAGAAGGGGGTTCAAGGGCTATGATATAACCGCATGGAATGACTTCTCCAGGCTGCCAATTGGCATTGCAGGCACAATCGGTATATGTTTTGGTGTCTTTGGTGCCCTTATGGGCATGGACCAAGTCTGGTTCACTGGTCCTATCGGCGAGAAGATCAACGAGGGTGGTGAATATGGTGGTGCTGACATTGGCTTTGAGTTAGCCATGTCCTTTGCCTTTGTTGCCTACAACGTTGCCCGACCATTTGAGCTCAAGTATTTTGGTCGCTAGCTGGTTATCAATTCAAGCCCTTCTCTCTATTCTCCTGCAATCGTTTTCTATATTTACAGCTATTTATTATCATCACTTGTCAACCTTTTACCTATGTTCTCCTGTAAACGTCGTGATGACTACACAACTACAACCAAAGCAACGGAATATTAAGCACATATGGGTCCAAGCCCCTGTAAAGATTGAAATATATATTGTAGAGATACGAGAGAGTCAAACTTCTAGTGGCCACCAGTCGTTGGCAGTCCAACATACGCCTTGAAACTGTCATAGATCAGCCATTGCATACCAGTCAAGGTACCAATCATGACGATTCTGACACCCAAACCGTTCCACAAGCCGCCGAAACCAATCTTGCCGTAGATTCTCTTTGTAGCCTCACCAACGCTCTCAGTGGCCTTCTTCTCGTTGTTGATCTTAGACACCATCACATCAGCAGGATGAGACACGATGGCACAGAAGATACCAGCAATGTAACCACCGAGGAAGGAGACACCGGTCTGTTGCAAAGCAGTGTACTCTCTCTTTGGACGGGACAGCACCTTGGAGTAGATGGCCTCCACAACCTTCTCAAAGGTTGCAAACTTGACCATGGTGTAAGGAATCTGCCTTAGCCACAGTGGAACGATACCCTTGTACAGGCCTGCCACGCCCTCAGCGGCGGTGATCTTCTTCCAGCCGTCGAGAACACCGGTGGCATAAGGCGGGATCGTGGTCTGGGTCTTCACCTTGATGGCCTCCCATGGACAGAGCATGATGTCGGCCAAGAACTCAGCACTCGCAGAGGCCGCCAGGTACACAACGGTGTTGTAGTTCTTAGCAAACTCGGGGCCCATCAGCTCGGTGTACTGCTCCTTGAAGAACTCATAGAACCCGTACTTACCGGCACCTTGGAACGAGTAACCGATCGCAGTGGCACCGACTCCTGTGAAGATACCACCGAAACCCTCAGTCTTGATGATGGAGCGGAAGCCCTCCAAGTTGGACTTGTACAGGTGCGCATCCACTTGGCGACGGCACTTGACGAGGTCAAGGGGAGTCACGGCACTGTGCGTAGGACCACACGCTAGGATACCACCGAGCGTGCACGTGTAGTAGTACTCCTTGGAGTACAGCTTGATGCCCTTGAACTCGTCCTTGATCTCCTCGTTGATGGTGGACAAGGGGGAGTGGATGAAGTACTTTGATGCGTGTGTGTACGGAGAGACGGGTGCTTGTGCAGAGACCATTGTTGCTTATATTGTGAGCCAATTGGAACGTTCTATAACAGCAGCTGGGGGTGTTGAGAACAAGGGGGTGGTGGCTATCTCTGGCGGAACTTGATTTGGGCTGCCAGTGGCATGCCCCCTTTATATATAAAGATTACGACGTCATAGAGGGTTTACGGTTAATGCGGGCTGGGTTGCTGGAAATGGCTCAAAGCGCACCCCGTTCGCGTGTGCTGGGCCACGCTGGGTCTCCGACAATGTGTCCGCGTGTGCTACGCTGGGCTACGCTGGGCTACGCTGGGGCTACGCTGGGGCTACGCTGGGGCTACGCTGGGGCTACGCTGGGGCTACGCTGGGGCTACGCTGGGGCTACGCTGGGGCTACGCTGGACTACGCGAATGTGTCCCGTACGCTGCTAAGGCCGTAATTGGGGGTGTAGAACTGGTGGGAGCGCAGAGCTGGTGGACGAGGAAAGGCAAGCTCAGCAGCTGTGGCAAGGGCCTTCTGCCACGGGTTAAGCTGTCCTCTCTGTACTGTGCTCGTGCTCGTGCACTGCTGGATAGCTTCCATCACTGCATTCTGAAGGGAGCGGGCTTGCGGGTTAAGGTGGATGCGCGGCGTGCAGTGGGACGCTTCAGTTGCATTGTACGCGTTGATACAATGGGCTTGACAGAATGCCGGGGATGACACATAAGGAGGATGACACTAATGAGCAGTGGTGCGTGGACAGGCCGGTCTGGGCTACAGAGCTGGTATCAATTGGGAGCAGTGAGTGTTTGCCGGTGTGTATATAGACGAGTGTATATGGTTAGCAGAAGGGAGCGCGCACAGCTCTCAGGCCATGTCTCTTTTGGAGCGTGGGGCAGGGCCGAGACTCACCACAGGAGAGATACCTTCGATGATCTCCTCTATGATCTCAACCTCCTCATCGTCCAAGCCTTCCAGGTTGCACTTTGGACCCTTGTAAACGTGCTTCTTGTGGTAGTAGTAGTACCAGCCGGAGATAAGCCACGCGATGCCGTTGACAACGATGGTGTAGTTCATGGTCTCAGCGGTGACGTGCATGGTGTCTGGGAAGCAGCACATGAGGATGATGAACACCTGGAAGACAATCGCGATCCAGTTGACCACCAATGACCACGAGTGGCCCATGTAGAACTTGCCGGGGAGGAATAACGACTCCTTGGTCATGAATCTGAGGATCTGGGGTGCGACCCATGCCAGATATGTACTCATAACGGAGAGCGAAAACAACGCATTGGCCGCTGTTGACCCCAGGAGAACAATCGTGCCCAGCAGTATGGATACTAAGGCGCTTATACAGATGGCCCTTATAGGTGTGGCCAGCTTTTCGTTGATCACCTTGATATAGTCTGCGAAGGGCAGGCCGTCATCTCTCGCAAACGACCAAATCTGTCTTGATATGGCAACGAGAACGCTCGAGCCCATCAGGAACTGCCCGACTGAGATCAACACCATGAACGTCAGCGCCCATTCCCTACCCAGGTTATCCAGCAAGATCTGTGCCAATGGCTGGGACAGCTCGGAGTTCAGGAGATGTCCAATGTCCTTCGGCATGCACAGGCAGATGACGATATTTATTACGAACCCCAGGATCCAGCACGCTGTTATGGAGCCCAAGATACCAATCGGAACAGCAGTAGAAGGGTGGAGGGCCTCTTCGGACATGTAGACACATGCATCAAAGGAGCCTATTGTCCAGATTGCCGGCATCATACCGAACTGTAGAAGAGACCATAAATTGGGCCAATCGCTTGCGTTCTCGAAGTGCTTGAAGACGTACGAAACCTCGTTCAACGAGCCATTGTTCTTCTTCGTCCCATACGGAAGCACAACAACAAACAGCAAGATCATAAGGCAGTTGATGGTAATCGTGGTCCCTTGTAGTCTTGCCAATGCCGAGGACGAGACACACGTCAGCACCGTCTGGAGCAAGATGCAAAGGACAAACACCTGGAAAGTCAGCGATTCACCACACTCAATGGTCTCATCGTATATGTTGAGGCACGATATGATCTGCACCGCCAGCCCATACGTAACAGAGCACAGGCCACTCACCAGAGACATCGAGTCGGTTATCCCGATGAAGAACGACATGGGTATCTTCCATGACCGCGGTGCAAAATGGTACACCCAGAAATACAAGCCGCCAGAGGTTGGAAGTGAGCTCGCCATTTCACTCATAGATAGTCCAATGGTGAGCAAGAAGATCCCGGACAGGAACCAGCCCCAGACTAGCCCTACTGGACCACACACCAGTCCCATGGACAGCGTGCTGGCGATGCTTGGCAGTAGTCCCATGATCGAGAAGCCGATGCCAAAGATCTCCCAGGTGGAGTAGCCTCTCCTCAACTCCTGCTTGTAGCCCATGGTGGCCAGGATCTCATCGTCCATGTTGACTATGTGGTCGTCGTACATCTGGCCATTGTTCTCCACCGAGGAGTAGTATATCGCATGCTGGTCTGATGATCCCAGAAGGGGGGAGCCACTCGACATGATCTTCTGTACCGGTGTAGACAGGCAGCGCAGCGGTAGAAGAGAGGAAAGTTATACAGCCAAATTTAGTAAATCTACAACTGTACAAGGGCACACTCACAGGGACAGAGAGGGCGTATCACACGGGACGAGATGCCTTGTTCTATAGCAGAGGTGGGAATTCGAAAGGGAATTATCGTAGGGACTGGTCGATGGCAGAAGCAATGAAATTCCCTTATCTGCGGTGTTATGGGAACGGGATGCTTAATTGGGATCAAAGGCAGCTCAGGCTATGCGCGCGCGCGGTAGATAGCCCAGATCGAAATTTCACCCCGGCAACGCATAACCCAAATTTTGCCCTGTTGTCGTGGTTGCTGTGTTTTTGTGTCAACGGTTGCTGTGACTACGAAGAGGAGCATTTTCAAAACATAAAGCAGTTCGTTCAAACATTCAATTCATAAGGTAAACCGAGGTTTAGTTATTAGTTCCTAAACAAAGCATGCATAGAGGGAGGACGAGCTCAGGCCGTCTCTTCAACAGGCAGCGTGTCGTACTTGACGTCGATGGTGGCACCGTCGGAGTCGCACTTGACAACGAGCTTCACCTTGAAGTTACCCTCGGAGCCCATGCCGTGGTCGCTCTCGTCGAGATACGTCCAGGTGATGGTGTCGAAGTCCTCAGCAACCTCTGGCTTTCCAAAGTGCAGGTCCATGCCGGAGAATTCCTTCATCTCGGTGAGAAGATGCTTCTCAACGTGCTGGTGCAAGTGGCGCACAAACTTCTTGTTCTTTCTGTTCTGAGAGTCCTTTACACGATCAGGGTCATTGTGGGACTCGTGCAGTACGAATGGTGGGATGTAATGCACACGGGCGTGGCCGTTGGCCAGCTCGTGGTCCTCCTTCTCGTCCTTGAGGTATTGGATGAAGGAGTCCAAATCCTCAAACTCGGCGATTTCTCCAGCCTTATATTGCTTTTTCTGTTGCTTATCTTTCTTTGTCATTGTGGGAGTGTGTGCAGTGTCTCTCTTAAAGTGTTTCCACGAGGAATTGAGTGATCTTCTCTTTAGTCGTTAAAGTGATGATCAAATGAATGTGATGAAAAGACTGAAATCACACTCTGCAAAACAGGAACAAGGGGTCAGATAAATACCCTTATATACTTGTCTGCACCCCTCTCTCTCTCATGCCTTGACACCCTCAATTAGGAAACCGTAATTCACACAACTTCTAAGCAGAGGTTTGCTGAACCTCTGCCTCACTTTACGTCTCTCCCCCCTACTGCAAGGTCACTCCACTGTTTCTTTTTTTATTTGCTCCTGCCCCTGCCTGTGCTGCAACAACCACCAAGGAGAGGCGTGAAAAGTCTCACCACCTCAGAAAACGGGATGATTTATTCTATCTTCTGGTACGCAAAGCACGACACCAGGGAGGAGAATTGGAGGGGCAAAGTGGGTTAATCATTTGCATTGAACAGCGCACGCTACAGGCTGTAACTGTCCCAGTTTTGCCTCGTCAATTGACCTAAGTTTTGTAGAAACTAACCAGTGAGCATAGGACTCGCTATTCGGATTAATTGCTTCAGCAGCAGCTGCTGCCTGCAAAATTTTCCGGGTTGGCCCATTTCGCGGTTGTTCCGGCGTAACGTGTTAACTATGCAAAAGGTGCCCTTGGAGGTACCGAATGGGGTGAGAATCAGATGCTTTTGGCTGTGTTATAACTCCCACCGGTGTGTCTATAGACATCTAGCGAACAAAGCGATTGGGAACATTACATGATCTGGTGCAACCTTGCCAGTCAGTTTACTCCTGCCGGGCTGTAGGCGCTGTACGACTGTGATGCCTTGGAGGGGGGAACCTCACCTTCATGTGGTCTCAGGATTCAATAAGCACGAGACTATGCTGCGTACGATGTGTTCTATAAGCGAATATTCACGTTGTAGAGGCCAGCTGAAGTGGTTGTGTCACAAGCCATCCACTCCACATCGCCATAGTGAGAGTCTCACCATCAGAGTCCCACCATTGAGACTGTTTGTACTGCTTCCCACTTCCCGTGGATAAGTTCCAAAGGGCACATGTTCTGGGCTGTCAATTTTTAGAACGGCCTTTGGCTTCTAAGGGGTATGCGTCCTCGTTTACTGCCCACTACAGCTGTACAACAATGGGCTCAGCACTCTCGTTCTGACACACAATTAAACGATCTGGACAGCAGCAGGTTGATCCTGCTCACTGCTCGCTGTATGAGGTTGTAGTGCTATGTCGATGGTGGCTCTAACTGGAGTTGGCCAGCGACTCTGCCCAGATTACTCATGGCAAGAAGGACTATTGGACGAGGACTCCTGGTCCTGTCTATGTAATACATCCTCGTATAAACAAGCGCTGCATCATCACACGGAAGCCTGGGGTGCATCTGTCTAAAAGTCATACTCATGGCATCAGCAAAGATCCGTGGGCATTGTGAAAAGTGTCATACGTACTGCTAAAGCGACACAAGCTGCACTCCTAAACTCCTATGCCGATCAGCAGCAGACAGCTAGTTGGGGCCGTCGTGTCTATCTAGTAGATCATCAAGCCAATCAGATAGGGCAATGGGCTTGGATGCCCGAGATAGCGGTCTCTTCATGCGGTTGTAACCTGGCTAAAGTTAGAGACAAAAGCGAGTCACAAGCAGCGGTAAACGTGGCGTGGAGTAGCACGGTCTGTTACACAGTGAGAAGGATAGCGAGCGGTGTTATGACTGTTCTTGGCATCCCAACATGCTGAAGAGACGGCTACTGTCCAGACGAGGGTACTTCATAGTGAGTTAATCATCTTGGGGAGAAGTTATGATTATGGCCTGCCTTCCACACCTCAGGTTTAAACGGAAGGAGATGAAGATCCACAACGCATACGTGAACTATAATCCTTTCCAGAAACCTATATAAAGTGGCAGAAACCTATATAAACTGGCTGTGCACCTGAGGATCTCAAGCCAGGTCTGTGAATGTTCCTCTTCAAGCAGAACAAGAAGAGAACTTATACAACAGCTATACAATGACCATTTCAAAGATCCACTCAAGATAGGTCTACGACTCCCGTGGTAACCCAACCGTTGAAGTGGAGCTGACCACTGAGCATGGAACGTTCAGATCAATTGTCCCCCTCAGGTGCGTCTACAGGTATCCACGAGGCAGTTGAGTTGAGGGACGGCGACAAGACCAAGTGGGGCGGTAAAGGTGTCCTGAAGGCCGTCTCAAATGTCAACGACATCATTGGTCCTGCGGTGATCAAGGCCAATATCGACGTCAAGGACCAAAAGGCAATGGACAAGTTCCTTATCGAGCTTGATGGTACGCCAAACAAGTCTAAGCTTGGTGCTAACGCATTGTTGGGTGTCTCACTGGCCACCTCATTGGCCGCTGCTGCTGAGAAGAAGATTCCACTGTATCAGCATATCAAGGAGTTGTCGAACACACCGGGCCCTTACGTTTTGCCAGTTCCTTTCCAGAACGTGTTGAACGGTGGTGTGCACGCTGGTGGTGACCTTGCATTCCAAGAGTTCATGCTTGCCCCAATTGGTGCCTCATCTTTCTCTGAAGCCCTTAGAATGAACTCGGAAATTTACCACATCTTGAAGAACTTGGCAAAGGAAAAGTACGGTCAATCTGCTGGTAATGTGGGTGATGAAGGTGGTGTTGCTCCAGATATTTCAACACCTGAGGAGGCCTTGGATTTAATCACCGCTGCGATTAAGAAGGCCGGTTACGAAGGTATAGTGTATGTCGGTTTGGACGCTGCTTCTTCCGAATTCTTCATCGATGGTAAGTACAGAGTCGATTTCAAGAACCCAACAGATGATGAATCAAAGCACCTGACTGGCAAGCAGCTTGCTGACTTGTACGTGAAGTTGATCAAGGAGTATCCTTTGGTGTTCGTCGAGGATCCATTTGCGGAGGACGATTGGGACTCTTGGACCGACTTCCTGCCTAGGGTTGAGCTTCCAGTTGTCGCTGATGACTTGACAGTCACGAACCCCGTGAGAATCAGAACTGCAATTGAGAAGAAGGCTGCCTCTTCTCTTCTGCTTAAGGTGAACCAAATCGGTACACTTTCCGAGTCCATTGAGGCAGCTTGGACAGCATACAACGCTGGTTGGGGTGTGCTGGTGTCCCACAGATCTGGTGAGACTGAGGACACCTTCATTGCAGACCTCTGTGTCGGTTTGAGAACTGGTCAAATCAAGACTGGTGCTGCTGCAAGATCTGAGAGATTGGCAAAGTACAACCAACTGTTGAGAATTGAAGAAGAACTGGGTGACAAAGCAGTGTACGCTGGTCGCAACTTCCAGAAGTCTGTTCGTATTTAGTTTTTTTTTGTTGCTGAACGCTTTTTTTTATTTCTAAAGTGGTTAATTCAAGACCTTTCTGTATGATTTTGGTGCTGATTGTAGGTGTGAAGAGGTGATGTCTCTGTGATCTTCAAGGGTAAGCTTATAATGATATCTCAGGTGCTACACACTTAACTATTAAACGGCTATCAATAAGTCACTCTCCGCTTCAAGTGCCGGCTCAACGTCACCTGTACTAAGAAATGATGTGAATAAGATAATCCCTAACCAATATGACGCGAACATATACGATGGACGAGTTATTTCATAAGAACGCAGGAAAACAGGAAATACAATGGCTGAAAGAGTGCCGTTGAAGCCACCGTAGAAGAACACTCGAATCTTGACAATTCATGATTCACACTATTTCAGTAAAGTAAAAAGGATGTAATCACGATGCGATCTATTCAGCAGTAAATTCGAAAGGCGAATGTCACACACATCACAGGCTGCTGCAGAACAATGCGTATAGGTGTAGATGCCATGGTTTCGCCAGAACAATGTGGAAGAAATTGGCGCATTATAAGACAGCAGCAATGTATTACAAGGCTCAATGACGAGTTGCTGCGGATATAATTGGTCTGATTCGCTAGCCAGTTTGAGTCACACAGCTCTCTCGATTCAGCTCTCATGCGCCAATTCTCCGCGGTGAGGCTCTAACCTTCAAGCGTTTCCCACAAAAGCCGAGGATCACCCAACATTGAAGTGGAATTATTAGCAAGACAGAAACATAACCCAACAATGAGGCTCCAATTCGCTATAAAGAGGAAGTTAGTAGCAAGAATGTACAGTGGATACGGGTCCCGTGCGAAGAGAAGCCCATCACTTGATTATTTCTTGCCCAAACCTGTGCATTTCCCGGGTGGGAGGCTCCTTGGACAGTGCAGGCACAAGGAACAAACCACTGGTGACCCTAAGTTGTTAGAACCATATAAGATCAAGTCAACAGTGTTCCAGAACAGGATAGGCGTATCGCCTATGTGCACCTACTCGGCAGCTCCTGATGGTGAGACGATTGGACACGCCACCAAGTTCCACGAGATCAATTATGGCTCTTTTGCCCTGAGAGGCCCGGGTCTTATCATCCTTGAGACAGCAGCTGTGTGTCCTGAAGGTCGAACATCTCCAGAGGACCTGGGCATATGGCTGGACTCGCAAGCCGAGTCGTTGAGACCGATTGTGGACTTTGCACATGCTCAAGGTGTCAAGATTGGCATCCAAATAGGACATGGTGGTCGTAAGGCCTCGGGCCTGCCTCTGTCTCTACATCTATCGAAGGCTGCTAACAAGGACAGCGACCAAGGATGGGACACTGTGGGGCCCTCTGCCATCTCATTCGATGAAGAGCTCTTCCCTACACCTAGAGAAATGACGCTTGAAGAGATCCAGGCCGTCGTCAGGCTATTTAAGGACGCAGCTCGTCGCTCACTGGACATCTCTGGCTTCGACTTTGTTGAGATCCACGCTGCCCATGGCTTTCTCCTGAACAACTTTCTGAGCGAGTTGTCCAACAAGAGAACCGACAGGTACGGAGGATCATTCCTAAACAGAACCAGGTTGCTATTGGAGATTATAGATGAAGTGAAAGACGACGAACACCCCTTGTTTGTGCGTGTGTCGGCGACTGATAGATCACAGCTGCCAGAAGCATGGAAGCTGGAGCATACTCAGGAGCTCGCATTACTGCTAGAAGATCACGGAGTCGACGTGATCGATGTCTCGGACGGTGGTAACTTCAACAGGCCGTACCATCTACCACATGTACCAGCAAACCAGGCACCACTGGCCAAGGGAGTAAGGGACACACTGCGGAATCGTGGCACCAAGCACTCTATGCTTGTGGCCACTGTCGGCTCGATAAGCTCGGGTCTGATAGCAGAGGAGAAGCTTGACGACGGTAGTGCTGATGTGATTCTGTCAGGACGGGAATTCCTGATTAATCCCGGAGCAGCCATACGCTTCGCACAGGACTTGGGGTACAGCATAAGCTCTGGGTGGCCATATGAGTGGACGTACGAGCCACCACCTTTAACAGACTCGAACACGTGATACAGTAGGGTGATGGTCGGCATTGAGTGAGCTTTTTGTATCAGATTTCCATAGTAGCAACGTTTCAAAGCAGTAACTTTCCCTGTAGCGTGTGCGATGCGGATACCAACAGCTCACACAGCAATTGATGACAAATGCAGCACTTGGATGGCCGTGATGATTGGACACATTTCATACAACGCAATAATCGAGAGATGATGGTGTGTGGCATTTATCTTCACGTACACGTTTACGGCGAACTCGGACGATTACTAATTTCCCCCAGCATTATAAAAGCAGCATCATCGCATCGAAACTTGTGACGAGGAGGGCTCTCATCTCAAAACCATCGATAATTAAAACTCAATGTTCACTGGATACGGAACCCGTGCAAAGGCCTCTGACGAGGTTGACTTCTTCCTACCAATCGCAGTTCATTATCCGGTTGGTAGACCAATAGGAGCCACCAGCCAGGGCGAGACGCTCCCCAAGCCACAGCTTTTCACGCCGTTGAAGATCAAAGGTACACACTTCCAGAACAGACTTGGTGTGTCACCAATGTGTACCTACTCTGCGCCATCTGAAGGTGACAGTGTTGGATTTGCTACAAAGTTCCATGAGATCCACTATGGATCGTTTGCGCTTCGTGGTGCTGGCCTCATCATCGTTGAAGCCACAGCGGTAAGACCCGAGGGAAGGCTGTCTCCAGAAGATTTGGGGATATGGTCAGATGAACATGCCAGATCGTTGAAGCCGATTGTTGACTTTGCTCACTCCCAAGGCACCAAGATTGGTATCCAACTGGGCCATGGTGGTCGTAAAGCCTCTGGACTGCCTATCCCACTCCACGTCTCCAAAGGCGCAAGAAAAGGTGAAGATCAAGGCTGGGACACTGTAGGACCCTCGCCTATCTCCTACGACGAGGAGCAGTTCCCAGCTCCACACGAGTTGAGTGTTGATGAGATCAAGGAGATTGTTCTGAGCTTCAAAGATGCAGCAAAGAGAGCGTACGACATTGCTCATTTCGATTTTGTCGAGATCCACGGGGCACATGGGTACCTCATCAGCGAGTTTCTCAGTGGTCTTTCAAATACAAGAACCGATGCTTACGGTGGTTTGTTGGAGAATAGGGCAAGAATACTGCTGGAGATTGTCGATGCCGTGAAGGACGACGAGCATCCATTGTTTGTTCGTATCTCTGCGAGCGATCTCACTGATGAGACCAAGGCGTGGACCCTGGAGCAGGCCGGCGAGCTCGCACTGCTTCTTGAAGACCATGGCATCGACGTGCTCGACGTGTCAGATGGTGGTAACTATAACAAGGCACGCCGTCGTCCACAGGGCCCAGCGTCCCAGGCTCCACTGGCAAAGGCTATAAGGGATAAACTGCACAGCCGTGGAACACAGACACCAATACTGGTTGCCTCTGTCGGTGGGTTCCACTCTGGTGTCGTTGCAGAGGAGAAGCTACAAGACAAGAGTGCAGACATCATTCTATCTGGCCGAGAGTTCCTCATCAACCCTGGCGCTGCTATCAGGTTTGGCCAGGATTTGGGCGTAAAGATCAGCTCTGCATGGCCTTACGAGTGGTCGTACGAGTACCCAGCGTTGACACAGGACCAGGTCACTCCCGTGCCAGAGGCTCAAGTGTAGAAAGCAGAATTATATAGGAGTCATTGTGAGAAGTGCCATTGTTTATGTATTGTTTATGTCTTGCACTGTAGATAGCCCATCGGGAGCCGAGAAGGGAAATATTCGCGTGCTTATGTAAGAGTCGAGCGCTCGTAGTAAACAGAAAAGATCACAAACATCAACAACATCAACAACAACAACAAGCGAACCAGGGCGTGTCGAAGAGAGACAAAGATGGCGAGAGCGCAAACAGTCAAGAGACGTCAGAGAGTAGCAGCACAGGCCCAAGCACAGGCCCAAGCACAAGCACAGGCACAGGCCCAGGCCCAAGCACTACAGGATGAGATAGGAGGAATGCACGATGAAGCCGATATCATGTCGTTCCGTTCAGCTGCGACGCAGCGGTTTCTGTTGAACCAAGAACTAATGGAGAACATCACGGATAAGTGGGTACACACAGACAGTATAATCGCGCCTAAGCCCTTTGCGAACGTGCAAACAACAAAGACCAACATTGAAGAGCTGAAGGAGGAGTTGTATTTTGGGAACTTGGTACTGATGAGACAGAAAGTTGAGTCATTGGACAAGAGCATTGAGATCATGAAGGAAGAGGCCGATGTCAGTAAGCTCTTTGACGATAACAGGTTCCTACAGGACGCCATTGACAAATTGGCGAGTGGGACCGACTTCGACTCTGATAATCAGATCGACAGCATTGAGAAGTCCTTCTGTGAGAGGTTTAACAAACGATTCACATCGAATTCCAAGATAGTGAAGTCGATTCCAGCAATAAATCCTGATACGAGAGCTGCACCTGATACCTATTGGGAGGACTTGGAGAAGGCTAAAATAGAAGCGGAAAAGCGTGCCAAAGAAGAAGCAGAGGCTGCCAGGGTAGCTGCTGAAGAGCAAGCACGTCTTGAGCAGGAGAGAAAAGAACAAGAGGAGAAAGAGAAGCAAGAACAGGAGGAGAGAGAAAAGAGAGAGCTCGAGCAGAGAGAACTACAGCAGAAAGAGGAACAGCAACAGTTGCAGAGACAGGAAGAGCTATCACAGGCCCAGCCTGAAGAACCAGTCGACAGTCACCATCTCCTACCAGAAACGGAGTTTGGCATCGCAACTGATGGCCTTGGAGAACACGATCCAATTTCAGACTTCAAGCAAGACAACTTCCCAGACCAAGGACTGGACATGATGGACGATGCCTTCCAGTATTCGAATTTGGATGACCAAGATTTCTTGAGCCAAATCGACCACAGCATGGAGCCATAAGCAATTACGTACTTGTATAATAGACTGATAATGACAAAAACAGGAACAAGCTCTGTAGCTCACTCATATTATTCCTTCTCATGGGGTCTCCAGCATTGTATAGATCAACCTACGCTTTATGTACTCTGACACTAGTTGTTGTTGCTCACGTCCAGTGTGGCAAACCGTGAAGAACGACAAACAAGGAATTCGGTTTCGTGGTCTAGTTGGTCATGGCATCTGCTTAACACGCAGAACGTCCCCAGTTCGATCCTGGGCGAAATCATTCCTTTTTTTTTCGCCAAACACCTACATCGACTGATTATCCACAGTTTATTCTGAAGTTATAACCACAATTGGACTCTTTTTTCACAATCAGTTACATAATCCAAGCCACTATCCACCCTGAATATCAATCTCATCATCAAAAGACTCGTGTCATAAGCCAATTGGGTCATATTTTCCAGTAGTTCCACCGTCTTTGAAGGCATTTTCGTTAGCTGCTCGAGCCCGCGAACATCAACAGAAAATTCAGTGTAAGCGTAAACAACAAAGCACAGCGGCGGCAGAAATAATTCTCCAGCGGCTAGAAAGCGGAGGGAAGACAGTATTATCTAAGCATGTCGTTCATATATACGCCCGTCACTCCAAAAGGATCGGCCTCGCGAGCTTCCATCATGGAGTTTGACGGTGTGAGGATACTAGCAGATCCAGGCTGGGATGGTGCCTCTGATTTACAGTACTTGAAAGATGTCGCCAACACGGTGGACATAGTCTTACTATCGCAGCCGACTACCGAGTTTCTTGGTGCTTACGCATGGTTGGCGTTTCATGACCTGAACAAGCCTGTTTATGCTACTCTACCGACCTGTAATCTTGGAAGAGTGGCAACCATTGATCTGTATAGAGCTGCCGGCATCATTGGTCCTATCGAGGGAACACAGTTCGAGCTGAGTGACGTTGAGGAGGCATTTGACAAGATCATCACCGTGAAGCACTCTCAGGTGACAGATCTGAGAGCCAAGTGTGATGGGCTGACAATCACGGCGATCAACTCCGGTCACACCCTTGGTGGTACAATATGGGTATTGGATAAGAACTCTGAAAAGGTGATATACGCTCCGGAATGGAACCATTCCAAGGATTCTTTCTTGAACGGTGCTGAGATGCTACAGAACCCAGCGCTCTTGAGGCCCTCTGTGGTCATAACCTCTGCTACGATTGGTTCTCCGTTATCTCACAAGAAACGTGTTGATAAATTCTTTGAGCTTGTCGATGCTACACTAGGAATGGGTGGTACAGTGTTGCTGCCAACATCTATAGGTGGCCGTATGCTGGAACTTATCCACCTTATTGATGAACATTTGCAAAGTGCGCCTATCCCAGTGTTGCTCGTGGCTCACGCCAAGGCAAGAAGTTTGACCTATGCCGGTAGCATGCTCGAATGGATGGCACCAGCAGTGATCAAGGAATGGGAATCAAGAGGTCAGGCACCATTCGATGCTTCAAGGGTTCAAGTTGTTAAACCCTCAGAGCTCTTAAGCATGCCAGGTGCAAAAGTTGTGTTTGCATCGGGCTCAGGGTTTGAAAATGGTACAGAGGCCCAAGCAGCTTTGTTTAACCTGTGCACTGATCAAAAGACATCAATCATCCTGACGGAGAGACCACTAGAAGGGTCCATAGGTAATGACTTGTATAAGACTTGGTTTTCAACTGTTAAGGACAAGACGGGGTCTACAGATGAAGGTACGCCTATCCCATTGGAGAAGAAGTTACAGATTGTTGATATCAGAGAGGAAAGATTGGTTGGAGATGAACTTGCCGCTTATGAACAAACCGTGAAGACTAGGCGTCCAGAAAGAGAGCAACGGAAGAAGAACAAAGAATCTGAGAAAGTTGCAACAAAGTTCGAGGAGGATGAGGAGTCTGAATCCGAGGATGAAGATGATATTCTAGAGCCAAAGACCAAGAAAGAGGATCATGTACCTGTTGATATGGATGTCAGAAACGCTAAAGGACGTGCAAGAATGTTTCCTTATCTTCCATCAAAGAATAAGATCAGTGATTATGGTATCATAATAGACCATGCAGATTACGCGAGAGAAGAAGAGAAAGATGTCAACAAACTGAAGAAGAAGGAGACACAGAAGATGAAGCTTGGTGAGAAGAATAAATGGAATGAGGGAAAGAAACAAGACGATGTGTCAAATCTGGATGCATTGCACGAACCAGTGAAAAGACACATCACATCTCTTCTGGTGCCTGCAAGATGCGTTCTATCTTACATCGACCTTGCCGGTCTTGTTGACTTGAGATCTCTATCTCTCATTCTTCCAGCACTGAAACCTAAGGCTGTTTTCCTGATATCTGATTTGTCAGATGTGGATAACCTAGACAAGGTTGCAAACATGCTACAAAAGCACAACAAGTTTGAAGTTGTTGTGACACATGCAAACGAGGAATACCGTTCTGACAACAAGCTTCAGTCATTTGACATTGTACTTGATGATTCTCTCTCCTCCAAACTAAAATGGCAAAAGATTGCTGGAGGATTCAACGTTGCACACGTCATTGGTGAGGTGAAGACCAAGGAGGATCTTAAGAAAGCAGACCAACAGGGCGATGGTGACACTGAGATGAAGGACATTGATGGCAAAGGACAAGAAGATGAGACTACCCAGAACGTCAACGATGACCTGGTTCTTGTGCCACTAGAACAGTCGAGCTTGTTGAGCAACGTGAGAGCTGCTCCTTTAGCCATTGGTGATGTCAGACTGTCTGAGTTGAAGAAGACACTCTCGCTCACGCACAAAGTGGAATTCAAAGGTGAAGGTACCTTGGTGATAGACGACACCGTTGCCATCAGAAAGATCAGTGATGGAGATGTCATTGTGGACGGGTTGCCCGGTGACCTGTTCTACAAGGTTAGAGATGCCGTCAGAAAAATGTTAGCTTACGTGTGATAGAAAGAATGTGTTCTCTTAAAAGAATAAATATAGTAGTTTCGAAGATTGCAAACTGTAAATAAATAAGTCACGAGAGACCATTGCGTGTGAATACACCTAGATTCTCTAATAATAAATAGTGAAGACAGTTAAAACGTATGTATGGGAGTAAGTGCTGCGCTTCGACAAAATCAATTCACAAGTCCAAGGGCCTCTGGCTGAGAGTCCTTCTTAACCGTGATCCCAACAGCCTTCTCGCTGTTCTCACCCTTGAGTTGCTTCACATACTCGGCTCTGATCTTCTCAGCACGAGCCTTCTCCTTTGGTCTATGGAGACACTCAAAGTAATCATCAGCCAATGGTGTGCACTCACGTGGATGTTTGGTATCACTGTTTGTGTAGCACTCCATGAAGTTTTGCCACACGTTGAAGCAGCGACCTGTACCTCCTGAGAAACCGTAACCTGAAGACATGCTTTCTGTTTTGTTCTGCTTTACTTGCTGAGGCCAAAGCTGTGTCCCTTTTTGTTTTGACGGACAGTTTTAAGGGGACAAGTGAACATTTTTGTCCCGGCGCCAAAAAAGGGACAAATTCGCGAAAATCACAAAATCTCTCGAAGTTGATTTAGTGCGCCTACCAAAAAGTACTTAAAGAAGAGCTCTCTTTCTATATTAATACACGTAGATAACTCTGTGGTCTTGTTCGTCCAATGCAAGTGTTTTATATGATGAGTTTGGTTCAGGATCCCTTCCCAAAGATCCTGTTGATCTGTATTATGAGTTTCCCGCTTGCAAAGCCGACAGGGATCAGAATAAGTACAACGTTAACGACGATCTGTACTAGGCCTGCAATCATAAACCTCGGTGCAAAGATCTTCCAAACCATCAAGTGTCTTCTGAAAACTGTGGCAAAGATCAACGTGCTTAGCGTGATCACTGATTGATAAGCGAGCAGTGTACCACAGTTTTCGATTATCTTGGCATAGAGGGCGACTGGCTTTGTGCTTGGTGGGATTTTCCATATGGTGACAAGAGCAATAGCAGCTGTAGCGATGAGGAAGGATGCAAATGTGTTCAGGAAGATTGGGATGTGTGAGAATGGGAACACGATGGTGTCGACAAGTGTGAATCCCAGCTCCCATTGGATCGAGGCAATCGTTGCTTGGTGCCCCGTAGAGAAGAAATAGAACCACCCGAGAAGCCCAACGATTACTGGCGAGATCAAGTTGGAGCGTATTTCAAGAATGTCAACAAGCTCAACAAAGGATAATAGCTGGTAAACCATCAAAAATATGGCAAATTGGCCCATTGGTTTGGTGAACAGCATCACGCTCGCTATAATGTTCATCATTAAAAGGAAGTATTGCGATCCGTAAACGTTTTGGTAACCAAGGATAACAACTTCTTTCGTTTCACGGTTTTTAACATCAAGTCCCACACACAGAGGACCTCTTGACCATCCAACATTGGCCGCAACCAGTGTTGTACCGGCAATGATACGAGCCAAGGTGAACTTTGTAGTGTGCACTGAGGAGAGACTGATGCGCTTGACGAAATCATACGTCAACTCGTATTGATGACGTTCAAACCATTCAAGACCCCAATAGAGCGCAATACTCAGAAGAATAAGTCTGAAAACTCTGTTCCACGTTGGTGCTGCACTCTGATATGAGCCAGATATGTCGTAAAATGCTTTGATAATAGATGGGAACACGAATGTTTGTATGAAGAGCATCACAATAGTCCAAGAAGAAACGTCATAGTTTGGTGTACACATTGTTCCCTGCTCCTCACGACAAATTGTGATCAACGAAGCCAACCTTGTGATCACCATAAATGACACGGAGTGGTATATACCCATGATTCTCTTAACCGACGAGTCAGCAAGCGATGATTTCCAGGCAGCCAATATACCAAAAGTGGTTAGAAGGTAGCCCAAAATGCGATCTTCCCAAATTGTAAACGAGTTAGATGCGAATATAGCCAAATGCAGGAATGAGAAGAACAAGGCAACTAATGTCCAAAATCCCCCAAATCTATCCAAGAAGGAATAAAACAACCATATCCAACTGTATCGATCAAATATTGGAACAGCAAACCCAAAGACAATCCCAAGTGCTGCACCCAACATCGTACACCAAGGCAATGTCATGAATGAAGGTTTTAAAATCAATGAGATTGAAATTGCAATAACAGTCAGGAGCGACGTCATTGCTATTATTGAGGGGACTATTTCCTCTGAGAGTTGTGTCATCACCACACTTGGGATCATTTTGAAGTAAACGATTAAGATGATAATCGATAAGAAAATGAGAACAATCCCAACAACAATACTGATCATATCAAATCTAGCCCACAAATCTTTACATCTCTCAAGTGATGCATTTTGGTAATCTTGGAAAAGCTGAGAAAAGTTTTCATCTGTACAGGACTCTTGGGCCTGTTTGAACTTTGAATTAATGAGTTCATCATCCATTAGTGACGTGGAGTGTTGTCTATAACGATGAATCTGTTCGAGTGTATACTTTGCAGCTTTCAGATACAATGAAGACTCAGCAAATGCCTCCTCAATTGGCGCACCAAGGTTGTTGAATGGAACCGGAATGCCCAGTAACAGTGAAAACGTAGGAACCAAATCGATCTGATTGACCTTTCTATAATTGGCTCCATTTCTTCTGATGTCATAAGAATCTTGGTTCTGCAGCTGATGGAATGCCCTTTTCTTTGAGTATAACCAAAGTGCAGCCTCAAGTTCTTCTGCAGAGTCACCACCATGGTTACCTGTTCTATCCATACCGTGATCACCGAGCACAATCAGCAGCGTATCATCATCCATAGAATCGACAATGCTCTGTAGAAAAGAATCCATCTGCTGCTGTTTCTCAGCCATGGCATAATGATCTGGCCCATACCTATGGCCACAGTGATCCACGCCCAATAAATGACCTATTAGAACGTCCCATGATTTCTGCTGCTCGCTCTGAAGAAGTGGTCCGAAATGGTCAATTACCCCGTTATCCACGGTATGCAAGTCCCACACATTCAACGAATCATATGGGTACGACGTATTCAGGAAGGGACCAAAGAGCGCCTTCCACGTGTCATCGCCGACAAACGTTATGGATCTATTGTTGTGATACAATTGCTTGATGAGATTGTCCTCTTCGATCACGTCACCGTCAAAGTTCGACCCTGCATCGACAAACGTCGGAAGAGATCCCGTTGTCAACCCCTTCAGCCTCTGTAACGTCGTCGTTGGAGGGTCCGCCATGAATTTCAGCAGCACAGAGTTCTCAGGGTACTGCTGTGTCAGTTCATACGGTAGACGTATGTTGTTATGGTAGGGCTTACTGGAGCCCTCGTCAGGTATCACAAAGTCAAACCTCAGAGCATCGATGATCACGACGATGGCCTTGTCGAAGTTACGCAGCGACGAAGCGCCCTCGTAAATATCATCCGCCACGGTGGAGTAGTTGTCCAGCACTTGTCGGGATAACAAGAATCCCTTCGTGAAGAATGCTATCCCAATGCACTGGAGAACCGCTATGGAAACAAAGATCACCGTACACAGCACCGCCATCACACACAGCCTGCTGTTCCACACCAGCGCACGTGTCCTCATACGCACACTGCGCTTCTCTTTGATGTGCTCTTCCAGATGACTTTCATCAGACATTGTGTCCCGTCGTGGCATACAAACACTACCGTTATCACTTGCCGATGATCCAAGACGTCAACAGCGGCTTCAAAACCTTCGCTAAAGAACTAAGACGATTCACCGCGGTGATGAGATGTCCACAAGGATACGAGCGCCGTGTATACTGGGAGCCTAAAACAGCGCAAGTCTTGAGAATTAACCCCTAAGGTTGAGGTGATTTGTTGTTGATGTTGTTGAAACTTGAGCTGAATGTTTGAGAGCACAGGAAATGGGCTCTTGCCAAATAAACCGAGGGCCGTGTTTTATTTTTTTCGTTTGCCTCTTTCCCCTTTCCATTTTGTGTTGTTTTTCGCGTCTGAGGAAGCGAAAAGTTTCCCAAAGAGGCGATTCGGTTTGATTTGGCGGAAAAGACACAGCGTGCGAAATTGTCAGGCTCCGCTGCTGTGGTTACCACTTCTTGTACGCATCACCGAGGTGATGCTTTGTTTACTTTTCACTCTTGTCGTATACACTGATCATTCTCCATTGTGTGTGTGGGCGCCAATGTTGGTGTGTGATCTCTGGAGGTGTTGTTAGCGTGGATGTGTGAGCTGGAAGACCAGACTCACACGCAGTGCTGGTCTACAACTCGCTGAGTATCCGTGGAGAAGGTGCTCCACTTAGTCCACTGACCTCAGCTGAGCATGTTCATGACATCTGTATGCCTGGAGAGAGAGGGAGAGGTTTGGCGTGTTGGTAGCTGGGAGTACACCGTGGTGTACTCCATCACCAGCTAGCCTCCATACACCACAGCCTCAATACAAGCTTTCAACTCACCACTGAGAAGTATCGTGAGCTCCACTTTTCCCTCACCACCACGGTGACCTGTTCATCAATACACTCACCCGTTGAACCGGCAGTGTGTCTTCTGTCCTAGCAACTGAGCAGTCATCTGCTGTGCAAAGTGGAGACAGTTCCATCCTCTTGCATCTATGAATAATGTGTGTCGAAGAGCTCCCCTCAACCTTTAGGCACATTTAGCACACTTTGCACCAAAATCACCGTGGAATTATGGATGCTCCAGTCGTCTATATAAAGCCAGCGTTGTGAACGCTCCTAATTGCTGTGGGTCAGATCTCAGCAAGCATCACCACTGAAGTATGATTTTGTCGACAATACTGCTCACAGCTTTCGCCAGTGCTGTCATTGGTGTGAACACCAGAGGTTCGTATGCCCCAGATAAGGTGCCATGCCCTGAGAATGCAAGCTTTATCAGAGATGCCGCTGACCTTTCCTCCATGGAGAAGGAATGGATCACGAAGCGCCATGAAAGGACAGACCAGGAGCTGAAACGCTTCCTGGAAGGTGTGAGCCTACAGGACTTTGATGCCGGCGAGTTCATCGACTCTTTGGAGAGATCAATCAATATTGGTCTTTCATTTTCCGGTGGCAGTTATAGAGCCATGTTTAATGGTGCTGGCCAGTTCGCTGCTTTGGATAGCAGAACTGAAGGAGCCGAGGCTCATGGCTTGGGAGGATTGCTACAGGCATCGACTTATCTGTCTGGTCTGTCCGGTGGTAATTGGCTCACTGGTACGCTGATTATGAACAACTGGTCAAGTGTTCCAGATCTGTTGGACTCAGACGAGATTTGGAACCTGGAGAACCCAAAGCTTCACTTTGGTGGTGATAATTTGACACTGATTCAGGAGCGTTGGAAGCTCCTTAAAAGCCAAGTTGACGAAAAGGCAGAAGCTGGATTCCACACTTCTCTCACTGATCCGTGGGGAAGACAAATGTCATATCAGTTTTTCGGTACTGGTGATGATGGTGCAATATCCTTGAGATTCTCCGATATGAGGGACATTGATGCGTTCAAAGATGCAGAGATGCCTTTCCCGTTCTCAATAGCACTAAGTGGCTACCCAGATAGTAAGAATGTCAGCTTGGAATCAACAGTCATTGAGTTTAATCCCTTTGAAATGGGCTCTTGGGATCCTTCTTTGTTTGCATTTACTGATTTGAAGTACTTGGGGTCCAATGTCTCCAATGGTGTTCCCGTGAGTGACATCTGTATCGAAGGATTCGACAACGTTGGTTTCGTTCTTGGTACCTCTTCCAATGTCTTCAACGAGTTTCCTCTGAATACTAGTCGTTGGGGAAATTTAACTCCACAGGCTATCCACAATTTCTTAGGCGATAACTTTGATGAATACTATGACGTTGGTGTCTACAAACCAAACCCATTCCGTGAATCAGAGCATGGGTCACAAAGGTCTCTCTTGGATGATGATGGGTTGTATTTGGTCGATGGTGGCTGGGATCTCCAAAATATCCCCTTGGCTCCAATGCTGTTGCCAGAGCGTGGTGTGGACGTACTGTTTGCCTTTGACAACTCTTTTGATACAGAGGATACTTTCCCAAATGGCACTGCTATAGGTGCTACGTATGATCGTCAATTTCTTGAACAAGGTCAGAGACTCCCATTTCCATACGTTCCCTCATCGAAAACGATTTTAAAGCATGAGCTCAACTCCAAGCCTTTGTTTCTCGGTTGCAATGCATCCAACATGACAGACTTAAGCAGTGTACCACCTTTAGTGGTGTATATACCAAACGTTGCATACACCACCTGGTCAAATACTTCGGGTTACAAGGTTGCGTACTCCAACGAGGAGAGGAATGCGCTAATCCAAAATGGGTTTGAAGCAGCAACCAGGTTTAACCTAACGATTGACCCTAACTGGAAGAAATGTGTTGGATGCTCTATCATACGTCGCTCGCAAGAACGTAATGGTATTGAGCAGAGTGAAGAATGCTCGAAGTGCTTTCAGGAGTACTGCTGGAATGGTGAGGAATACACAGGTGATGATGTTGTTCTCAACAGGTCTTTGAATTACACTTCTTCGTCGAATCTGGACACAGCAAACATGTCTTCAGGAGTCTATCCAAGTACTTTTGATGATTTGAACTTGAGTTCAGCAAGCTCTCAAGAAGCATCATCTACTTCTCTACCTCTATCGACCCAAGCTTCAACAAAACCAAGTCCGACAGTTGATGTCACCTTGGAGAGTGGAGCAGGTTCATCTTTCGTCTCTTCAATTACTTTCGTGACCATGTTTGGAGTACTGTTTCCTTTACTGTGTATTGGTTGGGGTATGTCTTAGCGACAATACCCCCCATTAACTACAAATATTTGATTCTTCTTCATCAGAAATCATGTAAGATATAAAGTATGAACAGCCAACATAGCAGAAACGTTAGCGTGATTATTAGGGTATCATAGGTCATGTGTTTGATATTCGTTTTTTTAGCAAGTCTGGATCCAGATTCATCATCTAATGTTTATTCAGACTGTGGCCATGTGTCCTCTTTGCAGAGACATATTGAGTAAATGGCTGAACAATAACAGGCTGGGAAACTGCAAAGTCATTCACATTTTTGTTTGGCAATTGCCATAGTTGACGTGGTTGAGATGCTGTAAAAGACAGGTTGGTGATTCCAGATGGCACACCAGTGAACCTTGTGCTGAGGGTTCCAGGAGCTGGCTGTGTGATGCTCTGTGGTTTAGAAGCCGAGAACCTCTCTGCAGAACCACTGATGATCAGATCACTATTCGACAATGATGTACGATCAACAATCATAAAGTCGTACTCACGAAGGAATGCAGTCACATGTCCAATAACCTCACCAAGATGTATGTCACTTCCTGGCAAATAACTTATGATGATAGAATGATAAGAGCCCAATTCCGCAGTCCTAGAGTCTGAGGCCATAATTTCAAAGTTATAGAGCAATTTCAATGGCACTTTGATCTTTTCCACATAGCTCACGTTGGAATCAGTCACGACTTTATGGAAGTTTGGCGAGCGGGCCAATCTAAACTCATAACTCTCAGCAAGTTCTAACGATAACAATCTTGTAGCATTGATAGAAAATGACTCAGTTCCCAGAACCTCAATGATGGCAAAATCGTCAGGTTCAACAGCTGGGAATTTAATAAACGTTGATGTTTTCTTCTCAATCTCTTGAATCTTATCAAAATTGAACAAGTGGTATTGATTTCTGGAGATCTTGAGATAAGTGTTGAAAAAAGTGATATTCTCGTTGTTAATCAATAGCCCATTCAGTTCGTTCTTCACAAGTGGGATATTGGAAGCATTCTTTGAAGGACATCTGATGATCACATTGTCATATCTAACCAGACTCTTCGCATTGTTCTTTAGATCATAAGTATTGGAAAACTTCACAAAGACGTTATACTTTCTCATGATAGATTGGATCAATGAGCCTCCAGTCCCGATGATCTGTCTATGGAAAGATTCTGGAATGTAGAATTTGACTTCAGATGGAAGTTCGTCTTGTAGCTGCGAATATGCATGGAAGAAATCATTGAAGTCATCAGTTCTTAGCTCAACCAACATGCTATATTCATTTAACGGATGGAAATTGATAAAAGAGTGTGAGCCATTGGTGATTTTAGATATCTTACCATTTTTCTTTCCACTAATAAATTCGTGGAATGACAATCCCAGTTCAACATTGAGAACAATACTTGCACTGACTGCACCAGAGTATAGTTGTAATGAAGACGTCTGGAACATCTTGAGAGCCCTGATGAGGTTATCCCTACTGCCAACGATCTTGAAAGAACCCAATTCCAAATCGAAGTAGATCGTGACACCAGATGCAACCGACAGTCTGTCTAGGAGCTCCTCGACCTCTTTAGTCTCCAGCGACGGGGTAACAGGTTCAAAGGACTCACCAGATGAACTATCAATGTGGAATGATATATCAGCAACATAAATGTCGTTTGTAAGAGAGCAGAAGTCATAAATTGCGTTTTCAATTGACTCAGTTGAATGACCCTGGAAATGCACAGTGGAGCCGTCAAACCCCAATGGAGAAGTTTCAATGAAGACTCCATATTTGTACATAATAGAGCTTAATTCAGATTGTTTACTCACCAATACGAGATCCTTTTTGTACTTCAAGACTTCGATGTTCTTGTAGAACAGTTGGGATTCTAATTTTCCCTTCACTTCCGTGATCAGCTTCTTCGCTAGAGAGACCTCTGCTTCCAAACCAGAGAAGAAGATATCATCTGATTTATGCAGCGGTGAATTTGAATGGAACTGCTGGACAAGGTTGGGAAGGTATAGATTAACACCTGTTTCCTTTGCAATTGCCTTGAATGTACCAAATCCCACACCACCAACTACAGGGATCATGGATAATCCCAAAGTGCATGAATCAACAAAGAGCTTTTGCACGTTGTCCAGCAGGATTATAATCCTAGTCTCTGCAAAGACCGTATCTTCTGAGGATCCGACAATGTAGATGTAAATGTCGCTTGGTTTTGAGTTAGATCTGTTTGAAACACTTGTCAGATTGAAGCTATGCTGCTGTTTAGATATCAATATTTCAACGTTACAGAATTTGGCCACGGCATCCAGCTGCGCGCGGAAGTCGTCATTGAGTCCATATTGTGTAAACAATGCCCTGTTGGATTGATCTTGAACAATTGTTTGTACGTCGAATGTTTGATAACGCTTAAGGATGTCCTTGTGCTGGTCAACACAACTCGACGCCTTCTCATCAACACCTTGTATTGCGAACTCGAGAAACGGCCCGTTTCTTCTCGAGTCCATGATCGACAGTTTAACACCAGAAGATAGCAGATCGTTGAAGTTGGACACTCCATCGATGATCTGGAACTGCGACAATGACTGTTGTGGTAATACCGATGCTATGTAGCCATTACTAGGATCAACGTCTCTCCACAACCCAGTGTCCGACTGGTAGAGAAGGCCAGTGCTTGATTTGCTCTTCAACGCGTACGTATACTTCAGCGGAATCGAGGCCATTATCCTCTTACTCTGCTCCGTCTCCGCCATTGGTCAAAGAGGACTAAATAGTATCAACGGTATTGGAGACGCTTAGACGATGTGTATCTGTCTTGTTGTTGGCAGTGAGGGCAGCAGCTGATGACGCCCAGCTGATTCTTCGTATCTGTTGATCAAACAACACCTCTTTGCTCAACCAGAGAACCCGTGCGAGCAGTGGATACAGAGGAAAAGAACAAGTGTCTTGGAGATGACGGGATCTCAACACTTAAAGAAGTGAAAAGTAAACAAAAGGGCTTGTGCGAAGAGGTTCCAACTGCTGCCCCAACCATATCACGTGTGGCCACACGTGATGTTACTCTTCCGTTACCCTACCGTATTATCTTGAGACCGAAAATACGCATCCGGGGATTCACGGAGCGCGGGGCAGAGATCTAAAAGGCTTTTTCTTCCGATAAGCACCGAGGGAGGAAAATCTACAAAGGGCTACGCTGGATCGGGAATATATACAGCTTTTACAACTCTTAGAAGAACCATACATAGCAGCAAAGCGGTGTGCCATACAGTTTGAATGCTTTCCTTTAGAACACAAGGTTACAATGGCTACTCGGTGAAGTACTCACCTTACTTCGACAACAAGTTGGCGGTGGCGACAGCGGCGAACTTTGGGTTGGTTGGTAATGGACGTCTCTATGTGCTATCGATTCAGGCCAATGGTCAAATCGCCAATGACCTTTACTTCGATACGCAAGACGGGCTCTTTGATATAGCCTGGTCTGAGATGCATGAGAACCACGTTGTCACTGCCAATGGTGATGGTTCTGTGAAGCTTTTTGACATCACTGTGCCAAAATTCCCGATAATGCAATGGAAAGAGCACCAAAGGGAAGTGTTCTCCACGGCCTGGAACCTTGCTGAGAAGACGACCTTTGCATCGTCAAGTTGGGATGGGACTATAAAGATATGGAGTCCAAATCGGAAACAGTCGTTGATGACTTTACAAGCTGGTAAGCCTCAGTTCCAAAACAACTGTGCTTATCAGGCAACTTTCTCGCCGCATAATCCAAACATGTTGATGTCTGTCAATGCCAATGGCCACGTTCAACTCTGGGACACGAGAAGACCAGACCCAGAAGTTGCAGATTTCATAGGACACGGTGGTGCAGAGACACTGTGCTGCGATTGGAACAAGTACAGGTCTACAGTGGTTGCCACAGGTGGTGTTGATAAGATGATCAAGTTATGGGATTTTAGAATGGTACCAACAAAGGATTCGACCCCTATGGCAGTTCCACAGGCCGCCCCGGTGCCGTTGAACCAGTTCATTGGGCACGATTTTGCTGTGCGTCGTGTAGTATGGAGCCCTCACGATGGATGCGAACTGTTGAGTTGTTCCTATGATATGACTGCTCGTGTGTGGCATGATCAGACTGATCCAAACACGCGTATCTGTAGGTTCAAGAACCATTCCAAGTCGAAAGTGTTCAACCAGCATCGAGAATTTGTCGTTGGAGGTGATTACAGTCTTTGGGGTGAACCGGGATGGGCTGCAACCACTGGTTGGGATGAAATGGTTTACATCTGGGATTCAAAGAGATTGTAATGGAATGTACATACGCTAATCAAATTCCTCCTATTCTACCCTGTTGGAAACGACTCAACTTCTCCTTGTGTAAGTAATACTCCTTGCGTTCATGACGATAGCTCTTTATGAACATCTGGATCGACTGCTCGTCGTGCTGGTCGATGTGCGATACAAACGTTGCCTGGATAGATTCTGTTAGCTTTCGAGACTCCTGTACAGACGTTTGTAGCAGCGATTGTAGGTTTTCTCTACTGAATCTATACAGCGCCTTCTTCATCTCCTGTTCCTTTTGTAGCCATTGTGAGGTGAGCTCGTTCACTTCTTCTGCTTTCAACCGGGTCTTCCGTTTACAACTCTCGAGTTGCTCAAGCTTCTCTTTATAACTCTCAATCTGTCGCACGATTCCTTCTAGTTCTGCAACGTCCTTGTCAAGCTCACCTTGAATAAGCGTCACGAGATACCCTTTGAGCACATCCAACGTGCTGAGCAGCTTCTCGATCTCCCTCGTGGGTAAACTGCCAAAGTTATCAGGCAGTGGAATCTTTACAGACGGCGTGGGTGTTTGAGCATGGCTAGCGGCTTGCGACGGCGGTGATGTTGATGACTCCGGGCGCGAGTGCGAGTTCCCGTTGTCTGCTAAAGGTGCACCCTTGGGAGGCAGCGAAGGTGGCACATCGGACATTCTTCAACGGTCTGAGCGTGATGATGGTCTGACTAATCGATGCTGGCGTCACTGTTTTGTTTGTTTGTTTACCGTCCTGTCGTTGTGTGCTCGCCTTGAAAGCTTCTTCGCGAAGAAAGCCTCACACACTGCAACCCGATGATGACAAAGATGACAAATATCGCGAGCGCACAATGGCTCAGTAGGAGATCATCGTATAAGAGAAGGTGGTTTCCGTACTAATATCGTCACGTCTGTGCCTCCTGAGCCCACCATCACCAAGAGAGGAACAACAAGTATGAGCCTCAACGCTGTTCGTGTCGCGTCTAAGGTGCCAGCCACGGCTTCCGTGATCTTCTTCCATGGATTGGGAGACTCCGGTGCTGGGTGGCAGTTCCTGTCAGACATGGCTCGTCGCTCCTCAGACTTCGACCATGTCAGGTTCATCTTCCCGAATGCTCCAGTGACACCAGTCACTGTGAACTCCGGCATTCCAATGCCCTCGTGGTTCGATATCCAGAGATTTGGTGAATGGACAAACAACGACGACGTTGAAGGGTACCTCAAGTCCATCGAGACCGTGGGGAAATACATCGACGAGGAGATCGCATATGGTATCAAGCCGGAACGCATCATCGTGGGTGGATTCTCACAAGGTGGAGGGCTCGCTTTGGGCACTGCTGCGCTGTCTGATAAGAAAGTTGGTGCCATCATCGCCCTATCGCCAGCTACGCCGTTCTTCAGCCATCTGAAGGAGAACAAGGTCGACGTTAACAAGTACACGCCGGTATTCCATGGCCACGGTACTGCGGATCCTGTGATTCCAATAGGAGCTGGGAAGGCCATCTCTGACTTGTTCAAGAACCATCTGGGGTTCGAGAACTACGACTTTAACACCTACCCGGGGCTACAACACAGCGCAGACCCTGATGAGATTGAAAGTGTGCTACAGCTGATCAAGCAAATCGCCCCAAAGGAGTAAAGATCTGGATAGCGCTATATATCAACACTTCATTCTTAACTACAACGATGTAAACAACAACGATGTAAACACCCCCGGTGTTGTAGGAATCCCCTTCCCGCGAATGTAAACAAACAAATATCAACAAACAGGTTTAAGCCTTGCCCGAGTTTCCCACCCATTGTCAACAACGACGAGCTGGAGAAACTGCAATCACGACCCGTTGACGACCTTTCTTTGAGTGTACACCACCGCCAACATGGATAGTCGAGATAAGAAGTACGCCAGTGGTATCGAGAAAGCGCTTGTTCTATTTGATACTTTGAACGAATGGGCAGATTACATTGCCTTTCTCTCGAAACTGCACAAGGCGCTTCAGCAGAAGCATACAACACAACATTGGATCCCTCACGACCTTCAGATCTCTATAAGACTATCCAAGTGTCTCTCTCCGAACTTGCCGTCAGGGGTTCACTCGAAGACGTTGGAGCTTTACAACTTCATCTTTGCGGAGTTGGGGATTGAAAAGCTGAGCAACTCGGTCAATGTTTGGATACCAGGTATCCTCCCAATTATGCAATTTGCATCCATCAGCATCAAACCCTTGGTTATAGATCTTTACAAGAGCTACATCTTGACTCTGCCGCAGCAGAGACTGAAAATACTGGTGAAGCCGCTGTTGTCGTACCTTCTGCCGTCAATTGACGATGAGAGATCGGATTTCTTTGAAGCTTCTTTGGCGCTCATCGATACGCTCAGAAGGAACTTGCACGATGATTCGCTTCTATGGCAATCTGTATTCTTAATCATCATTACGAGTGAGGAAAGACGTCTTGGCTGCTTGGTTTGGTGTAATAAGAGACTGCCTGATCTCAACATTGTCGTGCCACCCCCACCTGAGAATGACGATTCCAATAATTACTACAAAACCAAACTGCTGGAAGCGATGACCCAGGAGCAGAAAAGCTTAATTACACCGGAACCTGGACTCATTGTCAGAGCGTTCATGAAGATCTCCGAGTCACCAAACATTTTGATCCAAAGAGGATTTTTCGACCTCTTGATCAAGAACCTTCGCTTGAATTCGACGGTTCTTCAAAAGCTCATCCCCGAAAGCGATCTTCAACAGTTGATCATCAGCACAATATCTGCTATATTGAAGAAAGATATGTCTATCAATAGAAGAGTTTGGAACTGGTTGATGGGTCAGGACGCAACGTCCGCGCAGCAATTGAACTACTTCAAGACGAACGGAGCCAAGTGCCTCATTGAGGGAATTTTAAAGTTGATTGAAGGGAAATATGACCATCAACCAATCGCTACTCAACAAATTCGTGCATTGAAGATTACGCTGGCGTCAATGGATAGATGGGAAATCGGTTCTCTCTTGATCCCAAACGTTTTCATTCCTGCTTTAAAATCTGTAATGTATTCAGTTGAAACGAAGAGTGACCAATATGAAGATGTATTGAAGAGTGGATCGGCACTGTTCGATTCTGTGGAGACTCTGATCATATACGGTGAACTGGAAAGCTTGTTATTGAAGGGTGAAGTTGAATTTGCAACCTTTATCCTTCAACATTTCAACGTTCAAGATGAAGAGATGATGGTGCACCAACTACCTCTGCTTCTTTTAACAACTCTTATGAATGCTCAGAACAACATTGAATGGGTTAATCTGACAAACACCATCATTTCTCTGGTCCCGCAAAGAGCATATCTACCTATAGAGCATGCGTCTGAGGAATCGAAAACTATTTCAACAGCTGAAATCACTGAAAGAATTGGAAATTATTACAAGGGAACAGAGATGCTTGACTTACCATTCCAAGCTGCAGACTTATCTCAAGTGACCCTGAAAATGGCCACTGATGTTGCTATCTCTAGCATCAAATCAGACTCTGGATATGAATATCTTCCAGTGTTGGGTGGTATTGTCGATCTCATACCAGAACTCAAATTTTATGATGACGACCTCATTCAAGCTATTGTCACATATAAGAACTCGGGATATTGTACTATAGCAGTGGCAAAACTGCTCACAAAGGTTAATTTCCCAAACCCTTGTACTAAGATTGAAGTTTTGAAGCATGTCGTTTCACAACTGTGTCAATTATTACAAGAATCTGGCCAGTGTTACCAAGTTGAGATTGTGAAATCACTCCATCTCCTTACAATGTCCCACTCTTCATACTACATTGAAGCAGCAATAAGTAGTTACATGTTGACTTTGGAAAGTTTCAGCGATCGTTTGAAGGTGTTCAATTATTTGTGGACTCATGCTACGGATATTTTTGTCCTCGATAGACCTCTCCATGTTATTCTGGACGACTTGACAGAAGCAAATGGTTCAGCGTTCACTATCATTCAAGGGTGGATTGAAACTGTTATCAATACAGGCACAGTCAATACTCTCTTTCAGTTGATCACTAATAAGCTGCATGAAACGCTCGATGATGATGTTGTATTTTCTTATCACGTTTCAATTCTGTACAGGATACTCAATATGGATAAAAAGAAGATGCTTCCTCTTTTCAGAGACGAACTTGCAGTGATAAATTCTGTTGAGTATAAAGATGAAAATGTTTCAACTTATAAAGACTTTACACTGTTTCAATTGAACCGTTTTGTGAAACAGAAAAGGTTCAATTCAAGTACTTTTGGTACAGTCTTGAAACTCTATGAGCTTTTGTTGGATGGTTCTGAACCAACATTTGAACTGTACGTCGATCTTGTCTTTCAGATCTCAAAGGAGGTGGCAGAATCTTCCTTCGATGGACACCGTGAAGTGATCATCAATCTACTGTTGAACCACTTGACCGAACTCACAAAGCTTCTGCTGAATTCAAATAGGAAAATATCAAGTCTTTTTGAAAAGGCAGATGGCAGCAATCAACCTTTGATAGTGGAATTCTTGATTTCAACCTTCCAAAGACTAGACAATTCAGCACTTCTAAGCACTTGGATTGATCTGTTGAGCACATCGTTGAAGTTTCAAGACAATGACATTTTCCAATTTGTTGAGCCTATTTCCACGATAATAATCAACAAGGTGAATGAACTTTACAATAATGGACTGGATGCAAAGGATGAAACTTCCATATCTTTGTTATTGAACGAACTTCAAGATGTTCTATCACTATTCAGAACATATGTCGTTACAGTAGAGATCAATACAAGCAAGGCTTCTAACAACGACCCTGGTTTCTTCTCCTCAGTTGCTGGTGTATTCAACTCAGATTTCACCAAACAATACAATTCAGACCTTGAGCTCAGTGACAGCCGTCGTGTTCTTTTTGATTGCATAAGAGAATCCATAAGAACGAGCTTTATCATTTGGAAGAACTCTGATAAGGTCTTAAGAGACACCACTAACCCAGAGAACACTTCTTTGAAATACCAGTCGCTGAAATTGAAACACAAGTCAAAGTTTGTAATGGAAAAGCTGTATGAACTGGAACCATTGGAAGTTTTGAGTACTCTTATCATGGGGGCTTCAAAGGATGACAATAGTGTCTCTTTCAAGATCCTACACGTTTTGGATAATTCCAGGCCACAGCTAACAATACCATATATCTTTAAACTGTTAACGCAGACTGTTGATGAAAAGAGAGTTCGACCAACAATGTTTGAAGTCAGCGACTTTTTGGTCAACTATACAATGTCGCTACAGGATGACACTATTGAAGATATTTTCGAGGATTCCTCGTCATTTTTAAAGACTGTTGTTGAGCACTTGAACTCCTATAAGCCTATCCTTTTGAATGTTCTGCAGTTTTTGAGTGTTTTGGCAACAAAAGTGAGCTATTCTAAATTTGGATCCCAAAAGAAGGTGAAGAAGGAGTTGAGTGACACATTCTTGAAGATTTACCCTGTGGCACTGAACTTTAAGCATGCTGATATCTCGAATGCCCTGTCCTCCTCTATTCAAGATCTGTCACTGGCTGGTCTTGACCAACCAAGTGGCTTAGAAGAGAGTACCATGGGCTCGACTCCTACTGCAGATGTTATCATCAGTCAGGAGGATATTATGAAATCCATAAAAGCTATTATTCCCAAATTATCAAACATTGTTACCGATTCTGATAAGCAATCTTCTGTTGTTTCTGCTATTTTGGTCACGTTGTTAACACCAAGTCTAAAGTCGAAGAAATTTCCTGAAAACATTAGTACCTATCAGATGGAATTGCTGAACGAGATTGTAAACTATTATCCAAACTCGAAAAGTTTGAGGTTTTTACTGTCTGAGGTATTTAATGACCCGAAATTTTTCAAGATCAAACTATGTGACATTGGCCTTTGGAACTCTACCCTTTCAAAGTGGCTTGTTGCAGAGCCTAACGATAAGATTCTGGATTACCTCACAAAGTGCTCACAGTCTTCTAACAACATGAACATTTTCAACTGGAATGACAATGAGCAACTTCTCAAGCTGTTGAATCTAAAGCGTGTTGCCTATATGATCCTAATTGGTGATACAGATCAGCACATCGTTTTATTGAAGGACATTTTCGACAAACTGGATTCTCTCCTTCAGCAGAGTGAACATTTCCTCCCAGAAGTTTTCTTGATAATCAGAGTGATTGTTTTGAAGTTCTCTGAAATCCATCTGTATGATTATTGGACCTTGATCTACACTTCGCTACAAACGTTCTTTGTTGGATTGTTGAACACCACTGATTACTCCACTGTTGATTCTTCTGCTGTACTACAGGCATGTAAATTACTGGATGTGATCTTGTTGTTGGAATTTGAAGACTTCCAAGAGTGGTTATTTGTTATTGACACCATCAATGCCATTTATAGAAATGTGGATGTTGTCAGTCTTGTTGATGAGATATCACTTGTGGATTCGTTGTTCCATCCTCCGAGTGATATGAAACCGCTTGTTGTTAACAAGACCGTGGAGCCATCATCTCCAAGGGTACCATCTCTGATAGGCGTGAAACAGGTCGATAGTATTGCCTATTTGAAGCCATTTTTCAGTGGTCTGAGCTACTACAACTTTGAGAACGTCTATAACGGTGGTTACGTTGATTATGAAACCTGTAAACAAGACCTCTTTGGGGACTTGTTCGACGGTGACAATGCATCATGAAAACAGTATCGCTGTTGTTTCTTTTATTTTCTTACTCTTTATAAAAGTTTGAATCTATAAACGCTTAGAACTTCCCATCCGGCCTTTCTAGTCATGATATGTTCACATTGCCAACCTTTCTGTTCCATGTTTTCCACAACTTGTTGTGGCTTATTCCTGGCACAGAATAAGATGTATGCTACACCGTTTGGCGATAGAATCGTTCCCAAGGATTCGAGCAATCTATCGGTTACAACCATCCCATCAGAGCCACCCAGCAGTGCCAAATCGAGCCATTCATAGGCGTCCTCAGACTTGGGAATACCAGGCACTTCCTCCGCAGGTACGTACGGTGGGTTGAAGATGAGAATATCAACGATGTTGTCCCTCAGTGCAGTTGTAAGGTCTGACCTGATTGAGTCAAGATATGGAGTACCACCGTTCTTCAAGCTCGTTGCCTTTGAGGCTAAGCAGGCATGTGGATTGACGTCTGTGGTGATAAATAGCCCATTCGGTACGATTGACTGGTGCATAAACGTCGTCACTATGCCTGAGCCTGTTCCAATCTCAACAACCAACGGCGATGAGCTGTAGTGTGTGTTGATGTAGTCCTTTTCCTGCTCCAGACAGTCCAGCAGAAGAAACGAGTCCTCCGCAGGCTCGTATACCTTTTCATAATCAGCAGCAACATCTGGGGTCGGAAGCATTGTACGTCCTGTATCTCTCTTTCTGTTTCTCTGTTTCTGGTTGATGGTCTCTTCCCTTCTATGAGTGTAGGGCCCTTAGGCGGAGAGAAAAAAGTGTCCTAGTGGGAGGGAAACAACATGGAAAAAAACAACGGGGAACTACATAACAGAACCAGCACATCACAGCAAACCGACAACAAGCACGATAACTCGTACAGGACCATAGTAGCGAGATGCAAATTAAAGTGAAGGTATGTGGAACCATCGCCGGCAGGCTCCTCTCTAAGCGTGAAACTAACACTGTAGTAGACATTGACGGGGAAAGAGGTGCGTATAGAGACGCTTTCATAGGCAACGTCTGGCGCTGTACTGACACATACCAGATTCCAATTGACGTTGAACCAACCGATAAAGTAAGTCCCTTCCGCCATATCCGAGTGTGAAGCTCGCTACTAACGCAGACCATCAACAAAGATCCTACGTATCAAAGAGATCCTGGAGGAGAAGGAAGGCATTCCTCCTTCACAGCAGAGGCTCATCTACACGGGAAAGCACATGTGAGTACGGGCCTCGCGGCCCACCACACACGACTCGCTCGGCCATACTAACACCACTGGTATAGGAACGACGAACAAACAGTTGAGGAACACAGGCTCGAGCCAGGCGCACAGCTTCATTTGGTGTTGACCCTTCGTGGTGGGTGCTGAGGCCCTGGTGGGTGCTGATTATGTAATCACTGTGTAGCGGCAACTATCACCAACATTGGGAAAATTTATATATCAACTTTTCTCTGTTTACATTGTTTACATTTCGTTGTAGTTTGAACCACAACTGGGCGGCTACGTGGAATTCGCAGGGCGGTTGGAACCATGGACGGCCAGCGAGATTCAGGACGAAACAGAGAGCCAGCAGAGTTCCAGATCTCTGCTGAGCAGATCCTCATGGAGGCGTATGAGAGGAAGAGTGAGCCCATGAACAAGACACAAGTGAGAATTGCAGACCTGGAGGAGCTCCACGAGATGCAACGGAGGAAGAGACAGGAGTACGAGGATGCACTCAGGAGAAACAGACTGGATTTTGGCCAGTGGATGAGGTATGCGCAGTTTGAGATTGACCAGCACGACATGAGAAGAGCCAGATCGATATTCGAAAGAGCGCTGGAGATCAATAGCCACCACGTTCCGATGTGGATCCGCTACATCGATTCTGAGCTGAAGACGAGGAACATAAACCATGCGAGAAACCTATTTGACCGTGTTACTGCATTGTTGCCGAGAGTGGATAAGTTCTGGTTTAGATATGCGCAAACAGAGGAGGCGCTACAAAACGTCAACGGTACAAGAGATGTGTTCAAGAGATGGATGAAGTGGGAGCCAGATGGTCCTGCGTGGGACGCCTATATTAATTTCGAAAAGAGGTACGACGAATTTGATAATGTGCGGAAGATATTCAACAAGTACGTTGTAATTCATCCTACGTCTCAAACATGGCTGAAGTGGGTCAAATTCGAAAACGATTATGGTTCTTCTGACACGGTTAGAGAAGTGTATACTGTGGCTATAGATTCGCTTCGAGATGAAAGATTGATCACGAGTTTTGCTCAATGGGAGGCAAAGCAGAAAGAATGGGAAAGATCAAGGGCAATCTTCAAGTTTGGCTTGTTGAATTTCCCCGAATCCTCTTGGATTCAGGATCAATTCTCGCAGTTTGAAAAACAGTACGGTGACAAAGACGGTATTGAAACGTCGATAGTCCACAAGAGGAAACTGAAATACGAATCAGAATTGGCTATTGATCCTCATGACTATGATACATGGTGGGCATACATATCGCTTTTGGAATTGGATTATACAATCGACGAAAGAAGGAAGGCTTTCGAAAATGCGGTTTCCAACACACCAATACAATCGGAGAAGTCTTACTGGAAACGATATATCTTCTTGTGGATTAAATATGCCATTTTTGAGGAGCTCAACGGTGAGATTCAAAGAGCCAGAGAAGTTTATGAAAGAGCTACAAGAGTCACTCCAAAGGGGTTTTCGTTTTCGAAGATTTGGATCTTGTTTGCGAAATTTGAGGTTAGAAACTGTGAAAATTATGACGTTACAAGAGCGAGAAAAGTCATGGGCCGTAGTATTGGTGCCTATCCAAAGAGGAAAAGTTTTGAATTTTATATCTCGTTGGAGATTAAACTGAAAGAGTTTGATCGTGTTCGAAAGATTTATGAAAAGTATATTGAGAATTTCACGCAAGACCCCAAAGTTTGGTTTGAATACGCGGAGTTGGAAAGTGGATTGAACGATTTGGATAGAGCAAGGGCCTTGTATGAATTAGCGCTTGAAACTGTGAACGATAAATCCCAAATATGGGATCACTTTGTAAACTTTGAATCAGAGCAGGGTGAATATGATAATGCCAGAAGTTTGCTAAGAAGACAATTGGAAAGTGACATTGATTCCACCACAGTCTGGATCAAGCGTGCATTATTTGAGTCTACTGTCCCCTCAGAAGAGCAAATTCAACAATACAATGCAAAGGTTGAAGAGACCGGTGATTATGAATTGGAGTTTGAAATTGAGGTGTCACAAGACGCCAAAGTGAGGAGTCGTTCAATCTTTGAAGAAGCATTATCCCATTTCAAGAAGAAAGAACTCAAGGAACCAAGATTGGTTATTTTCGAGGCGTATAAACAATTCGAGGAACTCCATGGTGATCCTGTATCACAAATGAAACTGGAGGAACGACTCCCAACTGTTGTTTCAAAGACAAGAACGCTGGATGACGGTTCACTACAGGAGTACTACGATTACGTGTTTCCAGATGATAAGAAGGTTTCCAGTAAATTCTTGGAGATGGCAAAGAAATGGTCAAAAAACAAGCAGTGATACAATACCTGTCTATAGAATACTGTTAATAACCAAATTAATACTCTTTTTATTTCATCTACTGCGATCCATCAGTTCTTCTTTTCCTGTGGCGCTGGTGGTGATGCAAGACCCGGTGGAGCATTTAAACCTGGTGGTGCCAGTCCAGGTGGCGGACTTATACCAGCTGGAGGTGTCAGTCCAGGCGGAGCTGCCATTCCTGGAGGTGCACCAAGGCCAGGAGGTGGAGTCAGCCCAGGAGGCACGCCAATACCTGAAGGTGCACTTATACCTGGAGGCGCACTTATGCCTGGAGGTGCACTTATACCTGGAGGCGCACTTATACCTGGAGGCGCACCTGAAGCAGTTGACAGCCCTGGTGGTGCAGACAGTCCTGGTGGAGGTGGCAATCCTGAACGTGGATCCAAAGTGGACGCTCTATTACCTTGTGGTAGTGGCGGTGGCAGAGCATCGATGTGTCTCTTCTTGGCCTGTGGTCCCTCATTCATGTAGTGTTTGGCATTGATATCACTCAGCATGTTGTTGAACTCCTGCTCAACGTTGAAAGACCCATGTGCATTGTCCTTGAGTTTACAATCCCTTGCGAAATGGCCAGTATTACCACAGATACGACAGACAACCTGTGACGTGTAGTTCTCACGGTTCGGACATTCCCATCTCTTGTGGCCACGCAATCCACAGATGGAACATGGTCTATCGTCATCTTCTCTTAGCGTACCATTCAACGCTGCCAGCTCTCTCAATTGGCCTCTCTTCCAGTCATTCTGGCCCTCTGGTGCAGTGATCGCCCTGTTTATGACCTCTTTGCAGGCTGCTATACCAGCTGCAACTTTGTCCTCGTTATCACCTGTGATCAAGCAGTGCAAAGGCTCGTTCAAATGTGCGCTACGTGGATCATCTCTGGTGTTCTTACCTTCTTTGACGGAGCCTTTGCCCCTGATGGCGATCCTGGCCCCTGTTTCCTCCTGCATCTTTCTCAGCGTGTTACCTCTTGGTCCCAAAAGTTGGCCAATGAAGTTGATCTCTGGATGCTCCTTGACAGGTAAGAAGTACTTCTCCACAAGTGACTTGGGTCTTCTATAGTCTGTTGGCGCAACGTAGTGCGGTACGATTCTGGCTGCAATTTCAATCAAGTGGTGTCTCTCGTCCTCCAACGCCTTTTCGTAGCGTTGTTCCCTTGTATTCGTTCTCTTACCGTGTGAATCGTACTGTGGCGGCGGTGATGGCGACCGTGACAGCCTCTGTGGTGGCACTATATCATTGTTAGATATCTTCTGTGTGATCTCCTCGATACGGTAAACTATTTGATAGGCATCGAGTTGTTCTGGTGTCAGCACTCCAGTGATCACCGTTGGCATGTTGATCGCCCTGGACAACGGATTCCTCGTACTCCAATTACCATTTTCTGATGGCGGCTGTCCGTTGGCCGTCTCTCGCGTAGGCGAACGGCCTCTTTTAAGTGAGTAGCCGGACATATCTTGAAGTGATGCTTTGTCCTGTTGGCGATGTTTTGAGTTTAAGTGATTGCTTTACCCGATGTTCTTTAGGGCTAATGTCTTTTTTTTTCGCATCTTCAAAACTTTTTTTTTCCTCGGGACACGCACCATGGGGTCGCAACGGTGGTGGAGTTGATCTTACGTGTTTCTATGACTTTGGGGAATGAACAAGGACATAGTCACACAAATAGGGTTTAGCTGATGTTGAAAATTTTTTAGCCACTTATAAGGAAGCGGAATACGTGCCATACACTGTTTCTATTATAAGTGGTGGTATACCCCTTGTACCATTATGCTAAGGCTTATGTGCTTGTGTCCTACACTAGAAGTTATGTGTCATCTTCTATCGTTTGTCAGGTCTCCAGATGGTTCTCTCTTGCACAAGCATAGGCACGTATAACTCACGTCATCCTTGTAGTTCAGCTTACAAAAAACTTTTCACTCGCTTGAATGACGGCGATGTATGTGAAACGATCTTTTAAACTTTATGAGATATGTGGTCATCGATGGATGAAAAGTTTTCTGTTTGGACTCTCTAATGCTTGATAAAAGATGATCATGTCTTGTTGACTCATGATCAATATTTTTACGAGTGGTTAATGCACATGTCTGATTGCATGACAATCTTCTTGTAGCCACTGGACTGGTAGGCACTTGAAGACCAAACATTTATATGCACACCCTCAAATAAGTTGGACACACCTTACAAACAGACTGTTTATCTTATCTCTAACGTTACCATGAAAAAGTTTTTCTATATGGTACTAGCTTAGTGAGTGGTCACAGTTCAAGCATCAAAATGGACACTCGTGACAAATGCAAGGTCTTCGGAGAGCACCAATACGAACCACAACGACTGTCTACTTCTAGCATCTATTGTCGGCGCACCATGGGAAATCGATATGTACACCGTTGAATTTAGCACAGAAAGTCGGGGGAAAGGATAACGTTCATAGAGCGTTGTAGCATCTTTACAACTCACAAATGGCAAATTAATACAATTCACAATTCAACCATGGTGTAGTAGATTCATGGTCTTAACCGTTTTAATCATCGCCAAACCTGAACTGCAGCATGGCCACTTCGAAGTTTCATAATGTTCAATGACGTTAGTTAGTCCTGTGCAGAAATACAAAAAGCAGTGTTTTTGTGGTTCTTTTTTTTTTTTTTGCGAAATGGACAGGTCTTGTGTGTCATGCAATGACATAGCAGACTGGACAAATAACCGCAACCGCTAAATTCATCATGGCATTACCGGCCCAAGCTGTGGACATTTCTCATTCATATTTTTATTGAGCCACCCAGTCCTGGAAAATGGCACACGACCCCCGTACTGGTCTGTTGTGCTTAACTCTGTTGAGCCCTGAGGCCCCAGCACTAAACGGCAATTTCTGTAATCTTGAGCGGCGCTTGATTCCCGCTGTTGGACCCTATCGCTGTTGCGCCTGTTCTCTATCACCTGTAGCTTGTGGCTAATTCATTGTTTTCTGTCCCCAAGCTGCGATTGTAAGCGATAAAAATTTTTGGCTGCAACGGTGAGTCGATGATCACTACCCCGTATAAAAAACCGCATTTTTGTCCCGGATTACTTCTCCTTTTCTTTTTTTTTAAAGTTCCCTCTTCCTTTTGTGCATTCCCCGACTTTTGCAGCTGTTCAACCTTCTCCGAGAAGACCTTTAGGACACACGAGACATTTCAAAGTGGTCATTTTGGACAAAAGGCTAAAACACCGTTACGATCGTGGAGAGACATATCACATCCCACATTTCACTTGATCATTGGTATAAATAACCCAGCCATTCCTCTTAAACCCTGGTGACACTACTGCGAGAATGTTGAGAATTATCACAAACAAACAGGCATTTACACTGCCATTGCTAAGAATCATGCCAGCAAGAGTTATTACACACACAAAGTCCAAGACTTTAAAGCAATTCACACAAGTAAGGGACTTCACACCGGCCCCAAAGGTGACTTTGAAGGATGTGAACCAACACGTTGTTGCTGCGCAATACGCCGTTAGAGGATTGATTCCAATGAAGGCCGAGGAACTCCGTGAGAAGCTCACCAGCGACCCGGATTCTTTGCCCTTTGAAAGCATCATCAACGCCAACATCGGTAACCCTCAGCAGCTACAGCAACCACCTCTAAGCTTCTACAGAGAGGTGCTGTCTATCTTGCAGAACCCAAAGCTCTTAGAAACTGATTTGTACGCCAACGACGTTAAGGAAAGAGCACAGAAGCTGCTCAATGCTGCCCAGAGCGTCGGTGCTTACTCACATTCGCAAGGTATCGCCTATGTCCGTCACAGCGTTGCACACTTCATCCAAAAGCGTGATAACGGCGTGTTTGCTGACCCTTCAAACATCTTCCTGACCACTGGTGCCTCTGATGCCGTCAAGGCCGTGTTGGAGGTGCTGTTGACTGGTGAGAAAGACAACGGTGTCTTGATCCCAATCCCACAGTATCCGTTGTACACTGCGGCATTGGCTCTCAAGAACGCCACCCCAATTCCATATTACTTGAAAGAAGAACAACAGTGGTCCACCGATATTGAGCACATTGATGAGCTCGTGAAATCCGCAAAGAGTTTCGGCATCACTCCAAAGATCCTCGTTGTGATTAACCCAGGTAACCCAACTGGTGCTGTGCTGACCCGTGAGGCTATCAGAGAGATCATTGAAGTTGCTGCACAGAATGGCCTTGTGATCATTGCAGATGAGGTTTATCAAGAGAACATCTTTGACGGTGAGTTCTTCTCTTTCAAGTCCGTTCTTGCAGAATTGCAAAATGAGCACGCTGAGAAGTTTGAGAACGTTCAGTTGGCGTCCTTGCACTCCACCTCTAAGGGAGTTTCAGGCGAATGTGGCCAGCGTGGAGGTTACATGGAGCTCGTGGGCTTCAACTCAGAGATCAAGCAACTCTTCCTCAAGTTGGCTTCCATCTCCCTTTGTCCAGTCGTCACTGGTCAAGCTCTTGTAGAGCTGATGGTTAACCCACCAAAAGAAGGCGATGAATCGTACGAACGTGACCAGGCTGAGAGAAAGGCCATCCACGATTCCTACAAGTCCAAGGCTGAAGCCATGTACGAAGCATTCTCAGAATTGGAGAACATTGAGGTTCAAAAGCCACAAGGTGCCATGTATCTGTTCCCAAGAATCATCCTCAATGACGTTGTCAAGGAGGTTGCTGAGAGCCATGGCCTCAAGCCAGATGAGTTTTACTGTTTGAGATTGTTGGAGGAAACTGGTATCTGTGTGGTTCCAGGTTCTGGATTCGGTCAAGTCGAAGGTACCTTCCATGTTAGAACCACTTTCCTGCCTCCAGGTGAAGAATGGATTAAGCACTGGGCTACTTTCCACAAGGAGTTCATGCACAAGTATGCTGAGATTTAAGCAAGATCAACTACCTGAAAGGTGGTGAACTGGTTCTCCTCCATGTGTCTTGATTTATGAATAATATAGAATGTTAACGGTAATCGCTTTTATTGATTTGTATACGTTTGGGGAGTTGATGTAGCCATGATCATTCTGCCTTTTTAGGATCCTCTGTTGATCTTGAAGAATCTTTCAGCAGTACGCTGTACAGCACGGTGAGCCATGTTGGAAGCCATCCAATGGAGACCACTATCCATGTTTGAGAGTTGAATACTTTCCAGCCAGTGAGTAAGCCATGCAACAGCTCTTGGAGACCACCGTCAAAATCAGTGCTCAGTGGGATTGCTAAGACAAACGGGTTTGAAACAAGAAGACAGAGGCAGTTGAGCCATTGAGGGAAGGAATCGTTCACAAATGTCAATGGTAAGGCGAAGAGTCCCATGGAAAACGTCAGGGAAAAGTTGAGGACTTGGAGGGAAGACATCACGGTACTGAAGAACAAGATAGCAGTCGATCTGAGCAGTGGAACGAGTTCCTTCTTGCCTTCAACTCTTACCAAGAGGGGAGTGAATGAGACCAGTGTAAAGACAGCTATAAGACCATATGATATAACTATTGGCAAAAGAGGTGCCAACAATGAGATGAAGAAGCCAATGACAACGGTAGTTGCAAAGATGAGCGAGCTTTGAATGGCGAATCCTAATAAGTATGACACTTCGAACTGGCTGTTGAATACTTTGTGCAACGATGCCAGGATGTATGAAATCACCAACGCTCCAGATGAAGGCAAGTAGGTTCCAAATGAGACAAAGTGTCTTGGTGCTAATAGCAAGTAGAAGAAGAAAGATTGATGGAACTTCTCCAGCAGGTTATTAACGGATCTGAAGACTGCTTCAGGGATTCTGCCAAAGACTGTGATGTCATAAGGGCCTGTTCTGCCTATCGCCTTCAATGTGATTGCCTGGATTCTGTATCCACTGAATGCTTCATTTCCATGGCCCTTTCTAACACCGGCAGTGGCCAACGAGATGATCCCATGTGTCAGAATGCGCAGACGTGACCAATAATCGTTGGTATACAGGTCCTGTTGCTTAGTGCCTTGGATACTCACACGTGGACCTTCGTGCTCCGTGACCCAAACTGCCGTGTTGACCAAGTCCAAGTTTGGCAATTGACCGTTCAAGCCTTCGTAGTACAGCTCGACGTATTCGAAATTGTCGGTGTTTGAAGGGTAGTCCATCATAATCGCAGCCTCTATCGTTCCACCCGTGAGATCCAGGTTGCTGTGGTACGCATTGACCCACTCTCTCAGCGACTCGTTAGGGTCCTGTGGAATGACAATGATGATGTTCTTCGACCAAACAATCCAGCGGCGGAAGTACCTTGCCAATGCCAGAGAGAGACTCAGTCCACCAACGTTCAGCGCTCCGTCAGAGCTCTCATACGCAGCACCGAGCACGATGGCCTCGGTGTCATCGCCCCTGGGCGAGTGGAAGATCGCATACAGGTTCTTCTTGCCATCAGCGCACTCGTGGATGGCAGTCTTGTATCCAATATCCTCCAGCCATAGTCTCATCGACTGCAAGTTCCCGTCAACATCGTCCACGTCAAAGCCGTTGATCTGGGTCCTGAAGCCTCTCAGGATGTTCCACTCAGACTCACGGAAGTATGAGTACGCCTGCGACGGCATCAGAGCGTTCTCTGAGATGTAGTTGTTCCTGTACTGCCCGTCCATTGGCAATACAAAGAGCCAGCCAACACCACCAATTGCCAACGCTAAGGACAGCAGCGGGAGGAACCTGATGGTCCTCCGTATCAGCTGGTGCTTCACTATCTGGTGGTACACCGATTGTAAGAGAGCCATGTGTCTGTGCTTGTCCAATGAGACGAACGGGTGTAGATCTGCTGTGCGAGTGTTGTGGTGTTGTTGTGTCGTCGGAGGCTCTGCGTACGGTGTAGTTGTTTTTTCTCTCTGCTGGCGCGAGGACGCGGTGGTGGGCGGGGGTCTGTAGGCGGGGCCGTAGAAGGAACTCAGCCTGTAGGCGGGAACAGTAGGCGGGAACAGTAGAGGGAACTCAGCCAGTGGGCAGGAGCCTGTGGGCAGGAGCCGTAGAGGGAACGCAGCCTGTGGGCAGGGGCCGTAGAAGGAACGCAGCCTACGCGCTGCCTACAGAGATCACCAACCAGCAAATCGTCTCAATTAACCACCCCAATTGACTCTCTAAACGCCTGTAGAGCCTCGTGGTCATCAGGTGCGATCCATAGCGAAGCACTGTTGAAGTCCTTCGCTATGAGGCTGTCAGCGCTGAAATCAGCATAGAACTTACCAGCACAGTCTCTGCCCTGGTACCCTCGGCTACACATCCATACGTATCTTCCCCTTGTACGGGGGTCTTTGAACATTCGTCTGAGCTCCATGGGGGAATGGCACAGTTCGCACTGAGGAATATGGTCCTTATAACGTGGCAGGTAGTGCCTGTAGGTGAGATTGACTCTCAGCGTGCCGGAGACCGGGTGTGGGATGAGCTCTGTGGTGGAAGAGACACAGTGCTTGAACTCCTCCTGGAAGCCAGCATGCATAATGAGAAGGGTGTTGTGAGGCAAAGGAATAGAGTAAATGGTGTTGAACCTGGAGGTGGCGTCGTCGGAGCAGTACTGCTTCCTTACCCTGAACTCCCTTGTGGCTCCTAGTGATAGAGAAGCAATGGTACAGTGAGGCCCAATGTACGTTAGGCGATCAGAATGCCAATCCAGGTTGTTCGACTTTGTATAGAACTTGTTGCACAGTGCCAGGTCGCCAACCCACTGGCCCTGGTGTTGAAAGGGCAGCCGGCCTCTCTCGTTTATCTCCATGTTCACCTGGTCTTCAATCAGGACCTGTGCGATCCCATGGAAGTCGGTGAACTCCGACTTGTTCTTGGTCTCAACGCCGTTGTAGAAGATACCGTCGATGGGTTTGCTCGAATACATCTTGGTGTCGTGTTTCGAAACACACCTATTGCCAAAGAGGTAAAACTCGGAGGCCACGAAGTCAGCTGTGTCATCCATGATTGTTTGGAGCAGGGAGTCAGCAAGGTCATTGGGGAGGAAGTTATAATGGATCGTGGAGTATGGAACAGTGGTTTCGATGGCCTCTTTGGTGTGCAGCAACACAGGCTTATTGGACCCCGAGGTGTTTGTAGAGACGAGCTTCTTGCTAACAGGTCTGTTCATGAGACTTTGGATACTCGCTTGTCTAGCAACCTTGGATCTCTTCCGAGTTGGACCTTTGGGAAATGTCTCCATCAACAATCTTTCAGCAGATGATAAAGAACCATCACAGACTACCAGTAGCTCGAGCAATGATGCTTCATCTGCTTCTGGAAACTGTCTCTTAAGCTCGGATACCTTTTCCTCCGTCATTCGCCGCGGTCAAGCTCTACACTATCGCAGTGCCAATGGGGAATAATGGGCATCCCATGTACATCTCAGCTCTGGGGAAGAAGTATATAGATCTACAGCGATTTGTAAGCAATGAGGTTAGTGTTACATCAGCACTTTATCGTCAGACAAACAGTGGCATTTTACCTTCCAAGCAATTGCCTCGCTGGCGCAATCGGTAGCGCTTACGACTCTTAATCGTACGGTTGTGGGTTCGAGCCCCACGTGGGGCATTTAGCTTTCTTTTTTCAATCTCTGGGATTAAGTCACGTGATGTAAGTATAACATGGGGGTTTACACTTAATCTACTTCATCTGGCTGATGTTTATGAGGATCACCACGTTGAGGTCAGTTGCTATGATAGCAGATCGATGGCATTTGTGCCTAAGCCCACATTGCTGTGTCATCGTCACTGTAATTCCAAGATCAATTCAACTCTCAGAGACGTAGGTTAAAGACCATCAGCTCACGGGAACGTCGACTACTACATCATAATCATATACAGTCCTGTTGATTCCAGGACTGTTGTGTATGAAGTTATGTAAAAGAAAATAAGATCAACTTGATAGAAAAACATACTAGTTTTATAGAGAGAAAAAAAAACAATCAAATACGTATTAACGTTGCAACCATGAACCAAGACACCAATTCTTTCTAAAACAAGACGCTGTAAACGATCAACACATCATGGGAGAAAGTTTTCTTTTCTTCGTCATTGTATGTCTTTTGAAATATTTATATGCTGTTATACTTCATGTGCTAACATTAGTTCTCGATTTTTTGCTTCTTAGTTTCTGGACCTTCGTTGATGGAAACATCCTCTTCAAGAGCAGAGCCTTCAGATGGTCTCACAAGTGGGGTGGAAACCTCAGCGTGGAAGTCTCTAATGATGGAATCGACATCGTCAATACTCAGTTGACGAACGTCACCAAGTCTTTTGATCTTAGCAGTGACATCTTTACATTGGTCGTCAGTCAAGTGCAAGTTGAGTTGGTCAACTCTCGATTTGATAGCGTTCCAACCAGTCAATCTGTTGGCAAAGTGAATGTATCTGGACAAACCGAAATCTGATGGGTTCAAGATCTCGTATGTGGATGGGTTGGCCAAGATAGCCTTTGCGTGGATACCAGCCTTGTGGGTGAAGGCACAGAAACCAGTGATTGGGTTGTTGAAAGGAATATTCACTTGAACGGCATCGGCAACCAAGTTCTCCAAGTCACGCAATTTGTGCAATTTGTATTTGGACAAGACGTAGTCACGATCAGCAGCAATCATTCTAGCCATCAAACCACCCAATGGAGTGATACCGTTTCTCTCACCAATACCCAAAACAGAGACATCGATCAATCTTGCACCAGCCTCCAAAGCAGTGTAAGCGTTAGCAATGGCACAACCGGTATCATTGTGGAAATGTGTTTCAATGTCACAGTGCACGACGGATTTCAAAGTACGCACCAAATCGTAAACTTGTCTTGGGTTAGCACAACCGACGGTATCAGCGATACCAACTCTGTTCACACCAATCTTGTCAACGGTTCTGTAAATGTTGAGCAGATCGACAATGTCAGATCTGAAAGAGTCCTCAGAAGAGAATCTGATTTCGATACCTTTAGACTTGACGAATTCAATAACTTCAATGGCAGACTTAGCGATGTAGTTCATGTCCTTACCGTGGGAGTATTGTCTCAAGAACTGAGAGGTACCGATGACAACGTCGACACCATCAACACCAGTTTCCACAGCAACTCTGGCGTCATCCATGTGACATCTGATGTGTGTAAGGATCTTTGCTTTCAATCCCAATTTACAGATGGCCTCACAATCGGCTCTCGATTGCTCAGAGGCAACTGGGGAGGTCAACTCAATGTAGTCAACACCAAAGTCATCAAGAGCCTTGGCGATCTCAATCTTCTTCTCGGTGGTGAAGAAGGCATTGGCGAATTGCTCACCTTCTCTGAGGGTGGACTCGATAAGTTGGAAATTCGAAACGTTAGACAAGTAGTCAGCCGGGTTTGGGCCGTATGGGTTGATTGGACCGCCCTTCTTCTTGGCCTCTATCACTTGCTGGAAAACTTCCTCTGTATATGTGCGTTAGTAACCACCGCTTGCTAGGGTTGTCTCCTCTCCACCACCCCTTCCATCACCCCTTCCACCACCTTTATGGCACAGCATGTGTCCGATCGAGCGCACACCGGCATCGGCAAAACGCACACCATCAAGATCCCAGGCGGAAAAACTTGGGTAGTATCACCACCACGGAATCATTGACTGGCACCTCTCATCGGCGCACTATTCATCCATAGAGCATGAGCGCTCCGGCTCAGAATCGGCACAATCAACAACACACGTGATCAATCAAGCATAAACAAGCCGGGAACAAGAAAGCGCCCACAGTTAAGAACACCGCCCATAGCTGACAACAAATCCACATTGGCACATACACAGCAAGCATGATAGGGGAAAGAACGAGGGAAAGGGGGACGGCGAGGTAAAAACGTCAAAACAATCACAACCACATACCTTTGTTTGCTGGGAGACCGGCATTGGCCTTAGCGTCTTCACAAGATCCGCACATCTTTTCAATCTAGCTGATTAATGGTTTTATCAATAATGGCTAGGAAGTAGTACAAAGAGAGATGAAAAGTTTTTTTTTAATTTATAAGAATTTCCCTCATCAAGTGAGTAATTCCCGTGACTCTTCGATACGCAAAGGAAGAAAAAAAATGACAAGCGCTTAAACATCGAAAACAGCGATTGATGTTCCAATCTTTTGCCCCCAGCCTCTCATCGATGACCAAATTGAACAGGTGCAGACTACGATGAAAACGATCCGGACACTGGCGTACTTTGGTATTTCGCAGGTGAAGGCTTCGGAAAGGGGATAGCAAAGCGCCTGGTGAGTCAGAAGACACACGCCGGGAACGGGTGCTTCACCTGAAACGGAGGAGGAAGTTCTGCTTCTGGGCCGGAGGGGACGGTGGTTCGGTAGGCGCACATCTCCGAGGGTATACGGCACGTGGTGTATCACGTGCAATGTTTCCGGCCCCTCGAATCTCGTTTTTGTGGATTTCCCTGATGTGGTGGTGTTTTCCTCTGGTTTTTCAAGAGGGACGACTGGAGGGAAAACGGGTTCAGGACAGCGTTGGAATCAACAACTTCATTCAACCAGTGGGAACCCGTGGAACAGAATTGATTGCATCTCCATAGCCGTGTGCCTCGTGATTCTATATAGATATACACTGCAGGACTCTTGTCGGCTTTCTGTGTTCTCTTTTCCTTTACTGTGTGTGTCTCCGCCGTGTTATTCTTGCTCCCAACAAGTGTGTTTAGCGTGGTGATATTGAAACAAACAAGGACATCTACACAAGAACGCTGCCTTTATACACATTCTCACATATTATCTGCTTCACTAGACGGCTTCCAGACCTAAAGTGCTCTCATTCCATCAGCTAAACTCAGGAATCCATAACTCGGTTGAACGATGACTGAGCTTCCAAAATCAAACGACTTGAACGCCACTTGGAACTTTGTCGAGCCAGGGCTCAAGAGAATCATCGGTGGCTCTGAAGACAATGTCGGTGTTACGCCGCAGATGTACATGAACGTTTACTCTGCGATCTACAACTACTGTGTCAACAAGTCAAGATCTCCAAACAACCTCTCCTCGAACAACGCCTCACAGTCGTCTCTGCTTGTGGGCGCTGAGATCTACGAAAGGTTGAAGAAATACCTCTCTGTTTACGTGAAACAGTTACAGCGCACACCACCAGAGTCATTCTTGGAGTTTTATGTCAAGAGATGGACCCGTTATACCGTGGGCGCAGGATATCTTAACCACGTCTTCGACTACATGAACAGATACTGGGTTCAAAAGGAACGTAACGACGGTCGGAGGGATATCTTCGACGTCAATACCTTGGCACTATTAACATGGAGAGACTACATGTTTCTCCCACATGCTGAATACCTTGTGAAGGAGATATTGGCCCAGATCGAGTTACAAAGGGATAACCAAGTCATTGATACCAAGTTTTTGTCAACTGCAATTAAATCATTTGTCTTACTTGGTATAGACGTTCAAGATTTGAAGAAACCAAATTTGCACATTTATATTGATAATTTCGAAAAGCCCTTTTTGGAGTCAACAAGACAATTTTACGCTGCAGAATCTGCTGAGTACTTGTCATCCCATAACGTTGTGGATTACTTGAGAAAGGCTGAACAGAGAATCAACGAAGAGGAAAGTCGAGAGACTTTATACTTAGATGAACACAGTAAGAAACCTTTAACGGATACTTTGAACGATGTGCTTATAGTTGCTCACTCCCAGGTTATGTACGACGAATTTGCCAATTTATTGGAACAAAATCAGATCGATCATATTGCAAAGATGTTTGCCTTGTTCAACAGAGTGCCATCGACCTTGGACCCACTAGCAGAAATCTTCCAAACTTATATCGATCTTAAAGGTATTACTGCCATTGATAACTTGAAGAATGACATTCAGAATGAAGCTTCCAAGGCAGAGGCTACAGGTGGAAAGAAGCCAAAGCAACAAGTTGATCCAAAGTTGTACGTCAAAGCACTTATTCAAGTCTATAAGAAATTCCAGCAGATTGTTAGTACTGCTTTCCAAAACCATCCAATCTTTGTCAAGGCCTTGGATAGCGCCTGCCGTCAATACATCAACAATAACTCAATTGCTAAACCACCAGGTTTTAGAGGAACCTCAAAGACATCTGATTTGTTAGCAAAGTACAGTGATAATTTGCTCAAGAAGAACAAGGATGCCGATGCCACAAGTGACATGAGTGTTGATGACATTATGGTCATCTTCAAGTTCCTCAACGACAAGGATGCATTCGAAACACACTACAGACGCTTATTGGCTAAGAGATTGATCCATGGAACCTCATCGTCCACTGAGGCTGAAGAAACTGTGATCCAAAGATTACAGAGTGAAAACAGCATGGAGTATACATCAAAGATCACCAGAATGTTCCAGGATGTTAGATCCTCGCATACACTAAGGGCAACGTTCAAAGATGAGGCTTCAAAGAGAGCAGATTCCAAATCGATAGTTGCGGACTTTGAGCCTTTTGTTCTAACCGAAACAATGTGGCCATTCAGTTTCTCAAAGAATAACAAGTTCCAACTTCCCGCTGATTTGGTTCCAACATACTCCGCATTCCAAGATCTGTATGGACAACAACACAGTGGAAGAATCCTCAAATGGCTGTGGAACTTGAGTCGTGGTGATATTAAGGCAAACTTGCAGAAACCTGGTAGAGCACCGTTCACTTTGAGCTGTACCCTGTACCAAATGGCTATCCTCCTCCCATACAATGACAGCGATACATATACACTCTCTGAGCTTTGCAAACTGACAGGTTTGGATGCGCCTGTCATCTCCAATGCAATCGTCCCCATGGTCAAGTACAGACTTTTACAACCATCGCCAGGTGGAATGGATGCTCTTTCTCAGCTTGATACTAAATTCACAGTTGTTACTGAGTTCAAATCTAAGAAACTCAAGGTCAACCTTGTCCAAGGTGTTAGATCCTTGGAGTCGAAACAAGAGGTTGAGGACGCAGAGCGTGAGATTAATGAGGATCGTAGATACTACCTCAAGGCATGTATTGTTAGAATCATGAAGGCAAGAAAGCATTTGTCTCATGCTGCTTTGCTTAATGAAGTTGTTCAACAGTCTCACCAGAGATTCAGTGCCAAGGTCGCAGACATCAAGAAGTGTATTGATGAATTGGTTGATACTGAGTATCTTCAAAGAAATGAGGATCAGAGCTATGATTATTTAGCTTAGACAGGCTTTATCTGTGTATCTAAATGTATTGTTTGTCATGAAGTTATCATGTAGATATTCCCCAGGGGGGAAGAAAAAAACGCACATGTAGCGATGGGCACCCACCACATTCGACTATCATCAACACAAGGCGGTAAAGGGATAGCTGTGGCGGTTTGATTTTGGAGCACAATGTACGATGCTTTCGACTGAATTGAGACATGTGAATAGAATAGCTAATGACCTCTCCCATTTAATGCCCTTTGGTGTGGTATTCTTAACCAATGCTCCAAGGATGCCGATGCCGGGCATTGAAGCACCAGACCAATGGCTTTGGTTTGATCCGCCCAGTCTAACGGCTCAACAGGTGCTACGATCAGTGCTGGATGAAGGTCAATACTGTTTGAGTGGCATCCTGCTCGATATAATCTACTTGGTTGAACGAATTTACCTGAGGGCCACTTATAAAGTTCACAGAGTTGGTAATCATGATATTGTCATGTTGAGACTGTATGCTGTGCCCACTGATATTGATGGAAACAGATTCCTCCAAAGTTATAGATCATCGTTACAGTATAAGAGATCTCTGTCATGGCATTCTGAACGGTATTTGAGAATAATGAAGAACCTGATCACTGTGCTGGATTATTCGCAAGACAGCTGGGATGGATTTTTAACTTCTTCACCAAAGATGATATTCTCTGCATTGCAAAGCTTCAAGGAATTTGATTTCAATGCCATTGGTACAGGATACTATACTGATGACTCTCTTAGTTTCCACCTTTCTAGGCTGGTGGAAAGGCAAAGTTATTCCTTCCCGGAAAGAGCCAACTGTGATCCCCAGACTAGACTGTCTGATGTCTACAACTCTTTATTCTTTCAAGTAGATCGCACTGATGATCTGTTCATCAAAGCACAAAACATTGATTCTCTGAAGAACAAGCTCTATAACTATCAAATCGAGTCCGTGGCAAAGATGTATATCAACGAGTCCGATAGGCGGTATAGTGATATGCCACATATACTGAGGTTGAAAGGCCATATCTCAACCTTTGATACTTACTCTCTCACTTTCTCAAGAACCTCTGAGGTCTACAGGTCTCCAAGAGGTGGAATACTTGCAGAAAATATGGGATTGGGCAAAACACTCATATGCTTAGCCCTCATAGCTTTGACGAGAGCTGAAACATCCGTTCCACCAGATAGTCATCTAGTCAAAGCATCAAGAGACTACCATGTTTTGTCGTTAGCAGAACAATGTGTGAGATACATCAATAGGAAGTCAATTCCTTGGAGAGAATATGCAAACACCTTATCTGAATCGTGTCTTAAAAGGTTGAGAGAAAGCCCTGGTTATTTCTATATCAGAAAGCAGGACAACCTGACAAAGAAGTTCTCTACAAGAAAAAGACCAATGATCCAAGAAATGAAGTATTGGCTATCACCCACTACTCTTATTGTCTGTCCTGATAATTTGTTCCCTCAATGGGTTGGTGAGATAAACAAACATGTTAAAAAAGGAACAATATCTGTCCTTGAAAATCCATCAATCGAGTCTCATTTGCCTCCTGCCAGACAGCTTATTCAGTACGACATCATCTTGTTCACCACATCCTCATTTGCATCAGAATCTCAAAATCCAGACTCACCTCTGAGGAAGGTATGTTGGAAAAGACTGATAATTGATGAAGGACACAGCATGAATCAACGGTCCACTAGAGTAGTTGAGTTCTCTTGCGACCTTTTAGTTGAAAGACGGTGGGCAGTTACCGGAACTCCAACTGCTGGTATGACAACACTTTACATGAATGAAAATAGTGAAGTGAATGCTGAAAGCTATGTGGTCAAGCGAACCTTTGATGCTAAAGATGATCTCAAAAGATTTGGATACATGGTTGGAAACTTCTTTCGAATTGAGCCCTGGAAATCGAACCGTCAACTCTGGCGTAAATCGATTATTGATCCCTTCATTAAAGATAGTTGTGGTGCAACTCTTGCTCTCCGCTCGCTCATTGATAACCTTGTTGTCCGCCATTCCCCAGAACAGATTGAAAATGATGTGACCCTTCCACCACTATTCCATGAACCTGTATTTTTGACTCCTTCAACGCATAACAAGCTCTCCATCAATCTGTTCACTGCAGTTTTGGCAATAAATGCCGTGAGTTCTGAAAGGGAAGATCAAGATTACATGTTCCACCCTTCCAGTAAGAATGATCTCAGACGTTTGGTGACGAACCTTCAAAGGGCAACGTTCTACTGGACTGGCTTCTCCGTTGATGACTTAGAAACAATGGTGAAAATCTCCTATAGTTGTCTTGAGAAGAAGAACTCAGAAGGAAGAACATATTATAATGAAAACGACATTAGACTGTTACAAATGTCCATTAAAACATGCCAGCAAGCGTTATCTGACACAATTTGGAGAACAGCTTCGACAATACACGAAATGGGATATTATATTGGGGGTCTAAATGATTTGTTTGCAGAATATTTCAGTATTGGACATTATGATCACGATGTTGTGGCTCTTGGAGCACCACAGATCTATGCGATGCAAAGGTTTTACTTCAAACACCGATTCATGAATTATGAAGGGAATTTTGGTGACAAAGTCATAGCGTTTGGTGAGGAATTCTGGAATAGTTACTGGAGAAATGTTGTTAGGAAGAACACACAACGTGTGAAAAAGAATGATGGCCAACCTATTGATACAAACGCTGTTGATAGAGAGATTGTTCTACAGGTGAAAGCATCTTCAAAGACGTCTCCGTCTTCCAAAAAGATTTACGATGACGTTGAAATTCTAAAGGGTAGCACTGGACGAATTAGCCAGGATAAAGAAGCCATAACTGATCCTACATCAAGCTTCCAATCTACAAAGAATGCGTGTCTTCTCGGTTCATCTTCTGCAAAGCTCTCATATCTGGTCTCCCGTTTACTTGAGCATCAATGTACAGGTATCAAGAGCATTGTGTTTTTCGAATTTGAAGATAGTGCGTACTATCTTTCAGAGGCTTTGGATATCTTAGGCATTGATTACACCCTTTATGCAACTTCAGTGCCCAAGAAGGATAGACCTTCAAAGATTGATTTCTTTACCCAGGCTACCACAGCTCATGTTCTACTTATGGACTTAAAGCTAGCATCACATGGTCTCACAATTACATGTGCTACTAGAGCCTATTTTATAAATCCAGTTTGGAGTCGCTCTGTTGAAGCACAGGCGATCAAAAGAGCTCACAGAATAGGGCAGACACAACCTGTTCATGTTGAAACGTTAATCTTGAAAGGGTCTTTGGAGGAGGAAATGTTTAAGCTGCGATCTCGACATGAGGACTCTACACAAGTGGTTGCCGATGATGATGTTATCCGAAGGTTCATATCTAGGTTTGATTTCTTGAACTTGAGTAAAGATATCGCTCCATATTGCAAGTTTAGTTCAAAGTCTGTGGTTATGAATGAGGATTACGACCCTAACGAAACTATTTCGGATCATCTTTTAAGTCCCACGGCACGTTTGAACAATGGGATAGTTGAATGGAATGTCCCTGTGTTTAACAGAGAAGCCCAGACGAAGGTATCCTTGGGGGTTAAACACCAAACTCCATTGCATAGTACTGAGGCTACGGCATCTGGCAATGCTAAAGTGGTTAGAAGGTTACAATTCGATGATAATCACGGTGAAAAAGTCGAACATCTAAGGAATATCAAGAGAGTTCGGTTTGAGTAGTCTATTCATGCACTTGTATACCTAAGGATCACTTTACCGTCAACAGATGTAGAAGCAAGTTTCCCCATGTGTTCATCAATGTCAATAACTGTTCCTGAATGGCCCGCTGTCTTTCTCAGGAGTCTCTTTGAAGTGACATCCCAAGACGTTACGGTATTATCTGACGATCCAGAGTATATCACATTTTCTCTTATTATAGCTCGAATGGGTAAGTTCTCACCACCCGAAGGCGCACCGTCGTAGATCTGAGGTCTAATATGAGTCCCTTCAACGACACTTGGGTCGTATATCCTCAGAGTATCGTCATTTGATCTAGAGATCAGATTTGAATCATCGACTGCGATCGATGTGATTGTATCAGTGTGCATTGTCTCGATTTCAAACAGTGGTTTTGTAGATGACTTGATGTCCCACGCTCTGATCACCGGCTCAATTCCAGAGGCGTATACAATTCCACGATGGAATGCCACTGTGATCAGGGGGTAATCGGTTTGAAACGATGAAACTGGATCCTTGCTCTGTGTATCCCATATCTGAACAAACCCATCATCTCCAACAGACGCAACCAGATTTGAGTCCTGGTCGATTTCGTTCACCACCATCGAGTGCTTGTTCAGCTTCCTTATCTTCTTACCAGTCTCTGCATCCCATATGGCCACTGTTGAGTCAGCAGACGAAGACGCCAATAGGCCACTGTTGAGCCATCTCAAAGACGTTATCGCGCTCTTATGACCGGTGATCTCACCGTAATTCGGTGCTCCCCGTTGATTGACATGAGGCAGTGACCACAGCAGTATCTTCTTGTCCATGCCTCCCGTGGCAAGAACACGCCCCTCTCTGTCGAACTTCGCAGCCATCACAGTTCCATCATGGCCCTCGAGTGTGAATACATCATCTCGGGACTAAGAGCACTCTCTGTTAGTAAACGCGGACACATCTGCGGTAGAACTCAAGCTAAACAACATACTTTCGCCACTACGGTTTCATCCTGTCTCCGTCTCTTCACCAGTGACATCTTCAAGTACACAGCACGCAGCTCTCAAGGGTGAGCCTACAACTGTGTTCCGCCAGCTCATTGGAAACCACCAACAGGTGGAAAAGCTGCTTATACTTCTGGTGTCTGGATGTCAATCCCACATCCACCTAAAGTTACCCGGCCTTCACCATAGACACCCTCAATCACGTGATTTTCCTTTCTCCCAATCTTGGGTGTCCAGCGTGGCCATAACGAACCTCACCGCTGGCCAAAAAAAAAAACCCTCCCCTCCCCCGCGAATCGCAACAAAGAGAATTTGCGGGCGTGAAAACCGCCCACTGCGCTCCAAAGAGAAAAAAACATCACCCAAATTTGGCCGGGATGGAAAATTAGGGGATCCGGCCCTTTCTGTTGAACTTTTTTCCCTCTTTCCTTCCCCTTCCCCTTCTCTCCTGCTCCGTATACAACCCCAATTGCAACGCCAATTAACACAATGAACACTATTGCTTTACGTCGTGCTGCTGTCACTGGCCGTGCAGCCACCAGATCCATGAGATTCTACACCGCCGGTGCCACCGGAGCCACCCGTCAAGACGGTTCCACCGACGCCTTCAACGTGAGTTGTCCACAGCGGCACAGCTGTGTGGTGCTTGAGAACGGAATACTAACCATTGCTGTAGAAACGTGAGAAAGCCCAGGAGGACCTGTACATCAGACAGCACGAGAAGGAACAATTGGAGGCTTTGAAGGAGTCCTTGAAGAAGCAGAAGGAGAGCTTGGACGAGTTGGAGAAGAAGATCGATGACCTCACCAAGTAAAGAGCGTGTGTCCTTTAGAAGGGGTTGTCGCAGTGGCGGATGCTCTTTGGAATGGCAAAGAGGGATGCCATTGGACAACGGACGCTTATCTTTTATAAGGGAAGACTAAAAAAACAAGGATGAATTCTTCACTCTCACAATTTCATGACCTCATGTTCTCACTTGATCAACATCAACATTCTGATATTCCGATACTTTTATATACATATACGTGCTAGGAATCATATGTCAATACTGTTTCTAACATTTAAACGAGGGTACTTGTAGCAGCACGCTCTCCACCTTGCGTTGAGCCGGACCCCGGAGTGAAGTCAGGGTTTACAGTTGTACAGTTTCACGGTGTTAAGTAGCTGTCATTAGAGTAATTAGGATATCACCTTGGTAGTATGGTTGGGGAGTCATCGAAATGGACAAGGCCAATGACTCTGGAATCGTTCAATTCCGTGAATAACAAAATAAACAATGGGGCCAAATCAATGAGATGCACATCTCTCGAGTTTACGTTTCTGCTGATGACGAGACCGAAGCCGGTTTAGTCAGCCCGTTGTGCTCGATGATCTCGTCTGTGGCCTTGGTATGCTGTTCAACGTCAAACACCCTCTGTCTACGTCTCTTTGCAAGGATCTTGGAGGCCTTGATGTTGAAGCCGCCAGTCAAAACCTGTTGAGTCTCCTCCAACTCCAGACCAGATAGCTCTGGATAGCAGAAGAAGACAAAGAGCCAGGACACGACACAGAGAGCAGCAAACAGTGCAAAGGTACCAGTTGGTGTGATGTTCTGCAACATGGTTAAGAATGTAGAGGAAATCACAAGAGAACCAGCCCAGTTGGTTGCGGTCGATAGCGAAGTACCGGCACCTCTAACATCCTGTGGGAACAGCTCAGACTGTTGCCATGGAACGTTACCGATACCAATAGCATACGTGGCAACAAAGAGGATCATTCCAATGATCACAACAATGCCCCAGCCTGTGATTGAGCCGTCACCTTCAATCAATGCGTCGTTGCCACTAAATTCGATATGGATGAAATGGAATGCAATGGCACAGATCACAAGAGATACAATCATACCAGGGATGGCCAACAACAGCATGTTACGTCTTCCAACTCTGTCGATGATGAAGAAGGCCAGGATGGTAAAGAAAAAGTTCGTAGCAGCGATGACAACGGATACCGCGGTGGAGTTGTTGAACCCAACAGCTTCAAATATCGTTGAAGAGAAGTACATCAGCGAGTTGAAACCTGTGAACTGTTGGATACCTTGCAGCCCGCACGCGATGATAACCGCTCTGAAATTCGAAGGCACAGTGTGTAGTCTCTTCATTGCGTTGAACATACGAACCATTGGGTTCTTGCCCGGGATGGCATTGTTCAAGCGTGACAACTCATCAACTTTATCATGGATCAGATCCTCTGTGGCGCCAAGGTGTGTCTTCGCAAGCACTTTACAGGCCTTGTCCAGTTTACCCTTCATGATGTAGTAACGAGGAGTATCCGGGAGAAAGACGAAAAGGACAAACTGCAACACGGCTGGGATCAACGCCAGGCCGACGAGAATCCTCCAACCGTTATGGACATGTGTTAGCCCAGCACCACAGGCATAAGCCACTAACTGACCAGCGGTGATACACAGGACGTTGATCACGGTCAGACGGCCTCTGAACCTCGACGGAGAAATTTCTCCGATGAACATTGGAGCACACAATGATCCGATACCGATGGCCCATCCCATGATGAATCTGCCCACGGTCATTTCCCAGAATGAGCCAGCGGCGCACTGGATAGCCGCTCCTACGACAAAGAGAACGTTGGACACCATGATCATTGGCTTTCTGCCAAAATAATCCGCAAGCATACCTGCAAAGACTGCAAAGATCAAAGCACCTAGGGAAGTTGCAGCGGTGATGAATTCTCTATCACCGTAAGTGAGCTGTCTGCCGTCCAGGTCCGTGCCGATGGCCACGAGTGCCGACGATATATAACCGGTATCATAACCAAACATGAACCCTGTGATGGACGACACGATGGTTAAGAAAATGATCAGCGGCGAGGGCTTTTGGTTGTCAAATGTCATCATGACGGACGTGTTATCCTCATCGTCGATGGGCTTTATGGCGATGTCTCTGACGCCGTGTGTCGGCTCCAGCTCCTTGGATGTCCCGTGTGCGTCGGAGAACTCCTCCAGAGTGATGGTCTCAAACCCAGCGGATACTTTGTTGACATTGTTGATGTCGTCCTCTGAACTCGACATGTCCTCTTATCTTTTGTTTATGCGTATTGGGGGAGACGTGATAATAAGCAAATGGTGTTCACTGTGTAAGTTATTCCGGCTAAGTTCCTAAATAATAAGTCCGCTTCAACAAGGTTAAACTTGGTCCTGTAAAGGTTCCTTGCTAAGTTTAAAAAAGCTGTGATAGTTATTCCGTGTGGCCATTGGTCCCACTGCTCCTTTTTTAAGCCTGTTTTCACGCTCTACGTGCTTGAACCGACTACGCGACGAGTTTTTGATTTGCTAAAATTTTTCCGAGCCCTGATCACATGCCAGAATAAACAAGACGTTGGTGGGGGTGTTTCCGTGAGGTTGGCTGTGCTTCTCCCTTCCACCGGTTCTAGAGTCAAGACAGGACAAACGTTCATCCATGTCCGCTTGTAGAAGTTGGCTAGTCGTGATTTGGTGCGACAACGTTATAGAAGGACGCGTGCGTAGTTACTGTTTATCAGTGATCTGTCATGGCTGCGAATTGTAAATATTAAGGCTCGCCTAACCTTTCAAAATGTATGGGGAAAGGGCCTTTTTCCACTTCGGGAGTGGGTAAGCGAACACGATGCGTTAAAAGGGGTTCACCGGGTATCAATAACTCAATGCAATTGGCTGCCAATCTCTTTCCATGGTGTGTGCGTTCTTGGCCTGGATTGCCGTCCACCGGGGGTGACACCGGAGTGCTCAGTGTATCCCTCTTTAAGGGCTTTTTATTCGATAGCTACCCACCGTCTGAAGACTATATCTCTTGTCGTGATCGCAGTTTAATTATACAAGCGTATGCATGCTTGTGTACTATAACATGAGATGATCCACCTGGGCCGTGGCCCTGCATTCCCGGAATGGTGATCCCGTCTGGTGTAGCACCACCATGCGAGGTGGTTCACGTGTAAAGATTCCTCTTTCCTGTGCCAATGGTCAAACAAATGGGTTTATGTGTAGCTTACTTGTTCAGGCTCTCTGTAAATTTGACACCATAGTCACACGACGTCATTGAGCGTGTACTACACCGGTTATAGCGGTTACGAAAAAAATCAACAAAAGTCCGGCATGCTGTAGTGGCTAACATCGGTCGCTCTCACCGACCAGCCCGGGGTTCGATTCCCCGTACCGGAATTAATTTTTTTCTCTTCGATCAGAATATGTCACGTGATCACTATGGACAATTACTCCATAACTATATCCATTGAATAGGATACAGAGCTATGACTACGCGATTAGAAACAGGCTATATGCTCGTTCAGTAGCAATCACTTCATATGTGCTTTGAAATAAGATCTATATACATGTCTACCCCCGTCATTATGTGCCATTCAAAGCCGTTTTCATCTCTTCCTTCTGTCTCAGCAGCTTTTCAGTCTTTAGCACTTTGTTGATGTACTCTTTCTGCTTCTTACGATCAGCACATCTCTTCAACTCTGCATCAAAGTTAGGCTTGTGCTTCTCTATTACTTTCAGAATATCTCTTCTCTGTGTCCTAGTCAGCCTCAGCCTCGTTAGGGACTTCAGGTACCCTTCAAGCTCCTGTGCAGTGACGGTGTCTATGTCATTCAAGAACTGCGTACTCAAGTCGTACAACTCTTCGGCCTTGGCTCCGATACAGTACCGTCCTTGGTCATTCAGATGCGACAATGACTCTGTATATATCGCGTTCAATACTAGCCATCTAGTTGCACCATTGGGTCTGACCCGTGGTGCTAGCGTCTTCAATGACTTGTATATTTCCACAGCCTTACTGCCTGCGTGCGCTTTGTCCATGTTGGTGTGACAGATGATGCATCTGTTCCATAGTCCCAAGTCGTTCACTTTACCACTCGATTTGAACTGTTCAAAGATATCCAACGCACATGCGTAATCTCCCAGTTGCATGTAGGTCTTCATCAACAAATCCGTGAGTCTTTGGGACGGGTGGTACTTCCTTTCCAGTGGTTTTATTGCCATCAACTCCAAAGCGTCCTTCGGTACTTGGAACCTACTCTTCTCCTTCATGATCTTTGGTTGTGTTGTATCAATGTAGAAATAGCTCGACGCAGCAGTGAAACCTCTTGTCACCAGATCCATTCTATGCATGTTGAGATAGGCATTGACATATGCTTCATAGAGCATCGGATCTCGTTGCTTAGCGGGCAATTGCAACACTTTCCCCCATATATACTCCAAATTCATGTGCTGAGTAACGTCGTCCATGCCTATTAAACCTTCTATTAAGATCGTGTAGAGCTGTGAAGTAGGATGGATTTGCTTCAAACAAGGGGTTTCAGACCACTTGTTGAACAGTTCAAGTGCTGTTGATTTATCATCGCAGTTCAACATGGCCTGGAACGCACTGTGTACGTGCGAGTAGTTCAACTGATCTTTGTAGCCCAACAGAATCTTTTCAATCTTCTCAACCTGCAGTGGTGTCAACCTCTGCGAGTTTGCACATCCGTCGAAGATGGTGGTTAGCGTGGCACCATTCGGTAGAATCCCATACTTCTTTCTCCTATTGTAGAGATCAATGGCCTCTGTAATGCGACCTTTCGAGATGTACCACGCATGTATTCTATTCATGGCAACGGTACCCTTGTCCTTCGCCAAATGACACGTCTTGATCGCCTTCTCGATCTGGTCCCTGTCTAAGAACCTCTTCACAGTCTTGTCCACGATGACAGAGTCCTTCAGCTGGTTTTCAGTGATGCCCAAGATGGTGTACAGCAAGCTTGGCCTATCTTTCACCATCGGTATGAATCTTGTATCTTCATTCGAAGTGGGACCGATGGAGTGCTGTGGTATCTTCTCTCCTGTTAGCTTTGAGAGTATATGAGCGGCATACTGCTTGGTATACGCAGTCCTTGGCCGTCTGAACCTGTTCTGTGAAGGCCTGCCAGTGTCCTTGGCTCGTGATGTGTCTTGAGCTCTGTTATGTGACGACAAGGGCCTCGTCTTTCCCTCGTAGGTAGCTCTGGACCGCTGTGTCAGCTCCTTGGAGACAGCAGCGGTTGAAGAGAGCTGTCTTGTGAGCCGTTTGATCATCGTGGCGATGTTTTGCTTAAGCTGTCCGGAGATCTCAGTGTGTTGTTGTGGTGGGCGATGAGGTTGAGAGTTTCCGTGAAAATTACTTCACCGGGGCAACAGCAATATCAACAGCAACATCAACATCAACAGCAATATCAACAGCAACATCAACATCAACAGCAATATCAACACCAACATCAACACCAACATCAACATCAACATCAACATCAACACCACAGACCCCTGAGAACGCCATGCTCGAACAAATCCCCCTTATATTCACCGCAGGCGCACCACAGCCGGTGCAACTACCCCTGGGGTACCAGCCGGCACCACAGCTTCAACAGACACAGGTAACAAAGGACAACCTGGACGCTTGGATCCAGGAGTGCTCCCAGGTTGAGTCCAGAGTGAAGTCATACAGAACAGAGGACAAGGCCAAATACGAGGAGTGGAAACAACAGACTAAGAGGCTGGCGCCGGGCTACTCCATACAACTACAGCCTACGAAGAAGCTCACGCAGAATAGCAACAGCACGGCGGCAACAACTACAGCGGCAGCAACAACTACAACCACACACAACCTCAAAGACCTTGATATATAACGATATACACCTAACCGAGCATGCTTCTCTTTCTACCTCTCATCCTAACATCCTCGTACCGCTTCATCACCTGCTTGAACTTGCCTTGGTCCTTGCCGTAGCCCTTCTTATACCCTTCCATCAGCCATGAGTTGTAGTTGTCGCTATGTACAGGGTGTGTACTGAGGATGGCTCTCTCCAGCACGTACAGGTCCACCGCCTTGTCCTCAACGAGGTCACTTGTGAAGCCTAGGCCAAAGTCTATGAGACATGGGGCCCACTGGCTACCATGCTTCTGTAGCATCACGTTCGAAGTGGTCAGATCACCATGGACTATGCCCATCTGGTGCAATCTGGCGATCATGTCCCCGACCGCCCTCAGCAGAGACTCGTAGTCTGCCTTCGAGTCCTCGAGCCAGAGGTAGTTCTTCAGCGAGCTCACCCCGTTCTCAATCTGCTGGCCTATGTATTCGAGCCAGAGGATCCCGTTACGGGCATCAACAGCGATGATTGAAGGCACGCTTATCCCATCAGCACCGTACAACCTCTGCAGCAGACGGGCCTCCGCAAGAGTTCGACGCTTCGTCAGCTGGGCATCCAGCTGTGGATGGCGGTACTTCTTTGGTGGACGGAACTTGACGATGTACTGCTGACCCTCATCGCTGGTCTCCATGTACGGATGCGTCGTCGTGGTGAAGATCAACGACTCGGCACCTTGCGAGATCAGAGACACCGGTATGTTGGTCAAGTGCGACTTTGCGAGCTCCACGAGATGATCAGACATGTCGTTTCTTGCCTTTGCCGGTCAGTATCGCTGTCTTTTAAGAACGAATTGTGTCTAAGTCATGTGAACCGTTTAGAAAGTTTTCTCCGATGGGCAGTTGCTCCGGGGGACGGAAAAACTCAGTGCATCACCATCTACAGCTAAATGGCAACAGAATACGCATCCAATCAGTATTATATAAACGTTATGTAAGAGAGGAGGCGTCGCAGTGTGGTTGTGGATCATTTGACTTGTTTACCACCGTAAGTTGCTCTCCACAGCTGGACTTGGTCGTCTTCAATTCTGGAGAACAAGTACTGTGCCTTGTCGATGCAGTGACCTTCGAGCAGCAGGAGCTTGAAATCGTCCTGGATGGATAGCAATGGAGCTCTCAGCATCTCGTTGATTTGCTTCGTGGTCTCAGGCATGAATGGGTACACCAGGGAGCCAACGTAGTAGACGATGTTCAAGGCGACGCCGACAACAGCGTCGCTCAGTTCAGGGGTATCGTTGAACAACGAGTTGTTCAGCTTGTTCTCCTGTAAGAACTGGTTACCACGGGCAGAGAAAGCCATGGCGAGCTCCAAACCCTTACGTTCATGGACCGTCTCCATAGCATCGACGTACTTGGCCAACAGGCCGTTCAAATCCTGGGTCAAAGAGTCGTAGTTGGCGATGAGCTTAGCGTCGTACTTTGGCACAACACCGTTATACTTTGCATTGACAAACTTCACAATTCTGTTGATGAAGTTACCCAGGTTGGCCAACAACTCGTTGTTGTTACGAGCTTGGAAGTCGTCCCAGGAGAACTGAGAATCACCACTCTCTGGACGAAGACATGCCAAGTAGTATCTCCACACACTTGGTGCGATTCCAGAGTCCTGAGCGTTGTTACCAAAGACACCGATACCACGACTCTTGGAGAACTTACCACCTTCATACTGCAAGTACTCTGTGGTGTTCAAGTGGTGCAACATGGTCCAGTTATCACCGGTACCGAGTTGAGAAGATGGGAAGATCACAGTGTGGAATGGAACGTTATCCTTACCCATGAATTGATAAAGCTGGACATTCTCTGGAGACTTCCACCACGACTCCCAGCTCTTTGTGTAGTTGGCAGTGATGGAGACGTAACCGATACAAGCATCAAACCAAACATACAACACCTTATCCTTGTACTTCTCCAATGGCACAGGAGTACCCCATTTCAAGTCACGAGTGATACAACGTGGGTTCAGACCTTCAGCCAACCACGTATCAGTGATGGTCTTAGAATTACGGGACCAGTCTCCCTTCGAAGAGGCCTCCTTGTACCAGTCAATGAGTCTTGGCTCCAGCTTATCCAGAGAGAGGAAGATGTGTTCTGAGGTCTTTTGCTCCGGAGTAGCGTTATCCAACTTACATCTTGGGTTGATGAGTTCGAATGGGTTCAGCAAGCTACCACACTTATCACACTGGTCACCTCTAGCATCATCGTAGGAACACTTTGGACATGTTCCCTCCACGTAACGATCAGCAAGGAATCCGTTGTGCACTGGACAGTATAGCTGCTCCATAGACTGTTCCTCGAGGTATCCGTTCTTATTCAGCTTGAGGAAGATGTCCTGGGCAATATCAGTTTGCTGTTGAGTAGTGGTTCTGCCAAAGTAGTCGAATCCAATCTGGAACCATTTGTAGATGTCAGCATGGATCTTGTGGTACTTGTTACACAGCTCCCTTGGTGTCACGCCCTCTTCCAGTGCCTTCGTCTCAGTAGCAGTACCATACTCGTCAGTACCACACACGAAGAGAGTGTTGTAGTTTCTGGCCTTAGCGTAACGGGCAAAGATGTCTGCAGACAAGACACTACCTACGATGTTACCCAGGTGAGGCACGTTGTTGACGTATGGCAAGGCAGACGTGATGAGGATGTTTCTCTTTGAAGGGTCTGGCAAGATTTCGCCTGTTGGTGTCTCAACCTCGAACCCTCCAGCAACGTTGACGCTGTTGTCGTTGACCGGCTTAGGTCTCTCCAAAGACGTGATGGCCTTGGCCTCTGTGATGGCAAGCGAGATATGGTCCAGGGATGCGAATTCTGGGAACTGTGTTGGATCAAGAGCATAGGCAGTGGCGAATAGGATGATCGCTGACGGAGTGATGTGAGTCATGGCGAACGAAAGCGAGAGCTTCGAGCCCTGGTTCTTCGACAACAGGGGGAACAGGGTCGACTCTTCATACTCGATCTCCTGCGACTGGGCAAACTCCCTGGCAAGGTACTTCACGATGGCATTCGGCTCGATCAGCTGGAACCCCTTCTCCGTGTCCTCGAGGCCGAACTTGCCCTCCTCCTGTTCGATCTTGACGGAGTACACTTTCGAGGCAATCGCCAGCTTCAAGTTGTTTGAGAGGGCAACGAGGCCCTTGGACTTGTCTGAGTAGAGAGTAATGGCCATGGCTATAGCGTGCTAAGGGTATCTCTTGTGTACTGAGGCCTCCCTTCTAGAATCAATGACTCCGAGAGAGAGCAGGGGGAGTGTGTGGGCAAGGAGCCGTCTGAAAATTTTGTCCGCCTGGAGCTCATCACGAGAAGCCCAGGCGGAAAACCAAAGAGGCTCGCTAAGCCGTAGGCTCACGGTCAACGACAACAGCAACGACAACAGCAACGACAACGACAACGACAACGGCACAGGAAACCGCGATGAAGGGCAAGGCAACGAAAACCATCGCTGAGCTGCTGGAGCACAGAACCAAGCACTATGACGAGCTCGTTGAGTTGCGGGACCTTACTCCGTTAGACCAATGGCGTAGTGTGGAGCTGCCAGCGCTACTCTTCAAGGAGCGGACTTCCAAGCCATATATCACCAAGAAGGAACTGCAGAGGCTCCTGGACTGGAAGTTGAAGAAGGGCAAGTACAGGGCGACGCTGCCTAAGCTCATTGCACAGAATGACGATAAACTCGTCGTGCAATGCTCGACAAGCGCCTTCAAAGAGGTGTTAAGCCTGGACGAGACCGAAGATCAGGACAAGTACAACGCCGGTATACGGAGTGCGCTCAAGACAATATGCCAATTGAAGGGCGTAGGACCCGCCACTGGCTCTCTAGTGCTATCTCTGCTGTCGAAGTTCACGCATAGAGCGCCGCCATTCTTTAGCGATGAGTGTGCCGTGGAGGTGCTGGAAGACCTGGGCCAGTACAAGGGCAAGCTCTCCTACACGCTACCCGAGTATATGAGGTTTCTACAGTGGTTTCAGCAGAAGGACCCGGAGTTTGAGTACGACAGGACTCAGCTGGAACAGGCCCTCTGGTGTGTACACTTAGACAGGGATCAATGATCAGCCCGGCTTCAGAGCTTGTGCAAGACTGCAACAGCTCCTGGGACGTGTTCTGGGATCACTGTCTCCTCTGTGTAATTGTAACCGTGGGGCAATGTACACTATGTTGTTCTGCAATGGCCTGGTTACCAAACCACCGGAGTGTGTTTATTCGGTTTGTAGTGTAAACTATACAGTTAGATTCAGTGTATGGGAGAATACGACTATGTGATGCGCAATACGTGCAACATATGTTGCATGGAGGCCTCCATTGGAGAGGTTTCTTGGTTAGGTTACGAGTCAACAATACAAAACTGCGTGAGCGCACACGCTTGGCCAGCTTTGACTCTGCACCTGGTTCGGAGTCTGATTCCTATTATTCTGCCTAGGAGGTCTGCCCAGGAGGTCTGCCCAGGAGTTCTGCCCAGGAGTTCTGCCCAGGAGTTCTGCCCAGGAGTTCTGCCCAGGAGTTCTGCCCAGGAGTTCTGCCTGGTGATTGATAACATAATGCACTGTTCCAGTAGTTAGAAGCGACAAGTGCCCAGCTAATGGCTTGTGGCAAAGCATGGCCAATGACAAGAACGGCTTCCTCCCACACTGTCCCCCACACTTTTTGTCGTCTTTGCTGAAACGGCAAGGTCCAAATGAGATTGCTGGAGATATGGCTGAACAATCTTGAGCTTCGACCCTTGGACCCAAACTTGGGGTAGGCGTCGTGAAACATACCGGTTATTTCACGGTGTTCCACAATTTGGTCTCAAGGCTCTAAGATCAAATTGATTGTTACTGGATATTTGGTGATCTTCATGGCTGAATGTCTTGTTCTTCATTAGAACTATAGAATCATCAATGTTCGGCAAGCATCGCGGTGTCACGGATGTTTCGTAAACTTCAGTACCAGTGGAGAGGCTCAAAACCGTTTCAAGGCGAGGTTGTCCGACCCCGGGAGGTTGAAATTGCGACTCAGCGATGATTCAACTGAAGGAGGGTCGCAATCTTTTTACCCACGGGTAAGCACCTGGAAATTGGCTCTGACTGGCCAGTTCGCTGCCAGTGTACAGACGAACTACTTCATACGACCCGTGACGGGGTAGATTCAATTTTCTACCTAACGCATTACAAATGGAACAAGGGACTAGAATAGGAAGACCAACCGGGACAAATATCGGCACATTGCAGCCTCTGATACTTCTCAACTGCTGCACTGTAGTAAAAACATGATAAATGACACGATTCGTATCAGAGTCAGCAGCGTTTATTATTGTAGGAAAAATGTGTAAACCAGTGATCTGATAACACTCAGTTGTCCACATCCTCGTCTGACACCACCCACAGTGTTGAAGCATCCTCTGTCGTCGTGAACTCTTTGACCGCTTTTCCTGTAACACCCTCCAATGCTGCTCGTACATGCTGGAACGTCTCCAATAGGCTATCAAATCCAGGCAACCTAACTTTGGGGTGCGTCTACACATGATGGTGCCGTAGCCATTTGTTGGGATCTGTGAGTCAGTGTGGCCGCTTGTACGGTGTGTTGTTTCACACAGCCTATTGCTGGCAGCCCAGAGCCTGTCCAATGCGTCTCACTACCTTATCAACTCAAGCAGTCCCCAGTCTCTTGGAAAAGGACATTAACATCTAGATAAATGAAGAAGAAACCAATCCTTCCCGTATTCGCAAAAGTACTGTCGTTCTATTTCATAGTGTGATCAATTGGAGATGTACAGGTAGGCATAATCATGTAGGCTCCTTGAAAGTTTTTCCAGTTTTTCCTGTTTGAGTTGGGGGCTATTTGGTATTCTGGCAGCAAATTTCACGGCAGGACGCAACTTGGACATAAATACTGGCAGTTCGGATTATTTCCACGTTTCACTGGGCGAGGTTTATCCGGTTGCTGCATAATTACCTCTGCCCTAGACAAAAACAAGTTTCTTTTTTGTGCCCTTGCGCGTTAGGTGGGGGATCATTAATCATTTCAACGATGGATCTGATCTCTTCCAACAAAAGGGCTATGTAGTGTGATTTAACTGAATGTGTTTTCCAGAGCACAAGTTATAGATGCTTGCTCTATCTTACTTTCCCGGGTGGAATCACATTGCCGGCTGATCCGTCAAACATTGTGAGCCCCTGCGAAGAGGTACAACCCAAGTCCAGATCCTCCATATGCACCACGTATTGAAATAGTCCCATTTGGTCTGCTGCGTTCCTACAGCCCAATGTCAAAACATGTTATTTTTCTAAAGTTGGGACTCGATACGCCTCGGAAAGCTGCAAATTGCTTCAGCTGTTCACGAAGGACACACAGTCACCCACTTGCACGATGCACTTACAAGTCGATCTGGTCTTTGGATGAGTAGTCATATTTGTATCAGCCAAAGTGCATTCCCTGTATAGGCTGTCTACGTTACGCAGCACACGCTTACGTTGTGTTTTTCAAGGACGACATGTCCCCAAAGACTTCTTACCGCTACCCGTAACAGCGCGTGTGTGATCTCTGCGACCAAGTCCTTTTCCACCTGCTTTTAAAAATTTCCTGCTCTTTTCTTTTCGTTTTGTCTTTCTTACACTCTCGCAATAACTATCTACCAGTGGCGATCCACTATCCCTTTCCCCCAGACACATCATAATTTCCAACAAAAGTAAAACACAACCCCATGGATTTAGTCCAGTCGCACCCGATTTCCACCGAAGATAATACCTAATCGGATTTGCGCGTTTAATTTTTTTGGCTTTACCCTGACGCGCGCAGCGTAAACGCTGTAGGACATGCACACAAGTCATATAAACGGCGCACCAGTCCGGGGTAAATTTGAACAAAAAAAAATGGGCACCATTACGGAGCCTATCGAAGACAGCACAATTTTTTAACTGACTGCTGTGTGCGTGGGTAAAGTTCTGGGCCTACTTTTTGTCTCTTTTTTCTTTGTCCATTAATTTGTCAGTGGTAACTGTCTGGACATATCTTCCCCCCACCTTCGGTATATCTCTGTCATTATCTCTCTGCCCATTTTAAACTTTTACGTTTTTTGTGTGTGTGATTTGTCCCACAACCGCTTAAAAAACAGGACATAGAGGCTCTGTTGTATAAAAGATTCGGTACGTTCCTCAGTTTGTCCCCCTTTTTGTCCCAACTCGTATCCAAATCATTGCACGACTCGATACAGCGGGAGAGCTCCGGTATTCAAAGCAGTCAGAAGGATGTCCACGCTGAGTGCATCGTCCAACCTCACACAACGTCCACTCACCATGGAGGCATCTCTAAACCCAGCAGCACCAAGTGCTCCACAACCTACAACAACCAGCGCGACAACCAGTGCAGGCCCCGAGACCTCCTCAGCCGACCATTCACCGGCATCACTGGGTGCTTCAACATTGGACAACGCTCCGAGTAACGGCAAGGGTACCACCATCAACAACAACAATAACAACAGCAACAACTCGGCTGCGGTTGATACTACAGACTCAAAGATAACAAAGACCATGGTCCCTCAGCGGAAAAGGGTAAGAACTGGCTGTCTAAACTGTCGTAGAAAGCACAAGAAGTGTGACGAACAGAAACCAAAGTGCAAGTCGTGTTGTGCCAAAGGAGAGATCTGTGAATGGCCTTTGCCAAAGTTGAAGAAGAGTGGAAGCAGAAGATCAAGCTCGGCTTCATCAGCTTCGAGTGCTGTTCAGGGTATTAGCGCCGCTGCTAACACCACCACCACCGCCACTGCTACCACTGCTACCACGATGCCCGTCATAATGCCAACACCGTATACACCATCGTACAGCTTGAACGTACACTTACAGCGGCCAAATGGAATGGATCTATCAACATACTCGCTACAGCCTGAGGTTCATAGCGAAGAAGGACTGAAACAATCACAGTCCCCAAGAAACTATCAAATGTCCATGGCCCATTTGCCTATCAAGCTCGCTCAACAACACCATCAACAACAGCAGCAGATCCCCCACGTCTCACTGCCATTACAGGCAAGCGTCCATCCGGCTCCTTCTCCGTATAAGAACCCCAATATCGGCGAGCTGGTGGACTCTCTTGTGGCGTTGCTAAATGGCAATAGTAACTTTACACTACAAAACATGGATTACCAAGTTAGTGAGATGGATGAATTTGCCCTGTTGACTGAATACGTTGATAACATTGCTCCATCGTTATCTCTTCAGCAGAACAACTCCACGTTTATATCGTCCATCCCACAGCTCTCGAAGATCTCAAAGATGTTGAAGTTTGCGATGTACACCTTGGCATCGCATAAGATTCTGCCACAACTTTCCACAAGATTGTTCCAACTCACTCTATCGAATTGGAAAAGGGACGCTAATCAGCTGGTCCAAGATGCAACGCTACTGTTCCTCTCGATATTTGCATTCCACAACGATGCACACCATCCATTGTTTACTTACTTCAATTCTGTCAACCAGGACTTGAAGCAGCACTTTATCATTCTCAGACTCTCGGTGAGACAGAACATCATACTGATGGACGATGTAGATTCGATACTGTCACTCTTGTCATTCCACCAGAACGACTTCCAGTCGACTTTTACAAAAGCACAGGACCTGCTGAACGCATCGTCATCTACAAACATCGTCTCATCCATAAAGCACTCTCCATTTGCCAAAGTGTTGGTTCCCACTACGCCAGCTGTCTACGAACAGATAATACTCCACATGGGCATGGTCTCGTTACTGCTTAACAAGCCAATGGATCTAAGGCTCAGATCTCACCCGATCTCCCACTTTGCTAAAGTTTGCTGTGGCATCATCGAAACCAATACGAAAAGGCTGCCATGGTTCAAGAACTGGACCATCTTCACTATGGGGAAGCTGTTAACTCATGAGCTGGAGCATGACTCGCTGTTAAAGATGATGAAGGACGACGTCTGCTGGAAACAGAAACTGCAAGACTACTGGGAAGGAAGAGGGGATGTCTAAATCCATGTATTTTATTCTGGCTCAACTATTTAATATATTCAATCTAACAATTACCATATTGGCTCCCATCAGCATTTGAAGAAGAGCTCGTCAATGTAAGCAACAACAAACAGCTCAATCTACGAGGGATGCTTTCATGGCTACAAAGGAATAATTAAACAGGGAGAGATCTCTATTTACAAGAAAGCAACAACAAGCACAACGAGGGAAATCATCGAAGCAAACAGCTTAGGCAGAGGTCTGTTCTTGGATGATTTCATAATCTCCATTTTCCAACTCCTTGATAACTCCTTGAGACTTCAAAGAATCAAACAAGTCCTGTGGAACCCAGCCACCAGTGACGGCGAATGGAACAGTACCTAGCACCTTGTAGTAGTTTTCCAACTGCTTGGTGTGCTGTTCGAAAGTTTCAGCGTTGAGCTCCACTGGGAACTCCTGTACTGGCACGAACTTGTGCTCGTAGAACTGAGGCCACTGGATCGACAACTCGTAAATCTTTCTGTCAAGGAGAGGAGTCTCGAGAGAGGTTCTTCTCTCTTGCGCCTCGATCAATGGACCACGCAATCTCTTGAGCACTGGAGATCCCTCTGATCCCAACTTGGAGAAAGTGTTACCCAGGCCCAGGTCCCACAGAACCTCGTTTCTGGTACGTGCGACTGCAAAGTCGTAGTAGTACTTGTCAGCTTCATCAAGTGCGTTGTACTTCTCTTCATCTATTTCAAACTCGTAAATCTTTGGGCCGTCTTCGTATGCGACGAATCTTGGAGTGGACTGGAACATGATTGGCTTGATCGTAGCAGCTTCAAAATCGAGGAAAGTGAACTCCTCGCCATTGACAAGAACGTTCAAAGGATCGATGTCAGTGTGTGCCAATCTTGGAGCAAACAATGCTCCGACGTTCTTGACACTTGGTGTCTTGGTGTCGATCAACACGGGAGCCAGGGTTTGCAAGTGAGTAAACGTTTCAATTTGGTTCTTCAAGTCTGTCTCTGACTCCTTGACCCCAGCAGCATCGGCCTGGATGAGAGAGAGCTTGGTTCTGGCATTCTCAAGCTCAATATCAGCAACAGCCTTGACGATGTCCAGTGGCTTGTCAGCGTCCCAAGGACCAACCAAGCTCTCGAACTGGCTCTTTCTGAGCAAACGCTTTCCTCTCCAGAACACTCTCTCGGTGCTTGCACCGATGAACCAACGTCCTTGCAACTTTTCATCAGTCTCGCCGTCATATGGTTCCGTCACCATGGCTTTGTCCTTCGCGTCGACTGAGAAGTACAAGGAACCAAACTTGTTGAACTCAACCTCCGCCAATTTGGACTGGAACTCCGACAACGGGTTGATCACCAGCCCGACAATCTCCTTGTTCTTTGGCTCGGAGTGTGGCGTCATTGGAGCCCACTTCTTCATAAGCGTTTCGCCTTCAATGAACTCCATAATGATGAATGGTGAGCCAACAGGGTTCGCCTGGTCAGCACCGTAGGCGTACACCTTTGGCACCTTGATACCCAGCTTCAAGTCGACAAAGTCCATGGTGGCAACCTCGCTCTGAACACGCTTGGTGATGGCGTACTCGGAGTCCAGTGGGTATGGGACTCTCAGCACAAAGCTGTTGCCCGTGTTCGTCTCCACTTTGTAGATTCTATGGTGCTTACCCTCATGAATAGACACCAGCTGCTTGATCACCAGCTCCTCGTTCGGGTTCAGCGTCCCAGTGGCCTTCACAGACACGTTGTGTGGCAGAGAGATGAAGTTTCTGTCGTGTGTCTTTGGTGGAACAACGACACCGTCGGCGTGTGTCTTTGCATCCTCAACAAGCTCCTTGAGCACAGACTGCAACCCAACCAACGAGAACTTGGTGAATCTCTTCTTCTTCTCACCAGCGTCGTCCTTCAACCACGTGCCCCAGGTGTACTTGAAGATGGCGTCCCTGTTCGGATCAGACTCGTCGTTGATGTTGGTGAACACTTCCTTAGGAGCCTCGCTGGAGATGTAGCGGGCACCAGCAGCTCCGCCTAGACACACCACGGCGGACCGTCTCGAAACAGCCTTAGCACAGTGTCTCAGCACCGGTGTATACACTCTCGTCAGCGACAGCATTGTACAATCGCAGCGTTGATCTTCTTCACGGCTCCTCTTACTCGTCAGCAACGTCCATGAGGACTAATGCCCGTGTAATTTTTCGCTGTGGACGCACCGGCCCCCGGCCGGTGCGTTCTCGGCCTACAACGAAAAACCTCTCCAGCGCCGGAAACGGGCAGAGAGCGCATCGCCAACTACAAAAGGAGCCAAATCTCGAGAGTTAAACCAGTAACTAAAACTATGGAATTATGATTGGTGTTCGTGTGTGGGCGTGTTCGTGTGTGGGCGTGTGCCGCCTGTTCGTTCACAGCGACCGCGTGTCGCCGCTGATGGAGCCCTGGTGCTCGCCCGGGCCGTGGCGCTGGCTTCGTCCCTGCTGTAGGAACTTCTCGTAATCAGTGCTGGGCTCGCTGTCGAACTCCAGCGTATCCTCGCCAAACACGCCGCCATCGTCGTGTCCCTCCATGGACACCGGGGTGCCGGATCTGCTGTATTGCGGGATCATGCTGATGCTGACGCTCTTCAGGCTCTCCACGGACACCTTGTCGTCCTGTGAGAGCAGCGAGTCGTCGTCCGCGGCGTCTCCGGCGCTGGTGAGGTAGTGGGCGTACATCTTCTCCATGAGGTTCAGGGAGTAGCCTGGGATGCCGCGCCTCTTGACCCTCTTGCCCTCGATGCCGTCTTTCGTTGCGGTCACTGACACCCCCGACGTCATGGACGAGCGTGACAACGGCCGCGAGATGGCGTAGTTGGTGATGTTGTTGTTGTTGTTGCTGGTGCCGCCGATCCCTAAATATGTCTGATCTAGTCGTGTCTCGCTTATCGTCGGTGACACCCTGCTCGTGGACTTGGACAGCGAGGAGCCGGTGCTTTCACCGGCGCCCACGCTGTGTAGGTCCTCCTGGCGAGGTGAGCTGTGTACTTCTGCCATTCTCCGCTGTATCGTTGCTGTTGCTGTTGATGTTGCTGTTGATGTTCAGGAGCGGAACGCTATTAAATTCTGGTTACCCTGCTGGAATTACGCGGGCCACCACACGAGTTTGTGCCCCCGCCGGCCCAGGCCCGCCACCCTCTGCCCGCAGGCTCTGGGCAGGGCCACGCACAGGGCCCAGCACACCCAAACACCCAAACACCCAAACACCCAAACACCCAAACACCCAAACACCCAAACACCCAGCACAGGGCCCATGGGCCATGTGTAGGCAGAGGTGTGGCCCTTGGTGCTGTGGTTCAGTGCTGTGCTTTGGTGCTGTGGTTCTTAGGCTGTGGTTCTTAGGCTGTGGTTCTTAGGCTGTGGTACTTAGGCTGTGGTACTTAGGCTGTGCTTTCAGTGCTGTGCTTCAGTGCTGTGCTTCAGTGCTGTGCTTCAGTGCTGTGCTTCAGTGCTGTGCTTCGGTGATTGCTCCTGAGCCGTTGGCTGCCCAAGCACAGCAGGAACCTCACCAGGATTCAAGTCACTCGCGTCACACTGCAACATTGCATGCTTGATATCTTTCTACAGGGAGGCCCAGAGAGGGAATCCGGTGCCTGGAAGGGTCCTCTGTATACAAAGCAGAAGCACGGTATACGTGTCGAATAATAAGAGTAAGCTATCTAGTTCTATTGCGAGAGATACGGGTAAGCCGTACTGGGCCAGCCAGTCTTGTTCCTTAGAACTTGTCCAACTCGATGGTACTCATCTTTCTATCGGTGAAGGCAGGCTTCTTGGTGCAAATCCAGGTTGATGCGTACATGTTGACACGATCAATCATCTGGCCAGAGTATCTTGTGGCTGCAGCCTCGCACTTGAATCCACGCTGCTCGAAGTTGTTGATATACCATGGCTTCTTGGAGGCTGTTCTCAGCATAACACGGCCTCCCTCGCACAGGGCCCCGTGGAGGGCATCGATCTCATCGTTGACATCATCGCCTTCTGGGTCGAACCAGTCCATGTGGTCCATGATAACAGCCACGGATATGGTCTTTTTGGACAATCTACGCAGCACGTTGTTCAAATAGTCTGTGTGGAGTCTGATTCCTTCCAATGGCGAGTTCTGCTTTCTGGACAAGACTTTGAAACCTTGCTTGCTCAGGTAATCTGGACAGTTGGTTGGTCTGTATCTACCCGTCAATGTCAAGTAGTAGAAATAGTTGTCAGAGGAGATCAGTGAGTTACCAATGATTGGGTCCAAGGTGTCGATGACATACTGCAAGATATCGCCCATCATGGCTGCCTGGTTGGATGGAACACCCAACGCTTTCCATAAGAAGACCTTATTACCAACAAGCAACTTACCCACCAAGGTGCTAAGCAGGACTGGACGGATGGACTCCTTCCAGATCTCCCTCTGCTCGTTCAGTGTCTTGGCCTTACAAAGCTCTGAAACCTTCTTGGACAATCCCGAAATGGCAAAGACAAATCTAGCCAATCTTAAAGCCCATCTAGTGGAGCCGGTATCGTAAAGACCCTTCCCTGATGGATCAAAGGCCTTTGGACCTTTGGCTAACCAGTATTGCAAGGCATTTGAAGACATGTGTGGAGCCAGCTTGGTGATCAAAATCTCCTCAAAGTTTTCAATCTTTCCTTCACCAAACAACTTCCACATGTCATCATGTCCCAACGTTGTTAAAGCTGCAAGTTTCAGCTCAACCAAGTGGCCCTGACATGGGTTTAAGTCAACACCATGGATTCTCTTTGGTGGATCTGGTAAAGTGGCATAGGACAGGATGTTATCACCGGCAGATGTGATGGCCAAAACCGTATCTCTTGAAGTCAAGTTGAGCAAGGCTGCATCTTCTCTTGGATCTTCCCAGGTGAAGGCGTAAATGTACTGATTCTTGAAACACTCATAGTCATCAGAGAGTTCATCGTAGTAGACTCTCCAAGCCTGTCTTTGGTAGAACAAAGAAGGGTATGGAAGACCCTTTTTGGCATTATCAAGAGCAGCTTCAAGAGCCTTTGAGACTGGAGTGTCCTCGTTGCCTGCTGGTTGGTTCTTCTTTGGGTCAACAGGTGCCAAATAGGGAGATTCGGTTGCCAAGCAGTTGAATCTATAAACCAACTGGTAATCTTCTTGCTTGTTAACACCCAACCAGATATAGTAAGGAATCTTACCCAGAGTACGGTTGTAACAATTGACGGACTTGACAGTTCCAAACTTGTACTCCAGGTACTCTCTTCTTGAAGGATCCAAGAACACCTTGTCACACTCGAACCAGATTCTCCAGAAAGTTCTGAAAATCCAAGGAACGTGACGGTTCACCATACCTCCAAGCGTGTTGGTTCTTCCAATGGAATTCGACTCAGACTGAACACCAAAGTCAACGGAGCAGATGATCCCTGAGTCAGGGTTGAGTAACTTCTCAGCATGGTCAACAGCAGAATGGTACAGCGGGATCATAGACAAGGAGTAAGAGAATGTGATCAGGTCTGCATGCTCTTCTGGGATTTCAAAGGTACAAGCATCGCCACAGATGATGTGAACGTTGGTCCAACCTTGCTTAGCAACTCTTTCCCTAGCAACTTCACACAAGGAAGTCGACAGGTCAACAAGGTAGACGGCGGTGAAGTTCTCACTCAGCTTGGCGACTCTCTTGTCCATCTTCTCGATGTTGAGCCCGGTACCGCCACCAATATCGATCCACACCAGCTTTTTGCCTCGAGACGAGTTTGCCTTAGCGTGCGAGAATGCCAGCTTCAAGGCTTCGTCGCGTCCCTGCAGCAGGATCTCACGGGTCGTGTCGTAGAACTTGGCCTGGGTCTTGTAGAACGTCTCCAGGTTGTTCTGGTGATCCTCGTGCACCTTTGAGGAAGTGAACGGCTTGAAGAAGCACGCCCAGATGAACACCAAGAAGGACTTGGACTTTTCATTGGAGAACAGCACGGCGAACGTGGACAGGAACCCGACAGCGAGCGCAATCGACTTGATGTGAGCAGTCTCACCGAGTGTGTCCTTGACGTCGGCAGCGTGCTGGAGGAAGCCGCCGACAAAGTCGTTGGCAAGAGCGGTTGACATTGATTGCAGAGTACTACTATTTGCGCCTGGCAGTTGTTGAAACTGTTCGAGAGTACAGCCAGATAGACCAAAACTGCGAAGAAGCACTAGCTGAGAAAGGACAAGGGAAATCGGATGGGTTTATATAGCTATTTACAGCCCAGCTATGCCTTCACCTCCCAGCATGGCAAGTGTCTTCGCAGTGTGTGCAATAACACACAACAACGTATGCGCGCTCAAAGCTTAGGAAAACACGCTCTCCACGTGTGATGTGCGACGACTCCGAGACGTTTTTCCCCTGTTTTGGTCTCACGTTACAAATGGTAAAATTGCATGTGAATATCACTGGCCCGCGTGCTGTGTCGATCTGTGAGAATCTCCAGCCAAAACAGCCCTTACGGTGCGCTGAATTGTGCTGGAAGGGCGTCTTCAAGCTGAGTCGAATTGGGAGGATGTGAGCTGAGCGAAAACGTGTCAAGCGATGCACGTTTTGTGCCAAAGAAGGAAAAACAAGTACGTTAGGCTTTCAAAGGCAGCGCGAAAAAAAAACACCGACGCCTCAGCGGCAGGACAAATACGCAGGAATTCACAATTCATTGCGGAACGGGGGTGGACGAGCTTTTCGCACCACTCAGCGTGGAGGTGATTGGCCAGGTTGGCTGTTGGGTGTTTGTTGAGTGCTGTGGAGTGTGGTGTGTGGTGTGTGGTGCCTTGCTGGGCGAGCGCAGAGGTGTTGGTGTTGGGGTTTTCAGCACGTAGATAGGGTATTCAGTTCACATGCAGGCCTGAACACACTTTGGGTGAAGAGGTGCCAGTTTGGCACGTTGGTATGATGTCCGAGGCGACGATGGCGAGGAAAGCAAGCACAGAGGCATGGTGTGGTAGTGTTGGTGTAGTACATAGCGGTGTGTCTAGGATGGGGTGGAGGTGTAGATGGTGGTAGCGGTCATGTAGGCTGGGTGTACGATGCTGTGTCCAAGATGGAACAGCTGGGGTTGTGGTCACGTGATTGTGAAATCAAATTGAGGGGCCTGTGTGTCTAGTCACGTGACTAGGAGAGAAGATTAAGAGGAGTGTGTACCTGTACACGTGACTTTCTCACCAAATTGAGAGCACGCTGTACCTACTCACGTGACTCTCTCACCAAATTTTCTTCAATTTTAGTTCGGAGTCACGTGCCTACCTTGAACTAAATTTTCAACACAACTCTTGTAGCAACAGACACCTCCTTGTTACACTGCAAGCGGTAAGCTCTAACATGGAAATTTTAACTCTATGAGAAGATATTTTTGAGCAGATACACTGCATCATAAGGTTCCAAGAAACACTTATACATACAAATCTTCACTAAAAGATCACACTTTGGTACCATTATATCGATCATTCGAAGCTGCTCAATTGTATGCGGTGGATGCATAAAATGGTATAGCTCCTGCAGCTTTGAAGACCATTGTTTGGGCTCGAAGTGCCCTCTGAATCAGCCAGCAAAGCTCTGTCCAGATTGAATAGGAAACCAGCCCCTAATTATGAGTCCAACTTGATGGATCTGATACTCTCCGGCGGTTTCAGCAAGTGCTTTGGCATAGGATTACGTAATTCTCCAGCTTGTGGGCGATGATGTTGCCGTGGATGCTCACGCAGATGGGCCATAACTCCAAAGGGTTGGCGGCTAAACAACAACAACAACAACAACAACAACAACAACAACAACAACAACAACAACAACAACAACAACAACAACAACAACAACAACAACAACAACAGCAACAGCAACACATTCAGACCAGCACAGCCCGCAATGCCGTTCGCATCGCTCACCCACAAGGCCATAACTAAAGTCGCTACAGGCCTGCCGGCCTCGTCAGCTCAGAGTCAGCAGTTGATACACACGATGCTCACAATGTCCTTTGGTTGTATCGCCTTCACGCGTGGATTGTTCCCTGATAACAGCTTTGCTGACCAGAGATTCGTGCCAAACAAGTTCGAAGAGGACTACGATCCAACTGATCCAGACGTGAAGCTCAATTCCCTTCGCGTGAAGACGTTGGTGAGAGGCAGGTCGTCTCATGTTGACCAGTTCTTGGACTGGATAGATGAAGGGATCCTCGACGCTTTGAAGAGAAACTACTTGAAAGGGCTGGTGCTCGGTATATTCTTAGACGAGTCCAGGCCAGACGATCTACACGAGGCTTACTCGTTCTCATTCGATTCCAATGAAGATACAGTCAAGCTTGACATGAGCACTGCTGGTGCAAGTGAAACCATCACGTTGTTGAGTGCAAGACAGACACTTCAACATCTTATGGAGCGGCTCGTCAAATTGACCCAGGCATTGGACAAATTGCCGGAGACCAAGTTCGTCGCACTTAGAATGCTATTCAGCGATGACTGCCCAAAAGATTACCAGCCTAGCGGTTTTAAGGACGCTAGTGATGCTCCAGCGGCCACAGTTAGGGTCAAAAAGCCATCGTTGGAAGGCTGCTCTGCTGGTGCTTTAAACACTGGCTGTCACAAGTACGCTCTAGAAACCCCCCAGCCGTTACACATTGCTTTGTAGAACTTTCCACTAACATGATAATAGGACAGTGCTAAATGTACTAAGTGTTGCAGAAGGTACTCCAACAACTGGTGTAATTCGAATGGACCCCTTTGAAGTTCCAGAGTTGGACAAGCCTCTTGAAGGGCATGTTCAGTTTCCTACAGTAAGATACCCTTCTCTAGAGCCGAGTCAAACAACGGCTATTCTCAAACAGTTCTTAGGAGGTGGAAATAACGAGTCTGTTATCCCGACACAGCACCTTGGGAGGTTTACTTGTGAATGTGGTTGTAAGGAGAAGTTTGGAGGATACGCCCTCAACAGTGTACAATGCTCAGCATGCGGTGCACGCGTCCATAGGGTCTGTTACAGCCTAACAGTGAAAGATTTACTCCCAACTTGCTACACATGTCGTTCACGCAATATGGGGCAAATACCGTTTCATGAGAACTTGAGACCATTATTGGTGACAAGGCTCTGGACCTTTATGGGCCGTACTACTAAGAAAGGCTTTATTCTTTCAGAGGTGCACAGAAAGATGGGCTTGTCACATCAAGATTTCCCAATAACAGCGAAAGCCATTTCATGGATGCTCCAAAGGAATATGCTCTACCTCATTGAAAGAACTGATCCTAATGCATATGCGTTGAGACTGAACACGTTGAAGATCAATATTGACATTGATGATGTTCAGTACAAAAGAAAGCCCCTTAAACAAGGATTATATTCATTCTGCTTTGGTCCTAAGGTTCACAATGCAACTAACCTTCGAGGTGTCGCACGTGAATCCGGAAGATGGAAGAAGTTCATCTGTGAAGATACAAAACGTATGTGTCTCATAGTTGATGAGGATTTGGACATGCTCTCGTGGGACTCTTCTCCAGATGTCGCGTTCAATTCCAGTTCGGAAAACTCTGTGGACTGGAACATTGGCAGTCAAGAAACCTCTTTCAGTTCACAGTTACAGACTGAGCGTTATCGGAAGAGAACAATGGAGAGTGACTCAATCGAATCAATCGATAACGGAACACCAGATCATCCCCCAAATTACCTCTCCAGCAATCCAATTCCACTTTCACCAAGATGGAAGAAGGCTAAAAATACCGTTTCTGGTCGCTATCACTACCTTTCTTCCATCGTTGACTAATTTATACCAAAATGCACGTTGCTGTTTGAAGTGGTACGTTGTTGTAGGTGTGGGAAAAAACGCTTACAAAATTTTTATTAAGAAAGAATGTCCGTATCCAGCATACAAAACGTACAGATATCACACGACGAAAGCAAAGATGTTAGCCAGATTACCGAGATCGAAATGGACTTCTAAGACGCAAATACGATCTCTTATGAATAGACCAGTGCCACCGTTCAGTGCTGGTCAGCCACTCTTTGAAACAAGACCGTTCATGCTCAAGCCGGGTGAATTAACACCTGGAATCACTGCATTAGAGTACTTTCAACGTCGTATCGACCTTGCAAGCAGACTTCAGAGCTCCTCTATTGCTATTGTTATTGGAACTAGCGTTCAATTTGCATCTGGAAGCGTGTTTTATCCATTCCAACAGAACAACGACTTGTACTACTTGAGTGGTTGGAACGAACCGGATTCTGTGCTCGTCATTGAGAAGCCTGATTCCAACCTGGAGAATGTGCTCTTCCACTTGATTGTTCCACCAAAAGAACCTCATGTTGAACAATGGGAAGGTCAAAGAACCGGAGTACAAGGTGCCATTGACATCTTCAACGCGGATGAAAGTGAAGATACTTATAGAGTTGCTACGCACCTCGAGAAACTGATCAAGAGAAACTCGAACATCTACGTTGACTTGAACAAAAATACCTCGCATGCCAAATCATTAAGTAACACTTTCCAAAGCTTCTTCAATATCGGTACAAATTCCAAATACTCGACAATCGAAGGAGTAATTGAGGCAAACTCCACGGGAAAAACCGTCAAACGTCTGTCTCATCTGATCACTGATATGAGAGCAATCAAATCTGAAGCTGAGTTGAAAGTTATGCGCAAAGCAGGGCAGATTTCAGGAAGAGCATATAATCAGGCGTATGCAAAGAGATTTGTAACGGAGAGAACATTACACGCCTTCTTGGAATACAGATTCATCGCTGGAGGTTGTGATAAGTCTGCCTACATACCAGTTGTTGCAACTGGTGCCAACTCCCTCTGTATCCACTATACAAGAAACGATGATGCTATGTATAACGATGAGATGGTTCTTGTTGATGCAGCTGGGTCTCTGGGTGGATACTGTGCTGACATCTCACGTACCTGGCCTAACTCTGGTAAGTTTACGGGCCCTCAAGCTGATCTTTACCAAGCTGTGCTGAACGTTCAAAAGGATGTCATTGACCAGTGTACTGAGTCTGCAAAATTGAGCCTTCAAGATCTCCACGACTTGAGTGTTCAATATTTCAAGAGAGAACTGAAGAACGTTGGATTCGGAGACCTTTCAACTTCTGACGTAACAAAGTTATACCCTCACTACATTGGGCATAACCTTGGTCTGGACGTCCATGACTGTCCAAACTACGCAAGAACCGCAAAGCTCAAGGCAGGGCAGGTGGTCACTGTGGAACCAGGTATCTACGTTCCTGATGATCTCCAATACCCTGTACATTTCAGAAATATTGGTATTAGAATCGAGGATGACATTGCAGTTGGTGTCAACGACTATACAAACTTGACCATCGAAGCTGCAAAGGAGATTGTTGATATTGAAAGAGTCGCTGAGGTTGGTGTCACCACTCCTCTTGAAGACGAAGTGCTAGAAGTGTTTTAAGAAAAACCTCGTGTGTAAATACATGTATATAAACTCATAAGCAGGGCTACTAGACGTTTGTCTTTCCATATCTTGCCAGCCTAGCATCCAAGCTATCTGGATCATAAGCCTTTGGTTGTTCAGGCTCTGGAGACGATGCGTGGCTTTGGATCTTTGACTCTGCCTGCGATGCTGTTCTCAGTGCACTTTCAATGTCGTCCACTTCTTCTGCCAATCGGTTCAGCCTTTCGTAGTATGTGGTCTTCTTATCAGGTTCGACAACTTCTAAAATGGTTTCATCTTCTGTGAAGGCAAATTGCAAGCATTCCTTCCGTATCAAATCGTTTATCTCTCTCTTTAACTCAACTTCGGGAATTAACAACTTGTTTGACAAATGTCTTAACGAGACTCTCTTCACCAGAGATAGATACAGTAAATAGGCCTTCTTTCTGAACGCAAGCTTGATGTCCTCCCAGATTCTTGCAAAGAACATGTTTGAAGTACACAGTGTTTCCAGTCCATCTAACAGTTGGAAGAACTCAGCGAATCTAGCATTCACCAATGCTGATGCGAATGGACGGAAACTTTGGAGCAAAGACCCCAGGATTGACGTCAGCTCTGGTTGAGCATGAATATCAGCAAGCTGCTTTGGAGTACTAGCCACCAAAACGGAAACTAGCATGGCAATTAGAATCTCATCCTTGTGTATGGCTTTGTCAAAGTCTGAGTTGTTCAGCACGTCCAGAGCTTTGATTTCGGTTCCGTTCACGGTAAGGATTGGATCACTGCTTGCGATAGCAAACCCCTGCTTGACAACCTCTTCAAAGTTCTTCTTGAGGAAGTTTGCATATAGGACGTAAAACTTGACCCTCCAGAATGATGTGATTTCCTCTGGGGTCAATCTCTTGAAGTAAACCTCGTTCGACATTGCAGTAGAGATGAATACATCCACTTTCTTCTCCTGAGAAAGGGTCAACTGATAAGTTCCCTGTAATATGCCCACCTGACAGGCATACTCTGCAATCTGGCACGCGTTTGTTGTATTATTCAACGAGGCCAATACACTCTGGGCCTCGCCATATTGGTTGTTGTACATGTATATCGTTGTGATCTTGATAATCTTACTCATAGAGCTCTGGTAATAGACACAGTCTGCACCCAGGTCATTGAGCATTCTCTTCTTTCTTGCCAGCGCAGTGTCTGGGTCCAGCTTTCTCTTATATTCATCTCGAAGCGAAGGATCATCTCTCGTCGCCTTCTCCACGAGAGACAAGGTATCGACAATTGGCACGTCAATGCTGGCGATGTAGTCAAGTGCTGCGCGAGCAGCCTGTACCGATACCGGATCATCCATGTGAGAGATGAATCGGAGTCTCTCTAAGCGAGAGGGCCCTGTTCACGTGTGTTAGTTCCAACCAGCGCTCTACATGCCCATATCCCTTTAGTACTGAAACTCACCTTCATACCTCTCCAAGATCTTTGCTAAAACCTCTATTCCCACACGGTTAGTTATAGCCCATCTAACGGCAGTCATCTCGATAGCTTACCTCTTAGTTCAATGTGCATTCTCGGCAGTGTCACCGGTCTTTCCTGATGAGTCGTCCTGCTTTACGGGAAAAGCTGTTGATGTAGTGCACCCGGTATGATACACCCGGACATCCACACCCGGACACCTAATCACCCGAACACCACGGTAGGGCCACACAGCGCCGGTAACCACGGCCACCACCCTCCGTCGTAAAAGCCGCTCGCCGTATGTCCCCGGTCCCACACTAAAATATCACTTGATCTTTTGAGCTGAATCCATCTTGTTGTGCCATCTCATCACCTCATTTCCCACCGAAACCGCTCAGTACAAATGCTTGCACAACCTATCAACATCCCGAAATGGCTTGAAGAGAACGGAGACCTTCTCCAGCCCCCGGTCAACAACTACTGCCTGCACCGTGGTGGCTTCACTGTGATGATTGTTGGTGGGCCTAACGAGCGTACCGACTACCACGTTAACCAGACACCGGAGTACTTCTACCAGTACAAGGGGGCCATGACTCTCAGAGTCGTTGACGATGGTGAGTTCAGAGACATCACCATTGGCGAAGGAGAGAGCTTCCTCCTTCCGGGGAACACCCCACATAATCCGGTGAGGTATGCAAACACCGTGGGCATTGTTGTTGAGCAAGATAGACCAGATGGTGTTAACGACCAGATACGGTGGTACTGTTCCAACTGTAAGGAGATCGTTCACAACCTGACCTTCTACTGCAGTGACCTGGGAACTCAGGTGAAGGATGCCATCTTGAGCTTTGACGCTGATGTCGAGGCAAGAACCTGTAAGAAGTGTGGTACGCTGAACTACTCCAAGCCTCAGTGATACAACGACTCTCTGTATTTACACCACTGTTGTCTCTGTGATCAGAACGCTCACAGCACACAGCCAGTAGTGGTATTATTATGATCATTATAGCTCAAACTTGTCCCTTAACCAAGTAGTTAGCCGGTTCATTAAGACCCCGTATGAGTTGTGGTAGTTGATGTTGTGATTGGAATCTGGGTAGATCATAAGATCAAAATTCACAACAGCGTGTAGGTTGAACAAGTCCAATAGTTTGTAAGTATTCTGAATGTGCACATTATCATCGCCTGTTCCATGCATCAGAACAAACCTCTTGACCGATTTGAACGCTTCAAGGTCCCTAATTCTGGCCTCCTTATAGCCTTCAGAATTGTCCTTTGGCAGATCCATGTATCTCTCCGTATAGATCGAATCATACATCAGCCAGTTGGTGACAGGTGCAACAACCATGCCGAATTTGAACACTTGTCCCTTGTCATATTCCATAGTCTTCAGCGTGGTGAATCCTCCATAAGACCATCCCCAAATCGCCGTCTTCTCAGGATTGATATACGTTCTCGATTCAATCCAGAGCTTCGTCACCTCTGTTACATCGCGAGGCTCCCAATGGCCAATGTGTCTCTTTGCGTATGATCTATAGTTCCATCCTTGACCTCCTGTGCCTCTCGGATCCACGAAAAGGATGACGGCATCCAATGCTTGACTAATTGTGTCCTCAAATCCCATGTGGAACTGCCTGTGAAGCATTCTGTAGCCAGGTCCTCCATATACATTTACCAACAAAGGATGTTCCTTTGAAGCATCAAAGTTTGGTGGTACAACCTCTATAACATCAACAGTTTCTCCATCACTCAATTTCACCGTATGATATCTGGTTCTGGATCCCGTGAAATCAATTGCACGCTTCTCCTTTTCCTTATGCTCGATTGTGGTATCGTATACTATCATTCTTGGAAGCTCGGGACCCTTGTATGAGGCAACAACGTATCTACCACTAGGAGAGTAATTTGCTGTGAAGAACCCAGGTTTGGAAATGTCTGTAATTGAGAAGATCTCCCCAGTATTGACATTTACAGCATAGATATGACTTTCAAAATGGGATTCTCTATTGGCTGTAATGTACACTAGTTCCTCCTCTGCGTCAAAATGCTCAATGCTAACAACCTCCCAATCACCCTTGGTCAGAATTCGAGGGCTTACCGAGTCCACAGGAAAGAAGGCCAGATGGTTGTATCCTTCACTCTGCACAATATCAACAAACCCATGGTTCACTCGTGAAGAGGACTCGTTCTTTGGAATGAACACCATCTCGTTAAAGTTTTCTATCCACCCGTTGTACTCGTTCGAGTCTATGGAGTATTTGATAGATGAGCCATCGTCTTTCGAAACGACTCTATAATCGAGCACCTTTGATGTTCTGTCACTTTCACGAATAATGAAGGAATCACCAATCCACAACGCACCATAACAGATCCACTCTTCGCCTAGCTTAGAGTCCGCTCTATCCACGGTGTCGGTCTGATCTCTCTCCGTATCATGGATAAACAACGTCAGCTTTGGATTGGCCTCTCCAGGTTTAGGATACTTGATGTCCTCCACTGTAGGGAACACACCAGAACTGAACCTTTCCAACGGTAAGGTCTCGACATCTGTGTCGTCTATCTTCAAGAACGCCAGCCTTGTCTCATCTTGATTCCACCAAAGTGCGTTGTCCGTACCTAGGACCTCCTCCTCGTATACCCAGTCAGTCTTACCGTTAAAGATTTGGTATCCATCACCATCACTTGTGATTCTCCTGTTGGACTTATTGACAACGTCATATATGTAGAGGTCCCCTTCTTGGATGAATGTGACATAACGAGCTTTAGGAGAAAAAGAACAATGCTGTAACTTCACGCCATTCAAGCCCTTCCCTGATATCTGAGTGATCTCCTTAGTACTGACATCGTAGAGATACCAGAACGCTTCTGCTGAGTGTCTGAATCTAGCCACGGCCTCTGAAGCAAACAATAGCAATTGGCCATCACTATTAGACACTACGCTCAGTAGAATGTTCTCAAGACCGTTGTACGTGAAAGTGCCCTCTGGATAGAGAACGTACTCATACTGTGGGTCCGCCATCTTGCGTAGCACAACCTTGTCGTCGTACTTTTGGATATAGAGTCCTTCATCCTCAGCCTTTGACATCCGTGCTCCTGGCAAGAACGTCACAGACTCTGCATCCACTCTACTGTGGTATACCTTTCTCGGTATTGATTCTCTCGAGATTCTAACATCGAGCTCTTGCAGTGTAACTGTTGGTGTTCGTGAGGTTGTTGACTCCTCAGGTTGAGTTGAACTGGACGATTCCTGCTCAATCAGGTGTTCTGAAATGGTTGACACCTCCGTGCCAGAGTCGACAGATGCCGATTGTCCTACGCTGGACAAGGACTCTGCCGCGCTGGTGTTGTTCAGTGAATAGTTGGTTCTTGCATCGTAGTTGACGTTTCTGTAGCTGAGTAACACCGCCGTGTACCCCAGAATGAACACGATCACAACACCGATAACCCACGACCTCTTGAACCGCTTTGTCGTCACGATAGTCGGCGCGGTATCACCTTCAAGCGACAGGTCCTCGTAGTCTGGCAGCATTCGAGCCTGCTGATCAAGCTCATCGAAGGCCCTGGACACGGTGGATTCCTGTGAACTGGAAGACCTTGTGGAAGGCTCGTTCATATTGTCCAATTCTATCTCCTCTGGCATTGTGATCAGTTACCGCACATGTATCTCTGAGGCAACAAGGGTATATGAAACGCTCAGCGAGGACTCTGTGCAGGGTTTAAGTGTTTCCAATGCTCTCAAGTTTACGGGTGTTGGGGCCATAAATCCACACACGTAGGTGAAAGCATACGTGAACGTATGCTATACTGGCCTGGGCATATTCCAGAACAAGTAATTTTCGCGGCCTGTTGATGTGGGGGCTGTCTCGGATTTTCGTGGTGAGGCTAAGCGCGAAAACTACGAAAATAACAAATGGATCTTTGGCCGAGCGGTTTAAGGCGCTCGACTCAAGATCGAGTATCGTAAGATGCATGAGTTCGAATCTCATAGGATCCATTATTTTTTTTTTTTGAATTCTTGTTGTATTTATACACAACAAGGTGATAGCATCTGCTATTTTGGTTTATTATAACTTGTCTTTACGGTTTTAGTACATAGATGGAGCATACATTGCTTCATGAAGACCCTTAAGCTGAACCTAAGGGGTAGGTAGGATGTAGCTGACGTAAGCATCCTCTATGCTTTAACATTTTCTTTGAACGAGGCATTGTTCCTCCGTGGCTCTACATCAACTAGATAAAGTCCAAGTTGTCTATTCCTATGGCTGATATCTAAGTGTTGAGTGAGCATGTCAATTGAATCATGGTTACATGACCTTTGATATATAGAACAAAAACCGAACGATGGGCTCCCGAATGGTCATCTGTGGCCCAAATTCTTGAAATCACCATCGAATGCATCCTTCAACCAATTGAACAGTTTGTCGTAAACAACTGCATTGGCATTGTGGTACAAGATGCTGTGTTCAGAGTCTGGAAACACATGAACGTCGTAGTTCTCGACCGATTTCAAAGTCAGGAGATCGAGCAGTCCATATGTGTTTTGTATGTGAACGTTATCATCTGCGGTTCCGTGCATCACTAAGAACCTCTCTACCTTACTGAGAGCTTCAACGTCTCGTATTTGAGAAACTGCATATCCTTCTTTGTTGTTTGATGGCTTATCCATATATCTCTCCGTGTAGATGGAATCGTAAAGCAGCCAGTTGGTCACAGGCGCAACTGCCATGCCATACTTAAACGTCTCACCATGATCATACTCTAATGTCTTTAGAGTGGTGAACCCACCATATGACCATCCCCAGCATGCCACTTTGTCAGTATCGATAAATCCCTTTTCTAACCACATCTTGGTGACTGTGACGATGTCTCTTGGTTCCCAGTATCCAATCTTCTTATTAGCCCACGATCTGAATCTCCATCCTTGTCCTGCTGTACCTCTTGGTTCGATGTAAAGAACAACTGCATCCAAAGAGGAGGAAACCACGTCTTCAAAGTCCAGTGAGATGGAATACTTCACCACTTGAGATCCCGGTCCAGCGTAGTAATGTACCAACAGTGGGTATTTCTTGTTTGGATCGAAATTTTGAGGTAAATATTCTAAAACGTTTAAGGTGACAGGGGATCCATCTTCGTCCGTATCAACGTTAACTCTGTGGAATTTGCGCTCTGGGAAATAGAAGGCGTCCTTCGACATCATGTACAAGGTCTTTTGAGAGAAGGGTAAAATCATTGAGGAATCTTCCAAGTTGATCAGCTCCATTGATTCATCATCTGGACCAGCTCTGTACTTTGCAGCATACTTGGCATTTGGTGAGAACCAAGTATCGTAATATCCATCTTCAGATTCTTTGGTAACTGCTGTGATTTCGCCAGATGTGAGATGGACACTATACAGGTGTTTGTCCACTGATTTCTTCGACGCTGAAAAATAGACAAGCTGTTTAGTAAAGTCAAAGGCCAGCTCACCAGTGACAACCTCCCAATTACCTTTGGTCAAAGGTTTTGGTTCTGCCGTTGGAGAATCAAAATAGCACAGGTGATTATAGCCTTCAACAACATAAGTATCCACATAACCAGCGACTTCACGGCCTTGTGATTGATCTGCTGGGATTATCAATGGTGCGTTGAATTTTTCAATCCAGCCTTGGTAATCCTCATTGGCATTGACTCTATGCACAACTTTTGACTCCTTTGAACTTGGTCTGAAATGACGAACCTCAAGTCTGTTAGATTCTCTGTCTGCTTCTTTCACCAATAAATTGTCATCATCAACGAAAAATACTTCATAAATGATGTACTCATCGCCTAACTGTGAGTCAGCTCTCTGAATCTCTGTGATGGTTTGGTCCTTCAAGTTGAAAGAGTGCAGTGAAACTTGAGGGTTTTTGAACCCAGGCTTTGGGTATGCAATTTGTTCAGATTTTGGATACTTGGTAGCACCACCGGAACCTTGCACGAACAGATCAATATTATACAATGGAACATCTTTTTCCAAAGTCTTCATGAAAACAAATGTGGATTCATCTGGTGACCACCATATCGCCTTATCATCGGCAAGCACTTCTTCCTCATAAACCCAATCTGTTTTACCGTTGAGCAAGATGGAATGTTCATCTTCATGGGTAATCTGCTCCACTTTTCCTGTCGATACATCAAGGATGTATACATTGTTGTCATAGTGGTAGGATATGTAGTTATACTTTGGAGACCATGTGGCGTATGACAGTTTGATCATCACACCCTTCTCATCCACAGCCAAGGGCTTATACTCTTTGGTGTCAATGTTATAGAGCCAGTAATACGCCAGGGATGAATGCCTAAACAGCTTCTGCACATCAGTACCTACTATAGCCCAAGTCATGTCGTAGTTAGGAACGAATGTAGTGATCTTGTGGTGGGCTTCCTCGTATTCAAAAGTCAACGAATCGGCAAGCTTCTTGGTCTTGTCAGTAGAGGAGCTCTTCTGCGCCTCAATGGCATGGACGTCGAAGTAGTAGAACCACCCTTCGTCGTTTTCCAGTTGCTGTGGTGGTTTGACAAATCTCAATTGGGTCGAATATGTGAACAGTCTTCCAGATCTCAGGTCACTGAGCGTGATTGGCGGCCTTCTGGAGACATCGGTCGAGTCTTCAGGAACGGGCTTTCCACCTGAATCAGCACCACCATCGTCCAATACAGGCGCATCTGCTCCCTTGGAGTCGTGAGCTGTATCTTCACCGGCACTCTGTCCCTGCTCCTGCCCGCCCTCTTGCTTTCCTCCATCCACCGCTGGTGCAACCTCCACCGTAGGCACGCTAACTGCAGGCTCACCTTCAGTCTCCGCACCGCCAGCACCCTTCTGCTGCTTGTAGTAATCAACAATCTTGTCAGCACCGCCGCTGAGATACAGCACAGACCCACAGATCCACAGAAGCACAAGCGCACTGATCACAACAACAACCTTCTTCTTCCTCCTGAACAGCGGCTTCCTCCCATCGGCGATAGCGTCGAGCCTTGATCTCAGCAGCGCATCAGAGGGCTCAACTCCTCCTCCTCCACCTTGTTCCAGCTCGTCCAGCTCGTCCATCTCGAAATCGTCGGCCGCCATGTCCCCTTTAAAACGTCTCCAGCGGTCCTGGCTTCCTTCAACAGTGACTTCCACGCCAGATTTCCCAATTGTTCCCTTTTTCCCAACGCTTCCGCTGCTATAAAGACACGTCCAATGTTACCCGTACGGTGTGAGTATATGTACACCCGCCCATTGCCTTCCCAAAGAGGAAATCGGCCCAGGCGACGGTGCCAAAGCGCACAAAAACGAGTTCGCGGGAGACTTTCGCACGTCCCGCGGCGCACTTTAAAATTTTACCTTTTCCTTCGAGAAGCCCTCTAAACAGCGCAGCGGAACAGGAGAGAAGCCAGAGAACACCATCGACGCCCGCCTCTTCGTCTCTTTCTCTACTTCTGGCTGCCATACACGATGTCCAACACACTGTTCGATGACGTTTTCACTATAACGGAGGTTGACGCTGCGCGCTACAACAGGGTGTCGAGAATCGTTGCGTCTTCCACAACCTCATCTGACGTTAAGGTCACCTTGGACATAAACTCAGACCTGTTCCCAGTGAGCACTGGCGAGTCCGTGACGATCACACTGGCGTCGTCGCTGTCGTTGGAGGAGGCCTCGGAATCACAGGCGCCAGGCTCGTGGAGACCGCCAAAGCAGGGCGAGCGCAGCCTGGCGGACGACTACGACTACGTGATGTACGGTACGGTCTACAAGTTCGAAGAAGGGTCCGACGACAAGATCAGCGTCTACGTCTCCTTTGGAGGGTTGCTGCTGTGCCTGGAGGGCGGCTACAGAAACCTGAGCTCGCTGAAGCAGGAGAACATCTACCTGTTGATGCGCCATTGATCTCTGCTCAGTGGCTTCCACCCTGCTCTTATACATACGCACCGGTGTAATATAGAACTGCTCAATTGAACCATTTAGACATATGTACGATTCTCGAGCTCGCGCTAGGCTCATGGAGTAACTGGCCGTCCAGGCTCCGAAGTTGTGTGCTATCATTGCTGTTGTACGTGTATATATGTGTGGTTCGGCGCAATCAAAACCGTTGCAATCAAGCATGCAGACGGTGTCTCCCACTTCAAGCTTGCCACTTTTGGGTTCTTGCCACCTAATTTAGCAAATTGGAACCAATTCCTCCTCTGAGCTGTTCACCCTGTACAAGGCACGCATACCCGTTGGTAAACACAAGGATAATGTCAGATACTGAGAAGAGATTAGAAGCACTACACCCAAACTCGCTTTCCGAAGACTCTACAGAGTCAAACGTTCGTTATGCGGCTTACGCAAACCGGTTAAGAACCATTCTGCTGGCTTCTCACCGTTACGTTGCCTATACAAGCGACATTGGTGAGTCCTTTAGACCTGCTGTCCACCCGACTTGGGTCAAGGCCTGCTATGGTATCTCGTGGACATATGTCTTGGGAGATGTTACCTACGAGGCGTGGAAGGCGAAGCTACGCCAGCAAGGCCAGTATCTTCCACACCTTAAGCCCTGGGACCCATTGCCTGCCGTGGACCCACAGGCAAAGGCATTAGCGCAAAATGAGTTGGACTGGAGGCTCGTTGGTCTGAAGAGAGGTTTGTTCCAGAGTATCGCGTCCATGGGGTTGCCAGCCTTCACTATCCATACTGCAGTGAGATACGCCACTAAATATGCCGATAAGAACATTAAGAATGCATTGCTGAGACAATGGGGACCGATTGGATTGGGCTTAGGTATAGTCCCAGCGTTGCCATACCTCTTTGACAAGCCTGTTGAGCACATCTTGGACTATACCTTTGGCGAGATTCAAAAGTACAACAGCAAGTCAAAACTAGAGTAGCCTAAAGTATACAAGCAGAATGAAAACATTGTTGTTTAATATATTACTTCTTCCTTGTAACTATGACCATTGTCTCACCAGTGCGAAGGAGAAGTTCACAATGATACCGGCAACTATGGCAATCTTCTGTCTCTTGTTGAACAGTTTCCCGGTCATTAACAAGAAAACGCTTAGCACGCCACATAGGCATCCAATCAGCACCCCGACTAGTAGATCAACGTTCCCGCTCATCATGGATCCACTTCCACCGTTGGCAGTGGCAACGTTGAAGTCGTCGATTTCGTGGTTAACAGAGCTGTCGATCCACCTCTCCTCTAGCTGTCTAATATCTGCTTCGTTTTGCACTTGCGGCAAGTCCCCATATAGCTGTCTAAACTGTCTCCTTAGCATGTTGATATCCTCTTGGCTGAATCCAGCGTTTTGTAAGCGATCAAACCCGACAGGCGCCGGTGTGGTACTCTGCTCTTGGACTTTATTATCCATCTCGTTCTCCTTTGCCAGTTCCTGCTGTGTCAAAATGTCGCCAATAAGACAGTGGATATAGAACTTCTTATCCACGCCATCATCCTCGCTCTGGAACCTTATGTATCTGTTGTACTCATCAACCAAGTTCGTACTCTCGTTGATAACACGTCCACTGAGGATAAACCTCAGTCTCTTGTTTCTAAGGTCTGAAAGTTTCATCCGTACATTCTTTCTGAGCCATGGTAACGTTAACTGAGAGGGTTCAACGGGTGGAAGTTCCAGGTCTGGGTAAGATGCTGTAGAGAATCTTATCACAATGACGATATTGTTGTCACTCATGGTGCTTTTCACGCTTTGGATTCACTGAGCGCTGTTTGTTTGGTGTCAGTGTGTGTGCGTTAGGAGAAGTTCGCTTCACTTTCAGTATAATCGGCTGATGTCTGGGTGTTTATGGGGTTATTACGTAAGCACATTATATAGCTGTTTATATCGGAGATTCTGAACAAATTAAAGCAAATAAGTACCCATACAATGATTTAAGATGTATATTGATGGATTTAACTGGTAATTATGCTATAAACTTTAGTTATTTTAAGAACTCTTTCCAAAAATGGTTTGCTGGAATAGTACAGAACTTTTAAGCTGTGAGTGATAACAATTTATTAATTTCATAATCCGTATTTAAAATGTGTCTTTTTATAGTCGCCATTACCTGAATATACTTGCAATGATATTGAGAAGAATTATACCATCGGATAAGTGCTTGACATATATATTGTCAGACTTTTCTATCATATTTATATACTGGAATGCTAAGATGGTGAGATTTGTTGGTGTCCGGGTGTTCTAATATCCCGGTGTCCAGGGCAGCATTTTACCACAGCAACCATTATTTCTCCCTGCCCAAGATCCCAGGCCATAGTTACAGGCTAATTGATCGTATGAACACGGAGTACACTAATACTGGTCCCCCTCTTCTTTCCGTTTCTATCGACAAATACTCTGTCACCGCCTTCCAAATTACTCAGACTTCCAAATACTATGTAAAGAGCCCTAAACCGAGGTAAGAGAAATCCTCGGAACTCACCCACACCGACCGCAGCACCGGTATAAAAAAAATTCTTCAAAACTTTTCACTCTCAACTTTTGTTGTAACCTTTCTTTTCCTTTTTTCCTTTCTTTAGTGCGGACAACCAGGACTTTCAAAAACCGTGTTGCCTTCATTCCTTGCTGCTTCTCTACAGTGGAATAGGCGTCAAGTCCTCGGTGAGATCAACTACGGTTCTTTCGCCAGAATCAGGTGCTCATCTTAATGCCCTTTTGTCTTCTCACATGTTATCCTTTAACGGATGATCGCGACTACTCTTGCAGGTGGATCGTGTTGGAGTTGGCGAGGGCTGGTAGATCATACAGTAACTATTGCTTTAACTGTCCCTTTTTGTCTTGTAAAAAAAGAGGATAAATAATTGAATTTGTAGCTCTATCTATATACTATTACCTTGTAAAAAAGACATGAACGAACAAGCAGATATTGCCAGTGATTTAAATAAGGTGGGACTGTTTATTATGTCTAGAACGTTTCAACCTTGATTAAATCACTTGTAATGGATGGTTCTGAAGAAGTCCATAGTGGCAGTGAAGACAACCAAGAGGATACCACCACCTGGTCCCAATCTCAACACCTTTGGAAGGAAACCTTTGTACAAAGCGCTGAAACCTTCCTCCTTGTAGATAGTCAACAAAGATGGGAAAGTCCAGTTATATTTTCTAACCTCACCTGGCTTGAGAACGGTGTTTTGAATTCTAGACTTGACAACGTCAAATGGAGTGTTGAATAGAGTACCAAAAGTACCACCAATGGCACCGGCTGCCAAGTCGTTGAGGGTCTTCTGGGTTGGGTTTTGAGCCTTTGGTAGAAGAGATCTAACTTGGAAGATGATACCGAAATAACCAGCGTTCCAGACGATGTGTCTCCACAAAGTTGCCTCCAATCCGTTGTACAAGGCCAATGGACCTTCGTTCTTGACTGTCTTGAGGAATGCATCACCCACGGATTTGTATGGGGAGTTCTTATCCTGGAGTCTGATCTTGATCAATTCGAATGGAACAACGACAAAACTTTCCACCGCACCAGCAGAGGCACCGGATAAGATAGAAAGCGGTTGGTTCATCTGCTGAACACCAAACAATTTCTTGTAGAACTTGGAGAATTCATCGTTGGCGGCAAACTTTGTAGCTCTCTTTGGAGCCTCCATAAGGATAGGAGCGGTGATACCCTTGTACAAACGAGCAGGGCCTTCGTTTTTCACAATCTTGGTGAAACAGTCAATGACACCAGTGTACTCAGCCTGGGCACCGGAACCGACCTGGAGCTGGATACGGGTCTTGATAACGTCCAAAGGGTACATCACAAGAATCTCACTGACACCGGCAATGGCACCAGCAAGGAACTGATAGGAGAATGGAAGCGCTGAAGCTGTTGTTAGTACATCGTTCAATGTGGATACGCAAATACATGCTTGGTTCATCGGTACGAGACCCCCAGCTTAATGGCTGAGCTATACACCATGATAAGCCGGATGAGTCAACAAACTCCAGAATTACACCACATGCAACTCCACGATCTTCAACACTCACGTCTGTTATCTGCTGTCATTGTATAGGAATACCAAGAATATGACTGTTTGTTTCTGATCCAAAAGAGAGAGAAAGCGCTAGCCAAAGAGAGATGTCTCAAGACAGCGAAGGAAGAAAGCGAGGAATCTCAAATTTTCCTTTGTTTGGTTTTATCAGCAAAATGGAGAAAAACAACTGGAAAAAACAACGAGGAAGCGGGAAAAAAAACACAATTGGCGCTCGCTGCCCGTTAGCGCTGTAAGAAATGAACAAAAACACAGGCAAAAAAATTGCACACACAGGGAAAGTGTCGGATGCATGCTTCCGCCCATTCAATTCCACAGTTTACGGCCCCGTTTTTAATTCCCTGGCTTGTGAACTAGGGCAGCTAGCCCGAAACCGGTGAATGGGTATTTCACTCTTCAAGTGTCGTGGCTGTGGGTGGTTTTTAGGCAGATTTGTTGACCGTTGATAGCGTTGGAGCTCATCTCATCTCAAACCTGCTGAGTACTAAATTTTCAAGCAATTTTGGGCCCGGTAGCATGTGCTATACAAATAAGGGGCCAAATTGTTGTTTTAGCGTGTAAACCAAAATAGAAGTGGCAGCGATTGGTTTGTATACTACCACCACCACCTCTTTCATCAATTCGAAGAAGTCGGTACTCAAGGAGCTGGCACTAAGGAGTGGATTACACAGAGAAGAGCAGACAGTGGTGGGGCGGAGATAATACGTATGATGATTAGGAGACAGCTGAGTGGCATTCCAAGGGTGATCACGTTCCCTGGACAGGGCCAATTGATCCAGCCTGCTTTGCTGGGGCAACTAGAACCGTTCCATAACAGGTCAAAGATCTCCATACCTAAGGTGTTGCGCGATAGACTGTTCCAAGGAGACCCGCTTGAGTTCCTACGGAGTAGCGCAAACTTACAGCCTTCTGTTGTGTACACGTCGCTGCTGATTTTGGAACTGATTGCCTCCAATGGCAAGCCCCTTGAAGGTTCTTACCTGATGGGCCATTCTTTGGGCGAGCTGACGTGTCTTATAGCCAACGGTGTGATCCCGTCAGAGCTGGGCATACACATGGCGCACTCTAGGGGCAAATTCATGGAGGAGTGCTGTCCAGACAAGAACAAGTATGGCATGACTGCCTTCATCTTCAAACATGCACAGGGGAACTTGGAGATCATCAAGGACCGCGTGTCTCAATATTCCTCGCTAGCCATCGCCAACTTCAACTGCGACACGCAGTGCGTTGTCAGCGGAGAACTGGACGAGCTCGCCACTTTGACCAAGCAGCTAAAGAGCGACATCAAGGCAAAGGGCACCAAACTACAGGTGCAGCTGCCATTCCACAATGAGATCCTAGCTGATGCTAAGCGCAGATTCAGAGAACTGATATCCACACAGTGTGACATCGACAAGGACAAGAAGTTGGAGCTGCCAATTGTTTCCAATCTCACTGGCGAGTTATCCTTTACGCACGGCGAAGCTCTCGACAACTTCCTGGAGGATTTCACCAGGCCGGTCTTGTTCAGCAAAGGCTTACAATTCATGCTTGATACAGATGTCTCCTTTGTTAACATCGGACCGAACGCTAAAGTCATCCAAGCTCTGGCGAGAAAGATGGATACAAAGGGTAACCTAGCGTCAAATATCAACCTCGAGACACAACAAGACTTATCGCAGTTGTATTAATTGGTTTCGAAACCACTGCAAAAAGACCGCCACAACGGAAGATTATATATCGTGAACATGCTATAACAACTTTTATGTGTGCTTGTTACCCCGGACGCACTTTTTTCCCTCTTTAGTTTTTGTACGTTGTAAAGCCTCCACAAAAACAACATAAACTCCACAAAAACAACATAAACTCCACAAAAACACACTTTTCCCCCACTGGCGCGCGCGCTTAGGAAATAAACAGAAAAAATCATCTGGAGGGAGCTGCCATAGAAAAAGCAGACGGTTGCACAAAACAACAAGGGAAAAAAACACAGGCACGGAACCACAACAACGGAACCACAACAACGAAAATCAACAACGAAAATCAACAACGGCGTTGAGCTCCTTACGAAATCGCGAGGGAGGTTTGATACTCACAGACTAAAGGAAGAGTGAGTGACAAGGCGAGAGAAAGTGGTGGTGCGAGAGTGCGAGAGACAGTGACATTGCGAGAGAGTGAGCCAGTGAGACAGTGAGATAGAGCAATGCCATCAGAGCTTATGGAAGGCGTAGAGTTAGCAGAACAAGGTGCCCATCAGCGGCAACCAGCGGACTCAGAGATGACCACAGACAATGTCTCCACACGCTCACCGGCAACCGCTGATGTCAGTACGACCACACCAGCTGCGACTCAGGCAGAGCCTGGGCAGACACCGGGAACAACCACGGGAACATCAACAGCCTCTGAAGAGCCCAAGAGGAAACGACGCAAGAAAGTCATCATTGCGTGTGTCTACTGTCGTCGTTCGCATATGATTTGCGATGAACAGAGACCTTGTTCTCGCTGTATCAAGAGAAACATTGGTCATCTGTGCCATGATGAGCCGGCAAGCACCAAACAGAAGAAACGTGTGGAGAACAGTATATCGGGCAAGGAGTCCACGGATTTGAGTGCAAAGGCGCTGGCAAATGTGTCGACAAAGACCCAAGCGGCGATGGACACAACGGCGGTAACCTCACAACCTCAGATCAAAATGGACTCGAACGTGAATGCCATTGTTAATCAAACCAGCACAACAAATTTAACCCCAACATTGCAGCACTTGGAGGTGCAATCAGTCCCGCAGCACTTACAATCTCAACTATATGGAGATAGCCATCATAGCCAAAGAGACCTTTCGAAGGAGAGCTCTGCAATGTTTAACCAACAACCGTTTTTCTTTAGTGAACATGCTGGTTCCGAGTTTAGCTCTTTGAATGAGTTCTTATCAATGTTGGATGACCCAGAGCTTATAGGCTCAGGTGGTCAACAGGACCCCAATAGCCATGGTTCATTACCTCATTCGAACAACTTGAGCGCATCCCATTCTCTAACAAACCTTTCCCTGACAAACATGTCCATGTTGAACTCTCCAGCGTTGAATAGCTACCAGTTCTTGATTCCGCAGCAGCCTCAATTACAATCACAACAACAGCAACAATCACAATCACAGCAACATCAATTACACCAGCATCAACAGCAACAACTACACCACCAACAACAACAACAACTACCACACGGATCACAAGTATTACACAACTTCCAAGCACATGATCAATCACACGCATTACCACCCCCACAACAGCACATTTCAGATTCTGCAAGGGATAAGTTCTTCCTCACGGCTGCTGATCCATCGACCGAGATTTCACCTGAGGAGAGGTTAAAACAGGTTATCAACGCCAAATTGGAAGCCGGCCTATTGCAACCTTACAACTATGCAAAAGGTTATGCAAGATTACAAGCATATATGGACAACTATATGAACTCATCTTCCAAACAGAGAATCTTGAAGCCCCTGAGCATATTCCGTCCAGCTTTTAGAGCTATTGCAAGAACTCTAAAAGATGTGGATTTAATCCTGGTGGAGGAGAATTTTGAAAGAATGCTTCTGGACTATGATCGTGTCTTTACATCGATGGCGATCCCAGCATGTCTATGGAGACGTACCGGTGAGATCTATCGTGGTAACAAGGAATTCGCATCTTTGGTCGAGGTCGCCGCTGATGACTTGAAAGATGGTAAGTTGGCCATCTATGAGCTGATGAGTGAAGAGAGTGCAGTCAACTTCTGGGAGAAGTACGGTGCCATTGCTTTTGACAAAGGCCAGAAGGCCGTCCTGACAAGTTGTAATTTAAGAACCAGAGATGGTAGAAAGAGAAAAACATGCTGTTTCAGTTTTACGATAAGAAGAGACAGGTACAACATCCCCAGCTGTATTGTGGGAAATTTCATCCCAATCAACCCATAGGAAAGGACATCTCCAGTCCAATTGGTCTGTGTGAGTGTATTGAAAGAGACTCCCCTTTGTATTATAATTATCACTTCCAACGATATGTTTGAACAAGCGTATTGAAATCATCGTTGTTGTAGGCCCGGGCAAGCTAGCTTCTTCGCGGTTTTTGAATATACGTCTTTCATAGGGAAGAAAAAATTTCGAACCATTTACTTACTCTTTAATACTACGAATGCCAAACTATAGAATTCACAGATGTTTTCAATAAAGAGATACCTTGTACGGAGCCATTCGATAGTGTCAATAGCATCACTTGGGCCTTCAAAATTGGCCAGAGCTGGTTTTGCGACGTACAAGCCACTATGGCAACAGATTCAGTCGAGCGGAAATAAGACCACTGCGAATCCTCTGGATAAGCTGACACGTGAGGAGATTGCTCAGCTGAGGGATATGAAGCGTGAAAAGGAACAACAATTTAAGAACCGTACGACGATCAACTATGCCGTTAGTGTTTTCTTCATGTTTATTGGGTTATCTTACGCTGCTGTGATTCTGTACAGAACGTTGTGTGCTCGTACGGGCTTTGGTGGTCGCCCAGTGACGGACAAGCGTAAATTTACTGATGATAAGTTGGTTCCAGTGGATATGGATAAGCGTATCCGTGTTGGATTCACCTCAGAAGTTTCGGATATCTTGCCATGGAAGTTTGTTCCACAGCAGAGAGAAGTGCACGTTCTTCCTGGTGAGACTGCGCTTGCTTTCTTCAAGGCCAAGAACAAGAGCGATCGGGACATTGTAGGCATGGCTACCTATTCCATCACACCAGGTGAAGCAAGTCCTTATTTCAACAAGATCCAGTGTTTCTGTTTTGAAGAGCAGAGATTGGCTGCAGGCGAAGAGGTTGACATGCCAGTGTTCTTCTTCATCGACCCTGATTTTGCCAACGACCCTAGAATGAGAAACATCGAAGACATCGTGCTACATTATGCCTTCTTCAAAGCTCACTACCAGGACAACGGTATATTGAAACCTGTTGATGCATCCAAGGACATTGAAATGACTCCAGTCAGCGTGGAGATCGTGGGTAATAACAAGGCACCTGCAACTTCACCGGCATGAAGCCATTTCCTCTACGCTGTCGTGTAAATACAAACGTTTAGGTGTGCATGAATATACTTTTGTAAATAGAGCAAGCCATCTCTACGTAGCTGCCGTTGTTTTGGTTGTCTGGAACCCACACTCTTCAAGCGTGATTGTTGGACTCATACTGACCGCATCTGTCTGGCCAGGGCCTGAGCCAAAGCTCGTGTTGAGTTTCAAGCCTTCAACAAGCGTTCTTCTTCGAGGAATGTTGAAATCTGGCGTCTGTTCGAAGCCCTTATCCTCATCATCACTCTTTGCTGGTTCTGGTTCCTCATACTTATCGAGCTTTGGCGACACAGGCGCTTGTAGAGTACCATCAAACGACTTGTTTCTTCGTATGATGCATTCACTCAGATGGACTTTCAACTCCGGGTGAGACTCACGCAGCTTTTGATATGCCTGTTTAGCCAGATCCTCACTCTTGATTGATATCACCAACCTGGAGAGAAATGGCAGCTCAGACCATTGCTCAACCAGCGCAGGCTCGTGTATTTCCGTGGCCAATTTGTCCAGCTCGCTTCTGATTGTGCGTGGAACCTGGAGAAACTCCTCCTTGGACAGATTCGACACGATGATGGTTGTGCGTTGTATATCTAGCATGGCGGTGATTAGTACTGATACCTATATAGAAATCAGCAGAGAAACAGCGAACAGAAACAACAGTAGTGAGCTGCTTCTAATATATAAGTAGGTCACTTCTTGTCAGCAAACCAAGACCTTTACAGCCCTCAAGATCTTTAACCCTTTAATAAGGCTGAGACATGAACTATCAGTTCCGAAAAGGGGCTGTGCCGCAAGTGCTATGTAATTATTCCCAGACCAGGCGCTGCATCTGTTGAACGGGACACTTAACAGAAACCACAACGCGCAGCATAACAGGGTTATCGTCTCTTTCCCTGCTTTTCCATTATCAGACAAGGAGATGCCATTTGATGACAGTGGTGCTTAGCCTCCTTCGCAAGTTTTGCGCTGCTTCTTACATAGAAAGGTTGATTGAGCGCATGATCTTACATGGTGGGCTAACAAGCCCGGCTCCTCTGTGAACTGTGAGCGCAAGTGAAGGACACCAACAAGAGGATGGATTTGGTTCACCTTTGTACGAGACAGGGTGTTTGACGGATGTGAGGATTGTACAGAGCCGAGATCTTGATCAGCAGGTGTGTCTTGCTCTGCCTCAATTGACGCGTACTTCAGAGGAACTGTAGAATGTTGGCGTTGACCTCACGGGTCAAGGTTTCTTTAAGCTAGTGCTGCCCTTACCGGTCACTGTCTCCATCGTGGAATGTTTGCCCTTATCTAAACATCACGTGATATAATGTCAAATGTAGTTAGGGCTACACACACCCGTACACCATGAGAGCGAGAGAAGGTCCCCGTGCAATTTCACCCATTTGGTGCGCGGTGGGTGCCACGCCGTCGTGTGTGGGAGGGGATGGGTGAAAAATTTACAAAACATCATCAAGCACCAATGGAACCCATCAACAGGCTTTGAAGTGTTCACACATCTAATAATCCAAAATGGCTTTCCAAAAAGAGCAAAAGTCCTCTGCTTACCACTCCCGTTTCCAGACCCCATTCAGAAGAAGAAGAGAGGGTAAGACCGACTACTACCAAAGAAAGAGATTGGTTGCCCAACACAAGGCTAAGTACAACACTCCAAAGTACAGACTTGTTGTTAGAATCACCAACAAGGACATCATCTGTCAAATCGTCTCTTCTCAAATTGTCGGTGACATTGTCTTGACTGCTGCTTACTCCCATGAGTTGCCACGTTACGGTATCACCCACGGTTTGACCAACTGGTCTGCTGCTTACGCTACCGGTTTGTTGGTTGCCAGAAGAGCTTTGCAAAAGTTGGGTTTGGACGAGACTTACCAAGGTGTTGAGGAAGTTGAGGGTGAGTTCGAGCTCACCGAGGCCGTTGAGGATGGTCCAAGACCATTCAAGGTCTTCTTGGATGTTGGTTTGACCAGAACCACCACCGGTGCCCGTGTCTTCGGTGCCTTGAAGGGTGCCTCTGACGGTGGTTTGTACATCCCACACTCTCCAAACAGATTCCCAGGTTGGGATATCGAATCCGAGGAGTTGGATGCCGACCTTTTGAGAAAGTACATCTTCGGTGGTCACGTTGCTGAGTACATGGAGGAGTTGGCTGATGACGATGAGGAGAGATTCAGAACTTTGTTCAAGGGTTACTTGGCTGATGACATCGACGCTGATGCCGTTGAAGACATCTACACTGAGGCTCACGAGGCTATCAGAGCTGACCCAGCTTTCAAGCCATCCGAGAAGAAGTTCACCAAGGAGCAATACGCTGAGAACTCCAAGAAGTACAGACAAGTTAAGTTGTCCAAGGAGGAGAAGAAGGCTCGTATCGCTGCTAAGATTGCTGCTTTCCAAGCTGAGAACTAAATCGTTTAAAACTATATGTTTAATTGACTAAAAGTTCTAAAAGTGGAATATATCACTGTAGATTGGAATCTGTAGAGAGAAAGTATGATGGAATAATATATGGGCTTGATGAGGCAGAGAGTGAGACGAGCACATTGTCCATGGCCCAGAGCTCAATTATCGTGCTGGGTGTTCCATAGAAGTTCTGAGATGCGCTGCCCGTACAGATTATGTCCCTCCACCGGGAACCGCCACCAATAAGAGCTCCCCCAATTCGCTGTTCAGGACAGAGTCCTATTTAAATCCAGTTTTAATCCCCAGCAATCCATTTCACACTTGAGCAATGTTGAGGGCAATATCAACAATGACTAAGTATCCAGCTCGCCAGCATGCTTTAAACGTCAAGAAGCACTTAAAAACAAAGATCAAAGATCTTTCGGACTATGCGTTGTTTCTAAGCGGTTCATTCCAGGAGAGTTACAAGTACTCCGATACTGCAAAGGTCTTCAGACAAGAGAGGTACTTTTACTATCTGACCGGGTGTAACGTTCCATCGTCTCATGTCTTCTATGACTTGAACAAGGAGGAATTGATTCTTTTCTTGCCGGAGATTGATTACGATGACGTTATGTGGTCTGGAATGCCCTTATCTCTCGAGGAGGCACAGAAGAAGTTTGATGTTGATAAAGTGCTGTACGAACGGGACATTGATAACTATTTGGTGAAGTACGACATCAACTTGACTACGGACATCAACCAGTCGAACAAGAAGTACTCGAACTTCCTGAAGCAGTCCGACAAGAGACTGTTCTATGCGCTTGACGAGTCTCGTTTGATCAAAGACGATTACGAGATCTCACTTATGCGCAAGGCGGCTCAGATCACTGACAACTCACACCTGGCGGTGATGAGTGCGTTGCCAATCGAGACAAACGAGACCCATATCCATGCTGAGTTTGTCTACCACTCGATCCGCCAAGGCTCAAAACACCAGGCTTATGATCCTATCTGCTGTGCAGGTCCAAACTGTGGTACTCTTCATTATGTCAAGAATGACGATTCCATGGAGGGAAGAAGCAGCGTGTTGATCGATGCCGGAGCGGAGTGGGAGAACTACTGTGCGGATGTCACCAGATGCTTCCCCATCAGCGGCGTATGGACTCCAGAGCACATCGACATCTACAACGCTGTTCTGGACATGCAGTCCCAAACCATGGCGATGATCAAGCCAGGAGCGTCTTGGGACGAGATTCATCTCAAGGCACACAAGGTGCTCATTGATAACTTCTTACACCTGGGCATCTTCAAGGGCGACAAGGACGAGATCTTCAAGAGCCACGTGAGCACCGCATTTTTCCCCCATGGTCTGGGCCATTTGTTAGGCCTGGATACTCACGACGTTGGTGGGTATCCAAACTACAACGACGCAGACCCCAAGCTTAGATACTTGAGACTGCGCCGTGATCTACAACAGGGCATGGTCGTTACTGACGAGCCAGGTATCTACTTCAGCCCATACCTGATCGAGTTGGCAATGAAGCAACCTGAGCAGGCAAAGTTTATACAAACAGACGTCGTCGAGAAGTATCTACCTATCGGCGGTGTCAGAATCGAGGACGACATCCTCGTCACCGCAGATGGATACGACAACCTCACCGGCATCACAAGTGATCCGGATGAAGTGGCCGCTATAGTGCAAAAGGGTCGTTCTAGAGACCCATCCCATTTCCACAACGTTGTTTAGGCAGCCTGTTTAGTCCAGTCTGTTTAGTCTTAGTAAGCTGATTCTAGATCACACTGCCAATTGTCACGTGTAAATTGAAAACAAGTGCTTCCCCGATAAATCCCCTAAACCCCCCTTATCTCCAACCATCTCCGGCTCCGGAGTTGGGCAAAAAGGGGAAAAAGAAACGGTTCCTAGGTGAACTTTGCCTCTGCCGTAGAGGGGAAATAACCCACAGTGGGATTTTGGGCCACAGAGAAAAAAGCAAAATTATCGAGAAAAAAGTGATGACCCTGAAATACACAAAAAGGATTAATTTGGCGTTGATTTCTCTTTTTTCGCTCTCTTTCTCTTTCTCTCATCATTGTCAATTTTTTTTTGAGAGAACGTTGATACTGATAAGCACAGCGATACAACTATGTTTAAGTTACAAAGCAGATTGGTTAGCAAGGCATTGAAGCCTCTGACACAGCAGACGCGTATGTACCACCCAAAGGTTATTGACCACTATCAAAACCCTCGTAACGTTGGTTCTCTTGATAAGAGCCTTCCGAACGTTGGTACCGGGTTGGTTGGTGCGCCAGCATGTGGTGATGTTATGCGTCTCCAGATACAGGTTGATGATAAGACTGGGGTGATTCAAGATGTCAAGTTCAAGACGTTTGGGTGTGGATCTGCGATTGCGTCCAGTTCTTATGTCACCGAGCTCGTCAGAGGTAAGACCATCGAGGAGGCTGCAAGAATCAAGAACAAAGAGATTGCGCAGGAGTTGAGTTTGCCACCTGTGAAGCTCCACTGCTCTATGCTCGCAGAGGATGCGGTGAAGGCGGCCATCAAGGATTACAAGGCTAAGAAGTTTAGAGACACTGAGGCTTGAGGGCCTTGTCCTGGTGTTGTCATTTCGCTTAAATGGCTTTACTCCTTTAGCATTCATTGAGCTTTTGTTTTTTGTTGTTGTTTTTGTTAGTGTTGTTCCTGGATATGAACATCTTAAGGGTTAAGATATACGAGTAGAGGGATCTAGAGACGGTGATGTGTTCACCTTATCAAGCTGACTCATCTCTTTGAGTCTCTGATAATATAGAGAAGAAATCATGGAGGTGAACTGGAATCATTCTTGTTGTTTCCCCGAGCTCTTTTAATGTTTTACAACCCACACGTTGCAATTGAGAGTGGTTTCAAAGAGGAGGGCGTGTGTGTGGTTTAACTTTATTGAGAATATGTGTTTTGTTTTGATTTGCTTACATTCATGCAATTAGACTCTCAGAACGTTTGTTGCTTGAATTTTTTTTGGTTATTGCCACCCTCTCTGCTTTACAACCGGAGGTGGTATAGCGCATTATTGTTGTTTTCTGTCAATTTTGATGAGATGACTCTTATCCCCGTTATCGATGATAGGTATGGTTGAGTTCCACAAGTGTCACGGGGAAAGGGTGTAGTTTCTTTTTTGGTCAATCGACGAATACATTACAATACAGTACGGTTTAGTTTTTTTTACTAGCGGCATTTCTCCTTCTTTGTCATGGATGATTTACCTCTTGTTTGTATTTTGATTAAATGAATTATCGAATATGACATTTCACCGGTAGTAACGGTTTTAAAGAGAGTATCCAATTAACCGCGGATTCTTACTAACGCTAACACAGATGGTGAGTCCTGGCGATTCTAGAACGAAAATGCGTGTGCACCAACCAAAATGCTTATGTAATGAAAAAGGCTCTTGCGGATCCGATTTCTCTATTTTTTCATGGGCCGTGGGGGGGGGGAGATGAGGGAGCGATCGGAGGGAGCAGAAAAATTGAAGAATAAGCACCGATAAACTGGCAGAACATTGGCTGCCTGCCTCGCCCGTGGAGAGAAGTTAAGCTGTTCTAGGAAAAGAACGCTCTCTTTTTCCTTTCGCAAGGGAATTAGCTCTCAGCCGATACCGATGGATACGCCGCTTCCCCCCAACTAGCGAGTGTTGTCCCTACTCTGTGCAAGAACTCCCAACAATACCGAGGCAACGACATTTCACCCTATAGTATCATGTGGAGAAAGCAAGTGGTCATTGTGTAGATAAACACCACAAAAACATATCACAGACAACCGCCTATATATATAGACACACACGAGCGTGTATAGACACATTTTCCCTGTAATTGTTCCACTCGTATCCACCAGTCGGTTGTAGAATTGAGGTATTTGTCAAGTGCAGTGCAGTGCTAACTCTTTTCGCTGTCTGCCACTGCTGCGATTTTTCCACGGCCCTCGCAAATGGAAATCCCCTGCCATTAACGCCGCCATCCTGATCTTAGCAGAAACTATGACATCATCGCTACAATCATAAAATTCCATCTGGGTTAGATGCCAGCTTTCACGAGCAGCCTGGAGGTTTAGAGGGAGTTTTCCAGTGGAGCAGCAAGATCCCAATTAGCTAAAGAACAACAACAACACATGATGCAGTCCATACAGAAGCAGCGAGTCTGGACCAATAACGCAAAGAAAAGGGGGTCCATACTGTATAAAGTCCGCATCCAATAGCTGGTTCAGTCGGCCTCAGCGTTGTGGTATCTTGTTATTGTTTTTCCGTCCGCCGTCTGCTTCTGCTTGGAAAAGGGACACAATAGAGTTTTTGGTAACGAAATTTTGACGCACGAGTTTCTTTATTAAGATTTCCCAAAACTTTGAGTTGATTGTTTCGTCAAAAAAACACAACACTTTCTTTAATAGCCACAAAACCATAACCCAGGAGGAGAGCAAAGAGTCCTCTTCCAGGTCCCACAGCGGCATACTACGAGTCCATAGATATCAACACCATGGATGTCATGCAACACCCTGATATCTCCAACATTGATGTTGACTGGTTATACAGGGGGAAGAAGAAGGCGAAACGCACTTCATCGTCTTCCAAAGCCCATGCTTCCATCGCTGTTGATACCTCCAAACAGCCGCCGTCGTCGTCATGCAACGGAGAAGTGAAGACACAGGCAAGCACGATGAAGGCTCCTACTCCAGAGCCAGCTACCCATACCGCACGTTCGCATGGTGCAGTGACGGAGTTGAAGACTACCGCTGCTGCCGCCCTATCACCAGTGACCTCAGCTTCATCCTCGGCCACAGCGGGTTCATCAATAAGTGGAACGACAGCACATGCTCAGCAGAAACCATCGCCACAACAGCTCTCACCTACGAAATCCGCAACCGTGACGAAGACGCCGCCACTAGCTCCTGTGCCGCCAAAAAGCCAGGAAGCGCCAGGAGCAAACCGCTCGTTGTTATCAAAGGCGCTAAGGCCTCGCTCAAGTTCCGAAACTCGTGCAAAGAGCTCTACTGTTACGCATCAAACTCCACCGTCACCTTCATCCTCGTCGACGCCAACTGTTCAGGCAGCTGCGTTGTCTCGCTCGAGTTCTCTCAATAGCGGCGATAAGAAGACGAAGAAAACGACGTCTTTGTTCAGTGTGTTTGGAAGAAAGAACAAAACTGCACCAAGTTCCCCAGTTTCAGCACCTGTGAATATCCCACACGCCCATGGTCATCATCATAACTTGCAACCGCCTCCAAGCATTGCGTCTTCTTTGGAATCTTTAAGCCCAAAGAATGAACATGAACACCTGTTGGGCCACCCGCTAGTTCCTATCAAAGAAGGACAACGCGTTGTGCTAAACAAGAACCCGAACAGACAGATAATGCCGATAAAGGAACTGAGCAAAGTACGGCTACGCAGGGTGACTTTTGCCTTGGATAAACTACCAGAGGATCCACCACAACAGATTCCATCTCGAAGACCAAAGAGAGGTAACGTCTTGGTTGTCGATGATCTCGTCGGTGAACCTTTGAAGTTGACTGTGGGTATCACAAATGAATCAAAATCAGAATCGAGACAATACGACGAGAAAGAAATCAAGTTGGCCAAGGAGCACCAAAAGTTGATGTTGGAAGAAGCTGAAAAACATGCACAGGAGGCCCATAAGGCTGCCCAGAGAATTGCCATCGAAGTTCAATCCTTCAAGAACAAAAAATCCTTAGGTCATGAAAAAGATGAAGATGAAGCAGAGGAGAATATGGCTAACGCGATCAAGGGAGTGGAGATTGATACTGATATTCACCTTCATGAACAAATCGGTGCTAAGACAGAACCAAAGCCAATGGAGGATCACTCAGAAATTTCTCTAGAACAGGTCTACACACGTTGTTGTCATTTGCGTGAGATCTTACCAATTCCAGCAACTTTGAAACAGTTAAAGGGTAAGACGAGTCCATTGCAGACTTTGAAGCTCTTGAACCCTAAGCCAACATTAATTGACATATACTCTTTCTCAGACTTCATTGCCATTGTTCCAATTAAGAATCTTATATTCGATAACGTTACAATGACTACTCAAATGTTAAAGATTGTTCTGTCTTCATTGGTTCGCTCCACAACGATTGAGAAGTTATCTTTGCGGAACATGCCAATAGATGAAGAAGGTTGGAGATACCTGTGCAAATTCCTTGGTAGAAATAAGTCTATCACAAAACTTGATGTTTCACAACAAAAGGTCAAATCTGATTTGCCAAGTTCGCAATATCGTGTGCAAATGGATTGGAATCTTTTCATCGACACCATTGTCTTACGTGGTGGCATTCAAGAGTTGATTTTGAATGGTTGCAAACTTCCGGTACCAACTTTTGAAAGATTGATTGATGAGGCACTACGGAGATCTACAAAGAGATTTGGATGTGCACAGACTGAAGTCAATTTGGAGCAGATCAATATCTTGATAAACTGGTTGACTTCGGAGAATAGTACATGTGAAGGTCTGGACCTGGGGTATAATGACTTGAGCCAACCGGAAAAGTTGAGACCGCTGATCAAGAAACTTTCCCATGCTCCCTCATTACAGGCAATCTCCTTCAATTCTACTAATTTGCTAAATGTTGAAGATGCTGCATTATTAGTTAGATCTTTGTCGAAATTACCAAATTTGAGATTCTTAGACTTGAGTGGGCTTCCTCAAATCTTCCCCGGTGTTGTTCCTTACTTGAGCAAATACCTCCCACGTTTCCCAAACTTGAATAGAATCCACTTTGACCATAATGAATTGAGCACAAAGTCGTTCTCTCTGGTTGGAGAAATCATTCCAAAGTGCGAGAAGTTGGTGCACGTATCTATTGTTGGCAATTCCACAATTTCTTATGAAGCATCCGCTTCCTTATACGCCTCTGTGAAGGCTTCAAAAACTTTGGTGAACCTCGATCTGGATTATGATTTGATCGATGAGAAGATCAGTTCCCGTATTGCTATCACGTTGATGCGTAACATGGAGCGTACACTGAATAACACGCAACATGATGATACCAATGATGATATCATATTTGACGGTACCCTGATTGCAGAGACAGCATCGAAGCTTTTGGACAAGATGAACTCTAACGACGAGGATGTTAGTAAGAAGTTCTTGCAAAGCAAGTTCCTGGAGAAGGTTAAAGGAACATATGAACGTATTAACGATACCATGGATTCATTGATGTACAAACGTGACCATGGCCAATTGACTTTGCAAGAGAAGGAAGATCTGTTACGGTTCTACTTCTTGGAGACATCGTTAGCTAAGATCATTAACATTTTCGAGAATCTTCCAGACGACAACGCTCATCCACAGACGACCCAAACACTTCAAGTTCCAGGAACAAATTCAAATGCAGACATTGATCCCCATCAAATGGCGATTGATGTCAATGAAGGTAAAGCGACCCCAATTGATATGTCTACTGGTCGTCCAATTTTGCTTCGTTCCGTGTCACAACAATCAGTACACGCAAGAAAACAAGAGGAAGAAGAAGGTGAGTTCCACCGTTGGGGTTTCTTTATTCAACAACAACGCCAGTTATTACCAAACGATACTGTCCCTTCAAAGGATCCTGCGTCGCCTCGCTTTGTCCCAAAGTTACCATCTGGTACAGAACTCAGAGATGCTGTTATTAAGGCGAAGGGTATCGACAGTATCACGACGTTGATTGACAATGTGAACCACGATAAGTTTGATATGGCAAATATTTATCCATCGATCCATGAACAGTCCGCCAACTCTGATGATCACCAACCAAAGGAATTGAACAGAGACCATGATAGCATGGATAGCGCTGATGATATTCAAGAAGTCGATGAAGCTTACGATAAGTTATTAAATGATCTTTCTCGCGTGAGATCAAACAAATAGATTGAAAAGGAAAATAGAATGTACAACTATACGATCACGTGTTCAGATAGTATCATAATAAATTCATGTATTCGTACATAAAACTTCATATAAAATCAAAAAGAGAAGGATGATATTGAAAACCATATAATCATTACCGGGGTGAAATGCTCTGTCCATGAAGATAACATTAAAAGGGTGTCAGTGTTCGTGATGTTTGTTAGCGTTCTTTGAATATCCACGTGTTGAACATTCAATGCGTATAGAGATTAATCTACTTGAATATGATTAGCAGAGGAATTTGTAAACTCTGAACCAGAATGGCTTTGTCCTGAGGATGGCCTTTTCTTCAGCCATTTCTTGTGCTAAGAGATCGATATCCACATTTGCCCTACCAACGTCAAGAGGTATTTCAGCCAATGGAATGAACTCATTGAGTTTACGGGACCATAGCTTTCTTGCAATGTACATCGCGAGGATGATGATGGCACCTAAGTAGTTTTGGAAGAAGTTCTTTGCGTTTGCGCTTGAGGAGCCCAATGGGAAGAGCGCCACCCAGAACTGAACGCCGAGGAAGATCACCAGCCATACGATACCGTACAGGGAGCCAAGGACTCCAGCCTGTGATGTGAATGGTAATTCGTCAAGGGAGTGTCCCTGTGCTTTCATAGCCATACGGAAACGCAAGTGGCAGATCAAGATGGACATCCACGTGAAGATAACAGACAGTCCTGTGATGGCCATGAGCCAGGCGAAAACCGTATTCTGGTCTTCAGATGCAACGAGGTAAGCCAATGCACCGAACGCAGAGTTCAGCAGGATACCAAAGATTGGACGACCCATACGGTCGATGTAGTTGAAGCACTTTGGTGCTAAACCTTGAGCTGCCAACGCTGCAATGGTACGAGAACCACCGTAGACCGCAGAGTTACCGACGGACATGACCGAGACCAAGATCACACAGTTCATCACTGAAGGGAGGCCCTTGATGCCCGCGTTGTTGATAGCAATGACGAATGGCGAAGCAGTGGCATCAGCTGAGCTTGATCCGAGCAATCTATCATCCTGAGCGTTCACGAGAAGGGAAATCAACGTCAAAGAGCCGATGTAGAACAGGACAATTCTGTACAGCACTTGCTTTAAAGCAGAAGGAAGCGTCTTTCTGGGGTTTTCTGCCTCAGCAGCAGCCAAACCGATGAGCTCAGTACCACCAAGCGAATAAGTAGCGGTGACGAAGACAGTGCACATACCCTTGAACCCATTGGTGAATGGACCTGGGTCTCTGTAGTTTCTTCCACCAACAAAGCCACCTTCTGGCCCACCTCCACACACCAGCACTATGCCCAGGATGAGGAAGCCCACGATGGCCAACAGTTTGATCAAAGAGAACAGATACTCAGCTTCACCGTAACCTTTCACACCAAACAGGTTGATTGAGACGATGGCGATGTAGAAGATGGTGACCCACGCAACGGGGTTGATGTTATCGTTCCAATACGTCACCGTCATCGACGCGGCGATGATTTCCAGAGGCAGAACGACGATCCACAGTCCTACGTAGTTCCAGCCCATGGCGAACCCCCATGACGGCTCGATGAACCTAGTGGCGTGTGCACTGAAGGCACCAGCCTGGGGGTACATACACTGCAATTCACCGAGAGCATGGATCACGCAAAACACAATTGTTCCCACGATGGTCCACGCAATAGGCAGCGAGGCAGCACCACCAGTGGCCAGGGCAGACCCTGAGCCCACGAACAAGCCTGTGCCGATGGAGCCACCAATGGCGATCATCCTCAGGTGTCTGGTCTTCAACGACTTCTGCAACGGGGTGTTCTGGAGGATGAAAGCGTTACGCTCTGCCTCTGTTGCGTCTGGTGGTAGCTCAGACTCATCGATGACGGGCTCCAGCTTCTTGAACGAGTCCTTGAAGGCCTGGAAGTGCGATTGCTTGTGGCCATCTTGCGTGAGTGGCGACGACGACGAGGCCGTGATGTAGTTCTCGCCAGACACCAGCGACGACGACTGCGACGTCTTCAAGTTAGCCTCGAGGTCCTTTGCTGTAGACATCGACGCACGCATTAATACTGACAGTCACTGGGGAGACACAAGGAAGAGCGAGCAGAGACGGAGGGAAAGGAATAAAACCACAAGAATATATATTTTACACACTACAGGGATGTCAGACGAGACGACAACTTCCTCTATATAACGTATGAATCATCCCAAGAGGCCGTTAAAGGGCATCTTTCTTTTTTTTACCGGCTCATGAGACGCTTATGCCTGATGCGCAGGTCTCTGCCTGGGTTTAGCAAGCTCTCACTAAGCTTTAGGCAGGGAGATGAGCCCGGGAGGCGCCGTAGCGCGCGGAATTGCTTTTTCTACGCACGCTCTCTGCCCATCCCGCACGCTCAGCACCACGAGAGTTGTACAGTTTAGTCATCGTACGCAGCGTTGCGTCTTTCCAGTGCTCCGTGGCAAGTGCGAGGGGGCCGTGGATGCTCGTAGGCGTTGCTGTGGTGGTGGTGGTGGTGCCCTGTGCGCCAGAGCGTGGATGCCCGTGTCCTTGTCGCTTACACCGTTGTAGTGGTGTGCGCAGCCTGCGTCGGCTGTCGTGTGGTGGGAGACGACGAAGTGTGTGTGTGTCCGGATGTTTCCTGCCTACGTTGGCAGGTTTTGGACGTTTTTTTTAGTGCCGTTGATTATGTCATCATGCCGTTCGGAGGGCCGTTTATGAGTGGGAGAAGAGCAGGTGGTGGGAGTGGTGGGAGTGGTGGGAGTGAGAGGGAGTGGGCTCTGTTGCGTACAACTTCGATGGCAATCAGACGTGGTGAGCAAAACCGGGGACAAGAAACAGCCTGCAGAGCTGTCGATGCTTCCATGCCAGTTTATGGGGTCTGTGTATGGGAATTGTGTCAGTTGTTGTACCTTTTCTGTTGCGTAATCGGGTAATTATGGTTGTGATCGGAGTTTTGAGACAGCGGCGATGGTCCCCCCAACAGAGGGGGCGAGCGCGGAAAAAGAAACAATTCACCGGGCACAGCGTGGGAGAGTTTTGGTCGTAAGCGCGTGGCGTTGGCGCGGCGCGCAAGCAGATGATGGCCCTTTCTTTTTCCAGCTGGGGGTTTTGCTGGGGGGGGGGCTCCAGAAAGAAAATGCCCGAGCACGCTGCCGGGGCTCACAACCACTATTATATAAGCATGGCAAAAACGGTGGGCGCACGCGCTGGACCCTCGTCTCTGCCGAAGGTGTCGAGGGCCGTGTCGAGGGCCGTGTCAGCGAGCGCGTCGACGACTGTGTTAGCAGAAGTTGCACGTTGTGTGTGCAGCCCTGTGTGAGAAAAGGTGGCTTGAAACCGTCACCTCGTCCCAGTCCCGTCGCAGAAGCCTTCGCGAAACCAGTTCCTACAGTGTCGCAGCGATGACTGAACGCTCACGGTCTGCCATCTCGACACCACACACTGTGTGCACTGTTGCACACGTCTTCCCTTGAACGCGCTCTGCTTACACGGTGACTTGCACCGGAGAGGGCATGGCGTGCCAGAGACATAGTGTGCCAGAGACATAGTGTGCCAGAGACATAGTGTGCCAGAGACATAGTGTGCCAGAGACATAGTGTGCCAGAGACATAGTGTGCCAGAGACATAGTGTGCCAGAGACATAGTGTACAACAGGCACAGCGTACAACGGGCATAATCCGTAGTGAGATAAGCAAACATACACCCAGACACCCAGACACCCAGACACCGCTTCCTCTCACTTTCTCCCCCTCTTCGTTCCCGAACCACAACGCGGAACAATAAACCTCCTGTTGCTGTGTGCTTTTGTGTGTGCTTTTGCGTGTGCTTTTGCGTGTGTTTTTCTTGCCGCCCAGGCCAATTTCGCCCGGCCCCCAATTCTGCTCTCGTGCGCACGCAATTGCCAACCCGAAAAACTTAACCCTGCTTGAACGTTTGTGTGAAAATCTCTACTTGCATCAAAAGGACACCATCCATACAATTCACGGAAGGCCTGTATTTCCTCCAAAGCAACGGCTGGTGTTATCTGGGTGTGTCAGTCCTTCATAAGCATCACGACGGCTGGAGTGTGACACGGGAAAGATGGCGCCTCGTAAGAAAAATAGAACGTCGCAGGAGAATGTGTACTACCTTAATACTCCGTCAGCACCGGCACAGTATGCAATGATGCAACAGGCTCTGCCACCTCAATCAGAGGAACAACAGGAACCACCACCACGACAGGGGAAGGCCCAGGCGGAGCGATGGTCAGGTCAGAGGCATGCTAGTGAACAGCAGTCGATGTCCCCAGATCAACAGCAGCAGCAACAGCAGCAGCAGCAAGCTTTCCAAGGGCTTCCTGTTCAAATGTCCGCCCAAGGTGCGGTGTCTCTGGCGCAGTATCCACCACCACCTCTTCCTGATCACCTTCAACAGGGAATGCCGCCGGCGTTCTACTACCCACCTGTGATGGGTGAACAAGAACAGACGGCGATGATGGAGGAGTATGAGGTTGGCACCGCTGCCAATGCTCTGTGTGCGTTCGCCGATGACTTACGTATGGTGAAGTTGGCGATGCAGAGAGGTGACAATGAGATGAAAGTTTTCATCCATAGACAGGGAGCAAATGATACAGTGTTGAATCAGTACTCTAATATCAGTAACCTAAGAGCAGACCAAGCTAAAGTGTCCAAGATGGATGCAAATGGTCGGAGGTTCATTGCAAGCGCCACTACTAGAGATGACAGCAACGCCACGAAGGAAGAGGACACTGATGGAGGTGAAACCGTCGACGAAGACTTTGAGACACGTAAGGAGCCTGTAGAACTTTCAATCCAGTTCACTCCTGGGGACGTGATATTTGCCAATGGGAACCACAGGGGGAAGCGTCGTGCAGAGGTGTTCAAATATTACTCTGAGCTTCACAAGTTCAAGGAGAAGAATAGAGATGCACTATTTGCAAAGGATAAGTTATCATACCAAAAAGAGCTGAAGGAGTGCATGATCCCGAGACCTCTTGTTACTGAATCCTGTGACCTGAGAGAAGAACAAGACACCCTGGAGAGGAGGGATTTGGAATTGCTAAGACTCAGATTTTGGAGGAGATACCAGAGGAATGAGAATATGAAGCTGTTCTACTCTGACTCCTACAGGGTCTACAAAGACGCTGTGAATTCCGTAGATAGGAAGCTGGAGAAATTGAAACAACATTTTATCAAACAGAGCCAACAGATCTCCTCCATGGACAAGGAATTGTGTGATATCTCCTCGTCGAGGGCAGAGAAGCTGTTTACTTCGAACGACGATTTATCCATCACAGAATTTGAAACCGTCACAGGGATTGATTCCTCAACGTCAGGGTTCAAACCAGGCCAAAGGCAGAGAACACACAGCTCCAGAAACCTAGCGTTACAATCAGGTGCCGTCAATACCTCTGAATCGGAGTCTGACAAGCGCAGTTTCAACAGGGACGGCCATCTAAAACGGGTTATGAAGAGGTATTCACCACCGGACGAGTTGAAAACCGATGAGATTGAAAACGACCTCGTGCTCCTACGCTCCTTGTGATGAACATATACACCCACAGATGTATCCATACATATCTGTCTAATGAATCTATGAAATAAGTATTTGCAGTCCTATGATTTTTGTCGTGTTGCAGAGTAGGACGTCTGCGTTGTAAGCCAGCGCGTCCGCAGTGGGAGGGGGTAAAATTGACACATTTCTCCTCTAACAAGCAGGACCTATAATCGCTGGCACGAGCCATTTCACCGGTAGAGCAGCATGTCTGCGTACACACCACCCTGTAATACACCTGTTGAAGTCCCAAATGAGCTTTACCACGAAGATCTACAGCGGGAGCGGGAACGAGTGCTCCCAATTGAGGATTGCCTTGGTCAGCCAGCGCTGATGACGACGGCCCTGTCTACCGGCACTGGGAAGACACCGAGATCGCAGCCACCACGTCGTAACATATTCGCATCGCGTATGACCACCAGTGCGGAGCTGGACAGAGTCATCACAAAGTACGTGACGGAGTATAGGCCCTGGAGCGCCAATTATGGTGAACGGGCCAGCGTGTGGCAAGAGGCGTACGAGCAGATCAGAGCCAACTACGACAAGCCTCACGTTGTAGGGTCGCTCAAAAGCGTCAGGGACCGGTGGAGGGTTCTTAGCAGGCAGAAGGACCACAACCAGCGGGGGACAAGGAGGGCTGTGGAAGCCAAACGGTCGGAGCTGCCACAACGGTGCACCGCCAACACGGACTCTGGCCCTACACCAACGTTGACAGCGCTCGAGGCCCGCACGAAGAGACAGCTGGAGATCCACAACGAGCTACAGCAGCTGCACCGGAGACAGGCTGAGCTCCTCGAAGAGCTGAGATCATTATACCCATGAGGGGCTTCGTTTGCTTTAGGAATGAACAGTTGCGTACGCTTAGCTTCCTTTGTTCGTAGGCATTGGACCATCACCACCGGTGTATATCGTCTCCTTGTAGCATTTGTATGTAAGAGCAGCAGCAAGCAATGAAGGAGATAAAAAACGCGTAACCAGGGCAACCCGCTCGCAGGAGAAAAATCTTAAAAAAAATCTTAGAAAAATCTTAAAAAAAAGAAATTCACAAAGCCGTCGGAAAAAACCAGTACCGTGCTGAGAGTTACACGGGCACACACGCTTCCCCGTTCTGAAATTTACGCCAAAGATTTCGCCCGCCCTTCAGAAATTTTTCTCTCGCGCTTTTTTTTGCCCGTTTTTCCTCAGTTCGACGTCGACGTAGCAGCCGCCCATTGAAAAATTTCTTACCTTTTTGAAAATTTTCTCCCTTTTTCTTTCCTTTTGGTTTTCTCTTCCTCTCAAGATCATCGTCTTATTCAAATAAATACACAATGGCTGAAGAAGAACACGTTTTCGAGCAGGCTGATGCCGGTTCCTCCTTGACTTACCCAATGCAATGTTCCGCTTTGAGAAAGAACGGTTTCGTTGTCATCAAGGGTCGTCCATGTAAGATCATCGACATGTCCACCTCCAAGACTGGTAAGCACGGTCACGCCAAGGTCCACTTGGTTGCCACCGATATCTTCACCCAGAAGAAGATGGAGGATTTGTCCCCATCCACCCACAACATGGAGGTTCCATTTGTCAAGAGAACCGAGTACCAATTGTTGGACATTGACGATGGTTTCTTGAACTTGATGACCCAGGATGGTGACACCAAGGATGACGTCAAGGCTCCAGAGGGTGAGTTGGGTGACTCCATCCAAGCTGCTTTCGACGAGGGTAAGGACTTGTTGGTCACCATCATCACCGCTATGGATGAGGAGGCTGCCATCTCCTTCAAGGAGGCACCAAAATAAGCTGAGTAATTGAAGAGAAAATTGGAGATGGAGGAAAAGGAGAAGTGCTGGAAGATGAGAACGATTCCAAACAAAAGGGAATGGTGAAGTGAACGATGTTGGGCTTAGGTGGTTGTCCGAAAGGTCAAATGAGGGTCTTTTTTCCCTACAAACATTCATATATATGCTCCATTTGCATTGAAACTAATACAGATGTTGTTGTGGAGTCTTGTTATGTCTTCTCGTAAGGAAAATTAACTCTTCTTTGTCCTGAACTGCTTACTCAATTCAACTTTGAGACACTTTGTCATTCCATTTTCTTGTTTTGTTTCTTTCCCTTTATCTTCCACGTTCTCTTTTTTCCTGAAATATCCTATTATGTTACTGTTTCTTTTATTTTATTCTATCTTGTTTTATTTTGCTTCGGTTGCTTGAGAAGTGTGTGTTTAGTTTTGTATATCGGGATCAGAGGGGTTTGTCTTGTTCTCTTTGGGGCTCAGTTGATTAAGATTCAACTCATTGTTGCGGTCTATTTGGAAGATGCTTGCACTTGAACAGCTTGGTTGTGTTGAAGTACACGTTTCAGAGTTGTTCTCTGTACTGTCATCTTTTATTCTTTGCATTTCATTTCATTTCTTGGAACGTGACTTGTTTGATTGATTGTTCGTCACACTTTTAATCTTATACATGGGGTCTTATTCATTTGATGAACTATTTGATCGAGATTTCCCTTTGCTCCTTTGTATGCCACTCTTCTTATTCAATTATCATGTTTATTCAGAATTTATCCTAGGATGTAGTTTTATTGTAATCAGGCATCTTCTACATGACGCAAACGATCTAAAGTACAAAGTAGAGAGAGGTATGATATTAGTATAAAGTACAATAGTTTGTCACCAATAGGATGGAACATGTAACCAAAGGAACACACCTGCTAATGGGGCTTCTTTCAAAGATCAGTTTGTATAATATAAAAAGGACAAGAAAAAGAGAATAAGAAGAAGAAGAAGAGGGAGAGAGTTGACCGGTCCTAGGTAGCAACCCTATATAATACATCGTTCATCAAAATCTGTAATAACCAGAATTGTTAAATTCATATTGTTGTTGTCTTTCTTAGATGGATGCAACGTACAAGGCGATGACAAGACCAATAAAACCATTGATGAATGGAACATTACCCAAAATCAATCTCAAAGTAACGGTGATGTGGAACACTTGTGCTTTAATCTTTTGGGTAAAGTCTGTCACTTCCAACAGACCGTGCTCATCAGCCCAAACCTGAGCATTGTTCTTGAGGTCATCAAAGGAAACAGCAGTGGACAAGAATAGGTAAGCAGAGATCAACTTGATCACGTTGAATACCAAAGGATCAAATCTAACCTTTTTGTGCTTTTTACCGACAAAGTTGAAGTAGTAGGAACCGATCAATGGGATAACAACAAAGAAAAAGACCCAAAATAGGAAGGAAGCAATGAATTTCAAGTCGACAAGTGTGCTGAAATCATACACCGGCAAATCCAAATCGATATAACGAGAATATTTTGAAAGAATGGATTGATCGAGGAAAGGTAGGTAGCGTAGTTCCACGATAGGAACCTGGTTGTGAACCAAGAAGGCAGCTTCAACTCCAGAGGTGATATAGTTGACAGATTCAGGTGTACTGAGAGCCTTCTTAAGGGCTGTGGATCCCGATGTAACAGAGTACACAGTTTCATCAACCTGGTCAAGGACATAGTCGTACGTGGATTCCCATTTCTCAATGGCCCAATCCTTAGCATTCGTAAAGAATTGGAATTTCGGAACGTAGTCTTTATCCTCCTCTTCCTCTAAGAGCTCTTCATCGCCTTTAACCTCCTCTTCCTCTTCATCGTCATCGGACTCTAACACTTCAACGTCGTCCTCATCGTCTTCATCGTCGTCATCGTCGTCATCATCTTCATCGTCGTCATCGTCGTCATCGTCTTCATCGTCTTCATCATCTACCTTCTCAACGCCGTTTTCCTTTGTAACAGGCTCGTCCTTAGAAGGGGATGAGAAGGCACCTTTGAAGCGCGAGGCAATACCAAACAACTTTGGCGCTGGAGACGACGGTAAGGTTGGAGCAGGGCCGTCCAACGTCCCCAGAACGTCAACCTGGGTGGACTTCACAGGAGAGGTCTTAACTCTGTAAAGAACGTACTTCTTCCATTCGTCATCCTCCACCAACTCTGGATGGTTATCGAAATGAGAGGAGATACGGTCCTCCAAAACCGCCTTGGTACCTTCATCACTGTTTTCAGTCGGTTAGTCATCGTCTCAAGTCGTTGCCTGTTTCGGATCCCATCCTCTTGTCGTATGACAGAGTTACGCGCCCATGATCAAATACCATGAGGCGTAAACAAACATGAAACAATGGAGGTTGAGAGAATAGGCAAAGCAGCTCCAAACAGCTGGGGAAATATACTTACTCCAAGTTCAACTTTTGAACCATTTCGAGAAGTTTCGCTTTCGTCAATGACTTCAAACTCATCGTTTATCCAGCAATTGATGTTGATTTGTTGGTGTTTCGTTCGGTTTGTTTACAATGAGGGATTGTTTTGTTTTGATTTTCTCTCTGTGTTTTTTGGAGGGGGAAGGAAAACAAGAATTTTTGTGTTTTGATCTCCAATTTGCGGAAACACGGTACGGGAAACAGAAAGTGGTTGCTACGGGAATAAAGAGTTGCGAAAACTGCCAAGTTGGGTAAAATGTAAACAATGCGCGTATCACGTACACAACACGCGCAACATGCAGAGCTCAACGCTGTTGATACGGTAGAAGTAGAAGCGGAAGAGCAGAAAGTTTCACAAGGATGTGAGCATTACGGTTGCAATTCACTCGTCGTCCTCACCGTTCTCGTTTCGGAGGTAGGAGCTCATATAAATCGCTAAGAGTGTCAGTGCGGAAACACTCCACCATCCGAGCCAGCCAATTTGATACGTCTGCGCCCATGACATGAAGAAACCCCAGATGAATGGACCAACACATCTGGCCAATGCACTGACAGATATTGTCGCACCATTGATCATGGCCCTGTGTTTAGGGGGCGATGAGTTGTGCACGATTAACAGGATTTGAGGGAATGACATTGACGTTCCAAGGGTTTTCAGGCACGTCATTGTATAGATTGCAATACGTGCAACCTTCAAATGGTTTGCTAGCAGCACAATGTAAGGTATCAGCGTATAGATCACTGGGAATAACAGGATGAAGGATTTGTATGTTGTCAGCGAATCGTAGTTCCGGTCAACGTATGGGAACACCACAACGAGGAAGAAGACCCCCAAGACACCCGTGGACGATAGCAACGTACCGGTATCTTCAGAGGTATAACCCAGTCCACCAACCAATCTCCAGGGGAACTTGGAAACCAGTTGTCCAGCTTTATCACGTGCCACGTCGTAGGCAAGATAGATAGGCAAGAACTCATCGTGAACGGTAACGTGTAGACTCATGATAAAGTTACACACCACTGCATAAAAGATGTGTGGTTCCAACAACGCCCTTATTGACCCAGCACCTTCTTCTTCATCCTCTGGCTCATGTAGAGAGTATGTTCTAATCAACGCAACTGATTCACGTCTTGTCAACACAGGCCCCACAGATTGTATTGAGTCATCGCTGTCGTTCTGTTCCTCTGGTCTATACAAAGGTGTAGTTTCAGAGGGCTGTTCCTCCTCATCAATCGCATCCTCTGTTCCATCTTCGCGTCCTCTGGAACTGCTTAGACGATCCAGGTGCCAGTGTCTGGTCTTTGGCGTCACTCCAAAGACGTGTATCTTTATGAAGTCACCGATATCGACAAAATAGTCATGTCTGTACTTGTGTTTATAGTGTGTTTCCTCTAAAAAGAATATTGCGATGACGATTCCAGCGAATAGTAGTGATGAGATGAACAAGTTTGGCAGCGCATAGGGATATTTTTCCACAAGTGGTTTCAGGATGGTGAATCTTGTAGTATTTCCACTGAGATAACCACCTATAAGAGGACCTATAACGCAACCGATTTGGAAAATCAGCGGCATGGTTGAAAATGCAATAGCCTGATGACGGCGCTCCAGAGCCACTTCACCAATCATTGTTCTTATCACAGCAACGTTACCGTTGAGCAACCCCATAATGGATCTCGCGGCCAGTGCCCAGTAGTAATTCTTTGCAAACCCCAGCAGCAACAACGAGCATATAGACCCGGTCAATCCAATCAGGAGGGTCGGCTTACGACCATGCTTATCTGCAAACTTCCCCCAGTTGAACGACGTTAAAACTTGAGAGAAGGCAAACACTGAAGACAGGTAACCAGAGTACTTGCTCACTTCAGCTTCGGTATCTGCAACGCCAAAGTCCCTCACCATGAAATACACGTAGGGGAACAGCGAGGTGAATGCTATGGGTTCGGCAAAACGAACACAAGAAATGACGAAGATCTGAGACCAGGGAAACCCTTCGATCTGTTGTTGGAATGATAATACCGTTTTTGCCATGGTTCTTAGTCTTTCTAGTAGTCCATTCGTATTGTGTGTATACTCTCGTGAAGCTCCAGTAGATAGATAGCACCTCTCTTACTATTGAAGAGTGAAAGAGGTACAGTCAACAGAAGAAAAAAATTTGCCTTTGGACTGGGATTCAACAGTCATCGACTCACATGTATGAATGTGCCATCCGTTGATCGTTTGGGATAAACAAGCCGTTGTGTGAGTGTGGATCGTTGCCCCTTTGGGACGTTTATCCGAGGCGAACAACACTGCGTATGAACCTCCGATGTGATGAGCATACAGCTACGGCGATAGAGAGAGAGAGAGAGATGAGGGTCAAACGGCGAGTTCCCGTGGCGAGGTTGACGTGAAACACCGCTGGTTGCCAGCTCAGACAAGTTTCACTGGCTCAAATCAGAGCATTGCACCGCGTTGTCGTCCTTTGAGCCACTGTTGATGGCGGTGGTTTAGGCAGGCTGGCACTTCTCGAAAACACCGCCCTTTGGTGCTCGAGGCGCCGTTCACAATCAAAACAAAGCGGAAGAAAGCACATCACAGAGTGTCAGCAGAGCAGTAAACACAGCGGGCCAGGAGGAAATGAACGAGGAAATCGTGGTGATATCTGGTGGGACCGCCACCAACTCGCTTGTCTCTCTTTTCCAGTCGCTATCTTCGAACATCTCCTTTGTGCTGCCCATCAGCGACAATGGTGGCTCAACATCGGAGATTCTTCGTGTCCTTGGCGGACCAGCTATTGGCGACATACGGTCCAGGATAACGCGGTTGATCCCAGACGAAGGATTCAAGACGCTGCTGAGCCATCGGTTGAGCGAGGACCCGCAAGAGGCCAAGGATGAGTGGACCCTCATCGTGGAAGGAACGCACGAGATTTGGAATGGGATCGAGCCGCAGTGTAAAGAGATGGTGCGAAGCTTTCTGATCCATGTCCACATGGAGCTGCTGAAGAAATCACGGAACCCTGCTACAAACTTCAGGTTTGAGCTGGCAAGTGTTGGTAACATGTTATTGACAGGCGCCAGGCTCTTTGTTGGGTCTTTGGACTCGGCCATTGAGTTGATTCTGAGGATGACACGGATTGACCCTGGTGTCAAAGTTGTGCCTTGCTTGAACACGAACTATACGTATCACATCTCAGCCAGGTTGAACAATGGAGACGTTATCACTGGCCAATCCCAAATTTCGCATCCCCATGAACACGATTCAGAACAGGTTTTAGGGTCTACAACATCCGTCAATTTCCACAACGGGCTGGACGATCTGTTGAACCAGGACGAAGATATTCCGTATCAGCACCCTGATTTGTTGATAAGCCAGTTGAAATTCTCCAAAGAAGTTTCCGAGCCTTTGAAATCGCCAATAGAGAGGATATTTTACATCAATCAGTACGGCGAAGAGATCCATCCAAGGGCAAACTCCAGGACTTTGAAAGTATTGGGCGAGTCATCGTTGATTGTATATTCCATAGGCTCCCTGATGACAAGTATCATACCTGTTCTGATTCTACAAGGCATTGGACAGACCATTTGCCAGTCGAGTTCGAAAAAAGTGCTGTTGTTAAACGGTAACCTGGATAGGGAAACGTTTGGAATGTCTGCGTATGATTTCATACAAATGGTTTACAAGGCTCTGAAGTACAGTAACGTTGGAAGCAACGGTTCTGCGCAAAAATTCGTCGTTACCGATATCTTAACGCATTTGTTCTACATGGAAAACAGCGAGATCAAAGTTGATGTTGAGCTCATTTCAGCCTTGGGTGTTGAATGCGTAAGTATCACAAGGGACACAACTCTTGGTGATGATTTGCATTTCTACAACTTGGATGATTTACAGAAAGAGTTGGTTCATTTAGTGAATTGAAAGCTATACATACGTATGCACACATCATTTAACTTTCAGAAACTGGGAAGGGATCTTTTGTACGTTAATTCTCTCTTCAAACCTTTCATCTGACAATCTCTGTCCTTCTGGCTGTTCATGCTCAATTTCATGTTCATGATGTAATAACTCGTGCTCGATATCCTCCTTATGCACAACTTTGATGTCCGGATCGCTATCTTTATGGTACTTGTTCCAATGATGAACCTCGTACTCGTGTTCAAAGTCACCGTGGTGTCCCACACCAACGTTCAAATCAGGGAATTCACCGCCTTTCTCAGCAAATGCAGTGTATTCGTCTCTGGATATACGGCCATCGTTGTTAGGGTCGACCAAGTCCATAACCTGCTTGATGATCTTCTTCTTAGTGTCTTCGCCAATCACCTCGGAGTCGTCATGCGCACCCAGCCCATCACCCTTACCCACAACCTCATCTCTGAACAGACCGTATATGTTCAGGATATCGTTACCATCAAGGTATCCTTTGTTTTTGGAGTCGTGTAATTGGAAGAACACGCCAGAACTGTACTCATCAAGTCCGTGTTCCTGTTTCATGTGCCATTGCTCCCACGTCAGTCCCTTTGGGGGGTTATCAGAAAGATCCGTATCGTGAGAAGACCCATGGCCAAGCACGCCGACAGAAACAAGCTGTAGTAGGAAAACCAGTCTCATTGGATAACCAAACACCCGCTCCAATGGTTGATTGAGCCGCTGGTGTTTGAACTTTGATGATTCATTCCACCGTGGTACGAAAGGCCTCGATGACGGGTACCAAAAGGTCTGCAGCCCGCGAACTCGTTTGGTAACAGGCCGGTGATTACGTAAGCATAAGGCTTCGCACAATTGGGCGCGGCCACGACGTGTGCATCCTACACTATGCACACACAATTTCCCACCCTACTGGTGCTGAGAATCTCAATGGAACTAGCCAAAATTCTACACAAGCTGGTGCACACTTGAGCTTCTGATTTGGACCCTTGATGACAAAGCACACGCCCGTGGCTGCCACCTCTCCATCCGTAACAGAGTGTCGTAACATGGATGGAATAGATCTGCGTCAGCTCAACACTGTCCAACGGTACCCAACATAACCTTTCCACGTTGTAAACCGCTGTAAACGAACAACCCAGTCCATGTTGGAAAGGTCAATTGATCCATGGCACACCCTCTTTCCACATCCGGCAAATCTCAACACCCGTGTGGTGAAATTAAAACCCCTTCTAAAAGCCATGCCCTTGTGTCCCCTCTAAGGCCGAAGCATACGGTTAAACCACTTCGCTCACCCCACAAAATTCCAAGGAGAAAAGGCCCGCCAAATTGACACACACACACAGAGTTCCGGAACGGGGACTCCAACCAGAGGAAACCTTAGATCTCAAGCGTGGAACTTGGCTGCAATCCAACGGTTGAGGAGTAGTGGCACAGGATCCTTACATGAAAACCAAGACAGCATACAATGCGAAAGAACGATCCGTGTGTGATATATTTCGGCATTCAATTGCCAGCTCTGAGGACGTGTGTTCCTACTGCTCATCTCAATTCTGATCCAAAGAGGCAAACAGCGTCAACGGCCACATCCACACCGCATTCACCCGGCTGAATTTGTTGGGGAAGGCACTTTCACTCAACAAAAAAAACGAAAACACCGCTGCGATTAACTGACGTTTTTCGTGCTTCTTTCTTTCTTCCCGTGCCCAAAGCGCTCGGTAAATTCTGTGGGCACGCGTGCGTTGACGCTGTTTGCTACTTCTTCTTCCAGACACCGTCGATGCTCAACAGCGCTGTCTGCCATCGCTGTCTGCCATCGCTGGTGTGGATATCGAGCGACGTGTTGAAGAAGGCGAATCGTATGTTTGGAAACTGGCTCGAGCACCCCATGCACAATGTGCTATGGATTCCCACTAGCGAGCCCTTACTTCCCTGGGCTGGTTGAGGTGTACGGTTGTCGCCATTGTCCTATTGTAGTCATTTCAAGCCTGTCGGAGTAGGATTTACTCGCACACCCCAGCAACGCGGTCAGATCGTACAATATTTGGTGGTCTTTTGGCAAAACCTTGCTCCAAATTACCGATCTGGGACACGTATCTTGTGACATGGTCATTTGATACGTCGGATGTCGCCCCAAATCCCCCAAGGTTACCCAATAGAATTTACCATGTCCCATTTAATTCTGGCTTTCTGCTTAAGTGGTGCTTGCGCCTTGTGCTGTCGGCCTCTGCGCCCAAAATTTGTTAAGGTTGCACCAGCAGCCAACGTTCCTTCAGAAACAGACTGATCGGGTGACAACTGAGCCCTCCACCAAAGGAATGGATCAGCAAACACGTTAGACGGAATGCAACAACAGTCAGCTAACCACCAATGGCCCCAAAACGATAGTTTAGTGTAGGTAAAGGTGGTTTGTATCGCGTTGTTTAGTCCTGTTTGGCTCTCTTTCCTTCCCTGTTTGGCCTGTATGCACCCGTCCACGGAGTTGATGGAAGTATGCGGTGATGCGCTTCACTTTGCATATTACAGTACGTCGACGGTGAAAAGTTTTCCTGTGAAGTATGTCTAGAGGGCCTCAACCATTGACCATTGAGTCTTTGTGAGGACTTATGGTGCTTTACGAGTGATCGATGCCTGTCCTGCAAAGGCAGTTAATTTCACTGGCACCGAAATCTTCCAATTTGGTGTAGAGGTCTTTATATAAGGTCACAGGTCCGCTCCATTCCATTTCTTCGTAGTACACCTCATGTAGCTCGTAGACTGCACTTTTATACGGCAACATGGATTCTCAAACCATTGGTGCACTCTTGGAGTCTATGAACTCCACCCAAATCATCAACACCCTTGAATCTCTTCAAGCCTCAGGTTACAACTTGAGTAGCGTCGATGTACCAGCTGTGATCTCACAACTTAATGTCACACAGGTTGAAGGTGTTCTTGCTTCGAACTCTACTGTCGTTAACGGATTGCTCACTTCTTTGAAGCCAGCTCAGCTTCTTACAATGATTGCAAGCTTCCAAAACGTCACTTCAACCTTGTTCCTTGCCGCAAAGGCCGCTGATAATGAACAAGTTGCCCAAGCCTACGAAGAGCAAGGTACCACATTGGTCACATTGCTCATGAACAAAGTTTCCACAGTCTTCACCGACTCTCAACTGCTCGGTCTCTTCAAGATAATGACCAATGGTGCTGCTTACGGTACCGGTTCTATGAAATTGATGTCAATGGCTAAGGACCTGATCAAAGGGTTCTTTGGAGGATCTATGCCAGCCGGAGTGGAAGTCCCATCAAGATTGGAAAGTTTGGTCAGAGCTAAGCAGCCAGCTATCTTTGGTGACTACCCAACGAACTCTGACGTTGCCCCATCTGCTGTTTTCCTCTCCATCTTCGCCATCATTACAATGTTCCACACTGGTTTGTTCATCAAGAACTATACTCTTGGTCACAAGTTCTTCGTCTCTCTCGGTCTGGCTTTCTATTCCTTGATGAGAACTTTGTCATTTATCTTGAGATTGGCCTGGGCTAAACACTTCTTAAACTTGGACTTGGGATTGACTGCCACCATCTTCCTTGTCTTGTGTATTATCTTCTTGCCATCTTTGAACTTGATCCTTGCCCAGAGATACTTCACTTGGAAACATCCATTGTACGGTTCCCATAAGGTATTCAAAGCTCTCATGTACGTGATCTATGCATTGGTTGTTGGTGTTGTCGTTATGACCATTGTTGCTGCTGCCGTTCAAACCATTTATTTGCTCTCTGAACACCACTTCAATATGACTAAACAGGTTATTCAAGCCTCTTCCATCTTGATCACAATTTACTCCGTCATTGCTGCTGTTTTGGTCTTCCTATCCTTTGTCATTCCCCCAACGAAGAAGGACCAGGAAATCATCACATACCAACCATATTGGATCAAATCCTTCAAGTGGAACTACTTTGTTCCAAAGGGTACTGCCCAGAGGGAGGAACAACTCATCACTGAGGATCAAAGACACGCTGTCAGAATCATCAACTCTTCAGAGTATCACTACGAGACTACACATAACGCCGAGGAGCACCAATCCGAGCATCGTCTGCATCACAACTCTTCCATTTTCATCATATCCTTCACCACAGTGCTTTTGCTCATTATCAACCTTTTCAGAACCGTCTCCACGTTCATCGACCAATACCACGAGCACCAATCTTGGATCTTTGACCACACCGTCATGTACGTCATGTTCGGTGCACTTGAAGTCATCATCAACGCTACCTACATCGTTGGTAGAATCGACTTGAGATTCTACAAGCCTGACTCTTTAAAGAACATTGTTCTCCAGTCATCATCTTCGTCTGACTCCAATATCCCAGAGACCAAGAGTGCCGATGGGGTCTCTGAAGGTTCCAGTATCCAACATGACACTGAGAGAGCTACAGACGCTAATTAAAAACACACACCACGTCTCCGTACGACCTCTCTCTTAACGAACTTTTTTACTCCATCTCTGTTTTCTACCTAAAACTAATTAATATCACATTTCTCTGTCTACACGACACATGTAAATTGTTATACCATCTGTGAACACCGCGTACCGTTCATCTCTTTAGTTGTGTGCTTTATAGGCATTGAACAGAGATGAAGCCCTAACTTTTCCGATAACACCCAGACACCACAATAAACCCAGACACCACGAAAGCCCCGGCACTTTTTTTTTTCCGGGCGTCGATGGACGGTGAACCCGCTTATAAACGACTAAAATTTTTTTGTTCATCTTTCGAGCTTCTCTGTCTTCAATACCATCTTTTCCGTAAGCAGGCTAAGCTTCATTCGAGTGTAAGTTTTGCGGGTTACATGTGAATGAGGAACTGGGTCTACTATGATGAGAAAAGTATTAACACAGACCTGTACCGACTTTCGAGAGTGCGGAGAAACAATATTGCCTCTACTGATTTGTATTGCTCAGTTCCTCAAACAACAATGCTATTCCTTTGACACTATAGTGTGATGAAATACTAACTCTGTTATAGTTTAGTCTATATGGCTGGCCAGTAATACACACGAATCAAATTCAATACTCTGTAGTGAGAAGTTGTACCTTTCCCAGTAGTTCAATTGCAAGGCCCAAAGTTGGCACCTGGAGATCGTTATATAGCAACCTTGTTTAAGTGTATCATGCCGTCGTGTATGAATGTTCACACCGTCCACTCACTATCGTGTACCAGCACGCTGAAGAATTCTACAGTGTAAGAACAAAACATTAAACGTAAATGATTTTATTGATGAAACATGAGAAAAACTATTAAACACTATCACCGGGTTTACTTCTTAGCAGTCAATCTACGCAAGTAGAAAGCCAACTCCTCACCTTCCAAGATGTAACCATCAGCTCTACCGGATTGACCTGGTCTAGAAGAGATACAAGCGTACAATCTACCGGCACCGAATTGGGAGTCGACAGCGTGCTCAATCTTAGAAGCAGCAGCTCTGGAAGCCAACTTTCTGACAACCTTTCTGGACTTGGAAACCTCAGCCTCCTCGGACTTTTGGTTTCTCTTCTTACCAACTTGTTGACCGTAGTGAGTCTCGTACCATTGTCTGAATGGAGTAGCATCGATTTGAACGATAGCAGACTTGGTCAAAGTGTTAGTTCTAACCAACTCGTTGTTAGATGGATGGTAGACAACACCGGCAATTCTGGTCTTTCTGGTGACACCCTCGGAACCCCAGGAGAAGTTACCGGTTTCAACACGCAAAGCTCTGAACTTTTGGTTACCACCACGGGTTCTAACAGTGTGAATACGCTTAGTACCAATCTTGGTGTTAGCACCTTGACGACCCAACTCGAATTTTCTCTTCTTTCTGAATTGAGCGCGCTTAGCACCAGTAGCGGAACGCTTGTGACGAGAATCTCTGGAAATACCCATATCTAGAAGTTGTTTGTTAGCACTGAAATGTCAAGTTAGTGTGCAGGGAGGTGAAAGACGTGAGTGAGATCTTCTTGAAAGCTTTTCCTGTTAAAATAATTCTACTCGAGTGTGACTGAAGAACTTTTTACCCTCCAGATCCAGCTCTGAATAGAAAAAACAAAAACAAGAATATGATAGTTCAAAGATACAATGGCTGGACAACGTTGCGATGACTCCTCCGAAGCACTGTCTTTATCCTTCTTCCCTTACTGGTTACTCAAATTCACTTACTGTTCTGTTGCGATGTTCTCTAAGATTTTATGGGTAGTTGTTTAAGTGATGTAGAAACTCAGCTTCAACTTTTTCACAGAGTCCCACGCCAGCTGCCAACGAAAGTCGCACTGGGCGAAAAAAGCAGTGCGACGGTGAAAGTCGCGCGCGAACCAACTTTCGGTGGCATTCGCGGCGTCTTCGCGGTGTTGAATTAGTATGGGTGTTCGGATGTTGAAGCGGTTGAGGACACACATACGTAGTGCTGATGTGCAGGTGTTTTTCACCTGTTGTTTCGTGTCTGTTTTTTTTCAGTAAGGGAGGTTACACCTGGACATCACAAACAGCCCTAGCTGACCACACGTGATTACAAATTGTTTAGGGCTGTAATATGTCAAAAGAAGTGCAAAAGAAAAGAAAAGAAACGGCGATGGAGGCGAAGAGAGGACTACGGAAAAAAAAGAACCAATGCAACTCACTCTGAGTCTACAGCAACAACAAGGGGTCTGGTGCTGTTAATCTCTTTGCATTTGCGTAGATTGTGAGCTTCTCTCAACATGACGTACTATGACCAGATCGAGATCGAGGACATGACGTTTGATCCCCAGACCATGCTCTTCACATACCCTTGTCCATGTGGTGATAGATTCCAAGTGTTCATTGATGACTTGAAAGATGGCGAGGACGTTGCTGTTTGTCCGAGCTGTTCACTGATGATCCAGGTGATATTTGATGAGGAGGATTTGGACGAATATTACGCAGAGCTGGAGAAGAGTTGATGTTACTGGTCTTGTGCTGACACTTTCAACCAGTCTTGCGGACTATGGCTCATAAGAGGCAGCGTCACCTCGAGGGAAAGCGTGGTGCAAAGGCGGTACACCATCTGGCGTTTACAATACTGGCTCGGCTACTATGAATAGAACTGCATCGACGATTCCTCTACTTGTTCAACATTCATTCACTGCAAATGTGTGATTCCAATGCCCACGCCCGAGGGTCCCATTTCGCACTCAATTAAAAACTTCAAGCTTGGACAGAGCCTGCGCACGCTGTTGACAGGCACGAATAAACGACACCAAACCCGTCGCTACAAGGACCCATTGCAGTCCCCTGTTTCGAAACACCAAGTACGCTTCAACTACGACGAAACAACCCGTAAATCGCCACCTTTCCATACAAAATGAACAATTCAAACACTTATGTCCCAAAGAACACCGTCTTAATAGCAGAGGTTTCCATTTCTTTTTTTGTCCCTTGTCCCGTCCCGCTAGGAGAGGTTTAAAAAGCGGTACTAAACAGAAACTCCGCACTGATCGGATTAAACTCAACGGCTGCAATTGAGCCATATTTCAACGGCTATTAACGCTGGCTTTTGTCCATGTTGTTGTTTTTATATAAAGAGCGAGTTGGAAAAAAAACGTATAAGCATCTGCTTTCTTATCAGTTCTGTAAACACTTGCTATACATAGCATTTTGCACCCTGTTGAGCCATGTCCTCTGATCCTGCTTTGAAGAACCTCGTCAAGGTGAATGATACTCCCGCACCTGTGGAGATCAAGACGGATGAGGTCCACATGAAGCGTGTTGCTCGTCCTCTCCGTCATGTCAAGAACAGTAGGTAATGTGTGCTTTCCATTTGACGTGTGAGAGATTGTGTATTAACCGTTCGTCTTCAGTTCCTACGAAGCAGCTTGTGTTCTATTCAAAGTACAAGGAGCCACAGTTCACCTATGACATGCCTATTAAGCTGCCTATCCCTGCGAGGGCCATCGTTGTCCAGGTCAGAGCTGCCCCACTGAACCCATTAGACCTGAAGATCATCAACAGTTACACTTCCAACATGAACAGCGAGCGTGGTATTGGCCGTGAGTATGCCGGTGTTATCACCAACATCGGCTCCAAAGTGACCGGCGATTGGAAAGAAGGAGACGAGGTTTGCGGCTTGTATATCCATCCCAACGGCTTTGGCACACTGTGCTCCAGCATTGTGATCTATCCCTCTGAGGATGCAATAGTACACAAGCCAAAGGGGCTATCATGGGAAGAGGCGTCGTCGTGGATGATCACTTTTGGAACCGCATTCCAGGCATTGGCCAAGTGTAAAATCTCCAAGGACTCGAATGTTTTGATCAACGGTGGCTCCTCAAGTGTTGGTATGATGGCCATCCAACTCTTGAAGCAGTCATATCACACCGAGAACATTGTTGCTGTGTGCTCGGGTTCTGCGATCCCGTTAGCGAAGCAGGTTGGTGCTAAGTTATGTGTGAATTACAAAGTGAACCCGGATGTGCCACACGTGCTTGATGTATTGACGACAACTGGTGTCTATAAAGACTATGACGACCAAGGCAACCCAATTGAAGTCCGTGATATCCCAGGCAAGAAGTTTGACCTCATTCTCGATTGTGTTGGTGGCTACAAACTCGTTGAACATTGCAAGGAGTACTTGGCCAATGGAGGAAGTTACATCACCACGGTGGGTGATTACCATTTCAACTACAAGTCCGACCTTTACAATTCCTGGAACAACGTGAGCATGGGTGCCAGATCCTGGTTTGCAGGAGTATGGAACATGAAGTACCTCAAGCTTGAATTCAACAAGAAGCCAGGTGATTGGATCGAAGTTGGACGTGAAATGCTGGAGGCTGGTGAGATAACAAACGTTATCGATTCGACGTATGATTGGAAGGAATATGCTGCTGCAAAGCGTAAAGTTGAAAGTGGACATGCCCACGGTAAGGTTGTTCTCAAAGTGGAGCTGTTCTAAAGTGTTACAGTCCACCTTCAGCTAAACTGCGGCATAGACAATCGAGTAATAGCTCAATCTTTTCATCTTGTACGGCATTCAGATACAACTAAGACTGTATACAAGACAAAGTCAAAGAAACATAATTTAAATGTGTGTATATAAATTCAATCATTAGAATCACATAATATCGTATTCTCCTCTCTCTTTCCTTTCGTATGACTAAAAGAGCGAAGAAAACCTTTCAATAAACCCCCAATATGTATATAGTTGGTTACAATATCAACTATCAGCTAACCACTCTAAAAAACCCAAGAACAATTGCTATGGCAAGAACATAGTACACCATCGCATGATTTCTACCAGAGTTGATCTTCTTGGGCTTTTGAGCAGCGAGGTAACGTATACGGTCTTCAGGGTCCATTTTGGCTAGCTCTTCTTGTGAAAGTCCTGTGTCAGCATCACCTCCCATCTGACCATCAGAGCCTGTGGCTGACAGCGAGGATGTGGCAGCTGATGCCTTAGCAGCAGCTTCTAGTTCGGCAGCCCTCTTCTTCTGCTCGTTGGCATCGTTCAGCTCCTTCACTTTGGCCAAGTTTTTGATCACCATCTCAGGAAACTCCTTCTTAAAGCGGTCATTCTGTGTAGCATTCCAGTTCAAACTCACCTGTGCGTAACGCTTCTTTGCATCTGCGCTCGTCACGATGCTTCCAGTGGTTGGCTCATCACCAGTCATAAAGCTCAGCAAGCCTGTGAGGATCGTCGCAACAGACCATGCCGGCTGCCATGTATCAGGATGGAAATCGCTCATACTGAGGCATAGTCTTGTGTTGACCTGGAATCTACCGTTAGGCGTGATCATACGGATCTCTGGTGGCTTGAAAGGGTAGTCCTTTGGGAATATAAGCATACCGTGGTATTGGCCACCTGAATATGGCGTGTCTGGAGGCCCCGTGATCAAATAGTGCCATTCAAGGATGTTGCGCTCCGATGGATGGGCCTCTATGTAAGGCGGCGGGTTCTCAACCATGGATTTGTACTCCTTGGTGAGCCTCTTGGTTGCTCCTTTGGACGCCATGGTCTCTCTCTGACAGTGGGATCGGTTCTAGTCTCGCTCTAGCGATGATAAACAGCCTGCTGCTACCAAATCTCCTCTCCACAACTGTGGGAAGTACTACGCTTTGTTAAAAGTGTTGGGCTCAGACGGGCGAGGGACAGGGAAAAGGATTGATTACGTAAGCGATAAGACTTCCCTTTTCGGAACGTTCCGAAAATGGGTGGATGATCGCTCTAACGCATCAAAGCACATACGCAGTGCGTGTATCGAGAGATACAACGCGAGCTTTCAGCTGGGGGAAAATGGCTGTTGGAGAAGCAGTGGTGGGTGCTCACTGTGATTGTGCACGATTGAGTGTTTTACCTGGTAGCTCGAGCCATCCAGTGTTCTTGGAAACAGCGTGTGGAAAGGCTGGTCGTCAGCGTGCTTCGATTGTGATATGATACACACATTGTTTAACCTCATTCAACCACAGCTACGTGTTAAGGAGTATCGTTTTACGTGTATAGTCAAAGATAATCAGCTTATTCAGCTTGTTGGTGGGACAACTGTTGCTGATTTGGTGTGTTCTGCGACCAAGTGAGGGCAACGTAGAGTTATGGGCTGAAGAGGACAGGCAGTATCGGGTTATCCGTGAATCATACATAGCATCACGGGGACTATCCAGTAGTCCAAGGGTTTGTTGGCTACATGGCGATCCCCGGGTTGTGCCATACATGTCGTATCAATGTTGAAGTTCGTAAATATCGTGTTAGCTGTTGAGGTGCCTTAGATCGTGTGCATAAGTGTAGTCAGTCCAATACGATGACAGAATCGCATCCAGTGCTCCCTTGGGGTTCTTTTATTGAATCATTGACGACTTCGGCAGCACTATCATGTTCGTTATCGGCATCAACATCGTTGATGAAGCTTTCAGCGTCACTCACCTCGAAATCGTCATAGAAATCGTCTTCAAACTCAGAGTGGCCTCCATGTTTCGGGCTCTCTACGACATCGTCTTCAGCGTCCAAGTCGACTGTGTCGATGATCGTCGCATTTTCTGTACACTTGATTTTCCTCAGCGAGCCTTCCTCATCGCTGATGTCTATGACGTCCACCAATCCCCCAGCGCTCAGCTTGTCTACGCTGGTCATAGAGACAGAGTTGTTTGTATCAAGAGCCTTACAGCCGCTGTCTCCCGCACTGAGGCATTCCAGTTTCCTCTTGAGATCATTCCGTCTCTTCTGACGAGCTTCTTCCAGCTCCTTCACCGATTTCTCCTCCACGGAGTCTTTGTATGCAAAGTCGGCTAATATCTTCATGAATTTGGTATTCTTCGTTGCATTCCACGTTTTACTCTGGCTGGCAAGGGCAATCTTCTGCTTTTCTGTATTCTTGATGGTGCCAGTTGTGCCCTCATTCCCAGTCATAAAGCTCAACAAGCCAACCAAGATCGTGCCAACAGACCAGGCCGGGTTCCACGATTCAGGATGATAGTCGCTGATCGTGAGACATAATCGCTTGTTCGTCTGGAATCTGCCGTTTGGCGTGATCATCGTGATACCAGGGGGTTTGAATGGATACGTCGGGGGGAATATCAGCATCCCATGGTACTGGCCGCCCTCGTACGGGGTTCCTGGTGGCCCTGTTATGATGTAGTGCCATTCCAGGATGTTCTGTTCATCAGGGCGGGCGTAGATATAAGGAGTAGGCTCATCAGAAAGCGCCTTGTACTCCTTTGTCAGCCTCTTCTGAGCTGTGATCGTAGCCATCGCTCTACTCAGCACTGCTATCTGACCAGATCAGGCTGAAGATTGCCGCTCTCAGCTGTTTAGCGGCTCTCGGCTGTTTAACAGCAGTTTGATGTTTGTTTTGGCTGGCGGGTCGTCTGCCCGCGAAGGGAAACACCAAAACAAATCCGGCACAGGCGACCCCGCCTAGGAATGAGTGCCCGCCTAGAAATGAGCCCCGGCAGGGTTTTCTTCCGCCCAGCGCAGTGGCAGCAGTGGCAGCAGTGGCAGCAGTGGCAGCAGCAGCTTCAACAAGGTGCTAATAAACCATTTTACTACAAGGAGTGGTGGTAAAAGTAGTAGAAATACCGTAAGATTATAATAAAAAACTATATAAGGAAATCAAATGCGAGAAATGAGAAAAAAGTGTTCAAATCGTGCTGACTGAGTGTGTTGATGGAGCGACGATGATAGCCTGTGGATGGTCGACATGAGGCAACAAGGCCGGTAGATCAACATCAAGTGGAATAGCCCGGGGAAGATGAACAAGATGAAAGAAAAAGCCCAGTCGTGAAAGAATTGATGAAAAGTGATAAAAAAAAGAGAAGTAATGATCGTAATGCCCAAAGTAGTTTGAAACGTCCCAATTGCACCATGCTCAGTTGATGGTGACAACAATGTGTATGAATTAGAGAATAAATGTAATGCTATTTGATGTCGAGTTGATGGTGCTTAACAAGTAATCAAGTCAACAATCTCCAAGTGGATAGCAGTACATTGGTCTCCGATGGACTCATCGTACAAGTTGTAGAAGCTACCAGACAAACATTGGTAGAAGACGTCGCTGTCACCGAGAGCCAAGTAACCGTCGGTGGTGATGGACCAACCAGCAGCGTAGATGGCACCGGCTTGTGGTGGTGGACCGTCGAATTGGAATTGTCTGTTAGCAACAATGGAACCAATACGGCCACGTGAATCAGTCAAAATAGAACCGTTAAGGGTCATAGCCAATGAGGAGTCGGTGAGACAGGAGTAGGAGAAAGCGTAGTCATCTTCCTCGGCACCTTCAGTGTCTTGTCCGTTCTCAGCATCATCATCAGAGACTTCGCTGGTGGCTTGAACTTGACCATCGGTGATTTGAGATGCAGCAGCAACGGTAGAGGTGGTGGCTTGAATTTGACCGTCACCGATTTGAGAGATGGCTTGAGCAGTTGTGAGAGTTGTAGCTTGGATTTGACCGTCGCCAATTTGAGAAACTACTTGAGCTTCAGTAGCAGTAGTAGCTTGAATTTGACCGTCGCCAATTTGAGAAACTACTTGAGCTTCAGTAGCAGTAGTAGCTTGAATTTGACCATCGCCGATTTGGGAGACAACTTGAGCAGCAGTAGCAGTAGTAGCTTGAATTTGACCATCACCAATTTGAGAGACAACTTGAGCAGCAGTAGCAGTAGTAGCTTGAATTTGACCATCACCAATTTGAGAAACTACTTGAGCTTCAGTAGCAGTAGTGGCTTGAATTTGACCATCACCAATTTGAGAAACTACTTGAGCTTCAGTAGCAGTAGTGGCTTGAATTTGACCATCACCAATTTGAGAAACTACTTGAGCTTCAGTAGCAGTAGTGGCTTGAATCTGACCGTCACCGATTTGGGAAACAACATCTCTCTTATCAACACTGGCAGTGGCAGTGGCAGAGGCAGAGGTGATAGGCTGAACGGCAATACCAAAAGTTCTGAGGTGGTCGGTGATAGCACCAGATGGATAATCCTCATCTGGGGTCAAGGTGGTCCATGGCTCAGATGGGATGTAGCTGGCCAGAGCAGAAGCAAGGAAAGTGGATGTGAGAAGGCTCTTCTTGTATTGCATTTTGTGTGAATAGTTTAGTCTAGTGCTGGTTTGGTAAACGCAATCAGATGAGTGAATGGATAGTTCAACTGTTGATTGATGATTTGATGATGACACTAACCAACCAACTTCCAACAAACACCGGCACTCACTACCCCTTTATATAATGGTGAAATGGGTTGAATCAAGACAACAAAATCTCATCCAACTCGTTCAACATGGCCAAAAATAGAACGACATCACACGGGAGAACGGTTGAGGATGCCACTATGCGTCTCGCATATGCACGCAATTCGCACCGAAAACGGAAAGGAAAGTGATTTGGATCAAAATTTTCATTGCCTGTTTGGGAAAGATGTAAACACAGGAACAATAGCGTGGCTGGCTGCAGGAGCAAAATCTTTCTCGACGGCCAATTGTCGACCAATCAGATCGTCGGTGTACCTTAGATCGAGTTCCATTACTCCAATGGGCTGGTGGATCAAATTAATTGCTGTCTTAGAAATGATTCCATGGCGTCATGGCGAAGTTGACGAGTCATGGACCCACTAGAAGTGCGAATGCTCTCCGGCATGTGGGCCGTGTTGGGTGTAATTGAACTGGAGAACTTTAGGGATTGTACGGATCATGGGATCGTCGACACATTGCCGGAGATGGAAGGTCCTTACCGGCTTATTGGCTCATGAAAACTTTCAAGCCGAGTATTCCTTCCGGCTCCTGTTGTACAGTGTTATTGCTCCTTATCAAAGGCAGAGCTCAGCTCCTCAGTTGGTTTTCAATTGAGTGGGAATATGCGCGTGTGCGCGCGTTCATTACTCACAGAGGCACTTCCAGTGTGAATGTATATTCTTCCCGAAAGACTCCTCCCATAGTTACCGACCGTGTGTGATTTGTCGTTCAATTGCACGTTGGGTGTACCTATCCCTATTTTTAGTACGGCCATATCTTCTTTTGGTATGTGTAGTGCTGCCAACGCGAAGCGAGCGTACTACTATCACCGTGGTGACAGAGTACATGGTGGATGTATTGGACACAGCCCTAATGGCTGGCAGCGCATAAATTACATGCGTCAACTCGTAACATCACATAGCAGCAACTTGCAAGAGCCATTTTGTCCATCAGGCGTTCAATTGAGACTTGGAAAGTGATCTTCACATCAACACGTTCAAACCCGCAACACTACGGAGCCATGGAATGGTTTGTTATTACTGTATTGGGCTAAATTGCTTGATCCAGGGACCAGGAACCATGCGAACCTGATGCGACTGAAACGTTGAAACCTGGGACGAATCTCATAAGCGAGCGACCCTTCCTTTAGCCAGGCAGATCCAAACGTGATCAATTGACCACGTCGAGTTTTACACACGCCTTGATGCTATCAAATTGCCTGTATACGGAGAATATACACGTCCTTTTTGTTTTATGGCTTGACTCATTATCGTCCAATTAAAATCACTTTGCTGTGCAGCTCGTGTCTCAGAGTGCGATTTTCGTTTTTTTTAACACGGCGTGCGCCATTTTTGGAACACACTGCCTTTGTCTTCGAACTCAAATCAATATACAGAGGTGCCTTGCGTAATTATTATGGGACATTAGCTATTATTAGACTAGACGTAAACACTTTTATCTGATGATGATCGACATAACCAAGAGCTTGAGATGTCTGGCATTCTTTGCTGGTGGTGTAATTGAACATTGAGCCAAGAGGTCTCATTGATTATCGACCAGCCCCGGGTTCGGTGGGCATGTCCATACAGCCAGTTTTATTACTCCAAGACAGTTTGGCTGCTAGCTTCATTTATGATGGTTTTGACAGTGCTGCATGTTGGCTGAAAAAGAACGTTGCTGTATAACTTGTTGGTTTATGACAGTTGTCTCTGCCCCGAACTTGGAAGGGTTGGTTCGTGGGTTACGACTAGGGAGAAAGGTTCGTCCTTGAACTGCTCTGTGACTTCAGGGCGCAACAAGGTCCATGGTTTCACAAAGGCTTTTGTTAACAACTTCAATGGTATCTCACTTTGTAGAGGGTGTTGAAGTTACTCGGATAATTGAGTAGTTGGTACAATTGATGTAGAGGTGAAGAACACAGCAAGCATTGGCAAGTGCTCTTCAAGAAGCATCCTGTACTCACAATTTCCCATCTATCCCCAATATTTGTGGGGTCCACGAAGGGGAGAATCAAAGCTGTCACCATGGTTGAGGAAGAGAAGCATTGTGTTGCACAATGACTTTTTAGATGTCACATTATCAGACGTGCTGCGCTGAGAAACGGGAGATCGCCAATTTGAGCTCTCACACAAATGCGTAGACTCACACTCTTAGCTTTGTATGGGTCAATTCGAGCACTCTGTTAAGGCAAATAAGAGTGCTGTAGTTGGTTAAACTCTCTACAATTGAAGAAGAGCATTATGGTGATTCACTCAGGACTTATATTCGACAGACGAACTCCAATAACATCCAGACTTTAACAAAAGAGAGCATATAATTGAACGAATGACGTAAATCATCATTCATCCTCAAACATGAAGCATAATCATGTGATTAATGCTTGAGATGTTAATGCTGCACTGAAACAGATAGGGATGAGCACTAGCTTGTTCACTAATGAGCATCCTAACAAAGAGGGGAGTTTACATATCAGTGCTCGCTCCATTGGACGACCCCAGTGGCACTGAAGACCCCACGTGCATTCTGTTTGCTCGAAGATTGTCCAAGATTCACCTTGCTAAACTTGTCCAATTAAGTCTTCCAGCAGCGTTGTCAACTCCACAGTTATTCCTGTGAACCGTATAATGCGAGAAGATACCTTTCCCCATATATAACAATTCGCCCCCATCATTACAGTAAATAACTGATACAATTAGATGTTCATCACACCAATGGGGAGAAGAGGTGACTTCCCACACCTTTGGAATGTACTTCACAGCCAGACAGTCCGTGTGCTTCATTGGAACACCTATCATGATCGGTTTCATGGAAACCATTTCCCCAGAATTTTACGTACTTTCCTAAAAGAGTCCGACTTTCGCCAAAGTGCGTTATACAAATGCCATCTTCGTGAAAAGCGACAAATGGCGTAAAACCTTAGCGCAAATGTCCTTTTCTTTCGCAAATGTTCAAAAGTCCGCGCAAAAAATTTTAGCCAAAAAAAAGGACAAAAAGCTCATCACGTTTCCACGGGGATTAACTACACTTTTAAAGGTAGATTTCTTATCCCTCTCATTCTCTTCTCCTTATAGATATTCATCGAGATGGCGACTGCTGTGAACTCCATTAAGCTGCTTGCCGGTAACTCTCATCCCGAGCTTGCAGAGAAGATCTCGCAGAGGTAAGTGAGCTGCGCCGAGTGTGTGGTTGTGTCTCTCCGTACTAACGCATTTTGTGAAGGTTGGGTATCAAGTTGAGTAAGATTGGTGTGTATCAATATTCGAACCAGGAGACATCAGTCACGATTGCAGAGTCGGTCAGAGATGAGGATGTGTACATTATCCAAACAGGATGTGGTGAGAACGAGATTAACGATTTCCTAATGGAGTTGCTGATTATGATTCATGCCTGTAAGACGGCATCTGCTCGTCGTATCACTGCCGTGATACCAAACTTCCCATACGCTAGACAAGACAAGAAGGACAAATCCCGTGCTCCGATCACTGCTAAGCTGATTGCAAACTTGTTACAGACAGCTGGTTGCCATCATGTCATCACGATGGATTTACACGCTTCTCAGATCCAGGGTTTCTTCAGAATTCCAGTGGATAACTTGTACGCTGAACCTTCAGTTTTGAGATACATAAAGGAGAACATCGGCACGGAGAACGCTATCTTGGTTTCCCCAGATGCAGGTGGTGCCAAACGTGTTGCGTCCATCGCTGATAAACTCGACTTGAACTTTGCTCTTATACACAAGGAGAGACAAAAGGCTAACGAGGTTTCGAAGATGGTGCTTGTTGGTGATGTACAAGATAAGACTTGTATTTTGATCGACGATATGGCTGATACTTGTGGTACCCTTGTTAAGGCTGCTGATACGTTGTTGGACAATGGTGCTAAAGAGGTTATATCCATAGTTACTCATGGTATCTTTAGTGGAGCTGCGCCTGAAAGGTTGGCTAATTCAAGATTGAGCAAGATTGTATGCTCCAACACTGTGCCCGTCACCATTGAGAATGACAGACTGGATCAAATTGACGTTAGTCCAACTTTAGCAGAGGCCATTCGTCGTTTGCATAACGGTGAGAGTATTTCATATCTGTTCACCAATGCTCCAGCTTAGAGAATCCGCCATCACTGTGTACAATTTTGAGATATACATTTATACTAAAAGAAAGAAAAAAGAAAACAGAGATACAACATTTACTGAGACAAACTAGTTAAAAAGAAGCTTAGTTGTACTGGTCATATTGTGGCTTCCAGTACTGACGAACAGTGGCATGTTGTTGGCCAAGTTTCGTGATTTTCTTCACATCCTCATCATCCAATTCAAATTCAAATACCTTATCAGCTGAAGCAATTCTTTCTTTTTTGGACGATGTAGTCACTGGCAACACACCAACACTGTAAACCCAGTTCAAAAGGATTGAGCCAGCATCCTTGTTGTACTTCTTTGTCAATTCATCCAAGAGGTCATAGAAAGGTCCAGTTTCACCCTTTCTAGTAGATAATGGAGCCAATGGAGAGTAAGCCTCCAATTGAATCCCATGAGTCTTTGCATAGTCGTAAATGCCTGGAGTTTGATTCTGTAAGAAAGCAGAGAATTCAATCTGGTTCACAGCTGGTTTAACCTCAGCAACCGGCAATAACTTCTCAAAGTCTTCAACACGCCAGTTGGAGACACCAATGTTTTTGGCTTTCCCTTCTTTGTACAATTCTTCCAGATATTTCCAGGCTTGTAAGATATCATAACCTGGGTTTGACTGGTCGTAGAATGGATCATGAATTAGGTACAAATCAACATATTCAACACCGATAACCTTCAGGGATTGCTCAAGGGCTTCTCTCGGAGTCTTTGAAATCTTGGAAAACTTATCAGTGATCCAGATCTCTTCACGGGGTTTCTTCGAGTTCTTCAAGGCAAGACCAAGCTCCCTGTAGGTTCCATAATTCTCAGCAATATCAATGTGAACAACACCTGGTAAAGAAAGCGCATACTCCAACTGCTCAACAAGCTTCTCATCCACTGGCCCGGATCTATCTGTCTTGTACCATTGGGTACCTGTGCCGACGATGGAGATTGCAGGAATCTTGTTCCCGTTGTTCAAAGTGAAGTATTTAATTGACATTATGTGTGATGAGTGTTGATGAGGTGATTGAGAGTCAAGTGAAGAAAGACTATGCCAACTCTCTGTATTTATAAGTTGGGAGGGGGTGACACTCAGAGCTTCTTGTTCAATTCGCAAGCACGTAATATACACCCCCTATTCTCGACTTACTTACGTAAAATGACGATATGTGTGTTTAATTCCCAATCACCACAGGCGTTGCGTAGTGGGGAGGACCTTAGCACCTGGTCTGCTCCGATATAACCACGTTAACCCCGGCTAGCGGATTAGTAATGGTGTACGGTTGTGTTACCCAACTTGGTCAATGGAACTCCACCCAATGTGCTCCATGGTGGGGGAGGGGGATTGAATACCTCCAAATACGCCAGATATCGTCAGAATGTGATATTCGACCTTCTTATTCGAGTTGCGAATGTATAGCTGAATTAATCGAACTGTAAATTAGTGTAACACTTAACAGTTATTACGCCTCTCTTATGCTTTATTGAAACCACTGGAATCATGAACTGTCAAGATTCGGGTGGTTACACATTAGTCAAAAGGAAAATCCTTGAACCATTGTGCTTCCTCCTCTAAGTTGTTATCCAATAGCCTTTTATCTGATATTTTTACCCCATATTTCATAGGCCTAATCGTATCGTCATCATTTTATATTACTAGTAACATTCAACCGGCATTTGAAGTATTGGGGAAACTGTATCGATAACCGTTTAGTTGTTGATTGTGTAGCACATTGTGATATCGCTATCCCCTACATACTACAAGCTGAACCCTTCAGAGCACACGTTGTCCGTCCAAGCAGGTCACTGAACAGTTAGTGGAGCTGCTCAAGTACCTCGAACCGTGTGGCTACTACACCTCGGGGCCATAGGCAAAGAGCGTGGTGTGCGGGTGTAAAGTCTTGGTGCGTGTGTGTGTACCGCTCGGACTTCCAGCGGTTGCCCCGGCAACATCTCAACCGTTGGAGGAGCTTGCAGATTCCTTATATACCACCACAACTACACATTACGACCCTGAAGAACCACCGTTGGAGCGAACAAGACCGTGCTTCCTACACACAGAGCCAATTGATATTACATAAGCCATCCAATACCTCACAGCGCTCCCCGAAAGCACAAGGAGCCCATAGTAACCACCGCCTATGACGTAATATCAAAGACTCCACAACCACCAAGGTTGTGAAAAAAAGTCCATAGTAACAGCAGCAGGTGACATATCGAGGTCTCACGGCATTAACACTGCATCACATAACCTCAACGGTTGAGAAATTTGATGGAGTCAGAGGAGGGCCAGGAGGGTTGTATCAATTTTTTCACATTGAACATGACATCCAGTGGTGCTTGATATTTCTTGTTGCTGCTGCATCTTTGCTGCTATTAACAGAGTGATCGATCTTGAGAAGTCTTGTCAACGTCTTTATCTCTCTATAGCCTTGGCAGCACTCATACCTTTCCACTGTGTCTGCTGTTATCTTCACCATTGTGTCTGAGAACTCTATCGAACTTGACACATTTGTTCTACACACCGTACTCAAACTGCTGTTACGCCATACGCCTCATTCACTACTCCGAGGCCTCTAGTTTTTCATACTGTACGCACATCACAACGGGGACCAGATTTTGAACTTTGCTGGTTATCACATATTCAACCTTATTGGACATTTAGGGCTCATTTCAATTCAACTCTTGCCCCCTCTGTCTATATAAAGTTGTCATCTCTTCACACGTATCACCACTTCCTATACATCACAGTCATCTACTCACCATCGACTAATTAACCATGGCCAGTGTCTCTGAGAGTGCTATACATTTGGTGAAACTCTTCATCAGAGATGATGATGCCACAGATGCTACGACCTGTGATTCCGGTAACGAATACGATGGTAGGGATAACCTTCGTGTCCTTGCTCTCTTTATGATTCTGATCTCCTCTGCTATTGGGTCTTTCCTGCCAATCTTATCTTCGAAGTACTCCTTCATTAGGCTACCAGACTGGGTTTGGTTCATAGCGAAGTTCTTTGGTTCCGGTGTCATTATTGCAACCGGGTTCATCCATCTATTGGAGCCTGCTAGTGATGCTCTTTCAGATTCATGTTTGACAGGACCAATCACAGAATACCCATGGGCCTTCGGTATATGTTTGATGTCACTGTTTGCACTGTTCTTCAGTGAATTGGTTGCACACCACTATGTCGAGAAGGCTGCACAAGGTTCCAGTGAAGAGGTGCACACTCACTCGCACTTTGGCAATTTTGGTAAGGTCAAAGATGACGAAGAGTCTTCAGTGTTTGAAGAAAAGCCAGATCCTTTAGTGAACGATGGCAGTATCTCTCAACCAAAAGAAGAGACTGGGAGAAGTATTCCAGGTCACAACCACTACTCTCACGCATCAGAACATCAAGATCCTGAAGTCATCAACACGCCTGTCGAAAAGCAAGCATTAGAGCAATACATGAACCAGATCCTTTCAGTTTTCGTCTTGGAGTTTGGTATCCTCTTTCATTCTGTCTTCATTGGTCTCTCATTGGCAGTTGCAGGTGAAGAATTCAACACCTTATTCATTGTGTTAGTCTTCCATCAAATGTTTGAAGGTTTGGGTTTGGGTACCAGAATTGCAGAATGTCCTTGGGATCATAGCAGAAGATACACGCCATGGTTGTTGTCATTAGGTTTCACCCTGACAACTCCAATAGCTGTGGGTATTGGTATTGGTGTAAGACATACCTATGCACCAGGTTCCGCAACAGCATTGATGACCAACGGTATCTTTGACTCAATTTCAGCTGGTATCCTGATCTATACAGGTCTTGTGGAGTTGATGGCTCATGAATTCATATACTCTACACAGTTCAAAGGCAACTTTAAGCTCATGTTTTTGGCCTTCTTTATCATGTGTTGGGGTGCTGGTTTGATGGCCTTACTTGGTAAATGGGCTTGAGTCTAAAGCATTTAAGTATTTGAAACAATTTTATAGAATTCTTTTCACACCTATTTAATGTACTTCTGATCACTGTAAAGTCTGGTAAACTCTCTTCTTAGCGGTCTTTTCAACGTGCTGTCTCTGTTCGTACTCATCGATGAATTCGGTGCTGTGTGTCAAGTTCCATTGGTTTCTCAAGAATTTCAATCCTTGAATGTTGAAACCAAGCTCTGTAGTTTGATCCTTCAGCTCATTTCTCAACTTCTGCTTAACATTGATGACTTGGTTCTTGATCTTCTCATTCTTCAAGCTATTGAGCTCGTGTAGATTGGATCTGATGAGGAAGAACAAAACTCTGCAAATTAAAGCGATGTGTTGCTTCAATATGGCATTGACACTAGTCCACTTCTCAATCACTCTGAAGAACTTCAAAACAAAAGAGAATGGTAACACAAGAAGAGCATCTTCAAGCTGGGAAGGTTTGATCTTAAGAAGAGTTTCCAGGATGTACTGAGACCCAGTCTTGTTGAGTGCTTGAAGAAGTGGATCTCTGCTTGGTCTAATTGGCTGTTCACCACTCTTCGTTTTCAACCACTTGTTCAACTTTTGGTTGTATTCTTCTTCATCCTCGATGTCCTTGTATCCAGCCTCCAGAGCTTCTAGCAACTTTTCACCAGCTTTCAAGGTTTCCAAAGTCTGTTGATGAACACCAGTGGCTTCATCTGTATCCTTCTCCTCATCGTCATCGTCTTTTTTCGTATTCTCGTCACCTTCGAGCGAAGCTAGAAGCGTGCCTTCGTACATTTCATCCATTTCCTTCTCTCTTTCTTCCTCGATGAACACCTGATCATCAGTTTCTTCCCATATTCTAATGCTATGGTCGTGAGAGGTAGTTACAACAAATGATGCATCATGTGCCACAGCAATACTCCAAACTTCAGATTGGTGTGCGCTGAGCTTTTGGATACATTCAAACTTATCACCGTCCCAGTACTTCAGCAGTCCATCTTTACCGGCAGAGAAGAAGTTATGGCTTTCAGGAACAAATCTAACATTCATAATGGAGTCTTGATGGCCAAAGATAGATTTGTGACAGTCACCGAAGTCGAGACCCCAAATCTTGATGTTCTTATCAGCAGATGACGTGATGATCAATTTAGAATCAAACGAGATATCAATGGACAAGACTGGAAGCTTGTGACCGTACAAACTGAGATAGAACTTCAAAGTGTCAAAGAAGAAAACCTTAACAGTGTTATCCAACAGAGATACAGCCAGGTACTTGGCCTCTGGTGAGATCTTGAGAGCTAAGATGTCTTCCTCAAGTTCCATAGTCTTGTTGTGGAAGATCTTCATCTTGGCCGATTCCCTGTTTGTTCCTGGAATCGTCTCTCTTTCAATCTTGAAGTCCCAGAATTTGATGGTCTTATCAGCTGATCCAGTGACAAGAGAGGTTCCATCCGGTGTAAGGTCTAAACTCCAAATAGCACCTTCATGAGCCTCTACTCTTTCGAGCAGTGTTGATGTTGCAAGATCATATAGCTCAATCTCACCATTCTTGGTACCAATAACAACAAGCGTACCACCCGGCAAGAACTTGACCGCTAATGCATAGCCACATTCAAATGTTCTTAAGCAGTTGGTAGTAGCAGTATTCCAAATCTTTAACAACCCATTGGATGCAGTTGCAAGAAGTTTGTTATTATCACTCACATCAACCGATCTAATATCTGTTCTATGACCTTGGAGCTCAACAGTGTATAGTTTCTGGGCAGGTGATACCTCCTTATTTGTATGTGCAATTGTGTAGTACTCAAGGGTATTGTTTGAGGAAGAAACCAAGATATCGAGTCTAGAGCTATTGGTCAAAGACCAAGTGGCACTTTTAATTTTGAAACTTGATCTTAAAACAGTGAAAGGCTGAATCAGCATGCTCACTGCAGAGTCCTTGATTGCTTCAACAATCTCCTCCTCGCTGTAACCTTTCTCCTTGAGTCTTTTCTCTCTCTTCTTGGTGGCCTTCGCAATGTCTTCAGCTGATCTGAGCTTGAACACTTCAACAGTCTTATCCATATTTTGAATAAAAAAGTAAGTCGAGCCTCCGACACTACGGAAAGAGATTTCAGTCCCTCTGGACTTACTTGTCTTTTCTAGCACTCCAAATTCTGCGATCTTCTTGTTCGACTCCTCCTCTTCAAAGTCAACATTCCACACTTTCACTTGATTCTCTGCATCTGTTGTGACGATGTGATTACCGGATACACCAAGACTCCAGCATTCACCACCATGGGCAACGTGAGTTTCAATACATTGCTGAGTTTTCAGGTCCCACAGCTTGATTAAACCATCCTTGGAAGTACTGATGAGATATTCCTCATTGAACCATAGACCAGTGATTTGATCCTTATGACTTCTCAACTTGAACAGACCAGTTTCACCAACGAGATCCCAGAAGATGATATTGGAGTCTCGGGACCCAGATACCAGTCTCGTACCCTCATTGTCAAATCGAAGCAGAGTGACGGCGGATTTATGACCTTGGAAGTTGATGAGCACAGTGCCCGAGATGAGATCCCAAATCTTGATGGAACCATCGTCATATCCTGCACCAACAATGGTAGTGTCTGGATGGTAGACCAACGCAGTGACCTCTGATGGCTTGGACAACTTTGCATCTGATGCACCTGGAGCAAGCCCATCCCTCAGGCGTTTCACAAGTTCACCAGTCTTTATGTCCCAAATGAGAATCTCTTCTAGCCCAGCGGTGATGGCTTGACCTGCACCGGTTTTTGTCGTTGGCGGCAGCCAAATGACATTTGAGCGAGAAGAAATCACACCGAAGCATGACTTCTGTTCATAACGTTGGTAGGACTTCACCATATTACCTCTCCTTCAAGGGAACTGACTTCTTTGTTTACTCTTAACAGAGGAAATCGAATAAATGTAGCACCGAAATTTTTTTTTGCGGAAGCGATCAGGATGACATAAGCAAGCTGGATTATGTAAGCATTGAATGATTATGTAAACACTTACTAATCACAATGTCGAATCTGCAACATGGGCATCAGTCATTGAGCTCTGATCAGCTTATGTCTGTTGCGATGTATGCAGGGACAAGGGGTGGTAAATGGCACCGTAGGAGGTGTTCACTACTGTGCTGAAGTGTGATGTATACACAGAGAGGAACAGATCTTCAAAGATGAACGCCATGTACTCTATTTCACCTATACATCGTGGAGTGAGAGACTTGTGGTGTAATTAACATACACAAGTGAAGGTCCCCCACCACTCATTGAAAAGAAAATAATATATGATCACATCGTGGATTATGAATCCAGACTGCTCCTTACAGCTCATACCCATGTAAAGCGTTGTGCTGCAAATGCGTAGGCCTGACTTGCCGTTGATTTCCGATATCAAAATCATTCTGTAGATGAAGATGGTGTTGAGAAGAACTTCCACACATTGCACTGCGTCAAGTAATTAGTTCATATCATCAAGCACATCATGATTGTGACAAGTGATTTGATCATTCAGGCACCTTGTATGTCTCCTCGTGTAAATATTGTGACAAGAATTGAGTGCTTGGTGGACATGATAATCATTGCCTGCTCTCGCAAAGCCAATCACATGCAATGGTCAACACGGTGCAACGTCTACGTAAAACTAAGAAGAAAAAAATATAAACATACACACTGATTCAAAATCATACAGTCTTCAATATTCAACATCTCATTTCAGCGAAATTAAACAAAAGTTTCATTTGTTCTGTTCAACAGACTTTGAAATGCCGATACCTTGGATTCTTTGATTATGGGCTGCATTTGGTTGCCATTTTCTAACGTTTCTTATTTCATCAGATGAATATCCTGGAATACGAATGTTCCAGTTCTTCTCCAAATGTAACTGGATGTCCTTGGTATCCAGGGTATCGGATTTTCTATGTTTTGCAAGGCGACATGCGAATGAAGTGACGTTCGTCACAAACTCATCTGCTAAATCAAGCAACAATTCTTCAACATCACCGTCAATGGTTGTCTCACCATCACCTTCATCAGCACCCACAGTTTTGACGAGTTCGCTCAACTTACGCTTAGACAACACCCGGTCACTTTGCATCTCATAAGGTGGTAGTTTGAGCATAGCAGGCGTGGTGAGCGCTGGTGCTGCAATGCTATGACCATTCGCCAAACTTGGCTTCATCTGTGAAACAGGAACAGGTTGTGATGGTTTTGGCGTAACTTGAGAACTAATCGGTAGTGAAGGCACTGAACTCTTGAACACATTAGTTACTGGTACATTCAAGTTTCCCAGAGTGGTGGTTGGTTTAGCAGCAGCATTAACATTGGTAACAGGTGCATTTGGTGATGCGGACGCTCCACCAGATGTGTTTCTGTTTACGTTGGCGTTGCTTGCAACCGCATTCTGAGTCATTGGGGTAGCAGTACGGGACTGTTGTTGTATTACTTTCTGTTGACCTTGGATATTCTGCTGAGGCTGAGGCTGTTGTTGAGCTGGTTGCGCTTGCTGAGCTTGTTGTAACTGTTGTTGAGAGATATTTTGTCTGATCTGTTGTTGATTTGTTACAGTAGGAGATGTGCTATTTGGCATCTGATTTATAGGCTTTTGAACAAATTGCTGCTGACTCTGTTGAGAAATTGGAACTTGATGTTGAGATTGTGGAGTATGTTGCTGTTGCTGTTGCTGCTGCGGTTGTTGTTGTTGTTGCTGCTGCTGCTGCTGCTGCTGTTGTTGTTGTTGTTGCATTTGGTACAAGTTGTTACCATTTTGTTGTACATTTTGGTTCTGTTGAGGAAGAGAGCCCATTTGGATATTTGGCGATTGAATTGGTTGCTGGGAGGTATTCATCATGTTCTGTTGTATGTTACTTTGAGCAGCTTGAGCTTTTGTTTGGGAAGATACAACTTGCTGGGCTTGCTGCTGCGGTTGTTGTTGTTGTTGTTGTTGTTGTTGTTGTTGTTGTTGTTGTTGTTGTTGTTGTTGTTGTTGTTGTTGTTGTTGCTGCTGCTGTTGTTGCTTCTGAAGTTGTTGGGTAATAGAAATGGCAACATTCTTGTAAGTGGTAAAACGCTCCTTCAAAACAGCCTCTTTGTGCAATAGTGTCTGTAAATCATCAGGCGACAGATTAGGATCCACCTTTTGAATCTCAATCTCCTTCAAAGTCTTTTGGAAATTAGCCAGGACTTGCTTAATCTGTTGCAGCTGTTGATATGGGTTTCTTGGTGCTTGAGATGTTTGTGCTGCGCTACTAGGAGTACCAGCTTGACTCATAGGACTTGGAGAGGACACAGCATTTCTAGTACCCTGAATATTAGCATTCATGTTTTGCATCTGGGATCCTTGTTGTTGCTGCTGTACTGGTACAGGTTGCTGTGACTGCTGTTGATGGGATACAATGTTATGCTGCACCTGGGGTCTTTGTTGTTGCAATTGGTTCAACTGAGGGGATTGTTTTGGAATCTGTTGAGCCTGTTGAATCTGTGGTGATGCAACCGCATTTGCAACAACAGGGGTAGACACCGAAGACTGGGTCTGCTGCTGAGCCTGGGCTTGCCCTTGTGCATGAGCCTGAGCCTGAGCCTGAGCCTGTCTTTGCTGTTGTTGATACTGGACAAGAATGCTCTTAATCTTCTGTGCCTTTTTCAAGTGCTCACGACCTTCAGGGGTATCACTTCCCAAGCGCCTGGCCTCCAAGACTTCAGCATTGCACTGCTTCGCCAGCTGTTTAATCTGGGCAGGTTGTAAAACCAAGTTGATTCCCTGGTTAGGGGTACCTTGCGGAGCATTTCCTTGGTTGTTGTTGTTGTTGTTCATTATCCAAATTCCACTTCAAGAACACAAACACTCAAGAAATAAATACAAGATACAAACAGAAGTCTCACAAATCAATCCACTTCAAATAGTCTACTTCAAAAAGACGTGATATACACCGCGGTTTAATCGATACACCAAAGTAATTGACCACGTCGAGAATGAAAGAACAGTTCTGTTTATTGTTTTGCAAGCCGTATTTGTTTTTCGTTGAAGTTTCAACCACAAAAGGGACTTCGCGAATTTTTGATATTGACACAGAAACGTAGGGTAACCCTACATCTCGAGTAGCAAGCTTGATATGGCATTTATGTATAGACTTTACACACAATTACTCGAATCCATGCCATTCATCATCGTCCTCATCCTCGTCCTCTTGCTCTTGCTTGTCCTCATTTATCTTTGCGCTGACAGTGACATTCCATTGGGTAAGTCTGTCATCTCCAAGGAGGTCATCTTTGATTTTTTCTCTTATTGTCTTCAAGAGGCACTCTTTACTCAGCGTAACGAACGGTTCTATCAGTTCCTTCAAGGGTGTCTGGTCAATGATTTCCTGTTTCTTCTCCTCTTCCTCTTCTTCATCATCTTCAAGCTCTTCGAACATCATTCTTTCAACCTCGTCTGCGTATATATCAATTAGATGGTATGTAATACCAGTTGGAACTTTGTTATCCCCGCTAAGTGGTGATTTCTTCAACGCATTTAAGAATCCGCTCACCATTTCACTGTCCCATTGGCTCTCGCTGAGTCTCTTTAATTGATAAAACAACACTCTTCTGACCAATAATAGGAATTTATCCAGTCTATGGTGATCGATACCGACCCATTCCCTGGCAATAACTTTCCAAAATGCGAGCGCAAAGTTGTAAAAGTTCTTCTCTGGCACTACCAAGAATAATTGGCCAAGGTCTGCAGCCAAACGCTGTTGTGGACGTGGACGGTCACTGAACCACATGGCAAAGTAGAGTCCCTTCCAAAGCTTTTCAAACTCAATCAAAGGCATGTCACGAGGACGTGAAAGAAACTTCTTCAATGATTCAAGAGCTGCATTTCTTGTTGGACGATCTGATATCACGTTAGTATATTGGTCTCCTCAAGCATTTCAAGCTAATGGATACACACCATTTGCAGCTAACTTTCTAACGAAAGCAGACGTCTGTGGGTTACTCATCTCGCTCAATCCCTAATTGACTTCCCTTCTGTGAATGTGTGTGTATGGATTATTCTGTCTCGTTCTATGAAGAAACCACTCGAAAAAAAATTTACCCGATGAGATGGTTTGCGCAGCACACCCACGAGTTGGTTTTGTTGCCATGGACACCACATTGAAACAAAGAAAGAGCACTAACTGCCTAAAATGGAAATTGTGAGAAAGTATGTAAATCCAAAAAAACAATTTATTGATCATTATTCAGCATATCATGATTCTTTAATGTGATACTTCTGGTCATGTTACTGACTTTGTAGATACCGACCAAGTTTTGAGCTAATTCGAACATATTGTTTCTCAAGGAAATGACAATGAATTGGGCATTCTTGGTACGCTCCTTTATGTAGTTGGCAACAATAGAAACGTTTCTAAAATCCAAAGCTGCGTCAATCTCATCCATCACGTACAATGGTGTTGGTTTATAGCGGTGTAAGGCAAACACCAAAGCCAAGGAACTGAGGGTTTTCTCACCACCGGATAGATTTGATATGTTCTTCCAGGACTTCTTCGGTGGCATCACACTAAACAGGATACCTTCTGAGAACGGATCTAAACTGTCAACCAACTCTAACTCGGCATTACCTCCCATGGTGATCATCTGGTACATCTCCTTGAGGGTAGCAGATATAAGGTTGAAGCCTTCCATGAATTCATCCAATCTTTTCTTCTTCAACACTTCAGCGGTGGTCTTAATTTGATCTCTCTCCTCGACTGCACTGTTCAAGTCTGTTCTTCTCGTCTGATACTCTTCTGTCCTTCTAGCGTACTCTTCAAGGATATCTGTATCGACTTTCACCTTACTCATATAAGCTTCAAGATCCTCAACTTTGATCTGAATCGTGTCAATATCAAGGGCTTCCAACTCGTCGGGCGTAAGATCAGATAAAGAACCGTTCTCATACTTCACCCTTTCTTCTTCGTCTTCAATAAATGACAATAACGTTGAAACATCCCTGAATTCGAGGGTATCCAAATGTTCCGTGTTCCTTAAGCGTTCTGCGGTTTGGTGCTTGATGATACTTTGATGTTTTTCAATCTTGTTTTCAATCTCCACTTGAGCTGATCTCAAAAGGTTGATCTTCTCAAGCTTCTCATCCAAGCTTTCCTTCAGCAACTCCGCTTTCTCCTTGTTCTCGTCTTTCGAATCACGCAGCTTTTTCAATTCAGTTTCCAGTTTCTCAAAAACACGGAGTCTCTCTTGATAAGTTTCTTCCACTCGACTAAGATCGCACTGATAATCCTCAATTTCTTTTTTCTTCTCACTCTCAGATTTTGTATACCTTTTGATCTCATTTTCAAGCTTCTTGATACCCACTTTGTTATTGTTAAGCTTATGAGAGGCAATTTCGATCTGCTGTGCCACACTATCAACTTTTGAGTTTTGCATGCGAAGCTTGACACCACCAACATTCAAAATTTGTTCCTGAAGAACATTGATTTTGTCCTGTAACTCTTTTGATTGTTCCTGCAAGTTGTTGAGCTCAATGGTGAGACTATCTACGTTGGCCTCTGCCTCTGCGATCTCCTTGTTATCTGCAGCCATCTCATCCCTTTTCTTCGTAGCAGCAGCGACTTGGGTTTGAACACTCTTCATCTCATTCGTCAAAGAGTCAATCTGATATTTGATCTTTGATACCTCGGTATCAATTTCAGGCTGTCTCTCTTTTAATTCTTTGAGAGCTCCAGTCATTTCGTAGTAAGTATTCTGAGCAATCTCCAGCTTCTGTTCTTTCTCAGACAACTGTTTTTCCATCTTGAGAACTTCTGATTCAGAAACGGAGCCAGCCTGAGAAGTTGATTTCATTCCCCCGCGGTTTACAATGTTACCACCACCGGACAAAGTACCTGACTTATCAATTAATTTACCGTCAAGAGTAACAACTCTGAATCTCTTCGCACCGTAAGCTACCTTATTAGCTTCCTGAAGATTGGAAGCGACTAGAGTATCTTGGAGTACAGAGTAGAAAGCTGGTGCAAATTTTGGATCCTGTGGAGTTACCAAGTCGAAAAGTCTGGGAACGTTGTTTGGTGTTTGAATCTTGCCCAAGTTAAACTTTCTCAACTTAGTCAATAGAATAAAACGAGCATAACCAAGGTTGTTCTTTCTCAAGTACTCAATACACTGTTGTCCAACTTCCACTGATTCCACAACCATATCATCCAACTGACCACATGCTGTAGAGATGGCAACATCGTACTTGTCATCAATATACCCCAAATCTCCCAATCTTCCGTAGAATCCCTCAATACGTCCAGATTCTTGAAGTCTCATCAAACCTGCAAGAACTTTACTCTTGTTTTGAATGGTAGAGAGAGATCCTCTGGCTTCCAAAGTCTTTTGACGATGGTTAGAGACACTCTCCTCCATGGCTTTAAGTTTACCAGCGGCGTGCTCACACTCCTGCTCACCAATCTGGATCTGTGATGCATTATGTGTCTTCTCTTTCTTTAGCAGACTTAGTTTCTTCTCATTATCCTTGCCTTCTTGGACAATTTCCTTTAGCCGATCCTTAAGCTTTGAAATTTCAGCATCAACTGTGGAGCGTCCCTCTTTCAGAATCTGCACACGACTTTCAGCAATAGCGATTTCTGATTTTTTCTGTTCCAACTTCTCAGTCCATGGTCGAAGCTTGGCCTGGTGAATTTCAATCTCCTCGTTAAAGGCCTTAGTTTTATCTGTTAACTCAGACCGAATCTCGTCAAGAATGGATTTTTCTTCAACGAGTGATTGTCTCAAACCTTCCAGGTCTTTTGAGAACTTCTCATTCTCATCAGATAAAGTTGAATGTTTGTTATTAGCCTGGTTGAGTGCAGTTATTGCTGTTTCTAGAAGCTTTTCGGCCTTTTTCTTCTTGTTCTCGATGGACTTCTTCTTCTCCTCAACCATAACTCTATCCCTCTCATCCTTTCTCTGGGCTGTTTCAAGTTGTTGAATCTCTTCTTCAATAGACCCAATAGACTTCATCAGTGCCTTGTAGTCAGCTTCAATCTTCTTCACCTCTGTCTGGAAATCTGACGACTCTTTCTGTTCATTCTCTAGTTTCTTTTCAAGATCCTTCAAGATACCAGTATTCATCTCGATGTTCTTTTCAGACTGATGAATATTATACCGCAATAGTAAGGACTGATTCTCCACAAGTTCTTTCTCCTTACGAATAAAATCCAAAGCTTCTTGCTTTTTGCCTTCCAATGAATCTCTCTCCTTCTCCACCAAGCTAAACCTGGTTTCCTTCTCCTGACAAATTTCATTCAACTCCTCAACTTTCTGATAGCTTTCCTCAATCGTCGATTTGTACTTTGAAGTTCCTATGATGTCCTCCAAGTATTCAAGGAGACCGTCGTCATTCTCCTTTTCAGCTTTCGGTTTCATCTGTGCAATACTTTCAACTTCACCTTGCAAGATTAGAAATCTCTTATGGTCGAGATCTATACCTTTATCTTTCAAAAGAGATGTGACCTCTCCATAACTGCTTCTCTTATTATTGATGAAATAATCAGATCCATTGTTACGATATGCTCTTCTGGACACAATCAATTCACTCTCTGGGATAACACTGGTGGTCTCGTCAACATTATCCTGCACATTGTGAAAATAGATATCCACAGAGCATGACTCAAGATTTGGCGCGGTCTCTGAATTATGGATGAGTTCTGACAACTTACCTTGACGCATCTTATTGGCTCTGAATCCAAAGACAAAAAGCATCGCATCAATAACGTTGGACTTACCTGAACCGTTGGGACCAACAACAGCAGAGAACGAAGAGTCGAACGGACCAATCACCTGCTTCCCTGCATATGATTTGAAATTCGTCAGGACAAGACGATCGATGACCAACCGGGTCGTAGGTTCGCCTTCCCTATCCTGCGAGAAGTTCATAGATGCGATCTTTGAATTCTTCGAAGGTGAGAGCTGAATGATATCAGGACCGTTGAAAGACGGCTTGGACTTTGGCGATTGCTGCCTTGGTGATGAGTCAGATGGGGGATCAAGCTTCACGGAGTCCAGCTTCAACGGAACATTTGTATCTAATGGTGCAAGCGAAGAACGTCTCTCCTTTGATGGGCTCTGCGGTGAAGCTGATGCGGATAAGGCATCACTCTTCTGGACCAGATCCGCAGCGTCTGCCGTGGAACTGTCTTCATCATCGGGGATCCTTGGTCCCAAGTGACGTCTCTTTGCAGGTGGTGAGCTCATCTCGTTTCTGTCGGAGCTGTGTAGTGGACAACGAGCAAACAACAGTTCCTGTTGATAAACTGGGCTTTGTTTATATTTCCGCCAGCGCGTCTTTGAAATCAAAACAAAAACAAATCCCCAAAACCGAGGGCGGTTTGTTATTTCAAAACTCTCCTTTTCCAAATCCGAGGGTCGTTGGCGTGGGTGTTACCCGGATCACCAGAAAAAGTAAACAAAGCACCTTAGATAGAAGGCATTGTGGGCTCAGTGTGCTAAGAAAGCTGTTCACGAAGACGAAGATCACTGCTTTGGAGACCCTTCAGCTGATGTTCAAGACTCTGATACTGGATAATGGATCCTACGAGATCAAAGTAGGCAATTCAAAGACATCTGTTGATGAATTGTCACGAGTGCAGAACTCCATTTCCAAGACCAAAGACAAGCGGTTACTCATTGGCAACCAGGTCCACTCTGTGAACGATATCTCTGGTATCGTCTTCAAAAGGCCCATAGAGAAGGGTCATCTGACGAGCTGGGAGGCCGAGAAGATGATCTGGGACTACTGCTTCACCTGTGAGGATTTCAAGCTGGATGTCGATCCGACAGAGCACGACCTCATAATGAGCGAGACCCCATTCATGCTACCCCAGCTGTCGCAGAACACTGACCAGATCGTCTTTGAGGAATACGGATTCCAATCACTGTTCAAGGCACCGATCGGGTCGTTTGTTCCATGGAATTACGAAAAGAACGAGGGGTTGTATCAGCCAGAGCTGAAGAACGATATCAGCACCGTACAAAACTATGCAGATTATCAACTAGTTGTTGATTCAGGGTTCAACGCCACCTGGGTGATTCCTATTATCAAGGGAATGGTGTTCTGGCATGGAGTAAGGAAGTTCGAAATCGCAGGGAGATTCCTATCGGGTGTGTTACGAGAAAAAATCTCGTTTAGACACTACAACGTTACCGATGAGACAATATTGGTGAACAATATCAAGGAGAGCTCCTGTTTTGTTACCATGGACTACAACAAGAGCTTGAGAGAAATGAAAACCCATCCTAAAGAAAATGTTGTGGAGTACGTCTTGCCCGATTTCAACACCACTACCCACGGTTACGTTTTGACACCAGAGCTTAAGGCCAAGTATAAACCTCAAGACCAACAGATTTTGAAGTTATACGACGAGAGATTCAGCGTTCCTGAGACCCTATTCCATCCTGAGATTGTCGAGATAATGAACAAGCCAGGAATCGTGGAAACCATTGTCGATTCAATTAACTCTGTGCCAGAACTGATTCGTCCATTGTTGGTTTCAAATATCGCTGTCATTGGGGGTAATTTCAACTTGAAACACCTGGAAGAAAGGTTGTTAGCGGAGTTGAAGATTGTCCTACCTGTTGATTGGGATGTTAGGATATGTAAACCGTCAAACCCTAGCACGTATGGTTGGGAATGTGCTCAAAAGTTCAGTGAAAATGCAAAGTATAACAGTGTCAAAGTCACAAGGCAAGACTATGAAGAGCATGGTCTACAATGGGTCCAAAAGAGATTTGGATTCCAGGTATAAATGAGGGAACATTAGTACATAACATCATAATCAAATAGAACAGTAATAATTAAATGCCAAAGGCATTGGCCATTCCATAAGTCACCAAGAATGTAACTGCGATGAACACTGCCCAAACGAAAAATGTTTGCCAGAGCTTTCTGTTCACAGCTTCACTCATCATGAGGAAACAGAGTGACACCACTGAGAAGAACAAACTTGTAATCATGGCAATGACAAGGACGGCAATGACAATTGGACTAACTTGTGGGTCTTCATAGCTCAAAAGTGAACTTGTGATACCAAGAGACACAGACATTAGTACCAGACTGAGAAGGGAACACGAGACAGCGATGAACACAAGAAGGGTATCATGTGCAGCTTTGGCCTGCGAAGCACTATCGCTAAAGGATTCGACATCACTGTGATCAGTGGATCCATATACATGGTCCGCACCATTCTCATTATTCACAAGACGTTGGGTCGAAGAACTTTTAGTATCGTTGAACATGAATGGTAGCTTTCCGTGTAAGAAAGAGTTCATCTTGTCAGTGATTTTAAACAGGTACTCTATACCAGAGCTTGGGAATAGAGTGTCGCCATCTGACTCAACGTCAATGTAGAATCCATCACCCTGTTCAGTTTCCGATCCATTATCGAATTCGTTCCAGTACTTGAACTGGTTGCTCTCTCCTGAGACTGAGTTATGCTTTAAACTGACATCGCTGGTCGTATTCACTGATGACTTCACCTTGCGGATTTTCGGTGGATTCTTACGGATGTCAACTGGTTCGTCTCCAAAAAACTTTGCCCAAGTTGGTGTGAAGTCTAGCACTTTGGATGCAAAGAGATAATACGTAAGGATTGTCAATGTATCATCGACCTTGTAGATCAAGTGAGAAGTCAAAAGCTTTTGCAGCACGTCTGGTAGTTTCCCCTGTTCGGTTGGGGTGTTGAAACGAACCTCCAGGATCGCGTACGGTAGAGTTTTGAAGTCTTGCTCGTTCGTCTCAGTCCATTGCGGATTTGTCAAGTCCTTCTTTGATAACTTCAAATTTGAAGAAAGGGTGATCCAAGAGTCCAAATTAGATGATGGTGATAAATTTGGACTAAAACGAGTTCTCGTAGAAGAAACTTTAATGATTGGTTTGATATGTCTTGAGAAAAGCCATTCGATGGAGATTCTCTCCAATGAATCCAAAGAGTTGAAGTATTCGGTGTGTTTCTGTACAAAGTCATCAAACAATACGCCCGAGTTTATAGCCTCTAAAAGCTCATCGACAAATGAGCCTTTGTCATTGATAAGAACGTTCGAATTCTTACGCAGTCCACCAATGGCACTGATCAGCAATTCACGCTTCTGATAACGGTCATTTGTTGACAATACACCAGGATCTGTGTTCATCTGAATTGACTGTAGATGTTTTGGGTCATCTAGGATGATGCTTGTCGTCAACCCCTGGTTTGCCAAATCATCAGTGGTGTTTGTATAGATCGAATTCGATCTGTACGTTGGCTGGTCCGAGGCTTCTTCGTCAAACTGTTGTCTGTAGATGTTATCAGATGAGTTCCTCGACTGGAGTTGTTGTCTGAACGATATTGCCGACTTTTGCTTCTTCAACTGCAGCTCTTTCCTCTCCAGCTGAACAGACTGGTCGACAAGGTAAAAGTTGGACAGCAAGAACAGTTTCAACTCAACAAGGTTATCATAGTGCACCAAAAAGACCTCCTTTGATGTGCCCTTGTGCGTGGACTCAAAGTCAAACACTTCGTTGATGTTCAGCCCTTGCACCGGGTTGATCAGGCTAGACCGTCTCTGGTAAGGCTTCCGACCAGATGCGGACCGTGACGAGCTGCTCCTCTGCATCCGTTCCGCATGGTCGGCCTGCTTCTCCCTCACGAGATCGTAGAGCAGCGCAAGCTCCAGGTACAGCCCAACCAGGTCCACGTGAACAAACGAGTCCTGGTTCTGCACAACGTACTTGTTGATGCTCGTGTTCAGTTCGCCGCCATCGTTGGAGTACTTGGTGTACTTCTTCAGCAGCTTTCTCAGTCCAGTCTTCTGAATCACAATGAATCGAGAGAGCTTCTGTAGGTCCGAGCTGAGCCGCCTCAGGTTCGACTCAACGCTCAGCGATATCTGCTCGTCCTCTTTGTTATCGTCTATCGCGGACGCCACAAACTGCATCCGTCTCTTCACTTCCCCAAGCTTGGAATGGAGAAACATGTTCACCATGTCGATCTGCTCGATGAAGGAACCGTACAGGTCCTGCACGCGTCTGTCATCCTTGGGCAGCTCGGTTGTGATTCTGATCCTCTGCTTGAGATCGTTGTAGTCGATGTTATAGCTACGCCACTCCGGGACAGATTTGTTTCGAAGCTGAGCACCAAACTTCATGCAGAACAAGGGGACCGGGGCGGAGAGATAGTGGGCAACAAATCAAGGCACAGCGAACGGGGGCCAGGCGGAAGATGTGAAGGAGCGTGGATGAAAGCGGTGGCTCGAGTGAGTGCTGGGTGCTGGGTGCTGTCTGTGTGTAATGAGCAGCGGTTGGGATCTCTCTCTCTCTCCCTGGTCCACCAGGATGGAATTGCAGAGAGATATGGCTTCCTTTATATACAAAAGCAAGGCTAAAAACAGGCGGAGGGAAAAAAGCACGAGGTCGGTGTGTTGTTTCACTTTAGGCGGTCGCCTAAAGTTTCTGCGCTGGCGGTCCTCTTCAGGCTGCAAGTGCAGGAGGGAGGCCTCCTCGGACTTTAAGCAGGGAGATTAGACAGAAAAATTACGTGGGCTCTGTGGACGTGCTTCGGTTATCAGCACCACGCCGCTGGTTATTCTGTAGACGGGCGCTGTGCGATCCTGAGTCAAGGGTGGGACTCTGCGATTGAATGGATACATTGGCGTGGTGGCCTGCTGTGTGTCGCTGCGATGGATAGTGGATGAGCCATGTACGCTGTGCTTAGCAGTAACAGCGTATTGCAGAGGGTGCTTTAGGTGTAAACATCTGTTGCATGGATACGCCCTGTGTGTGTTTATCTAGACCGTGTACGTAGGGAAGCGGTGGGGATAGCGAGGGAGGAGGAGACCGGAGTTGTATCCCGTGCTGATCAGTGGCGGCCAGTACTGGGCACACGGACAGCTTGTGGGCACCAGCTACGTGGTGCCGGCTGTGTCCTCAGCACCTTGGGAGAACTGTGCTGTTCAAAGTCTCGGTGGTAATATCTAAACCGGGCCCAGTGCTCAGAGTGCTCTGAATGCAGTACTTATGTCCCAGGTATGTGAACACATGTATGTGCAGCGTGGGCATGTAGGTCTGTCTACCCGGCGAGAGATGGCTACATCACTCGTGAATGAATGGCACCCAGCACCGGCAGGTCGCAGACACATACTTGTAATAGTCCAAAGGCAAGAACAACAACAACAATTGGCTGCCTAGACGGCTCTAAACAAACGTACAGGTATGTACATGCTACATATCAAGTGAGCTACGTTTGACAACTTTGTCGAACATGTGCCTCTATTAGCTCCAGCACGCTTTCGGGCAGGAAGCATCAGGCTGCCAACCCAGTGACACAGTGATCCACCAGAGCCCACCAGAACCACAGGCCCTCCGCCAAATAACTGGCGCTGGTGTTGTTCAGGCCGGTCCAGGGAAACAGGGCCTTTTTGGGTAATTAATTGCCTTGCGTGGCTTCAACGTGCTTTTCGTTGATCTATTGCAATTCAAGTCATGTGGCCAGGGCTGACTGATAAAAAGATCGCTCTGAAGAACTCACTGGCCTACACGGTACATAATATTATGATCAGCTTGTACATGGGCCAAGGGAAGTTGGAAGTGCTAATATCCTGGAGGGATATGATAGGCTGCGTGTTGAGAATTATTTTTCGTGCTGATAGTGAGGATTGTCAACTGTAACAAACCAGTTCAACGCTTGGCCCTGCTCTGCGTTGTCCCTCCCCCTAGTACTAACTATAGAGGCCAATACTACACCATGCAGTACTGTGTTAGTCGTGGCAGACGTGATTTCATATTTGTTTACAAGCTGGATTTGGCTTGATGCTAACAGACGTTAATAATTGGCGCACGTTTTCCATAACATCTCGGTACAACAAAGTTACAAGCGCACTGTTTGCAGAGGCTACAGCCAAAGCCTTAACTTCGGCATCTGATGAGCCAGTCACACGACTTCCAACCCTTCTTAGGCTCATGAGTTGCGGGAAAAGGCAACTTCGTGATCGCCTCTACTCTTCAGACTCTGCTGGAGTGATGAGCCTGCGGCATAGTACATATGCCTCTTACCTGTGTCGCCTCTAATTTAACCGTTCTTACATGGATATGAGAACCTATGGCGTTGACAGTTATACCCTGGTCTATAGGAAGTTGTCCAAGTTGAGAGTGGAATCCGTGTAAACACACATGAACTTTTTACATGTGTAGTACTCCACATTCTACTGGTCTCATGTAGGTGGAGTTTTGCACGGTGCACGTTTCTGTACTGCTGCTATATGTAGGTCATACTGTACACGTTGATAGCAAGTGTGGTTGCCTGAAGTTAGGCGTTACCATGACTCTGGTTTACATCACCTTTGCAACAGGGGAATTCACACAAGCCAACCCCATATAACAATGTCCCACAGCTTTCATGTTTCCAACCATTCAAAAGGCCAGAGTGTGTACGTGGTGTACGAGTTCCCGCTGCTGGACACTCAAACAATTGACATTCACATTGACACTACACTCTTTACGGCTCAATGACTCTGTGGAACAAGTATGACGATCCTTCACAACCATGTACAGCTGGCTGAATCAAGAGGGTGTGGGACTTTTAGGACCAAAGCTGTCCAGATCTACGCCTCATCGTTGATGAAGTTGGTAAATCCGGAGCCATTACTAGCACCCAATGGTGTGACAACAAGTTATAACCTGTACTGCACATCCCACGTGCGTACCTGGTGTTATATGCACATGGCTCTTCTACGTGCGCTCAAGATAGAAAAGTCTCACACGACCATGAAAAAAAAGGCCATACACAGAGTGATGAAGAGAGACATGTCGTGTGAGTCTTGACGAGGCATCCCCTGTGAGCAATGGTGTCCACCAAAGGTACTTCAACACGGAGATAGCCTCTTTGGGTCACAAACCATCAACCTGTTCACAACGGTTTCAGGCCAATCTCAGTAGTCATGACTCAGGTACACATCCAGTATGAACCTTAGCTGTTATGGGTCGCCACGTTTTCCAGTGTCAGCCGTTGAAGGAGGTACCATATGTGCGTACTGCGGGAAAGCTAGCTCCAGAGCACCGAATGGTTGCTGAACAGGTCATAATACCAGCTCCTCGGTCCTGGGCTTCCTGCTGTGTTTCCACAAGAGAAGTTGCCTAGTTGGCTGACAGGTCCGATTTGTCCTCGGAGCTAACTGAAGGAGGCTTTATGCTGAATGGCTAATTACTTATCACTCACGAGTCATCGTTCAGCATTCTGGTTTTCAACGTCTTGATCTACAATTACTATGGCAATACCGAGACCATAGTAGATTAGCTCGCTGATATCCGAAAACACACACAGCACACAGGTGGAGAGAGTTCTCAATGAGAACTTCTCGTGTGGGTGTGTGTTCTCTTCTCCTTCAAAACTTGATCTTTTTGTTGAGAGGCAGTCCAATGTACGGCCCTCTGAAATACGGCGTACCACCATGCATAAGCACTTGTAATAGTCTTTTCATTCTAGTGGGCCATGGAAGGAGTCAAAAACATCGACAGATCGTCAATTGAGCTTTGTATCATGACATTCCACGTTGAACATCGCAATCCCTATGGTCAATGCGCTAACGGTGCTTGAAACAGTGTAACTGTAAAATATACTGCCACGATTGTAAATCATGGTCAGTGGTGCCAGCAATGAGACACTTCATCACCCACGGCATGCTTTGATACAATGAGGCTAAACTGTAACTGTATAACAAGCTTTGTGTGCCATTTATCAGTGTGTACTTGTGGTGATTAGAAGGTATAAAAACTCTCAGTGTGACAACTTCACAGGGCATCGCATATTACAGTTTTGAAGAGGAGCATTTACAGCTCATCGGTGACAAGATATACTTGTGCAATTAACCGTTTATTCATTTACACAGACTGTCCTTCACTGTGCTTTTACAGCACTTGTATCCCCAGGAGCCACCTTGCTCATTTTTCTCATAAAAACTGCCCCATACACTAGTGTGGTTGTTGATGTATACATCTTCTGCATACTTGGATCGTTTCACATCATCATCGTCGTTGTCGTCACAATGACTAGTGCTGTCATCGATGGTTACAGCGTTCCTCTGCTCGCTTGAAGAATCACCACTAATCGTCTTATCTCCATAGACACCCAGCAGTTTCTTCTTCAACGAAGAACTTTTCAGCTCTTTCTCTTTTGACTGTGTTCTCATTTTACGGTCGGCTAACGTTGGATTGGAGACGTAATTGTCAACATCAACACCTCTCTTGGTATCATCCCAGGCAAATTGCTTCGAGGCCTCAAATTCTTCTGCATCACCAGTGAGATGTTTGACAAACTGGTTTTTGGTATCATCCATAACTGCCTTATCACGTACTTTACGTGATTTAGGATCGTAGTTAATAGATTCACTCCGCACATCTTGAAGATAAACAGCACGATCTTCACGTAGTCTAACCACTTTTTCCACCTCTCCGGGTTCCAGATTGTTACTCTTCTTCTTGAGAGACTTGAGTTCCTTAAGGTCCTCTTCATCACACAATCCAAGCTCCTTCAGCTCGATTTCCTCATCCGTATCAAAATCCCTTGTATCGGCGACTTTTGGCTTCTTGGCCTCCCATTTCTTAACATACCCATCGTACTCATTCACGTCGTAGCCATACCATCTGTCCCTTTTGCCGTCATAATCTAATGACTCGTTCCTTCTACCTTTACCGGCATCATCCAACTCCAGGTTCTCACGATCTATCCTCTTCTTCTGTGGTTTTTCGAGACACTGTGACTTATCATGGGTCATAGATCCGCACGTTGTACATTTAGCCTTCCGTAGCCGTCTTCTGGCAGTAAGCACGCTATGAGTGGGCTCCTTATTCGATTCTCTAACAAAGTCGTCACGAATCCCAGATCCAATACGTGGTTCAGAGTTCTTTTGGAACTCTTTCCCAGACCGATGATGTGCTAAATAGTCATCATTGGTACCATCATCACCGGACGCTGCGTACCAAGGTGCATCTTTGATGAACTTCGGAATGTGCGGATTCTGTCCTGACATGGCTCAGAAGATCTCTCGTGCAGCTTTATGGGATCAGTGCTGAGCAGTGCCGGCTGATACTCGGTGATGAGACTCTCCTCAACCACTTTGACTCGGTGCTTCTGTTCAGAGATGTCCAGGTGTTTGGGTGTTTGGATGTAGAGGTGTCCGGATTTCTAGGTGTCCGGGTGTTACGCTTACCAATGTACCCTTTTAAGCGCGTTACAATCATCTCATCAGACAATAAACACAGCTATGTAGATCAAAACATTGTTAGGGACTAAGGAAACAGCCCTTCACTCCTTACAATGGACGAAACGCCTCAGTTTGCATCTTACTCGATCACAAATACCCTGGATTTGAGCTGGGTGTTTGTTGTGGATTGGATCCTAGCTCTCGTTCTTTCGATATGGGTCATATTCCACTTTAACAGATTGGTGGGGTTCATCATCTCGTGGTCTCTGGAGAACACTCTATGGCGACATGGTCAGATCAAGATTGACGTACAGAGTGTGAAGCTTTCGCTACTTGGAGGGCGGCTGTTCTTCAAGAACCTTACGATCATCGATAAGGACTACACAGTTGCTGTAGTGCAAGGCACATTTACTTGGAGATATTGGCTGCCCAATGTACGATACACGCACAGAGATCTAGTAGAATCTCAGCCTGAAGGTGATCTGCTTACCAATTCGAAGCTTCCCTGTCGGTTCTATTTGCACATGCGTGGAGCTGAGATATTTCTGTACAACAGAACAGTATCATATGACACCATTCTGGAACAACTGTCCACTCAGACGAAGAATACTGATGAGGATTCCAAGTCCCCGCTACAAGAGAAGGAATGTGTACAAGTTCAATCGCCGATCTCGTCTGAGACAACCGAAGTAGGTCCGAAGGCCCTGCCTTCGCTTTCATTCATCACCAAGTTTTTCCCCATACAGATAAAGATAAATAAAGGTGCACTGGTTGCTGGCAATAGAACGACACAGGCTGTTTTGATTGCATCATACACTCAATGTGATGGAGTTGCAGACTTGCATACAGCTGACAATCCACTAGACCTTGGAAGGATAGTGCAAGAGATGGAGTTTAAAGAATTGAAGCTGATGTTGAAGCCCAACATTCTATACGAAGGTCCAATTGAACAGGGAAGGAGAAGCAAGAAAAGACCAAAATTAACCAGAAAGAGATGGGTTCTCTTGAGACAGTTCATCAAAGTTTGGAACGTTGCTTTCCGCAGAAGAAATAAAGATGGATCCTTCGAACTTTGGAGAGGTTTATCGCAGTATCTTGATGAAGAAGAGGGTTCTATTTCTGAAGTGCAGCATACGTACCATGAATATGCCAAGTACACCACGTTATTGACATCAGAGATGTGTAAATTTAACTACTACTACGATATTCCGGGTCTTGTTCCAAGTGATGCTCAGCACACACAGTCGCCAGATGATATTGATATTGGAAATGGCGGCGATTCTCCAAAATTCGGTATGGATATGGAACTATCTCAAGCCACAATTCACTACGGCCCGTGGGCAGATAGACAACGGCGTTCGTTACATCAGGTGTTCTTACCCTCAATATGTCTGGATGCTACTCCCCAACGGAAGTTGGCCCCTGGTGAACTGAGAAAATATACAGAGTTCCAGTTCAATCTCGAATTCCTTGATGACTGCATTATCAGAGTCCCTTTCAGGGAGATTAGTAAGAACGAAGAGTTTATGGAGGCCAACAGAGATGTTGATGATCCTCTACGTCCATTTGGGTGGATTGAGATCAAATGCACAACGGGATCTCTGCTTGCTCTACGTGCTGCACAAGTTGCTTCAAAGTCGGGGTATAACAATAGATTCGATCTTAAACTACAAGGATGTGAAGTACGTTCTAGTGTTAATCACGATATTCTCTTAAGGTGTCAGAGGCACTCTGTTTGCTCTGATATTGGCTATCCGTTGTCATGGAATGGTCTTGCAGCTTGGTCTTTTGTTAACACATCCAGCAATCTGGAGATGTTTTTACTCAGAGAACATATCACCTTAATCTCTGATATGTTTTCTGATTTTGGAATGGGGCCTACAACTCCATACGAACTGTTTCGTCCTTTCACTTATGAATTTATATGGAAGGTATTGGACTACAAACTCTACTTCAATATTAATGATGCCAATATAGTGAATAACCCACTGGATTTCAACGATAACTGTTACATGTCGATTCAAGGTGATGAGCTAAATATCAAGGTTCATGTTCCAATGGATGTAATTGTCAAATCATGCTCAATAGTTGACTATTCCATTGACACACCAAAGTTTAGCTTGATCATCGACACACCTCCATGGCATATGCTCAACAATTTCCTGAAACACAGAGAAGTTGGCCGTTCCCAAGACTTTCGGGTTGAAGGGTCTTACACGTACTATTCTGAGGTTGGCTTGGATCTTGTTGATTCTGTGATTATTGCATGTACTGGGAAATACGTCGGGCTTCAGTGTTATGGGTTTGTCATGAAGTATATTATGGGTATAAAGGAGAACTATTTTGGTGATTTCACCAACTTCAGGACACTGGAGGAGTACACAAATGCTCAACAATATCATGATGAAGGTACAGTATCCTCTGACCCAGTATCTGTTGATGCCAGAAAGCTGAGGAGAATAGAGAATGAGACTGACGTACACTTTTCATTCTGTGTTGAAGAAAGCTGTATTGTGATTCCGTACAATCTGTACGACTGTCATAGTAACATGTTGCTTCATCTAAGCTATCTAGATCTGGATATAAGATTCACGAACTATTATATGGATCTTCAGGCCGATGTGAGTCCTTTGAAGGGTTACTATAAAACAGACTGTGATCAAGAATCGCTTTTGGATATTGGGGGCTTTGTTGCTCCTGAAAAGGACGACTTTTTCATCGATGGCCTAAGCATACATGGCCATAGGGCCTTTGGTTTACCTCCAGATGAGCCTACCTTCTTCTGCAAATGGGACATCACGCCTGGTCAAATCCTTTTCGACAGTACGACTGATGTTCTTAGTGGGCTTGTCAAGGCTATCGAGATGATTGCGTACGGTTACAAGAATTTTGAAAATCACTTGACAATGGTGGAACCAGAGCTCTTCGATACAACCCAACTCACAGTGGCAGTTCCAGGTATCAAGCTTACCGTGCGCAGTGCAAATGCTCAGCATGCACTGATATTTGAATTGGATGATGTTGTGTTCAAGTCGATTGATTTCACAAACCCAAGATTCATCAAAAAGGCTTCAGTTGATGTTGGAGAAGCTCGTGTCGTGCTCCAGGATGTTGAGTCGAAGAAATTCTATGTTGATATTGGAACAGCTCTCAGGTTCACAAACTTCAAGGAGAATATGGACTATAATAATGTTCGTCAAAAGCAGAATGATCATGTTATAAGGCACGATTGTCCATTTCACAGAGCCCCATTTTTCGTCGATGAAGAGAGTAAAGCACGTTACAATCAAATGTATGGCGTAATTGTCCCCAGTCTTCCAATCCCAGACATCTCGCCCCCGCTTACCAAGGAAACAATTGATATGATATTTGATGACTTGGTGATCAGTGATACCATAGGCCTGGATGGTGAAGAATTTACGCCTTCAAACGAGACAGAGAATTTCATACAGGATTTTGATTCTGAATTCTTGCAATCTTCACATTACCCTTACGCAAAGATCCTTAAGAAGAACTTCCGGGAAACACTAGCAGGTTCAAAGATTAAACCAAGTCTCGACTATGAAGACTCAGAATTCAGGCCCTTAAAGGACTCCGATCCCGAGTTTGACACCTCCAATCTGATCTTTAATGTGGGTGTGGTGGACGCCAACATAAGCGTTGAATCACTTCCAATTATTCTGGACTATGTTGAGTCCCTATTAAGAATGTCTTTCAAGGATTGTATGGATGATTTGCAAGTCTCCGTTCTCAAAACTTTGTATAAAGAGTTTGATGTGACTAATGCTTGGGACAATGTTCGCTTCGTATCACCAAATATATCCATCCTACTTACGGAGAAAAGCTGGTCTGATGATCCATTGGAGGAGGACAATATCGAACATGTCGAAGTACAGGTTGAAAGCCCATCCCTTGCAGCCTCCTTCAAAAAGCCATCAAAAGGCATTGACGAAGATACCGTTGCAATGCACATTTTGACCCTCAGAGCTTGTGTGAATAATTCTCTTCAGGGTCCAATACCTCTTACAATCAAGTTAAGTGACATTGAATTCTGGTCTCATATCTTGAATGAGTCTAGCACTTCTGTATCATTGGGTGCTTTTACAATGGACATAGACAGTGAGTCTATTCCATGCTTGGCTAGCTCAATACAGAAACTAATTGGCCATGTTAACAGCTTCACCAAGAGACTAAATTTGATTATTGACAACCATTACAAGGCTCGTATCGAATTGATGTATCAGATTGCCACTGCAACAGACAAGTTCAAGATCAATCACGACCCGGCAGTTATCACCCGTCCTTCTTATATCGTGAGATTATCCAAGAACCATATAAGAAACGAAGATAGCTGGAAAATTATAGCTCGTTTACGGCACATTCTAACCAATGCACCACGGAACTGGTATGATCAGCAGACGAAGAAGTTTCTGTCATCTGAATTCGAGGCACCGGCTTCAGTTTGGGACGAAGTACTGGCTGTGTTCTCTGAATGGAGAAGTTGGGAACTTAGAGACCCAGCTACCAGCTATGTCTTTAAATACATCTTTGCTGATTTCCCATTAAAGCCATTAAAGTCTGGATTATTCAAATTATCTGTCGAAAACACATCTGTGAATCTTCTTGCACCAGATGGACAAGTTAATTACGTATGCGCTGATTTCCTCGATATATCTGGACATAAGGTTGTGACCTCTGTTTCTTCTGTACAGTTGTCTGACTCTTTGAGCTTGAGGGTTTCCCGTTTCAAAGGCCAGTTGGGTTTATTACTTCATGACTTATTACCCCTTCTGGATATCCGGGCCCCATCTTCGGAAACACAAGATAAGAATATTGGTGAAAGACTTTCCGAATTTCATTGCGTGATGCTGCTTGAAGATGTTGATTTCAAAGTCATGTTACCAAAGACTTCGGTCAATATCGTTAGTTCTGATGTTGAACTGGCATTTCTTTTGGTAACTTCTCAAGATGGGCCAGATATAAATGTGACTTGTGGGTCGAAATACTTCGAGTTTGATATATCCTCTGACAACGCAACATGTGTTAACTATTCGTTGACCAGATTCAATGCATCTGCTGCATCAACTGGGAATTTAGTCACGGGCTCTAAGGTATTGAGGGTCAATTCCGATGATGCTGTCTTCACCGTTGGTCATGGAACCAATTCTTGTGTCGAGCTCCTGACAAACCTTTCAGACGACTTGATCACCTTCAAATCCAAGGATTGGTCGAGGTTGAGTTCTTCTCAGACTAAGGGTAAGACTTTCACTCCACCTGACACCCATATACTCATTAATAGTAAAAGATTTGGGTGGACTGTGAGTATAATTGATCCTCTCAAATCATCTGGCATCATTGATAACGGGTCTCTGGAACTTATCCTGCAGGATGGTATTCTATTCTCCAGTATTTCATCATCTATCGTGAGTTTCGAGGTTAAAACCTTGCCATACGAAGAAAAGTACTTTGCAATAAGCCACCATGGATCACAATTGTTTGCCAAATATGACCTTGAATCAAAATCCATGGAAATTGATTGGGATTATCAGCTGACACAGGTGGTATTCACGGAATTGTTATCAAACATAAAATCTATCAAGCACTCTATCTCGGAAGCTATCGATAGTTTCGAGATCTTGAAAACCAGTGCACGTTCCTTGGCTGGAGGTGAAGTTAAAAGATCTATGAGTGATTCAGAGTCCCAAAAGATACCCATCATCTTTAAGAGAATGGCAGTTTCCGGCTTGGTTTTGTCTCTGGTCTTTAACGTGGGACTCGAAACATATACTCTCGAGTTGCACAAGATATTGCTGACATGGCACGATATCATCTTCGGTACAAAGAAACCTTATGGTGATGTTGAAATTGCTAATACGAAGCTGAAAATAGATTCGAACGATGTCCCAGCACTGTCCTCTAGTGTCATGGATGTGAGTCTATCCGTCAAAGTTGTATTAAACCCTGAAACTGATCGTCAGGCATTACAAATAGAATCAGAGCATTTCCACATCCTACTCCATCCGATAACAATTGCCAAAATGATGCAGTTGACACACGACGTCAGATACATTTTGAATGAACTAGGTGTGTCAATGGAGAAGATCGAAACTCCAGCAAAAGAAAAGTCAGAAAAAGAACCTGTGCTGCCCTTTTCATCCATGCACATGTTGTCGTATAACTTCTGTGTGGGTGTGATATTCGATGAGCCCACAAAGGATTATCCAGGTTTGATCGTGGGGTGTGACAAGATGTTTTTCATCACGGAAGATAGCTTGGGTAAGTTCTCTCTCATCAGTGCGTATATATCTATCGCCAAAGGGATGGATTTGGATAACTTCTTCAGTTCTGGAGAAGAATTCCAGAGTGGAAACAGAGCTTTCCTTCCGAATATGCAAATTGCATACTCTAATGCTCAGAATAAGGATGTGATAGTCAGAGTTACTGGTGAACAATTTGATGTTAAATTCTCGTCTTCCTCAGTTGCAGCATTTGAACGATTCTTGAAGACCGTATCAGCACTGGAACGACTTAAGAAAAACGTCAAACGTCGTTTCATCCAAGAAGAGAGCATCTCCTCCCCCTCCGAGGCTTATAAGCTTCCGAGTCATTTCAGTTCAGTACAGTGCATTATGAACTTTGCTGGTGGAGCAATTGAGCTATACGGAGATGATTTTGGACATCCCGATGATGTATTTGGCTCTTCTTTCAAGATCAAAACCCCTGGTGTGGAGATCATAACTGATTACACGAAGACAGCGGGTCCTAAAGATCACAATATTGATATTGAGGTGTTGACATTCTCCTCGAGCAATACGCTGCTGGTGGAGTGTGTGCCTGTACTTGACAGCGTCATACATGGCTTCAAGAATATGTCGAAAATATTCAAACAATCGTCCATGGAGAAGGAGGCAACCTCTGGTTCTTCAATCGACATTGAAGAGATACTGAACAGATGTCACATTGCATTCTGCTTAAGAATTGACAGACAGGAGCTAATTCTGAGTTGTGAGCCATCAGCAAAGGTCCAGGCAGTGGTTGGGATGGACTGTATCGATCTTCGCCTGGTGACTGATGATGAACATCCAACTCAGCCGGTATCTGGTGCCTTGGCCATTTCGAACGTTGGTGCTTCGGTACAGCATACATATTCAAGGGAAATCAGTGCATCTGTGACGGTGGACGAACTGCTATGGTCCTTGTTAATGTCTAAAGACAAGGAGTTGAAGATATTCTCTGGTGTAAAGGTGAATTCAATTCAATCATACTTGAACCTCAAGCAACTTCAAGATGTTAACCTGTTCAAAGATTTGTGGTTAATAAAACAACAGACTAACAACGGATCGGCAACAAGCATGAAATCTGCTGTCAGCAATGCCGAAGGTGAGGAAGAAAACCTTGCGGTGATGTTTCAGAAGGCGTATGGAACCAGTCCAATCCCATGGACTGTTGATATATTAGTTGTTGATGCTAATCTCAAAGTTGATCTAGGGCCGTCGTTGGGTTTGTTGTCATTAGAGCTGGATAGGGCGTGGGCAGTCTCCAGGAAGAAATCCATAAGGGAACAAGACTTACTTGTCGGCCTGGATACGCTTGCTTTGAAATCAAAAGGAAGGTTAGATGGATTCTTGGATGTAAAGAACATTCGCTTCAGTTCCGTCATCCAATGGTCCATGGTTGGTGATAACCAAACCATGCCATTGTTATTCCTATCTTCCGGTTTTGATGGTATTGAAACCAAGATATCATTCGACTATAACGTCTTCTTCATGGGAAAGGTTCAAAATTTCTTTATTTCGGTGTTTAACCAAGTTGATAAGCACAAGATTTTGAATGATAAGCTTGCTGCGTCCACAGAGTGTGGTTCCATTGAGATCTTCACAACAGCGTTTGCAGCCTCGAATGTGATGGATATTTACAATACGCTTGTTCGTATTCGTCAGGATAACAAGAGATCGTACAGAGAGGATATGAACAAGGTCATAGTAAAGGGTGAGAAGAATAAGAACTCTGATATCATTGACATTATTGCAACACTGACGACAGAAATCAATGTTAACTTTGGGAAGACGATTGTTCAAGTCTATCCTTCATCCTTACTGGACTCTCAAGTGCTGATATTTGATCTTGGTGGCTTAAGAATACATTTTGGACAGCATCTTTCTCAAAGAACTCTCATTAGTAACTTGAACATGAAGCTGCTGGATATTAACATTGCCTTATCGTCACACAAGACTCAACTCCCTGAAGAAATGTTGGTCACAATGTCAATAGATTCCTTCATATCTCATGCCATAGAAGCTAGAGGTGGTGGTATTTTCATCTTCCCATCGTGGGAATGTGTAATGGAGACTTGGAGTAAACCCAACTCCAATGAAATTGAGTACAGTTATAGAAGTCAATTTGGAGGTAAGGTGGACATCCGTTGGAACCTTGGTTCAATCAACTTCATTCGAGAGATGTGGACGATGCATGCCAGAGCTTTTTCTAGTCGTCTCAGATTAAGCGAAGACTCTGTTCCTCTTATTGGAGATGAAAACATCGAGGAAAAAATAAAAGCTGCTGGTGTCGATGACAAATATCATTACACTCCCTTGACCATCCCGATTATAGAAGCACCACAACTGAGAGATTTGGGTGATGCTACTCCACCATTAGAATGGTTTGGTCTCCATAGAAAGAGTTTCCCTGCGTTGACTCATCAGTATGCAATTATTGGATTACAGAAACTGGTTCACGAAGTTGAAATGCAATATGGACGTGTGCTCGGTAATGTTGATTGATTATGTGATCTTTGCTGCAATCAACTGTATTAGCTTGTCTTCCTTTGATGATCATGTATCCTATTTTTTTTAGCTTTCATCTCTTCCAATCGTACTGGTTCCCTTGATTTGATATATCTCCATTTTCAACACGTAGTTTTAGGTACGCTTCAAGCTCAACCAATGACGTTTTGTTTCCGTCTGGAATAACAGACGTTAGATAGTTGTAGACTTGTGATAGAGTCATTGGACCTAAACTCTTCAGCATACCAGCAATTACATCCCAATAAAAATCTAACAATTGGGTCTTGTCATCCTTGGACAGAATAAATTGGTGTAGTTTCTCTGAATCGGGGTTTGTAACAGCGTTATACTTGTTGCCTTCAAAGGTCAAGATACCAAGGTCTATCCAGAATGATAAAGACTTTGTTACAAGTTCAGAACTAACTTTTAGAGTCTTCAATATATCGCTTAGCTCATGAGATTCCTTTTCATGGAAACACGCGATAACGGATGCGTCCAGTGGTTCAACATTAACAGTAACACTTCTGTTTTCGAATTCTAATTCAATCTCCACTGATCCACGATTTAAACATTTCATGACTCGGCCCTTGTTCAAATCTTTGTAAGCCTTTTCATAGAGCGATATCTGGCGTTGAATTGGTTCTGGAGGAGTGAACTCTGCTTCATCTTCTTCTTCAAAATCTGGCCAATATGCGTGCGACAAGATATAGAATTGTAAATCCCTTGAAATTTCAGCGTTTGACTTATGAATCACAGTGTCCAATTGCTTACTCTTGGATATATCATCTAACATAACGTCCAATCTATTCAATTCATTTTCACCAAACTTCGATTTAAGGCACATCAATTTTCCAGCCAATTTATTCTGTTCGTCTGAGTTTGATGAGAGTAACCTGTGCGCACAGACGGTTTCTAATTCCTCGATGAATACTCTCTTTTCGTTTAGTGAAATCAAGGCATCAATGATATCCTGCTTTCTGAAATCTGGCAATGCATCGATTGGTGCCGGTGTCCAATCAAGAGTCAATTCATCACGGTATTCATCCGACACCATGGTCAATTCGTCCACTAATCCTGATAGTGTATCAGAGGTCTCCGAGTTTATCAATGCGTTCACAACTACGTGCACAGTATCTGATCTCGAGTTCAAGTACTTCTTGATGGGCCTGAACGCGGAGTCCAACAACACACCAGCGGGGTCCACTTCGAGAAAGGACTTTATCGTGGATATGAAACACAAAATAATACTTTCAGTGTTAATACCAGCGTGTAGCAGTCTCTCAGTACATGTGCTGGTAAAATAGTCAACCAAATCGTTCCGCTGATTAGGCTGTAGGCAGACTCTGAGGTCTTGTAATGAAGGAATCGAAGCTGGGTAGTCCAACACTATGTCAAAGATCTCTGTCATTCTCAAGTGTGCCAGCTTGATCCTCGAGAACTCAGAAGGTAGCTCGTTTAGAACTGATCTATCCCAGATTCCTCTTAAGGCAGCGATCCTGGCCCCAATCTCACGTTCGTTTCTCAACTTGTTCAGTTCACATGTATCCATTCCTATGGACAGAAGGAACTGTTCCTGTTCCAAGCTCGGATTGTCCATGGCTTCGATCTTCATCCTTATTAAAGAGTCCACTGTTCTTTCAACAAGCGCAAACTCCAACGCCGTTAGGTGGAGATATTGCAACGGCAGCATGAAGTACTCCTTTATTTTTACCAGTTTGTCCAGGTCTGTGATGTTAAGAGGTAAGATCTCCATCCTTATGTGCTCAATGTAGTGTTTTATTATGGCAGTCCAACAGTGTTGATCGTGTATCGTCTTCATCGCTGCCAAACATCTTCTCGACGGAGGCTTGCCTTGATGGGAAAGGAGCCACGTTGTGACAACGCCGACGTCGCCATCTTGTGGTAGATCCTGTAGTGCAAACACAGTGCGAAATTGCTGTCTAAGCGCTTCAGATGTCATCGAGCCGCTGTGCTGGATATAAACACTGGTTGTACACCTCTGGCGTGCCGCTGTGCCTGAAATGTAAACAAAGATCACCACTTCATAGCTCTAAACACCCGGACATCTCAAAGATAGCATCGCCGTGACGGAGAGCCGTCTCTACATACACAAACATATATACAGATCTGTTTACAGTGAGGGCAATCAGAAGCAGGTCGGATCCCAGAGACAGCTGTTTTTGACGATGTCGTTGGACGCCAGAAGAAAGAACCAGCTCATTGATCAGTTTGTTGATTTCACGCAGTCGAACTCGTCTGTAGCAAAGAACTTCTTGTTATTGGCCCGGTGGGACTTGGAGGTGGCTATAAACGAATACCTTGCGTATCAACAGCCTCCGAATGCCAGCCGCAAGGACAAGAAGAGCATATTGGCGATATTTGATGAGTACAAAGATGAAGAAGATAAGATTGGTATTGATGGCACCCTGAGATTCATTGAAGACTTGGGGTATGAGCCTGAAGATCGTGCCGTTCTTGCCCTTGCAGAGTTTCTCGAGAGTCCATCTGTGGGTGTATTCCCAAGGAAGAACTTTCTAAGCAAATGGCAATCTGTTAAGTGAGTACTGTCTCCAGTGTTTTATGTTTATTTTTGTGGGAGTTCAAAGATTAACTGATGAGTAGCGCAACGACCATAGAGGCCATGAAACAATACGTTGATCAACTAGACAAAAGGCTTATAACAGACCCCGACTACCTGAAGAAGGTCTACAAATTCACCTTTGGGTTCTTACTGGAAGATGGACAAAAGACTTTGCGTATGTTTACACCTACTCAACATCTTGGCCAGAGAATTTAGTACTAACTGTTGAATCTCAGCCTTGGAGACTGCAATTGCATATTGGGACTTACTATTGGCACCTGTCTACGGAGCGAAAGTTGGAATTTGGTGTGATTTCCTCAACGAGTCGTGGAAACGTGCCATCAGCAGAGACACTTGGAATATGTTCTACGTATTCCTACAAGACTGGGACAAGGATCCAGAGTTGAAGTTGTACGATGAAGAAGCTGCGTGGCCCAGTCTCATCGATGAGTTTGTAGAGCACGTTCATGATGATTCAGATAAATCCAAAGATTGAAGAACGCTGCAGGCGGAAATGTGGGATGCAGGCTACACTCTAGAGGGATAAACGTGATGATGACACATAATTACTCGTATCTACATTGGTTAAACCCCTTTTCAGTAATAGATGTATATATCTCTACTCTTCTCATCGCAATGCTGGGATTACCCTACTCTGTAGAACACCCGAACACTCAAACATCCGTACACCCGCATGGCCACGGTGGACGTTTCGTGAAACTTTGACCCATTCAACACGTCTCATGCCCTTTTTTAGTGGGTTTCGTACGATTAGAAGGTGTATAAACATCAACACGTTCAATTAGAAGAGTTATACGATGGCTGCTGAAGGTTTAGAGAAGTTTACTGAAGTTCCAGTGGAGTTCTTCAACGATGGTGCTGCATTTGTCAAGAAATGTACCAAGCCAGATCAAAAGGGTATGTATCTATGTATCTCTCTTTGGTCATCAGAGTACTAACAGTTCGCCAATGTCACATAGAATACCTTAAGATCATCAGAGCCGTTGGTATCGGTTTCATCATGATGGGTGTTGTTGGTTACGCCATTAAGCTTGTATGTTTTTGTCCCTCTTGTTTCGGCATTGTCTCCTACTGTATACTAACGTTTAAACCCTTCTTCATAGATCCATATTCCAATCCGTTACTTGATTGTTTGATTGTTTGATTGTTTGTCGGTATATCTGCTTCATTTGTCCATTCCTATGCCTATCTTTGCTGCATAAGAGTCATCCAATGTGCAATAACTGTCACCTTTCACTCACATCGCTACCTACACAACACCGTCTCTTCTTACTAACATGGAGAGATGCTCATAAACCTTGAAGGTTATAAAATCATTTGTACACTACTCGAGTTTCTTTCTGAAACACCATTTTATATGTGTGTTTCCTTCTAATTGACGATAAAAACTTGTAACCCAGTGTCCTGTTTGTAGTAATCCGTAGGCTGGCTCTTCCCGTCCTCCCCCCCCCCCAGTGAGGGAACACAAGCCCAGTCGTCTGCGTAGAGTGTACCCAGTCCGCCTAGAATGCCCACCAGCCCGCCTAGAACGCTCGCGAACCCGCCTAGAACGCCCCTGCCAGGGAGAGGAGCCCTGCGCACGATGCCTCCCTAATTTTTATTAGGGGCGCAAGAAATTGACTCATCATCACTATCAAAAAGCACTCACAGCGTCGAAGCGCAGCTAAGAACAGCCAAGCAGGAGGGGAAAAGAGGTGTGGAGAGATGAGTTTCACAGCTTTGCTCAACCAGATCAAGCACAAACCGTCGGAATCACCGAGTAAACCGTCGTCACAGACGAGGAAACCTCAACAGAAGCCAATGGCGGACATGAAGAGACGCACTAAACCAGCTGACAATGCTGATGAGTTACCAAATGTGCCCTTTAAGGTGGACCCTGCGGTCCAAAGGCTGAAGGAGCTACGAAGATTAGAGAAGGAGAAGGAACAAGTAAAGGAGAAGTTGAAAAAGGACGAGATTAAGAGGAAGAACGCTGCAAAATCGGCATCAAGATCAAGGGCATCTTCATCAGTCTCCTATAGAATGCCTAAACAGGAGATCCACGCCGCAGCAAGTACGGACCGCGATCGAAAGAACAGGTCTGTTTCTCCAGTGAAGAGATTATCGTTTGCTGAGTTGATGGACCAGGCACGTCAAAAGACCATCTCTTTGAAGGAGACTAAGGACCCCTCTCCTCCATCAGAGCACGTTCCGAGAACCAGCAGGCCACTTCCAAAGAGTGCATCTATTCCAAGGAGTCGATCCTCCATGACTTCAGGCTCATCTTCCTCTAGGAAGTCACCTTCTGTGCCTACGAACTCGAGATGTGAGGTCAAGCCAAAGATTGTGAAGCCGTCAGTTCCAAAACCACTGGCTCGTCCTTCCAAGAAACTACAAGAGAAGCTCGATGCTAAACGTAGGGCAAGAGGCGAATATCAGAGTAGTACGAGATACAATAATGACTATGAGGATGAAGATGAGGACGACTACATGTCTGATGACTTCATCGTGGATGATGATGAAGAAGACGAACCAAGAGAAGATCGTCGTAGACGTGGTAGTTCACACGATCCTGGTTATGACCGTGATGAGATTTGGCAAATGTTTGGTAAGAATCGTCGTAAATATACAGATTATGACGATGATTTATCAGATATGGAGGCCACAGGCGAAGATATCTTTGATGAAGAGTTCAGATCTGAAAAGAGAGCAAGAATGGAGGAGAAGGCTGAAAGTGAAAGAGAAAGGAGAAGAATCGAAGAGAAAAAGAGAAGATTGGGAAGGAGATGAACACCTCTCCTGGTTGACATATCTACGTGATCCATGACACTAAATGTTTGCATTTTTGTATAGTAATAGGTACTAAACTTGTATACAATCCAAAAAAACTAATCCGAGTCGTACTCAAAATCATCATCTGTACCTGATTTATCATAATAATCATCTAATTCTTCCTTATTAGACCCCTTGCCCTGTTCCTGTTTTAGTTGTTCGTTGAATCTTTTCTCAAACTCATCCATAGCCACGCTTTCCTGGCTTTGATCTTCATGTTGACAGGCTGGGGTTATGGATCTCTCCTCTTTCAGAACGGAGTAGATCCCATGATCCTCCACTGGAACATCCTTCACTGAAACATCCTTCACTGGAACATCCTTCACTGAAACATCCTTCACTGGAACATCCTTCACTGGAACATCCTTCACTGGAACATCCTTTACTGGAGAACTCCCCATCTCTGATTCTAGTTCAATCATATTGGAAGTGACATCTTTTCTAGGAGATGGCTCTCCAGTGGCCTCAGCGACACCTTGATCATCCTGGTCATCACTTTGCACAAGTTCAGTGGTTTTCATTTCATCGTCTGATACGGTTTCTTCGAGGCCAGCCATGAATTTCTCATACTCATCCAAGTCTTCCTCGTCACCTTGTGATGCTGCTCCCTGTGCGTTTAAATCAGTATTGAGTTCATGTTCCGGGTTATACGTTTCATGATCATCTTCTCCTACCCGGGTGTCAATCTCATCAACTATGAATCCATCATCATGTGGTTCCTCGTCGTCAACTTCATATTCCTCTGTATCAACACCAGTACCATTATCTTTATCAATAATGAGCCCATCATTCTCGTAATCTTTATTACCACCGTTATCATCAACAATGAACCCGCCGTCCTCAAATTCTTCAGCTTCTGCGGGTCTTTGTATGTCTTCAGAGAGGAACCCACCATCCTCAAATTCAGGAACTTCTTCTTTGTATTGGCTATCGTCTGACTCATCGTTGTCCATATAGTCTTCATATTCTTTTTGTAACTTATCAAACTCGTCATCACTTCCAAGTGGAGGAAGTGGTTCATCTTCATCAACTTTGCCATGAGATTTTTCCAGGCGACGTTTAATTCTAAGCTTTGAAAGCATTAGACTCCATGCCTTGAGGGCTCGTATCTCTAATTTGACTCTTTCCTTCTCAATTTCCTCAGCCTTAATCTGCTCTTGAATAACAGGTAATATATCTTTGAACTCTTCTCCGACAACAACACCTTCGATCCTTGGAGTGGCACTCCTTCTATCAAATTTGAATCCAACAACTGCAGGAGCATAATCTATCTCCAGTTGTTTTGCTGCTTCTAAAGCATATGGGGTCTGGATCAAAATAGCACCCTTAGGGATCATGGAAGGAACAAAGACGTCAATATTTCCATACGCATTCTTCTCGATTAAGCCATCAATTGCAGGAGGTGGCACATATAGTTCGGTTTGAAACTCTGCATACAATCTCTCCTCTTTATCTTCATCGTCATCCCCAAAAGACAAATTTCGAGCCATCTGGGCACTGGTCTTTTGACGAACTTTGAGCGGTGGAACACCAGGTTTCAGAATCCGGCCACGTTGATACCATGCCCTTGGAGATCTCAGCGTAACAACACAGGCTCTTTTATAAACAGGTATTGATTCGTTTTTACCCTTGATACGAAGCATTCCACATGACTCCTTAGGATGCAGAACTTCATTGCTTCTCAAATCTTTCTCCAAAACATAGAACGGATGGTTCTTGAAATCCTGTAGATTGTCCGGCATTCCTTCATCTTCGGCCTTCTTTGCAAAGTACTCCTGCTCATACTTATCGGCTTTATTAATTGGTCTTGATGATAATGCATCGATGAATCCACTATACCAAATATCTTCAGCCTCATCCTTGGTGATTCTCTTCTTGCGGGTTCTTGCGTAGTACTTCTCAGCATATCGTTTCGTAATATCTCTCACGCGTCCTCCACGATCATATCCTATAACGTAGTTCAGCTGGTTGTAAGGGTAGCTCATCGGAGGCTCCAAAACGCTTTTGGTCTTGATGTTCTCAATGGTTTTGAACATTATGGGATCTATTGTGTACCAGGTCTTTGAGACAGAGTCCCAGGCCTCAGCCCAAAACACTGGATATTTCATCTCAATTTCTGCTCTTGAAGCTCGATCATCGCTTGTTCTGGGGTTAGCACCCTTTCGTAGTAGGAGCAATCTCTCCTCAGTTGAATGCGGTCTTTTACCACGGCTATCTTTAGACCTGGCATGTTCTTTGATTTGCATGTTTGTAATATCAGGTGGCTGTAGTGAGAAGACCAGTCTTGACGGTACATCAGCTGCCCTCAAGAGAGCAACAAAGCCCTGTGCTCCAATGTCCCGACTACCACGGCCCTTGACAATACATTTTTGGAATCTTGAGAAGGGAGTCGGCGTTCTAGTAACCGTTTCATCCCAGTCGTACCAGTCATGCTTATAAAGCCCCTTGTTAGACGTCACTTTATAGAACTGTACCCATTTTTGCAGCAGGTGTCGTAACCCGTCTAGGAACTGCCTAGTTCTCATCTGTGGCATCTTTATAGAGCTTGAGGGGTGTAGCTCTTCAAACATTCTCACAGGGATCAGCTTTCTCAGGTGGCGATGTATATGTTCATCGTTACACCATTGATTTCTTATGAAGCCATGCACCATCATCGTGGCAAGATAGTTTCTATGGATGGTCTTCCTGAGCAGTCTCTCATGCTTGTCGATGACATTTCTCCTCTTGCTCTTCTTTTCAGGCTCTGCGGGGGTCTTGTTCAGTGCTATTGTGACATCCTTGAGCATCGAGGAAGCCTTTGGTTGGACATTCTCCAGATCAACATCCTCGAATTCGTCATCATCAAAGTCCTCATCGCTCTCGTCGTCAACATCGTCAACCTCAACCGTACGGTTGCATGCCACATCAACCTCCGGCGTGTCCTCATCAGCATCGACACCTACAGCAGCAGCCTCAACATCAGCAGCAGCCTCAGTGCCCGCTTGCTCTCCCTCGCCGTCCCCATCGAGAGCCTCGTCCTGTCTCGCCACTCTTCTCTTACGGCGCTTCAACGGCCTATCGCTACCGCCCTCCTTCACGGCCTCCCTCATGAGCGCTCTGTACTCCTTCGGTACATCACTCATCTGAACTGCTCTCTCGCCAAGCGAACTCAACCAGCCGCCGCCGTTTGCTAAACATCCAAGCAGTCCTCTGTGGTGGTGATGTGCCTGTTCACTGTTGACACATCCGCTTTGGGGAATTTTCGCGCTGCTATAGCAACGGAACATGGTTGCGGCAACACAGCGTAGAGCCTACTTTCTCCGAGAGGGCCCTCCAAAACAAAGTCGATGAACTAGACGTAAACACAGAGGACAACGTAAGCGGGGGCATTAACGACGGCATTGGTGAAGGTAATTGGGTGTGGTTTTATACTGTGAAGGCAGTACAAGACTGGTTTGGGTGTGCACTATGGCGATGCGGTCTATCAGGTTGTGTGGTACGCGACGTTGTGGGCTCGTAGTGAGCAGGCGTTGGTTCAGGTTACCGGAGGCCAGTAAAGCGATACAGGAGACTGCTCAGCGGGAGGAGATACCTGTTGGCGCGTATGGGATCATCAACAGTGAGAGGAATACATTCGTGGACGGCCACCTTCGTCCATACATCTCGAATATGGTGACGCCCGCGGACTTCCGAAGAAACGTGAGAGACTCGTTCAACATGCATCACAAGAGGCGAAGGTTGAAGAGCTCCAGCCAAGGGAGGGCACAGGGCCTGTTCTGCATCCTGCTACACGCACTGCACTACTGCTGTCTTCCCCGTGACCGGCTGGTCGGGACGACAAAGTATATGAAGGACGCCATCAGACGTGAGGTGGTGTTCAACTCCAAGAGCGGAGTGCAATGGGATGAGATGGTGGAGGAGGTGTCAGTGCGAGATCCAGCGTTGAAAAGCAACACGCTGAAGCTTATATCGCTCTACCAGTATGGAGACTCGGAGATCCCAATGCCTAGCCTGCGTGATTCTGATTGGCAAAGTGTTCAGCTTGCTTTGGCAGCTGTACTGTACCATGCTCCAGAGTTATCTTACGAAGTGATTGTGAAGAGCATATCGAGTATGCTGTCGTCAAAGATCACAAATGCATATAATACAATCAATGGGCTACCCAGGGTGCCCACCTTCATCATGAGAGATATATTGGAAAGAATCCCCAAGTCAGACTTGGAAACAGATTTACTGCTCGAGTTGTATCCATTGTTGAAGGGATCCGATTCCTCCTTCCAGACGTTGAGAAACCTCGTCCATTTCACAAAGATATACCATGTTTCGAGGTTGGAGCAACTTGTAAGGAACATTGTGAATCAAGAGAAGCTGTCTGACTATGAGTGGAATACTCTAGTGTTTGACATTGGCGATACAGCTCATAATATCCAATCCAAGGAGTTTTCTTTTGCGTTGCTGAGGTCGCAAAGGGTCATTTTGGAACACATAAGAGTCCATGATGGTAATGTCACTGCACCTGGGTACCTGGGCATGGCGTTGAGCTTGTCGGGAGTCTCGTCAACACGTTCAAAACAGTTTTACAACTCCAGTATGGGTCACATTCGCACCGACGAGGAAAGAGAACAGTTTAAACGGGTTACATTGAAGTTGAGTGAATCTCCAAACGAACTCGTTGAGAATTTCAACCAAACCATTCTGGATTCTAAGGATGATCTGACGCTGTGGGATGAATTTTTACAAGCTTCTTTTGAAAGAGACGTTAACATACAATACGATAATGAGCTGCTAGAATCTCACTTGGCTAGTCCAAAGATCAAATCTAAGAGTACTATTCTGTCGAAGATGTCAGCTGAGGAGATATTCGCCAAAAGTTCGGAATTGGATAACAAATCTCTCTCTATACTTTTCAAAAAGCTGTATCAGCACGAAGAACCCATCTCCATCTTTCCCTCTGGCCATGACTGTGCCAGGTATCTCTTTCAATCACTGGCCAATCCTTCCAGGCAGATTGTTGGACAAGTTCTCTATGGTGAGTCTAAGCTAGATCCAGAGGGCGCATTGGATAGGTATAGATCAATGCTCTCCAAGTACTGTGATGGATTCCCCAACGAGAAGTGTTTACTGTCCTTGATGGTTCCCTCGTTGGCACTACCTGGGCTGAAATGGGCACGAATTGCATCTTCAAGAACAGCAGTGTACGAATTTAGGAAATTCGTACATCCTACACAGGACTGTGCCTCATTGATCCCATCCACCAACCTATGGAAGACGTACATCCTGCTATGTGGTCGCTATGGGTACCACGAGGAACTTTCTGAAGTGTTTGAGATCTGGGAATCATTGAGATATGTGCCAGACAGACAGACATTATCGATGTTTCTTGGTGCCTTCCCAAATCATATGGGAGAGAGAATCAGGGACCATGGAGTGGAACATCTCTCGCCTAATGATTACGATGAGATCTCCAGAGATGTTTGGGACTGGCCATCTACAAAGGAGATCGCATTCTGGAGAGATCGCATGAACAAATGAGGCCTCTTGTATATACCATGGCACATATTTATTTAGTATTTATTATTCGCTTGCATTCAAAAACATATACACACTTGGCTCTAGGATAGATCGAACAGTCATAACAAAACAAGAAAGGGTTGCTGGCTCAGAGCACTAGCTTTTGACTTCATCGTGATCTTTGGACGATGAGCCATGTTCTTTGACATCCTCCACGGATTCTGGTATGCTATTGGCAGATATACTATGGTCGTCCTTACCGTTCAGCTGCTTTGCCATGGGGCCAAGCTCTACAGAGTTCTCCTCATCCTCTGGCTCGTCCTCTTCGCCATGTCCAAACCACCTGAATCGGCACAGCCATATGAACTGACTCAGGAAGATGCCAACCTCCATGGCGACACACACACAGTACAGCACGATACCCATAATGTCCATGTTGCCAACCACCACGCTGAGCATGGAGAAGAACGCACCACACATATCGACAAACAAGAAGAGGAAGTGGATCCCCACGACACGGCCCTTACGCTTTGCCAGCTCGAAGTACGGTGGCACCAGCCCCAATGCCAGCAGTATGGAGGCCAGGATACCGAAGATGAGCGTGGGCCATGAGGTGCCGTCGTCATACAAACGTCTCAGCCATGGGATGAACCCACCTGCAAACCCAGCTGACACGGCTATGAAGGTGCCCACGTACACCAATATCTTCTTTCTCGGTACCTGGACAGGTGGGTAGTACAACGTCTGTGTCCAGGCAGTGGTACAGAAGAAGAAGAACAGCACGGGCTGGACCTGTACTGCAACGTTTGCCCGTGTTGATATGAAGTATATGGCGAATGGCACACCGCACAGGGCCCAAAGGAACATCATCATCGGTGGGAACCCTGTGCAGTCCTTGCGCTTCCAGTTGTACCAGATCTGGGGGATGAGCTGGATGCACCAGCACACCGTGCCTATGGTTCCCAGCACCGTGGAGGCCTTTTCCGATATCATTGCTGTCTGTCTGTCTAGCGCTGTCTGTCTAGCGCTGTCTGTCTAACTCTGTCTGTCTAACTCTGTCTGTCTAGCTCTCTCTGTCTGGCTCTCTCTGTCCGTCTGTCTAGCTCTCTCTGTCTAGCTCTCTCTGTCTAGCTCTGTCTGTCTAGTTCTCTCTGTCTAGCTCTCTCTGTCTGGCTTTGTCTGTCTAGCTCTCTCTGGCTGTCTGTCTAGCTCTCTAGCTCTGTCTGTCTGGCTCTGTCTAAATAGCTCTCTCTAGCTCTCTCTGTGTGGCTCTGTCTAAATAGCAACCTTCTGCCAGCAATGACTATCCCACTACTGCAACGCCTACACTACTGCATACAAGCCACAGCAACTGGACCCTGTTCGACGCCTTTTATATACAAATTCCCCACTGCCTCGCCTACACCACCATCTCCCAGAAGCGTCGGAATTGCTATCAGCACCCCTCGCGCCCAAGCAAAGATTGTCGGAATTTCGATTCCCCGGGATACAAATGCCCAATCAGGAAGCAACATCACGGTCTGTCAAACTTGCGCTCCTTCAGCCTCAGCACCTCCTCCACGAGCTGCTCCAGGTACTCGTCCTTGCCGTGCTTGTCCAGCTCCGCCAGCGAACGGTGCAGCATGTCCAGGTACTCCCAGTTGTCTCCGCTGGGCCCACTGGTGTCACTGATCACCGCTGCGGTGTCGCGTAGCAGCTCAGGCCCTACGAAGCTGGCGTTGTCCAGCGTGCCGATGTAGACGCTGCTGGTGAGGATACGCTTGCCCGTCTGGGCGTCCACAGGGAGCTGCTCAATGGCACGTATCAGCTCGTCGTCGAGCCCACCCTCGTCGTGGTGCAGCAGGAAGGGGATCTCGTGCACCGAGTAGCCATCCTGCTCCCTAACATCGAGATACTCGCTCACCTCGCTGGCGTGCTCCGCAGGGATGTAATACGCACACCCCCACACCCTCAGCTCGCGTCTGTCAAAGCCTTCTGTTAGACTCGTATCGTAGCTCAGAATGTCCTGCTTGATCTGCTCGTGGGAGACAATGTCCTCGTACGCAATCAGCGTGGCGACCCTGCCCTTCTTCTCCGGTGTGCCTCGATGGTCCGACGAGGACTGCCAGAAGCGACGAGCGTACCCGTGGATCACGCCGGGCACCACGTACTTCGCGTGTGGAGGTGGCTTGAAGATCAGCGACCCGTATCCCAGCACCCATAGCGGCTTCTCTGCTACTGTCATGGCCTCTGGTCCCGTTGCCCGTGATGTTTGGGTGACAGAAGCAGCGCCACAGTGCGCTCATCGCTTCTTCCTGCTTGCCCTAGCCGTGAGCCTGTGTTTCACCGCATTTTCGGACCGTTCCGAAAACGCGATGAATCTCCAGGCTTGAAATTGTCCGATGGAGACCCTCCGGTCGATGACGAAGGGAACAACACAGGCCATAAATACAACAACAACTTACGCAGATGCTAGCGTACATCGCTAAGACGAAGGCTCACAGCGCGCTTGCCCCAGGCGGTGGAGCCGCCGCGGGTAAAACAGCCCGCACGCTAGCGACGTCGCCTCTTCTGAGAGCAGTCAATGACGACTTCAAGCTGAACGAACTGGATGCTAAATGGACAGCCAAGTGGAGGTCAATATCGCCAGATGGTGGGCTGTACCCTGTGGCCAAGGAGGACGTGTCGTGCAAGGACAAGAAGTTCATCATGTCGATGTTCCCCTACCCGTCAGGAATGCTGCACATGGGCCACGCCAGGGTTTACACCATCAGCGACGTGATTGCCAGGTTCCACAGGGCCAATGGCACCAGTGTCATCCATCCTATGGGCTGGGATGCCTTCGGTTTGCCGGCTGAGAACGCTGCTGTGGAGCGTAACATCAACCCTGGCGTCTGGACCAGGGATAACATCAAGAAGATGAAGCAGCAGATGAACTCCGTGCTGGCTGATTTTGACTGGAGCAGAGAGGTGACGACTTGTGAGCCAGACTACTACAAATGGACCCAGAAGATCTTCCTGCTGCTACACGAGGAAGGTCTGGCCTACAGGAAGGAGGCGGAGATCAACTGGGACCCGGTGGACCAGACTGTTCTTGCCAACGAGCAGGTGGATGCTCAGGGCCGTTCCTGGAGATCAGGTGCCCTTGTGGAGAAGAAGATGCTGAACCAGTGGTTCTTGGGCATCACTGAGTTTGCACATGACCTGAACAGAGACCTGAGCACGCTGGAGCAGTGGCCTGCGAAGGTGAAGTCGATGCAGAAGCACTGGATTGGAGAGTCTCACGGTGCAGAGATCACGTTCCCTTCAACGGACGGCTCTCTGTCGATCACAGTGTTCACCACGAGAGCTGATACTCTCCTGAGTGTCCAGTACCTGGCTCTGGCCATTGACAACTCCATAGTGAAGGAGCTTGCTAAGTCTGATCCGGAGCTACAAGAGTTCATCGCCAGGGCAAAGGATCTGCCAGAGGACTCCAAGGCCGGGTTTGAGCTCAAATCTCTGACGTTGAAGAACCCCTTGGACCCATCAGCCAGCGTCCCTGTGTTCGTAGCACCGTACGTGCTGGGTTCTTACGGCAGTGGAGCTGTTATGGGATGCCCAGGTCATGATGAACGTGATTTCGCCTTTTGGAGTGAGAACAAGCCAGGTGCACCGGTGGTGAAGACCGTATCGCCACGTAATCCTAAGAAACAGGTCGATCCTGACGATGGTCCGTTCACATCTGAAGGCATTCTGAATGCTAATGCTGGGAAGTTCGAAGGCCTGCCAACGAAGGAGGCCAAGAAGGCCATCGTCAAGGCCTTGAAGGAGCTTGGTCTCGGTGATTCGAAAGTCCAGTACAAAATCAGAGACTGGCTCATCAGTAGACAGAGGTACTGGGGTGCTCCTATCCCAATCATCCACTGCCCATCATGTGGTGATGTCCCGGTTCCTGACAAGGACCTTCCGGTGCTGTTGCCTGAAGATGCAAAGATCGTTGGGAAGGGAAACCCGTTGGCTACGTTGGAATCGTTCGTCAACACCGAGTGTCCAAGCTGTGGTGGTGCTGCTAAGCGTGACACCGATACAATGGACACCTTTATGGATTCGTCCTGGTACTACTTCCGTTATACTGACCCAAAGAACGAAGCACTTCCGTTTGACCACACTAAAGCCACCACTGCCCTTCCTGTTGATATCTACATCGGTGGCATCGAACATGCTATCTTACACTTGCTATACTCCCGATTCATCGCCAAGTTCTTGTGGAAGAAGGGTCTATGGGATGGATCAGAATCCTTGGGTGAGCCTTTTAAGCGACTGGTGACGCAAGGTATGGTTCATGGTAAAACGTATATCAACCCGGCAAACGGCAGGTTCTTGAAACCTGATGAGCTTGACCTGAGTGACCCACAGAAGCCAAGGATCAAGGCCACTGGTCTCACGCCAGATGTCGCCTATGAGAAGATGTCCAAGTCCAAGTACAACGGTGCTGATCCAACTGAGTGCATCGCCAAACATGGTGCTGATGCCACTAGAGCACATATCTTATTCCAGGCACCAATCAGTGACGTTCTTGTCTGGGACGAGTCCAAGATTGTTGGCATCGAAAGATGGTTACGCCGTCTCTTGCAACTCGCAGAACAAGTTCCTCAGAGGTTTGCTGAGGACAGTGCTGTTCCCACGGCTCTCAACGATAGCGAGATCAATTTCCATAACGAAACTGAGATCTTACTGAAGTCCATCACAGAGTCTTTCAGTGAGTCTCTCTCGTTGAATACTGTCATCTCTGACTACATGAAATATACCCGTGCTGTTGGTGCTGCTTTGGAGAACGATGAGGTTGACAACATGCTTGTTATGAAGCAATTCCAGAAACTGATCGTTGCTGTGTCGCCTGTGGTTCCTGCTACTGCCGAGGAGGCATGGGAGATCTTCTTGAAAGAGTTGAAGATTAAGTGGACATCCATCTTTGCTGAGCCATGGCCTACTCTGGAGCCTATTAAAGAGTCCGATTTGACTGTGTACAACATCTTCATCAACGGCAAGATGAGATTTACACATGAGGACATGAAAGACTTCTACACTGATGATGAGAACGCAATTCTCAATACCTTGCTGGAAGCTCCAGAGGCAAAGAAGTATCTTGAGGGAAAGACAATCAAAAAGGTCATCTGTAAACCAAGAACGATCAGCTTCGTTGTTGGTTGAAGCAGGCTTGTTCATAGATTCACTTATACACTTGTACATACTCATAAGACATATAGTAAAGGATGTTAAAGCATCAACGCTTATCCACTAGACTTTTCAGGTGGGAGAATAATAGATCCGCAAGTCCAACATACCCTAGCTTTCCGAGTTCCTTCAGTATGTCCACTCTCAAGCTCTCATAATCTGTTGTTAACCACTTGGAATCCTCAGATTCCAATAACTCCACTACAGAGGTTGCTGTAAGTGGACCTTCATGCCTAGTTTCACACTCTGGCTCGTTGTCTTCGATCTGTCTTAAGATTCGAGCAGTGATTGATGCAAAAGCTGGAGCATGGTGTAAGTTGAACAAGGATCTAAAGTTTGAATGACTATCAAATAGTGGGAAGTTATTTGCAAACGACGACGTAAAGGCAAGGCTCAGTCCACATGCCGTCTGTGAGTTCTTCCCAAGCTCGAAAGCCTTGTTTCTCCATGTGAGATTACAGATATCCACAACATAGGAGTTATGAAGATTTGTCAATGCTGTCACTTCAACTGATGGCTCTGCATCCTTCAGTATAGATTTGCAGAAGTTCAAGTGGCTGCAAACCTCTGAGAATATTACTGGATTATCCATAAACAACAAAGTGTAGATGATGGACTGTGGCAGTACAATATCCTCCACTCTGAGAGTGTCCTTATTCTTCACCGTTTGGAAAAATCTGATAAACCCAATGACAGATAAACCAACAACTCCACTGTACTGTGTCACTTGTAAGATCTTAGGGATCGATCTAATAACACTGTGGAGGATTGCCGAAAACCTTGAAACTTGGTCTCCTATTTCAAATGCCCTTCTCAGCAGTCTTGCTAGTGACTCTAGATACTCACAAATGCATGATATTTCCCAATTGAAACAAGATTTGTTGTATTTATCCACCAGTGATTCCAAATCGTTCATGTTTGAAGACCCCAAGGTTTCAAAGAAACTCCATATAAAAGAGCCATGCTCTTTAATCAAGGATGAAACATCTTCGTTGTTTAGCAGGAACTCCAGGACTGCTGATGGGACTTCACCTGTGAATAACACATATCTTTGTAAGTTCTCCAGCAGAGTTCTCTGCTGTGAACGTGGAGTAAAGAGGAAGTCTCTTAGTAGCACAGCAATCCAATTGTTCAATCCTTGAAGCTCATGTGGGTCATGTCTCAGTGCTAAAAGGATAAGAGAGAAGTTTGATGAGTCTCCTAGGACTAAACCCCAATCTTTGGACAATTCCAAAGTGTCCAGGCATTGAACAAATTCTGCTGTGTTTGTAACGTTTTGCAAGCACATTGTCGAAGTTGATGGTCTATAATTGATCCTGTTGAAAGCTGACTGCTGCTTTCTGCGTTTCAGTTGCGTACTAAATTGGTCCATATACATCAGTTCCTGTTTCACAGCACTGGAATCTCCGCCTCTGAGTTTTATGAGTTCGTTCAAGTACATTTCATCTGGGTGACGGAACACCGAGCTCTTCACCCTCGGGAAGGTGTCCAGGATATCCTGATATTTATATTCCCTGTATGATAGTGCTAGTGCGATTATATGCTCTGACGAGCTCTTCTGGTGCAGCTTGAGCAGCCTGTTTATCCTAACCTCTGTGACGTGATGTCTCTTTGTCGCTAAGAATAGAAGATGCGCAACTTGTGGCCGAATATACGAGTACTCCAAGTAATTGAACAGCAGCCCGTATATTCTATCAATCACTTCAGGTTCAATGAAAGCATACACGGCTATTAGCCATGTCAATAATGCGCTTTGCACCCCATGCGATATCTTCTTCTTGCTGGTAATTGAATTACCTAACGAGGAACAGATCATGTAAACACATTCCTTGGGCACCTGTCCCTTGAAGTACAGAAACGACCGTATGATCCTGCTCCTCTGGCCAGATGTCAGTGCTGAACTCGCATCAGTGAGCACTCCAATGAGAATCACCAAGTCATTGGACGACAGCCCTTGTTCCCTTATGGGTAGATGGTCCACTTCTGATAAAACATCCGTAGCCTTGAGCGACGCTATCGACAAAGTTAATACAGGTCCAGTGCGTGCACATAGGATCATACTCACGGTCCTGGAACTGTCGTATCACACGGGATATCTCCATTCTGGCCGTCGATGGACACTTGAACACCTCAGTATGGGTATTAATCTTTGTCGATTGCCATGGTAACATTCTCCCTTTAGGAAGAAGTTCGTGTTTGTTTACATTTCAACACCCAAACACCCAAACATCCAAACACCGCATGTTGGCTTACATAATCTACATAGTGGTAAACGATTCAACAGTGCGCTTCACTCTCATAAAAGGGCTATCTAAGTGGTGGTTTACGGGCATCACAGAGGTGCCTTCAAGCTGACACACCCCATTCTATCAAAGTTATTCTTTGATCTGATATATGGGTCCAAACGGATGTAATTTGCAGCCAATGCCTTACCCAATTTGCGCTTCTCTTCTCTCCACTTGTTGTTCTCCTCATCGTTTGTAGATTCGATCCATCTTACCGTGGCGTCGATGAACTGCTGGACCAACTCTTCACGCTCCTTTTTGATCTTATCCCTTGTCTCTGTGTCCAACATCAGCTTGTCATCTTCAGGGTTTGGTTCGATCCAAGTTGGCTGGAATTGATCACCACCGTCAATGTCCTTTGGAATCCACTTGTTCTCGATGTGCTTCTCCAAATCTTTCAAGTTCTTGGTGAAATGGATCTTGGATGCAACGACGGGATCCAACCAGTTCTTGATGATGTTCCAAATCGGTGGGAACACCCATGGGGCCTTGTGGATGAATAGTCTACCCAGGGATTCAGGGTAATGGGCCTCAAAGACACCAACCATGAATTTCACCGGAGCATACTCCATATTGGCCAAGGAGAACCCTGACATGTCAAAGATAATGGACGCAGAGTCGACTGGCTCTTGCAAGACCAATCTGCAGATCTCAATGACAAGTAAGGTGTATCTTTCCAAGTCTTTCTCAGTCTGTTCGTTTGCGTGGTGCAATCTAGGTCTAATGACGACAATTGGTCTCCCTTCACGGTCAACACCCCTAAAGTATGCCTTCGACAACTTCAACTGTAGGATAAACCCTGAATTGGCGTCTTCCTGGAACGGTTTCAGATCACCCTCCCACAGCAGCTGGTCAACGTTACTCTCCTTGGCCCTCCAGTGTAACGTTGAGCTGAACATGGCCATTGTCTTATCGGTATCCCATTTTCTGGCCCTCAGGAATCTCAGCATCAAGTTGTCCGGCGTATCTGTTCTTAAAAACTCCCAAAAGTTCTTGTAGATGTCATCCGGCTGTAAATCTTTCAGCGACTCATGGATCATCTTGTGCGTGTATCCCGACTCAATCGATTCCCTCGTTCTCGTCGTCGTCAACGCGAGCTCCTGTTCTTCACTATGCGAGCTGTGTGACTTCTTGCCCTTACGCAGGAACCCAAACTTCTTCTTCTTCGGCTTATCCTCGCTCAACGACCCGTTCAGCGACGCCTTCGTCGACGACCGGGACTGAGCAGCAGGACGCTGTTCAGACACCGTGACCGGCGTGCCCCAGAATCTCAGCATGTGCATCCAAATCTCCTTCAGCTTGGCCTCCTCATCCTTGCTCAGCGTGTCAAAGTGGCCTGGTGCCTCAGATGCCGCAGTCATACCGAAACGCTGCCCTTGTATCGATTCCTGTGCTCTCTCTCTTGCCCAACGGTTTGGATCAAAACAGAAGCAATTGTTGATTTTTTTGCGCCCTCTCTGTCCGCCCAAAGGAAACCCGGCTGGAGGAGAATTTTGCCAAACGAGCCGCCGCCTACGCGGAGGGAGAAATTTTTGTAAACAAACGGATTCCCGCCTACGAACGCACTGGAGCCGGCACGCCAGCGCGTCTTCCCAGGCAGGGCCCGCTGAGCTCGCGGGAGGAGAGTCCCACTACGGCTCCCACCATATCTCCCACTACACAATGAACGCCCTTCCTACAGCTTGATCAACAACCCCTGTAGTTCCAATCCCTGGTGCTCCGATCCCCGGTGCTCTGGAAGAGGAAGGTGGGTTGCCTGGGCAGGCTCTTGGTCCCAATTGGCTGTATTTCATGTAAATTTACCAACTCTTTTCCTTGCATAGTGGAGCTTGTTACCCACACGGTCCACCTCGCCGTCGAGCTCATCGAGCAGCTCATTTTGCAGTTGCAACTCGTCGTTGATGGCAATGCCCAGCTCACGCTGTTTCTGGATGGTACTGTGCAGCTGGTGTAGCTCTTCGTCCTGCCTGACAAAGTCCTGTTTCTGTAGTTGTAGCAGTTGGTGGTTGTCCAGTGCCCTGGTGCGATCTGTCTCTTGCGGCTCTCCAATGACACGTCTTCCCTTGAACAGCTCTGTCTTGGAGCCCATGGGAGGCGGCCTCTTCACACCGACATCGTCGCTGTCATGGACGTTTCGAAGCAGAGACTCGACGTCGCCGTGCTCCCTCTTCAGCGAGTTGAGCAGGTCAATACGTCTCTTCCTCTCGCCGTCGCCCATCTGTGCCATCTCCAGCCCCCTGGACAGCGCGTCGAACGTTGTTCTGCTCAGTATCAGCTTCTTACGACACTCGCCAGGATCAACAAACACCTTGCACCTGGCGTCCTGTAGCATCGTCTTGGCCTCCCTGGCGGTGTCGAGCCACGTTGTGACGTCCACTATCGGCCCGTCGTGCCTGTGGGCCATGGCCCACGCATCCTTAACCAGCTCTTTGGTCTGCTCGTTGGCGTTGGAGAACGTCCCAGGGGCCAGGTTCAGAAACTCTCTGAACGGCAACGACTTCCTCCACTTGGTGTTGATCTTATCGTTTATACATTCTTGCAGAAACCGCTCCAGCACAACCCTTCTCTCCTCGGCAAGCGCACCGTTCTTGACGCTACTCCTTAGAAGGGTCTTCCTGGGGAACTTGTAGGGCATTTGATCGGAGTACAGCGACTCCAGCTCCTTCTTCAGCGTGGCAAAGTCGGAGTACCGCTTCGTCAGCGTGTAGCTCTTGGACCCGCCTATTCTCACGAGAACGTGGAACTGCGTATAGCTGCCGTCGTCGCTGGTTGACGTGTGTGGGATGGTCACCTTGATATCCATCTGAGCCCCGTGTGCTTGCGTGCCGCCCTGTGTGCTTGCGTACCGCCCTGTGTCCTTCTGCCCACTCCAGCTATCGCCAGCGGCCCTTCCTCCTTGTTGATGTTGATGTTGATGTTGATAGGGCGCACACCACCAGCACCAGGCTCGCTGTCTCAGCGCCTGTGGAAGGAGAAAAAATCACCAGCCGGGCATCTCGTAGCAGTTTACTACATCCACAGGCCGACAGACAGACAGGCACCAGCCAGAGCAACAGGACTAGCAAATATGGTACGTAACAGTTGTACAGAGGAAGGATCGCGGCACGCTGATGAACTAACGTGTGTAATAGAGTAAACAGTTCATCTCGACGGCAACAGCTGGCCGTTCGCACGGCTCTGATGTGTACGCTGTGACTGTGACGAAGCAGCACACCGTCACCGCCTCTGGTGATGGGTTCCTGAAGTTCTGGAAGAACTCGGTTACAGAGGTTGATGCGCCAAGGGATAACGTTGAGTCGGTGTTCATCGACAAGACGGGCTTGCACCACGTTGATTCGTTCCAGGATACGTTCCAGAATGAGAGAATGTCGTTGATAGCCACGGTGACCTTTTCAGGGAGGATAGTGTTGCTGAGAGTGACTCAACAAGGTGGAATTGAGAGGCTGGACGTGGACTTGGAGGCCAAGTCCACGTACTGGGCTGTCAGGTTCCTGAAAGACCACTTGGGCAAGGCTCATAAGCTTGCTGCCACCACACCTTGCGGTGTTACTAAGATTTGGAACTTTGAGATTGGCGATGACGGTGTACCAAGCTTCACTGTCCATGGTGAAGTGAAATCACAGTCCGGGTCATTCGCAACTTGTTTAGACTTGAACTCTGAACAGAACATACTGGCGACTGGCTACCAGAACGGTGATGTTGTGCTGACGCAGTTGGACACTGCGAAAGCGGTGTACACGTTCCGCAGCTTTGGCCTGAAGGGCTCGTCGCAGTCCTCGTCATCGGTGAGATGCGTGAGATTCTCTCCCTTGGGAAAGATACTGAGTATTGCTTCCGATTCCGGCTCTTATGGAACAGTGACTCTGTACGATACCAAGTACGGTGAGAATGTGGGTTCCTTGACGATCCCATCGCACTCCACTTCGACAAGTGTTGGTGCCTACGCGCATGAGAACTGGGTGTTTGAAGTGGACTTCAACGAATCCGGTGAACATTTGGCTACAGCTGGTTACGACGGTAAAGTTCGTATTTGGAACGTTGAAACCAGGGAACGAGAAGCCACGTTAAACCTGTCGCCAACCGACGTTGACGACGAGGACATTGTGGAGGAAGAAGACGGCTTGTGCTCTGCAGTGGGGGTGAAGTTCATCCCACCAGGCGTGAGAGGTGGTGCAGGTGGCGATAGCAACGATGGCTTAGTCGTAATATCTCTAGATAGAGGTATTAGATGGTACAGGGAAGCTGGTGGTATCTAAGCTGTCCTAATTCTAACGCGTGGGAGCTTCCATTCGTGCTATTGTATTGTTTGTGTATTAGTTCATAGTGCTACGTTCACCTTTCCTCAGATTCCAACGAGGTAGCTGTTGAATAATGAGACCCTGACTCTATCCAGTTATCGTTCAACATGACGCTGTTGCGATAGGCAAAGCTCACAGGGAATGAGTCGACATTAACTGTGCCATGGTCTCCTCTGTTGCAGAGCTCAGCACTTCTTTCCCTTGTCTTCTGTGCTGACTCAGGTGTGTCAACAATTGACGACGTTGGAGAGGCCAATTGGCATAGGGAAATGATATCCTCTTTATCTAGCTGTGCAAATTCCTCTGTACGGACCAGTTCACCCCAGTTCTGCAGACAGATCATCGCTGCGTTATGTGCAATGATCTCCTCTTGTGCGATCCTAGCCCTGCTCAAAACCATCAACACCTCACCAAGTTCCATGGGTATAGGATTGAGCCACGATAATGCCTTTTCTCTCAATTCAGGCAATCTGTAAACGTTACTCAGTATCAGCAGCCCAGTGACAATATCGGTGGATCTATCATGTACGTCGTTTGTATAGAGATACTCTATGAAGGCCTTCACCCATTTCACCGGCTCAGGTATAAATAATGAGCCAACCTGTGATTCTGCCATCCCACTGTTCTCAATCATCTCAAAGTGAGGCCACCTGGAATACAATATTAGCTTATGCACGGGTATTGGCTCCGATTTAAAGGACTCGAGCTCTTCAAACGGTATGTCAGAACGAGCTAGTCTGTTGTTCTGTGATAATCCATAGATCTTGTAGTCACTGAACTTTTCATCGAAGAGCAGTTTGGCGAAATCAGAGGTCCATGAGCCACTGTGCTGTTTGGAGCAAAGCTCTGAGAAGTTTATGGACAGAATGTGGGATAGCTCGTAGTCGTACGTGGCATCCATGGTTTCCTCTGTCAATGCGTATCCCACGAGGTAAAGCCGGCCATTTGTGAAGAAGCTGATCTTCCACGTGTGGTTCAACAAATAGCTCAGGTTTGGTGATATAACCACTTTATGCCTCAGATTCCTCAAGTCGTATACGCCGACCCATGGATTCACGCGTTCCCACGACCATGAAGGCACAACAACATCAAGGACAAAATCTGGATTGCCTGTTTGGACAAAGATATGAGAGATGTCATCCTTTTGAGCCTGGTGTATCAGAGTGGTCCCTGTCGTATAGGTCTTGAGGTCAAACCACGTGAGTTCCGAGATACGTGCGGTTTCCTTGTTGAACCCACCAAATGCCCATAGCTTATCGCCCTGGTGGACCAGACTGTGGTCAAATCTCCCTATAAATTGGCTTGGTTCACCCCACGTCGAAGTTGGTATATGGAAGGCAAACATATCATCATAAGGCTCCAATTTCTCGGGCTTCAGCCCTCCAGATATGAACATGAATTCACCATTGGTGGACAGAGTCGCAGCATGTCTTGATCTCGGCTTCGGAGGAGTCCCGTTCTGCTCCACAGCCTCCCAAGTGCACGTCACCGTGTTGTAAAGTAGCATCTCTTCTCCGTGGAACTCCTCCTGTCTCTCTGTAACGTCACTCGTACACCCTCCATATATCAGCACCTTGCCATCGCCGATGTATACAGCAGAGTGTCCCTCACGATAGACATGCCCCGGACGAGAATCCCATCTGCTGCTCGTGGTGTCGAGCACGTAGACGTACCCGTCCACTATCATACACTGAGTTAGTAGCACATTCACACATCGCCATTAGCAACACACTTACGCTTGTCATCTTCGTCAAACCCCCCAAACAGGAACAGCTTCCCTTCTCCAATGACACAATGAGAGGCCTTCACTCTGGACATCGGCTTGAACCCAGAGATCTCGTTCAAAACAACGCTCCCAGGCCCATCCTCAGTCACCAGCGAACTCATTTGACTCCGTAGCTATTGTTTACAGGCTTTTTCGCAATCCTTTGGCGTGTCCGCAACCTCTGCTGATGTCTTGAAGATGCTTATACGATATGAAATGTCCGTGTAGAAAAAGTGTCAAGAGCTCTGCTTTGAGACAAAAAAAGAAAGGTGTCCAATGATTCCCAAAACGGCAATTGTCCGCTTGGGGATATCCGAGGGCGATTTGTCCCAAGTGCCTCGAGTTCCGAGGGCTTTTTTATATAGGGGGAAAATTTTTAAGCCAGCTGCGATGAGATGAGATGAGATGGGACGTGGTGTTGGTGTGTGGATAGGACAATATTCATAAAGCTGAACTGATTGATACGCCATGCCTTCCAGAAACTCCGTCAACAAGCCAAAGGATACACTAAATCAGGCGAGAAAGCGTGCGTCTCTTGCTAAGAAGCGTGCTGCTCGTGTGAGAAAGGGCCTTATTGCACCACCTCGTTCTAGCACATCGTCGTCTTCTGGCCAGCCAAAGAGCACAGCTGTTGCGCTGTACTCTGGAGCTAAGCCAACCGGTGCGGTCACCACGAAGACCCTGTCGAACAAGAGACTCAAAAAGATCGAAAGAAACAAGAAATACGTTGCGAAGAGAAACGAACAGGTCTTGATCGATGCCCAGGCACAGGCTGAAGACAGCATGGAGATTGACGATGCCGAACCAGCAGCAGCTCAGGTTCAAAAATCAAAGATAAATACCGTTAAGGATGCTCTCTGGTCAGTGATTGAGGACAGTGCAGCATCGGGCTTCATAATGGAGGCCAACGGTGAAGGAACTACTCTTGGTGGTCCAGTGTTTTAGTTGATGCTCTAGTAATCTTATTTTTATGACTAGAATTGGGGTTTGAATATCTAGGGAGGTTCTTTTGTACATCGGTTATAATAGTGCTATTGAATTTTTGTACACGTTTGTAGATATACGTTCATTTCAATCCTTCAATCCCTTGGCCTCTAGCTCTTGGTCAACTTCAGATCTCAAGATACGAATAATCTGTTCTGGAGATGGGGCAGCAAAGATGGCAGTACCAGCAACGATGACATTGGCACCAGCCTTTGCAGCCTGTGGGATGGTTGCGGCACCCAAACCACCATCGACTTGAATGTCCAACTTTGGGAACTTGGCTCTCAAGGCTTCAACCTTTGGCATCATTTCAGGCATGAACTTCTGACCACCGAAACCTGGCTCAACGGTCATAACCAATGCCATATCGAGATATGGGGCCAGCTCATAGAGAACATCAACTGGAGTACCTGGCTTGATAGCACAGGCTGCTCTGATGTTGTGGCTCTTGATGAGTTTCACCAACTCAAGTGGGTTCTCAGTGGCCTCGTAATGGAAGGTGAACTGGTCAGCACCAACTTTGGCAAACTCACCAACCCACTTCTCCGGTTCTGCAACCATCATATGGCAATCGAAGAAAGCCTTTGGCTTGGAAACACCATCGCCACGGGGAACTGCCTTACGCAGGGAATCAACGATTGGAACACCAAGGGTGATGTTTGGAACGAAATGGCCATCCATGACATCAATGTGCAACCAGTCAGCACCGGCACCAAGAACCTTGTGGCATTCACAGCCCAAGTTGGCAAAGTCACAGGCCAAAATTGAAGGAGCGATGATCGATTTCACCATTTTCACGTTGATTTGTGCTTTGTATTCACGTACTGACACACAGCAACAACGTTGAAATGTCAATTCAGCTCCGGAGAACAGTTCACCAGATGTAAAAAGAACCAATTGCGCATCGAATCGGAAATGCGGTGGAAGCAGCGATGAATTTTGTGTTGCCCCGGTAGCACAATCTGTGTCGCCTACCGATTTATGGTGCATGAATTTTCCGAGGAAAAAAAATAAATCTCTCGGGGGCGATTCGAACGCCCGATGTTCAGATGACTTTGTAACATTACAGTCTGACGCCTTAAACCAACTTGGCCACCGAGAGGTATTGTTGATGCGTTGGTCAATATTGTTTGGGAAGTTGGTTTGATGAAGATGGCTGTCTCTCAATTTTGCTTATAAAGTTATCACTGAATACTAATCCTTCTGGGATGCTCAGTTGTCATTTACCCATTTGGGTCCCTCTGTTAGTCCAAATCATACCAAATCAACGGCTCATGTGTCTGCTTAGGTACGGTTATACCCCTTTACCATGTATCGTCTTTAGTGAAGGTGTTCGGGTGTTACATGGCCCAAACTGCGCTAAGAGACGATAATCGTTCCATAATGCTGGAACAATTATACACGACGATGTCTCGATAATCGTTATGGTTTTAGGAGAGAGGTTGTGGTGTTATTGTGTTATGGTATCTTGTAATATGTAATTCAATATGATTCAACAAATGTCTACTGCAATCGTTTTTTATACTAAGTCAGTGTCATTAGTCTTTGCTTGAATATTCTGATGCAAAATGAACGTATCAGTTTTAAATAAAATATGTTAAATCATGTATGATATTCCTGTTATTATCAGGTTATTGTTGTTAAATATCAATGTTGTTTTCCATATTTTCCATTCCATGATATCCATAAACTGTTGGAATTGGTCAGTGTTGATTGAGGCTTCATTTATTCACATGTACAAGTGCAATACTTCACTGAGTCACTCAGCAAGCCATCTTTAAGTAAATTTAGTGGGTTGGGATGAACAGGTATTCGAGAAAACACCACTTCAACAATCTATGACTTAAGCGTAGAGTTGGAACTTGATGTCCATGTATTCGATACAGGTCTCAGCTTTCATGCGTTGGGACTTCTTTCTCAACATTTGCGAGAAGATCATTCAGGTGAATTGTAAATTGGGAAATATATCGTGTATACCCTTAACCAAGCAACTGATGAAGCTGCTTTTCTCCACAAGTTGCTTACCTTTGATTCATTTCAATAAATAGAGAGCAAAAACATTTCCCCATGTCCCAAAGACTTTGAACACGAAGAGGAAAACATGGAGCTGAGTTTTTGTTAAAATGATTACTATTGGTTGATCTTCGTTTCAATTTGGATGAAGCAATAAAGCTCACAAATTTCAAAGAACATACCCTGCTAGTTAGTGGCTCTCACTCACTGGTGAAATAGCTATCTGATGCCACAGTGTAAGTTTTTTGCTTCAGGCCTTGTTAAGATTTATTCAACATGGTGAATACTCAAAAAGTGCTTATGAATCATGCAATCAGTGAAGTGGCAAGTGCGTGTCATTTACACACACGTCCAACTCTGAAAATAACAGGTAGATACAACCTTTCTGCTCTTGAGACCCATTGCACCTCTTAGGGACAAATTCAAGTAGTTAAGGTGAGTAAATCCTCTAGATGTAAATTGGCATATGCATATGTGTGAAATTTATGCGTATTAGTTCTTGGCTTTAAGACCTTGATCAGAATACAGAAACGATACTCAGTAATTTTTATCGAGCGGGTGCTTTCCAGTATGTTTACCTATTCTAATCTCTACTTTACCTGTTGGGTCAAGTGTCTGTTAATTTGGAGTCAAGCTTGTTCAGTTAAGATAGGACGAGGTGCATAACTGGGAAATACCAATGATGCTATCATAACTTGGCAACAACACCACAGTTATAACGCTGTTTAATATTGATACAACCGTCATAATTGTCGATTTAACTGATCTGTGGCCTTTGACAATCAAAAGTGCTAAACCAGTGGCTTCCCCCATATCTTCCTTCATGAGATATGCTCACAGATATATACCTCAGCCTATGATAACATGACAATTGCTAGGTTGCATATCATCCTAGAAAGTGAACCTTAAATAGGGAATTTTTGATATATGAGATCTCTAAGTTATAACTCCTGAGCCAGGAAACAGGTATTGGTATACATATTGCGATGATTTCATTGGAATAGAGTAAACAAGACATGCCAAAACTAGAAAAGGCGTGATACTGTACCATTTTACCGAGCCTTTGTTATACAATGAGGCACTTTACGATCGAATGTCAACAGCAAACACCTTTGGCTAAAGATGAATGTTATAGCTTCCACACCAAACTTATACCTAGCCTGCAAATCTGTAGGCTCAAACCAATAAATAATACCAGGTGTTCATATCTGTTAAAGAGTTGCAACTTGGAACTTGCTACTAAAGTTACATCTTGTTTCACGCTCCCGAAAAAGTACTGACGCAGGAGAAGTAACTAAGAGTACATATAGTTGCATTGATGGACACAACAACAGGATACAAATACCGAGAAGGTATGAGGCATTAGAGGTTGATAAAGGTCAACCTGAAGATAATATCAACATATGGGAAGGAAAACACATTGATGGTGCACAGATGCCAACTCATGAGTCAATAATCACACCGGTGATGTTGGTTTGAGCGAATTCTAATTCAATCAGTTATATTCTCAGTTATAGAAAAGGGCCTTTGTTCCCTCCTTTGAATAACAACTCTATGGTTTAAAATCATCGCTAAAAGTACAAGGTTACAACAATGAGGTGCTCCACATCTTCTATTCTCGCTCTTGTATTGGGTGCAGGTGTTTCTGTTGTCCCAGTTGCCATAGCTAAACCTCAAGGTGTTGCAATCACAGAAGATGCAGGAGCCTCGTATTCAGTAGTATCAGCTCCAAGTGCAAATGAGACACCAAGCCTGGCTTTGTCTTTGCCTGGTTCTTCTGACCTGGTCAGTACTGGTGCTGCTCTCGGCGGGGTCACCAAGCTTTTGAGTAGTATCACTGGGCTGCTGAAGAGAACCACATTGCCAGCGAAAGCTGTTGGTGATATCGTTTCTGTTATAGTTGGCTTGGTTAATGGGATATTGAAATCCCTGGGTAGCATCACTGACTTGTCTGAGCTCACCAATGCCATGAAGAGCTTATTAGCTCAAGCTATTTCTGCTCTAGAGGGTCTTTTGGAGAAAAGAGTATTGGATACTACACTGAATGCCGGGTTAGCTCGGATTATCTCGACTTTCATGACTCTGCTCACTGTGTTTGTTCATAGATGGTCGGGTATTCTTGGTAACTTGTTGTCTTTGAATTTCATTGGCGTTGTTAGTTACTTATTGAGCTATCTTTTGTCGATTTTGACCACCTTATTGTCCGCTTTGTAAGCCAGAGCGTTCTCTTATGCCTTCTCTCAGACGTATTCGATTCTTGAGTGCCATTGGCGTACAATACATATTCGATTTATTGAAAAACAGCAATGTAGCATGTATTTAGCATTTGTCATATATATGGCTCATCTTACTGTTGCTATTCAGTTTAGAATGTCTTACAATGAGACATAACGTGGTACATGTGTCATAATGGTGCCGGTTGCATCACAGCATATCTGGTTATTATTATCAGTTGGGATTATGCATAGAGATCTCCCTAATTTCAAGTATACTGTGGTGAGAAGAGAAACAAGTAGACCATGCTCAAATAATATTTGCTTAAGCGCAGTTCTCAATGATGCGAGCAAATAAGCAGTGAGTATCGGTAAAACTCGACATCATGTGGCGTCTTCCTCTACAAAGATATTCCGTGATTGATGATAATAAGACCAATGATACTCAATTCTGATGCAATTTCAAAAAGTACGCTACCTCTTGAAAGGGAAGAACCGAGAATGAGGAAGCATGCCATATTAAGCTAGTTTTAACTGATAGAGTCGAAGCAGCATTGTGTCCGAGATTCAGTCTTATAGCTATTTGAGAGGCTCGAGAAGACTGATAGCGAGCCATATGTATAGTACGATTTGAATAGCTATTTGTAAATGTACAGAATTCAGACTTGATCTGTATTATCGTATTGGTGCCTTTCTTCTCAGCGACACACCAAACCCCAGCTGATGTGTTTCAGATTATGGCGCAATTTCAGTGTTTCTCCCTTTCTTTTCAATGATGCCAGATGATGCTCATATGGCACACAAGTTTCAACGAGCACAGTAGTTCGCCAGATGATCAACATGAAACCCCTGTGTTGCCTTTAGAAATCACACAATTGATTTGCGGAAATGGTCCATGGATCAGAAAACCCATACTTGTATACCCAACAGGGGATATTTCGAGTATAAAAGTAGACCTAAATCATGGTCTACTCCAATATTGAAGTTGTAGTCTCCAATCTACCACCAGTATCCGAATCTAATCTGAAATGAAGTTCTCCTCCTCTTCCATCGTTGCCCTCTGTTTGGCCACCTTTGTCATTGCAGCTCCAGCTGCTGTTGCAGGCCCACAGGCCGTTGCTATTGCTCATGACGATGCTACCAGCGCCGTTGTTGCTACAACTTCTACTGAACCTGCTCAGACCTCTGCCGTTGTCTTGCCAGCGGACGGGTATGACGCAGCCTCCGTCTCTTTGGTCAACATCACTGGGATTTTGAACCAACTTGTCGGTGTTGTTGAAGGCACTGTTTATCCAACAGAGATCGTCAGAGAAGTCATCTCGGTGGTTGTCACTCTTTTGAACGATACCCTGGACGCACTGGGCTCCCTCACCAACCACGAGGACATTGCAGACTCCCTGGAGGCTTCGTTGCAGAAGGCGTTGAACCTCTTGGACAACATCGTCACTACTCTTGGTATCGAAAACTCCGTCAACGAGGAGATCACTGCCTACATTGACAATGTCAAGGCCCTGGTGACCCTCTTGGTCACCACCATCTCCAACGTCTCTGGCGAGTTGAAGCACTTCAACTTGGATGGTGCGCTGCGTGCTTTGCTAGCTGGTGTGCTCAACATCTTGAGTAAGCTCGTCTACTAAGCTCACAACAGCTATGTTTCCACTTTTTTATCACTTCTTCTAAAGCTTTAGCAACTATTTGACCGATTGATTAAACTAATAAACAAATATTGAAGATCTTCAAACATGCTCACGACCGTAGAAACATGGCTAAATGCAACCAACAAAAGTGCGTATGACATCTACCGGCCAGAAGTGTTACCCTACCTAACCTCATGCGAATTTTTTTCGTCCGCTCTGTCTTTGTCCTCGAGGAAGCCGCTTCCCGTAGACAAAAGTGAAAAATTGGACAAATTGGTACCCATCGAACAGGACATAACTCTCGAAGGACAAGGGATCTAAACTGTTTAAGAATGGCTCGTCAGAACTTCATAGGCCTTGTGGTATCGCAGGGTAAAATGAACAAGACCGTGAAGGTCCAAGTTGAGAGAAAGACTTTCAACAGAATCATCAACAAGGAGATTATGAAGAGAAAGAACTTCCTGGTGCATGACGAAGGTAACATTGCTCGAGAAGGTGATATTGTGCGTATCGAGGCCTGCCGTCCGTTGTCAGCGAAGAAGAACTTTGCCATTGCCGAGATTAGAAAGAACAAGGGTTCCCAGTTTGCCAAATACGACCAGGTTGCCAAGCAGCAGGTTTTACTCGAGGAGAACGAGAAGACCAAAGAGTTTTTGGACAGAAGAGCCAAAACCGAGCTGGAGATCAAGAACAACAGCTCACTGATATCGGACCTGTCCTTCATCGCCAAGGGTGTTGTGACTGCACAAGGCGAGCTGAGTGCCGAAGAGACAGAGAAGATTGCGCAGATTAAGGAGAAGTATGGAATCAAGAGCTGGCCCCCACAGAAGGAGGTTCTAGAGCTAGAGATCCAAACCCTCAAGGAGAAGGTGAGATCGCTACAGGACACAATTGACTTTGTCGACCCAGTGCTATCCAAGCTCATGGAGGAGGAGTACGCTGCCAGGGTTGACGACCTGTTGAAGGAGGTTTCAAAGAAGGAGCCATCAGAGTTGAAGAAGGGTGTTAAGAAGAACATCTTGAGAAAGTACCTCTTGAAGAACCCGGAGGCTGCGAGGGAGAAGTTTAGAGATGTGATTGAACAAGTGAAGAGTCAGTGAAGTTAGGATTCGTCGTTTCTTGTATATATGAAATTAGGAAGAGAATAAAATACAAATGGCCTATTGCTGAGCGTACGGTAGACCCAGACGGTGGTATCAAAAAATTTTCCCTGTTTCCAATATTGAACTTGTACGAACAAAACAATGGAGTAGTATGGGGTATTAAATGCATCAGATCAAGTACTTGAAACCATTGACCATCTCGAGGAACAGTTCAGCTGTAAGGAGTGACAGAAAAGACCCACAGTATGAGCTTTCCACCACTATATCTCTAACAAATGACCTCGGGGAGCAATTCTTCTATGGGGAAACTGTTGTTACTTTCCAGGTGAGACTGTACGAGAAGAGACGATTCACAGAGGCTTACACCATTGTGAGCACTTTAACGGAGAAATGGTGTCCTGGTGACAGAGCCATGAACTTCAAAGCATGTTTATCTGGGAAAGAGCTTAACCCGAGTGGTACTGGTGGGTTTGTATCGGTATACACCAGCATTGATGACGATGCTGAAGTGCACGATGCAATGAATTACGAAGATCTCGACACGACTGAAATGATCGATCAAACACTGGAAGGAACTGACGTAGTGGATGTGTTTAGAGGTTATGAAACTGAAATGGTGAGGAATACTGGAGTGCAGTTCATTCCCATATCGAGCGATCTACTGGAGGTGCCTCAGATTAACCAAGAGTTACCAATCAAGACCGATAGGATTGCCCTAAGGACACTCAACGGCGTAAAAATCTACGAGGAGTTATCTGGAAGCATTGCAAGACATCTGTGGGATGCTGGTAATCTAGTGGTGAGTCTACCAAGAGATGAGCTGATCAGTTTCTTATTTAAAGGAGACACAATCTTGGATCACGACCGTTTGAACATATTGGAACTCGGCACAGGTATTGGTGTGGTCTCCATCAAGATGAGCAAACACTTCCCCAATTCCAAGGTGTGTGCCACTGATCTTGACGACGCCAGAGAGATTTGTCAGATGAACATCGATCTCAACGGATGTGATAACTGTTCATTCGAGGAGCTCGACTGGGAAGTTGAAGAGCAAAATGGGGTAAAGTGGGACGTCATCATCGTTACTGACTGCACATACAACCCATTGTACTACGATGCACTACTCCATGTCTTACAGAGGGAAAGCTCATCCCATACCGTTGTCCTGATAGCACACAAGTTCAGAGAGCCATTATCAGAGAGTGAATTCTTCACCAAGTGTATGGCCAATTTCACACTGCAAAGACAACGTTGGTACTCAGACTCGTCAACGTTGATCCACATGGGTCTGTATAGGTGTCAGAAGTGATAACGGTGCCCGCAATCACCATCATGGGTGCTTCCTCCTACATCCAAAGAGGTGGTTGGTATGGGGAATGTTGGACGAGACATGTCTCGTACGACACTTGATTGGACAAATGGTTTGTACCTACATCCCAGTTGGAACGGCTCCCACGCGTACTGTGAGCCGTCGTTTTTCAATACATACAATTGGACACATTTGTAGGAACCGAAACAGCACACAAAGAGCCCTTGTTCAGTGGCGATGGACATGATGGTGAAATAGCCATTGATCGAGGTAACCAAAAGCATCTGTCCAACTGTCCATGGTCCCAAGCTGTGTCTGTCTGTCCGTCTGGGGTTTTGAGTTTGTCTGCTTTTTTTTAGTCTTGTCCACCGGGCGCGATTTAGTACACCTTTGTCCCAAATTCCACGCCAAAGAGACACACAGACAAACGAGACAAAAAAATAAGGCCATCGGCTCTGTGTGGACAAAGGGCCAACAACAAAAAAACAGACAACTTTGTAGCGGGCTCAAAAAACACACACAAGCACGCCGGACAAACAGACAAATTGACCTTGGATCACCGGACAAGGAGGAGCTTGCGGGAAGGAACAGCTGAAGAAGAGGACGGGAGTGGAAGCAATCAAACATAATCGCCCGTGATGAGTGAAAAGAAGGAGAAGAGACGAAGCTACATACGGAATTCCAGCGGGAGCCCGATAGTGCCCATAAGCGCAGCGTTCCAGTCCAGCAACATCAACATCAATCATCAATTGACGTCGACGATGAGGTCGGTGTCTGACCCAGTGGAGAGCGTACACACCGTGGCACACGACCCGAGCTACAGCACGCGAGTAAAGACGAGCAACGTGATCAAGCTCTTGCTCATCGGAGATGCCAGCGTAGGGAAGTCGTCACTCATAATCAGCTACTGCGATGACATCTTCCTGGAGAACAGTACGAAGACCACGGTTGGCGTGGATCTCAAGGTGAAGGTGGTGAATGTCGACGGGAGCTTCTTCAAAACGGTTATATGGGACACTGCAGGACAGGAGAGATACCGTAACGTTATACCGTCGTTGTACAAGGGAACCAACGGGGTGATGTTGACGTACGACGTTACAGACCCGAAGTCCTTCTTGGGGCTATACCACTGGATTCAGGAGTGTTATGAGAACTGCGACACTTCGAGGACGGTGTTCTATTTGGTTGGCAATAAGCTGGACCAGGAGAACAAGGCCGTATGTAAAGACGACGTCAAGAAGCTCTTGACGTTTGTCAAGGAGAAGTACCCGGGCTTCAAGATCAACGCAGCCTTCGAGGTGAGTGCCAAATACTCGTCGCTGGTTTATGGGCTGTTCGACACAGTGATAAAGGACCTCGTGGAAAACAGATGCTATTTTGACGAACAACGGCTGCGAAATAAGAGAAGCATCGACTTATCAACCACGAGAGATGATCTGACCAGGAAGAACTCATGTTGCTCATATTGATTGGGGGGAAAGAACTACACACAGTACACACAGGAAGGAACACATGTTCCAACATTTTTTTTGATTAACTTCATTGCATGCTCTTTATTTCTAATTATATTCATCATTCTTCCTTCTCTTGGTCAGCAAGAGTTGTACCTTCCCCTCTACGTGATCTAAAGTACATCTTTCTAAACTCTTGGTGCATGGTTACTGCTCTGTTCTCCTCGCCGTTGTACCCATCACCGTGATTGACGTAGACGAGAAGCCTTCTTGACCACTTGTTGAACTCCTGGACGAGGTGGTGCTTCAGTTCGAGGTTTCTATGCAACGGGATGATGGTTGGTTCAAAGTTATCGTTGGCAGTTGGCATCCAAAATGCCAGTCTTCCTCCTATTGGCAATCTGCGTGAGGCGAACTCCAAAAGGTCGTATAGCAGTGAATCGAGCTCGTAGGGCTTCTTGGTTGGAATGTAATCTTTCTTCAGGTATGCCTTTTCTCCATCAATCTCAATGTTCTCCTTACCTTCGAATCTCTCTGGGTTCTTTGCGCCCAGCACCTTCAGTCCTTCTCTGATTCCATAAGGTGGATCGCACACGATGGTGTCGATCACCAAGTCGTCTCGCAGAGCATTGTGGGTGAAGTCCATGGTCAGCACGTCCATAAACAGGTGTGGCATTCCATACTGCTTGAAGTTGGCCTTTATATTGGCGTTGCCCTTACCTTTGATCAAGCGTCCGTCGATGTCAGACCCCACTGTAAGGCATCCATAATGGGCACCGGCAACGAGGAAAGACCCAGTTCCAACAAACGGGTCGTACATGATGCTCCCCGGCACACAGTGTGCCAAATTACACGTCACCAACGCCAGTTCTGCTTCAAACGTGGTGGTGCCAATGTACTTTCTTTTCTTCAAGTCGTACTTCTCCAGCACTCCTCTCGATCTCCCACTAAGCTCAACTTCTCTTCCAAAGTAGTACTTGCTAGGCAACTCGGCAGCGTCATGCTCAGTCGGTGGGGTGTAATGCTCCAAGATGGTGAACACCTGGTCAGGGTTCTTCATTCTGATGGCACCGTGGAAGTCCAGGTAGCCAAATCTCTCTATCAGTCTGATCTTTTCAACGTTTGATCTCTTACCCTTGTACGCCAAAACGTCAAATTTGAAAGTACACTGGTTGTACTTCTCCCACAGATGAGACGATCTTCTCTTCACATCCTGGTGCAATTCCTCTTCAGTGTCACCGACTCCCCAGAGCTCATAGATACCCCTGGACAGGATGCCACGGGACACGAGCTTGGATGCCTGGTCATCGTTCTCCAATCGTACAATCAGAAATGGGCTCTTCTCATCGTGTCCCGAGAGGTCCACTTCAAATTTGTACAGATCAGCTAAGGCTCGCAGTTCTGCCACCCTGAAGGTTGGATGTTGCTGTGCAAGGAATATCACGTACTCTTTCATGGTGGACAAGTGGGCTTCTCCGTGGTGGGCTTCTCCGTGGTGGGCTTCTCCGTGATGGCTTCAGTGCTTTATGTCCTCTTCTCCATGCGATGACCTCTCGAAGATTTTTCTCTCTTGAAGCTTTACGCAAATTTGGCGAAACCAGCCGAAAAAAGAACGTGAGTGAAAAAAAAACGACAATCTCTGTCCGGACAAATTCGCGAAAAAAAACTTTTCTCTTTGCCTCCTTCAACATTTGTCCCAAACGGGGGTTTCCCAGCTTCAACACATTTTTGTTTTCGCCGCAGAGGAATTTGCTTCCATAAGCTTCAGCATCTCACAACTCATAAAAGAGGGACAAAGCCTTGTGGATACGCACTATATAACAGGATATAGGACATAGGTTGTTTGTACATATTGCACAATACAAACTTGTTAAGGAGACCATCACTCTTTACTTTTTTTCTTTACTTTCCTTATACTGTTCTTTGATTAGTTGTTATTGTTGAGACAACCGAAACAAGACAAACGCTCTTTATAGTGTTAAATCACACATAACTCTCCAGATACCAAACTGTACCCACCTGAAAACAGCCAAACAAGCAAGCAGCATGTCATTGTCTGACGAGGAAGCCCTCTTTGACGATATTTACGAGGAGGAGAAGGCACCTGTCGTTGAAGAGCCGAAGGAGGAGGTTGCTAAGGAGGAGGCTGCTAAGGAGGTAACAGCTGGCGAGGAGGCCTCTGAAGCACCAAAAGACACTGTCGACAACGCAGAGCAACCAGGCTCTGCTGCTGAGTCCACTGGACCTTCGTTGTCATCCGCAGAGGAGTCCCACAACGATGCTGTGGTTCCAAAGGAAACCACTCCATCTGAATCTAACGTGTCCCAGCAGACCACCACTGCCCCTGCAACGACAGACTCATTGCTGTCCACATCCACCAGTGATAAGCCTAAAGCTGACCTCAGCCGTGATGCTGGAAAGATGTTCATTGGTGGATTGGATTGGGACACCACGGAGGACTCGTTGAAGGAGTACTTCTCACAGTTTGGTGAGGTTGTCGACCACACAATCATGAGAGAACCATCTACCGGAAGATCCCGTGGATTTGGGTTCTTGACGTTTGCCAACAAGGAGTCGGTGAACAAAGTTCTCAGACAGGAACATGTGCTTGATGGTAAGGTTATCGATCCCAAGAGATCTATCCCAAGAGAGGAGCAGAACAAGACAGGCAAGATCTTTGTCGGTGGACTGCCTCCAGATATCCGTCCTTCGCAGTTTGAAGATTTCTTTGCTAAGTACGGTGAGATCATCGATGCCCAGTTGATGCTCGACAAGGACACCGGTAGATCCAGAGGGTTTGGCTTTGTGACGTTTGACTCATCAGAAGCTGTGGACCGTGTATGCCAGAGCAGATACCTCGACTTTGAAGGTAAGCAGATCGAGGTGAAGAGAGCAGAACCAAGGGGACCACAGCAACAGCACAACCACCATAACTACCAGCAGAACCGTTACATGCAACAGCAGGGTGCCAACCCGGTGTCAGATATGATGCAACAGGCCATGCAACAGGGCATGAATAACTTTGCGGGAAATGCTTCTCAGGAGATGATGACTGAGTATTTCCAAAGATTGCAACAGTATTGGGCCATGGTTCAACAACAAGGAGGTGCAATGGCTATGCAAGGTGCTCAAGGAGCAACAATGCCACAGGTGCCTCAAGCAGCTCAGCAGAGCCAAGAGTCATCACAGCAACAGCAATTGCCCTCTGGACCTGCTCAGTACAGCAGTCACAATAACTATCAACACCATGGTGGTGATTCCCATTCCAGAGGATATGACCATTTCCCTAGAGGACCAGGTGGAAGAGGAGCAAGAAGGGGTGGGAGAAGAGGTGGATACCATCCATACTCCCGTTAGCACAAATGCTCAATGGTATATAGAGTTGATAGCTAAGGATTTAAAGGACATTGAATTGTAGATAATGGAATTAAAAAGAGCTTGAGACAGCTGATAATAGAACAATATGATAGTACATGGCGTGAATAGTAAAACATAGGTGGGAAAAGGTTGCCGAAACAGAAAACGAGGAGAGGGGCAAAAGCATATAAGCATCATTACTTGAGTTGTGGTGGTAGATTCCCATGACACAGCCAACCAATCGGTTGTTTGAGGTTTTTTTCTCTGTCAATGAATCTATAATCTTCCAACAGGCGGATACACTCATCGACAGAATAGCCCTTGTTTGCACCATTCTCTATCGCATAGTAGATCACCTTTCTTCTGTTGAACTTCTTGGAAGTAGCCGGGTCACGTCTCCAGCCCGTACGGTACTCAATCTCCAGAGATTTGATAGAAGGCTGTCCATTCAACCCTATAGCGTACTCGTTCCAGATCTCCTCGACCGACGTTGGTGCTTTTATGAAGGCATATTCCTTATCGTATACTTTCCGCTCTCTTTTCTGCGAAGGATCTTCAGTTGTCGTTTGAGAGGATCCCAGACTTATCGGAACATGCCTAGAAGATCCAATGGTGACGCCGCTGAGAGGGTCATCCAAAATAGAAGACGAATTGGTATTAGCCGATCTTGGGCTGTTAGTCTTCTGGCGCTTGGTAGGGCTTCCAGATACAGCTAACCGAGTGTTTGCCAATTGATGGTGATGAACCTGCTGTTCTTGCTGAGCAGAGTGTGAAAGTTGTTGAGATGTCTGTTGGGACTGTTGGATCTGTATCTGCTGATGATGATGATGACGTTTTCGATTATCTTGTTGGTTTTGACTCTGGTTCTGCTGCTTCTGTTGCTGCTTCTGCTTCTGCTGCTGCTTCTGCTGTTGCTGCTGTGAACTTTGCTGTTGCTGTTGTTGTTGTTGTTGCTGCTGCTGCTGTTGTTGTTGTTGTTGCTGCTGCAGCTGTTGTTGTTGTGACTGTTGTGGTTGACGCTGCAGCTGTTGTTGTTGTTGCTGTTGTTGTTGTGATTGCTGATTCTGCAATTGGTCAGGTTGTTGACGCTGGTGTTGCAGTTGAATTCTGGACTGCTGACGAGACTGAGGTTGCAGCTGTTGGAAGTTCTGCTGAACAACCGCCAGGTGGTTATTCTGTGACATCTGCTGTAGCGGTGTAGTCCCATTTTGGGACGATAACATCTGATTGGTATTTATGGCGGTTGAAGCCAACAAATGGTCATTGGTAGTCATCCTAGAGCTCGACGGTAGGATGGCAGTGTTGCTGGACGTGTGTGCGTGTGGTGCCGCTCCTGTCAATCCAGCAATGGTTCCATTGATCAATGTATTGGTATCATTAGCGAGACTTGATGACGGGCCCACACCCGACGCGTTTGAGCCCATCGCCACGTATTCTTCTGGGGAGCTCATGATGTTGTTAATCTTCTGCAACACATTGGCTTCCTTGGCTTCTTCATATTGACGGTTATCTTTCATGATATCCAGAATCAATGAAGCGATGTTTGTCAACTGGCTCTGCGTCCGTGTTTGTTCCAACTGGAACGCTTTCTGGGAATACTGAATATCCCCCTGGAGCATATAGATATGACTCTCATAGCTCTTAAGCTGGTTCTCCAAGCTCTTCACCTTCTCCTGGAGAAGCGTTATCTCATCTGGCGACATGTCAATATCTTTAAGCGCTAAAACCTATACGTGTTTGTCTTTGTTTACGTGAAGTTCGTGTGTTTACACTTTTAATTGTTGCCTTGTCTGATCAGGCAAAAGGCTTTTGTCCTGTTTTTTTTTCTCTTTTGGACATCGGCGACTAACAACAACGAAAATTTAAGGGGATTGTGCTGATTGCAACGCTATAGGTTAATTGAAGATTAATGTTGTTCAGTAGTGTATTTATCGTATCTACCTGATTGAACAAGACTTTATATATCGTACCCTATCTGTGTGGAGCGTGTCTCGCTGTGTCTTGTCTAGATTGTCCCTTCTCACTGTACTCATGTGTGTCCCAGCGTCCCACTGTCCAGTGTCGCTTTTGTCTCTTGTCCCATGGTCTGCGTCCCAATAAACCATGTATATATTTGGGTGTAGTGTGGTGCCTACCAAGTTCTAGAGAAGAGTCGGACTTGTTGTTGTTGTTGCGTTTGACAACGTTCTCAGGCTTGATGAAAGTCATAATCCACGATCAATTGGCATGGGAAACAACATACCAAACGCCCAGGTGTAAAGATGGATGCGTTTACCGTGTGTTTAGTGTAAATAATGGTTTTCTTTATATATGGCATGTCCAAGATATCGCGGTTCGGGAATTGTCCAAAGGACAAAACAAACGCCAAACATCAACGATTGTGTCTCAACGGTTGTGTCTCAACGGTTGTGTCTCAACGGTTATGTCTCAACTAGAAGCATCTGCTAAAAATTATAACCGTTCCGATACTTGTGACTCGTATATAGAAATGGCTGGAAATAGCAATCCTCGCTGTAACGTGAACGTCAGCCCTGAACTTTGGCTAGGTTCCACAGTTTCGAATTAGATGGCCCCATCTCATACCTCCCCATAACCAATAGCGAGGCCCTATCACGCGTTTCCAGGCCAAACTCCAAAAATAATCCACCAGAATCACAATTGCTTCCAAGCCTTGCAAGATTCATCGTAGCAGATTTCATAGCCCACTGTTTGAACGCATTATTATTCCCTCGGACCTGGCGAGTGGGCAAGCGTACTGCTGTTTTAATGTGCGATGGTGAATCGCTGTAGCGTATGCTGTGTGTAGTTTCTACAAGTGAAATGTGTTATATCGCCATGCTTAGCGACAATCAAGCCATCAACACCAGAGTAACAAAGCCCCTCTTCTTGTTCGATCATCACAACACGCATGTACGCGACAGGTTCAGTGTTTACACCTCCAAGGTTCTAAGTGGATCGCAATCCTGATGGTCAACATTCTCACACTGCTATGATATATGCTACTCAAAGCCGGAAAATGCATTGATGCTAATCTAAACACGGTCGTAATTTCCAATGCAACTTCGCAATTTTAATAACACAGCTAATTATGGAGTCCGATTTGTTGAATTGCTACACCGCAACTTAGTCTTGGAGGAATGGGCTTGCATGTGTACCAGCTAACACACATCGTTCAAGGATTCGAGTCTGGACAGCTCCACCATCATCAGTGTTGGTGACTGGTTGATTCGTTGAACCTTCCACGATGCACAGTATGTACCTTCCAATTTTTTCCCATGAGAGTTGACGCGCAATTATGTACTTGATGATTTCTGATCCAAAATACACACGAAAAGGGAAATAAGTTCATCCAGATCTGAACAAAAAAATAATTGGGGCTGTATCCTGGGTGGAAAAACCAATAGACAGGGGAGAGTAAAGATGCCCATACACTACACCACGTCTCGTAACTACGGAACCAACTATGTAAGCCCAGATTTGATGTGTGCATTGTGTAGTGGTCCCACTCAGCACTGCTCATCGACTACGTGTATTCCCGGTATACATACCTTTTATTTTGGCGCACCGTGTTCACACACACCAAGTGCTTCGTAACGCTAGGCAAACCTCCTCCATTAGCAGCTCATGAGATATCACAGCACCACTGGCATATAGACCACATTGCTATACGTTATTACTGCCCAAAGCAAAGTTACGAACCGTATCGTTTCTCGAATATGTGTTAAAGAAGAGCGCATAGTTCACTTTCCCCATCCCGCCATTTTACTCCTCTTTCGGTGAACGTACAAGATGAAGCCGGAAGGAGTAAGTCGCGACGCGTTCTGCGTCCTGCGTTGTGCATTTTCGTGTTCAAAACAAAAACAAATATGCACTGTCCTTCAAGGCCCAAACACTCCAAGTTCAATTGGAAGGTTTCAATCTAACCAATCCAGAACACCGATGGTTCAGTGGAGCCTGTGTACTTAGCTACGAGGGACAGAAACTCACATCATTTCAACCGCGTTGCAGGGTCTAGAGCGAACCTTCCGGTATGCAATGATACTCTTTTCCACTAGTCTTCAACAGCTGTGTTACTTTCAGAAGTGATTATAAAAGGAGCGAGTTTTGCACTCTCTTTCAATCCCAGAACGCCTCAGTTACTCATTACAATCATCAACACCTGGTTACAGTAAACCGTCCATTCTTTTAACAATTATCATACAATGAAGTTCTCAGCCATCGCTCTTGCCTCTGTCGCCGCTGCTGCCACCACAGAGATCACCTCCGTCGAGACCGTTTCCAACGAGTCTACTGTCGTTGAGACCATCACCTACTGTGGCCCAGAGACCTGTGTCACCAGCACCGTCTCTTCTGCTATCACTACAACCACCTCTACTACCACTGGTGACGAGGAGGTTGTCTATGCTACCACCACTGTTGCTCCAGCAACCACTGTCTCTTCTTTGACCTCAGAGGAGACCTCAGAGACTACTTCTGAGGAAGCTGCTCAAATTACCTCCACCGAGATTGTTTCCAACGAGTCTACTGTCATCGAGACCATCACCTACTGTGGCCCAGAGACCTGTGTCACCAGCACCGTCTCTTCTGCTGTCACTACAACCACCTCTACTACTACTGGCGAGGAAGAGGTTGTTACTGGTACTACAACCCTTGCCCCAGAAGCTTCTGTTTCTTCCGAAGATGAGACAACATACGTTGACATTACAACTACACCAACTGTAACTGAGTCCATCCTCACCTCTACTGATACCACTGTCACCCCAACTATCTACAGTACTTACAACTCTAACGGTACCTCCTACTCTGTCAACGCATACGAGGGTGCTGCTGGTTCTTTGAACCCGGTTGTTGGTGCTGCTGCTGCTATTGGTGCCTATTTGCTATTCTAAGACTTCAGACCAAGGAAAGAAATCGAAAAGATTAACAATATAGACACGTTGGGACTTTAAGGATAATGAGTTTTATTTAATGGCAATTTGTATAATAGATATAGTTTTGAAAATACCAGTTTACTGAAATATGTAATTCTCTTTACGTAGTCAGCACCATGAGATATTCATCAATACACACTACACAAACTATCATCAAAACTAATCATAAAAATTCATTGATCCCATAAAATAAATACTATTCACAGCCAGTATGAATGCGTTAAATATACTTCTAATACTCTGCTAGTCTGAGCTTCTCGCTTAACTGTCTTGCAGAAATACCAGCTCTTCTAAATCCTACTCTCTCTGGACTAGTGCCTCTGCTCTTAATCTCATCATCTTCGAGGTCAAAGTAGCCATACCCACCGAGCAAATAATTCAAGTTACCAGATCTTGTGTGCTGCAATCTTCCTCTTGCCTTCATCTGCTCCTTTTGGTTGAGTTCATCCTCGTAGATATGCTTGACCTCCTCCAAGTAATTACGCAAAGTATCAACAAATCTTTGAGTTTGACGGTGCTTACTTGAAACACAAATATTGAGAGAGCCCCCCTTAATGATGTATGCAATACCAAAACCGTTGGAAGCTGTTGGTCCAAATCCAAAGACACGAAGAGATGGGTTACCACAGTTTGAAGTGGAAATCACAGAGTTGTTCAACTTGTCCCAACCAGAATCAGCGAAGATAGAAGGAATCTCCTTAGTAATCTTGGAATCGTTCTCGATGTTATTTCCAATGGTTGAGTCACTGTGGTGGTCTTCCAAGTTATCTTGCTCAGCGAGGTATCTTCTCCAGATACAGAACAAAGCATACAAGTGACGGTCCTGTCCCAAACCCTGAGAACACATCTTTGTTGTTTCAGTGTGGCGAGCACATGCAGCACGTAACAGCTCAAGCTTTTCAGCACCTGGAACATCTTCGAAGAAACGACGAACAAAGAGGTTGGACTCCATGGATACAGTTCTGATAGCTTCAGTACGGCCATGGAGGAACTGTTTTGTCATTGCAGGCTCATATGTACACTCAACTTTACCGTACAATGCGTAGTAAGCAGCTTGGAAAGACATTTGAGCAAAAGCATCTGGAGAGCACTTGAATTTCTTTATCAAGTCTGAGCCGTACGTGTTGAACTCAAGGACAGCAAATTCGTTTTGAGAAATGAGATCAGAGAGCCTGGTTTCTCCAAATCTAAGAGACAAGGAAAGCTCTGAGGTCAAGTTCCATTCAAGCTTACGGGGAATTGTAACAACATTTGTATCAATCTTATCCGTCTTCAGGAGAGATGGCGATTTAGACTTCCATATTGATGGAGAATTTGGGTTAATTGCCTTTGCAAATTTGAGAATGGTGTCGGTATAGATGTCCGAACAGAATCTCAAGACGGTGTGACCATCAACACCGGTGTGCTCAAAGTTTATACCAGCTTTAGCGTTTTTGGTAACAATAAGCTGAAGCTTATCGTACCATCTGTTCGTACAGGTACCAACTTGTGCACCCTTGTCCAAAATACTTAACCCACAAAGCATGTTCTTGGACAAGTCAGCTAGGGAGTCAAGCTCAATGTCGTCAAGAACGACAATAAACAAAGCAGAATCAATGATTCTGAGGATCTTGTAGTTGATTGGGTCGTTCATCAAGTGACTTCTCAAGTTGGCCCACACCTTTCTATTCTCTGTAGTGAGGACACCAAAGGATGATCTTGCAATCTCCGAAGGAGTTGACTTGGATGCATCCTTGAGAATACTGTCAAAGTTGAAGGCCAACTCATCATCAGTAAGAATAAGGTTGTTCTCCTTGTCCAAGACATCAAACCAGTAGAACTGAGATCTTGAGAGCACCACAACGTGGTGGGAAGATGGGTCAGTTTGCATAACACAGCCTGTTCCGGTTGGAATTCTTGCAGACCCAAAGAGCTTATTGTACTGATCCATACAGAGTGGTGTGTTTCTGATCATGTCTGGCGGCAACTCTTCTCTTCTAAGCGCCCTGATGAATTCCAAGGATGACGTTGTTAGAGAGGCCGCACGCTTGGTTTGGGTGTTGTTGACAGGCGTAGGGTCGTCCTCCAAGAGAAAGAACGGGTTCAAGTTGAGGACAACAGGGGAATCGTAGTTCAAGTACGAATCGTACCAGAACTGTTCGATATAGGATGGTCTTGTCTCTGCGTATTCCCTCAACTGTTGATCCAAGTCAGGACCAACACCGTTGAGGAATTCCTGTGTGGCGGCAACAGTCTCCTTGTGCTCATCCTCTGTTTGTAGCGGCTTCAGAGCTCTGAGGTAGTTTTCGCAGGTGAGCTTGAGATCGGGAATCGGGAGCTTCTTCAAGTCCTTCTGGTATTGAAATGTAGACATTTTTACACGATTGAGGTGTTTTATGGTGCTACTTCTTACCATTCGAGCTCCTTTGAGAAAATTTATGTTCATAGCCTCTTGTATTTATAAGCTTGTCCCACAGTACTCATCGATACAACACCGCAACGTTGCAGCCTCCCGCTTCGTGATCACAATTTTTTTTTGCATAATAACTTTAGTATGTGCCACTTTTGATTTCACGCACAAAACATTTGCGCATGGGTGAATGGGGCAGTCGGTTCCCGCACTGTGTGACTGACAGACTGCAGCACCGATTGGATTTGGCATCCCGCATCTCACCAGATAGGACAGTGTGGGTGAAAAAGGACGCCGTCGCTACAGTTATACACCATGGATGTAAGGAGAATTCTACCAAGTATGCTAGTCGAATGGTGCTCGACAGTGTACGCATGTGGCATGAAAAAAGAAAAGAAACATATCCGGCTTGTTGACTACGATAGGGAAATCCATGACCACATTGCACATGTTGATCTTATCCCTGTTTTTTTACTGTTTGGCCCAAACTTCAAAGTAGATAAGGTAGGCTAACGGGTTAAGGCTTCCGCCAGGAGATACTTTTTGAACGTGACAAGTCACAAAGCATCGGAATCCTTTTCTCTACTTCAACGGCTGGCCAGCTTGAAATAAGAGTATTTTTCTCTCATGAGTCATGATGCACATGCCTTTAAATCCAACAGGTAGATGATCACACATTTTTGACCAATCCTACAACGTGTAATGTCCCGTGTTAAGCTTTGAGAGATTATCTTTGCTCACGCACTTCGATTTTTTTGTGTGGGGTAAGGTTGCCCCTCAGGTTTCTGGAGTAACCTCAAGATTTCATCAATGTTGCGCCGAACAGATTTACCACTCAGCACATTTCGACTTTTTCCCAGCTGACGATTTCGAAATGTTATACAAAACCGGAAAGCGCGGGTGAAGCAAGTAGAAATTGGATGGGGACCATCATCCCTGATCTGAACGAGTTTATGAATCGTGTTTGGTTGTATCAAATAAATAGAGAATCGAGTTGAACGTACACATGCACGAACTCCATGCGGTTAGGGTGACCACAATGGTAGGATGCTATGGTTGTGCTGTTGATCAATCTAAAACAGCAAGCGTGGATTGTTCCCATTTTCCCGATGCCTGATCATGTCGATGATTAACTTGAAGCAAGCAGCAAACGTCAATATGTCGACAACTTTTTAATGCTGTTGGACGTTGTCAACGCGTGCGTCATGGTCCACTTTTGTTCAGACACGACATCGACATTGCTTATGTGATAGGTGCTCCATCAGAGACCAAGATTGTTGTAGTTAATCTGAGCTCTAATGCTCATTATCCGCCCTACACGGCCTAGAGTGCTTGAGCACGTGGAAGTGGAAATGCTTCATTTGGTGCTACATATCTCAATGCTTGAGTTAGTTTGAATGCTGGTTGGGGTCCTTCATTGGACGATGTTCATGAAAGTAAAGATACAGCTGTGACCCATCCCCACATTGATATTTAGGGTGAGATCCAATGGGACTAAAAGCTCAGACATCATAGGGCCCGTGCTCTGAACAGATTTATTACGCATAAAATCATTGGTTCGTTTCTTCAATGATATACTCAAGAATGTCAAATGAAATCATTACTCAATGGGTTAAATCGTTGGTGTCAAAAGTCATGCTGCAATAGAGGCATATTTTAGTTATTCATATTGAGAGTCAAGGAAGAGTTCTGCCAATATGCTTGCTGTGTAACTGCGAGAGCGGTGAGTAACAGCCTTTTCATGGTTATATACTGATCCAATGTTATACGTAATCGACTCTACAGATTAAGCTTGCTTTGCGTTTTAATCATGATAACCCAATGAACAAACCCTATTCTAGTCAACAATTTGGATATGGTCAATTAGCTTTTAATGAGGGTGATTATTCGAACGTCCATTGAGTAACAGCTACATATAAATAACAATTGATATAAAGATAGCGTTGCATAGACCATCATGAGTCAACAAATCGTAGGATATAGCCCTCGATTACCCGTTATGTTGATATCGTAGATGAGTTGTATATGTTTTTATGTAAATTATCTATACGGCCATAACTCATGATTAAGCTCAATGGCTGAAGGCAAGATCTATATTACAAGAGCCAGATGTAGTTAGTTAGATCTAGTTAACCACCCTACACAGTTCGTGATTTTTTTTTACTAATCGGCTTGAAAATTGTAGTCGGTCTTAACTGTGAGACCAGCTGCATACTCTGAGGCGTGCAAAATCCTTGGACCTTAAAAAACTTTGAATTTGAATTTGGTCCGCAGACTGTGCATTTCTCTGCAGGATGTATTGAACAAATTCAACTACAGGTGGACAAATAAGTCTCTCTAGCCCAATTATGCACTTGGCCACTACCAGTAGAGATGTATAGTGTGGGTACATTTGAAGTTTTTCAACCACATAGTCTCAGGGTCTTCCTGGTCAATGTACCAATCGTAACGAGTTAAAATCATGAAAAACTCTCAGCCTGGGGGTCACAGGGTCGAATACACACAATCTTGAATCTCACAACGTCATGTTAACCAATGTCCTTGAGTACTTATTTCTTTTTATTTTTAGGTCCTCAGTTAAAACTTAGGCGGTCGAGTTGCGAACATGTATGGCTGAGGAATTATAATCACCAGGACTTGAGAGGTCCTTCATGTCAACATGATCCCTTTACCATTTATACATAGGTCCTTTCAGGAGGCCAAAAACTTGTGATCCCTTCAACATTAATTAACTCAAAATTACACTGTCAACAGCGAAAGGCACAGTTATATTTATTGAACAACGTCTCAGTATACTATTTCGCTGTAGAACGGGATTGTTCATGCCCATAAGCTAGTTAAAAGTCTTAGTAGTTTGATACGACTTCAAAGCGCTTTTAATTTCCCCACTGAAGGTTGAATTTAAGGAATAAGATTCATCTGAGGAACAGTACTATGACAAATGTACCAAATAACTGTTTTACATGTTTTAGTCACTTTGAAGACAACAAAAGAGACAAGATAAATGGTTTTTCCGTATAGTAAACGTCTTCTATTCGGCATTTAATAGCTCGGTGACTGAGTCAATATTTTGGTCAGAGTAGTAAAGGTATCCGTTGTAGCTTAGCTGTTCCATGAACTACAAGTACCTGTAAAATATATTATCTTCAACTATACTTAATAACATCTAGATTTTCTTTTCATAGGTCCTAAGTCTTGACTCGCCTGAAGTTACGTTATCGTACCTTCGTAAACCTTTGAGAGAAGGCACCTTGAAAGTAACTTTTCATGCATCCCCAATGACCCTAATGGCTAGTTTTACATCACAGACGCTAGAACATTGTTCAGGTGGTTTGTATCCTTTGCAAGCTCCTGGAAAATTGATACTTGCTGGGAGTGGCACATCAAGCAACAATCGTGATCTATATTATCCTACAGGGCCCAAGATTCAGCCTTACTATTAATGGTCTGAGCCATTGTATTGTCCATACTAGTTGGAAGAGGCTCTTTCCGCCCCATTATGATTAATAATGTCTGTATTGTTCAAAGTTGTTGAGTGTTGGGCTTGAACACCAGCCCTTTGAACTGGCTATTTATTAGGAATCAAGCACATATCTTCAACAAAGACTTCAATTTCTTTTAATTACACACAATGACCTATGGTATTTAGATGAGTTCATTGACTCAAAACTACTTTCAGAGGCTGGAAGAAAAAATGAAGATGGACTATGTTTTATACTTGATGACTATCTGATAGAATTGAAGAGGTATCATTTTCGAAAGATCAATTCACAATACAAGTTCAATGTAGCTTTATACTCGACGGTGATTTCTATTTCAAAGAAGAAACACATTTTAAGATTTCTAGTGAGTTCACACACACGGAGATCAAGTGAACACAGGAAGCACAGGACCACCGCAGGTGACTTTAGAGTATACACCTTAACGTAAGACTTTCATGTGACAGTTTTACTTGTTTTATTTTCTAACCTCATTGATATTGACTGCTAAAAATCAGAAATTAATGACCTGAATAACATAGTGAATATTAACAGCTGCTTTGAGTAAACAGTTGTCTTTCTAAAATGCCCTTACTGGCTGTAGTACTTTTAAAGAAAATCATTCGAGCGCGTCGTGTGTTATCGTTATACGAATACTTGCTCGGCTAATTTGTAGTATATATCACTCCCAGAACCTGTAATTGCAATGACGTAACAGGATGAAGTCTTTGTAGAGCATTTCCACCGTACATCAGTAGTAATAGTACGATGTATCGAAAACGCAAAAAGCCACCGAAAAAACCTCTCGAAAACACAGACACTTTTGCAGCAGCGGAAAAATTTTTTTTTGTCAAGCAATACAGCAAGCAACCCGATGATAAATTGATTACAACGGATGTTAGGGTATAGACGGGGCTGAACAAATTAATAGGAAACGATAAAATTTTTATCATGTACTGAGTAGCCGTGTGCTATAAGGTAAAGTGAGTTATTACTGTATCTGTTACATAAACACACACCCTGTATCAAACAGTGCGGTTACGGGTTCTGGATGTTTCCTTCGTCCCGCCCATATCAGAAGAAGTTAATCCCACTTTGAGCAAAGTTGGTCACTGATTGCATTTGGTGGAGTTGTTTCACTGAGACATTTTCATAACATAACACCATATATTCTTTTCTGATCTTTTGTCTCAGCGCATCTGTTCAATCACAAATCCCACTACTTGAAGCTCCAACTATTCAAGCAGGAAACAGCAAATCAAATGTACTAGTTCGTATATTTGCAGCTAGTTGTTTCAAACTGTAGTGTAGACGTCAGAAACTGCGTGCTGTACATAGTGGTACATATGCAAGGTATCAGGCGAATAGCGGTGTCATGTCGACTCACCACAGGTAGACTGTTCACTACTACCTACGTGTGCAGAGGTGGACCAATTGATGTACGTCACTCATCCACAACTCTACATACACACTACATCGTGAGATTAAAGCCATACATAATTCTCTATTTCATGTTTCTTTAGCAACATCGACCCATCGGTTAACAGCACGACGCAAACATTGAACTCCTGTCAATAAGCGTAGGTATTGGTTCACAGTGCTGAATTCAGACGGTTTTGACCGGTTAAGTCCAATCGACTCACCATCTTATCAGTATTTAACAATATGGTGCCTTAAAGGGACGTCAAACTTCAATACCTCATCAAAGCTATGAAACGTTTGTGTATTGGACACGGTTTACGTCACCGTAGCTTACTTATTGATAAACCCACTCGCTGTTCAATACACATAATTTGCCAGATCACCAACCGTCCCATAGCTCGAGACATCAGTAGTTACTACTTAATACTTGGAAATTTATAGTGATTACACAATAAATATTGGAGAAGTAGACAGGGAGGCGGCTATTCAACCTCCTGCCACGGACACAATGTCGTCTACTAGTTTCGGATGCACGGTATGTAGCTACCGTACTGTTCTGGATTTTATTTTAAGAACCCTTTTTAATTTTATTGTAGTTTAATTCCAACGCGTGTTCTTGTACATAACTAATGCTAAGACGAACCAAACCCTTCAACTTCTCTACAGGTTGGAATCGCCAATGTTTGGAGTAACACACAGATTCTCGACAGGTGAATAATGAATTGCGCACTTATGCTTTTGGAATGTACATGTATGTGCGCATATCACCAGCTAACTGGGACATAATTTAATAACAACGCAGCTTCAACTGCGATTTTATCATGCATCTGCACGTTTACGAACCAAGCGATTAGAATGACAACTGCGCCACATTTTTGCATGAATCTCAACCATAAAAACATACATATGACATATTACGAAATCACCTCTAACTGAAAGTGTATTATCCGTAGTGATAGTATAGTTAAACGCTCATGATAAGTAGAGACCTTTGAAATGCAAGATTTAGAAGTCAATGTACACGAGACCCCCTGATAGTGTATCAAGGTTGAAAATAAAAAGACTACGTTGTACCAATGATGATTTCCGAAAAAACTGACTCGGTCATGTATATGAGTGAGTTAGATTTAGGCTCATCTGAATTACGTTACTATATAATTTAGGGGCCAAAATTTCTTTTCTTTTTTTCAAGAGAAAACTCTTAATTTAGATATGCATGGATTACAGTGTTTTCATGCGCCCGTGGGTTCTACTGTGGGCTTCCATGAATATTGATGAGTGAAGTCAAACTTAACCTATACTGTCTGCTTGGACCAATAACTACTTGCATGAGTCACAAGGCATGTGGTTCGGGAGACGAAGTAGTGAAGCGTCATATATATCCATGTGGAAGACTTATGAGTTAACAAGAACCGCCAAAATCCGTTCTTGAAGCTTTGGGAATACCGAATCTAGAAGTTTATTCACATTTCTACTTATTCGAGGGCAGATTGATCAAGAATATACATATTCAGCACCCTTTAAAGTGGAAAATTGTGCCAGCGATCCAAAGGTTGTATACCACTTTTCTATCCATATGCAAGATGTCCACAACGCTAAAATATACGGACAACAAACTAATAACTGACACCCATTTGTAAGGCCAATCGTGATATTCGACCAATTGTGTCGAGGACTGCATACTGCACAACTCAGCCGTTGCGATCGGGCACAAATGTGTACAGCGTCCGTTGTTTACTTCTGTAGTTGGAAGAAAAAAACAAAAAACGGCAATGACCAACTCAGGGCCATAAAAGGCCAGACTTTAAACTCTTACTGTTTGCCAACGCATGACGATCGCGATTCGCTACACATCTACATGCATATGCGTAGCTGGCGGTTGGCTGCTAGTAGCAACGCTGGTAACAGTTGTTCTGCGTAATCTCACCCTAATTCCAAAAATGTTGGTAAAAAAACACTATCAAGTAATTAATGTATCTATACAACCAGGTGAATACAGATCCTGACCAAATGACTGGAAATGTTCTGCAATTGACCTGATCACAGATTAATTTGGTGAAACTCGAATCCATTGACGCTAAAAGACCGTATTGCGCATACTCATGCATGAACAAAGAGAAAAAGGAGATCTCAAAAAATGCGCAGCAAGATTAAAAATCGTGAGGGATCTCCATTTCCCAAATCTTATTTCGCAGGGTCATCGGGTCAGCAGATATTGCAAATACTTACCGTTCAACCTCTATAAATCTCAAGTTCGTACGGGTCCAGCTGACATCTGCAACCACAAAAATTAAACTAGTCCAATTCAAAAAAAAAAAGCCAAAATATACACAAATCTCAAACGTGTCGCAATTTCGATACTTACATGTCACCATGAGGATGAAAGAGACTGAAATCTAACGATATTAGGACACCAGATCCTTTGATTCGCAGTAATGTTTTGCACTAAAGTTCGCTGTCCACGTTTACTCGCGCGTGTGGGTCTAATATCAATCCATCATGTCCTTCAGAAGATTAGCTCCATGATGCACATGCACAGAGTCTGTAGCTGCATGTACCGCGTATGCATCTTGAGCTTGTGTTGCTTGGTTATGGGAAGTGTACACACATAAATTTCCTGCTCAAAGGGCGATGGGATAAATTTGTGCATGTGGTCTGTTTCTAGAGCAGATGCCTTTGACGTTGAAGAGTGATGTGCTGAATCACGCATGCCCATTACCCGGTGCCCAGTCTTGACCCTTCATAAAACGGCAACTATTATAAATATGGAGTTCAATTCCATTAACAATTTCCTGGTGCCAGGTTCTATTGATTACAGAGATAGAGATAGTATTGCCATAATATTCAACAGGCTACTGATACCCGCAGGAGTCTCAAACGCGTACTGCGATCAACTATTTGGATTAAGTTTCTTTCAGGAGATTAATCTGCCCCCAGTTTCTTGTCTGTTTTTAGAGTGCAACAACCTTCGCAGCCAAACGAGAAATGCATTCAGAGTCAGTTATTGGTCCGGATGGCCAACAAAAGTCAAACTATGACCGGTGGAAACCAAGCACCAAACTTGCTTGTATGATTGAACTGTACGGTGTTTCCAAGAACCCGGAGTATTTTGATCAGTCAAGACAGAGATTCAGTCCATTGGCCTGGCACTTGGTGGCCGATGCTTTAAACAAGGAGTACCCAAATGTTGCCAAACGCTTCACTAATATCAACATCAAATGTCGTTATCAGAGGGTATTGAAGTACCACAAGGTGTTCAAGCGCATGGCGCTTGCAAGCAGTGGCTTTAAGTGGAACTCGCGGGCATTCTGTTTCGAAGAGACCGCTGCCATAGAGGACCAACTTTCTCGCAATAATCTTAATGATGAAATTCTCAATAGTGAAATCAATCTTGTGAAGTTGCTAACGAAAGCTGGACATGCAGATATAGAGTACTTTCACAGATTCATATATGTGGATTCAAAGAACTCTGATCGCGATGATCAAGTATTACAGTCAAAGTCTTACATCAATTTTGCCATTGAGTATGGAGTCCTCACCCAAAGCTCATCAAGACCCGAATTCTTTAAGGACTTACAGAATGCCACGTCGAATCCAACATCGTTTTTGGCCCCTTCTGTGAGCCACGTGCCACCGACATATTCAGAAAACTATGATCAACACAAACCAACTCTACCTCTCTCGACCATGGCGATTGGAGTTGGTGCCAGTATTGTTACCAATGATGGTAGTGGTTTCCTGAATCAACTTCCACAACTTGATATGAACCAAGTAGGAGCAGCGCAGTTTCATTACCCACAGACTCAAGCTTCTCACACCGAGGTACCGTCTTCAGTGCTAAGTTACCCTTACACGCCCGTCCCATCTCGTCATGGTTCTGATACGTCACATGTAACCAGCATAACAATGCCATCATTGACTGATAATATCGACCAATTTGGATTCTCGGAGTACACGAATGATATAATTTGTTCAATACCTCAGGTAACGCTGAGTCGTGACGGAGATCTAAGAAAAAAGAGAAAGTTGGACAACGATATACAGAATGAGAGTGGCTCTCAAGCACTAACGCCTGAAGAATTCCCCTTTATTGAGCAACACTTTGACACATCTCTATTACCGTTAAACGCGGTACTTACCATTCACAAAGAGTTTGAGCACATGAAGGAAGCTGTCAGCAATAAAGTTTACGATCTCCGTATGAGCCAAACCATATCGTATGAAGATTTCACCAAATTGCAACAATTGTTGGAAACATCTACTTCTTTCTTAAGAAGTGCCAACAAGAGACTCTCGAACGATGAATCGTTCCTGGAGTTGATCAAAGTTTATACGGATAAGAGCTGAGATCTATCATTTTGCTCCGTCACCTCAGAAAGGTATACAAATTCAGATATTTTTAAAGGAAATACCAAACCAAGAATAGCGTTGACGTTATTCGAATATCATTTAGTTCTAGAGTGCATCACTTATATAATTTTTATCTCACGTTTTTGCGGGCTTCACTTCGAATTTGTACTTCATCTGTTTTATAGGACTACATCTGAATGAATCTCTCAGTGGTGATTATATTCTTGAATCCACGTTTATTTTAGAGATATGTACAGAAACTAAGGCTTGAAAGAGCGGATACAAAAGGTGCTGTTTCCAATACCTCACAGAACGTCGATGGAACTATCATAATGGACCTTAATGATTGGATATAGGGACTTGAAAAAAAGAATATCACAGAACAGTCTTGCATCAGTTCATTCCATTCTTGTTATCGTGGTTTAACGGGGATATATGCCCTCTCTATTTTCCGGAGCCTAGCACTTTTGGAACCCAATTGCTTCCACTTGGGTCGATTATACAAGCTGCCAATATGGTACAGTTGCTGAACTGACTGCTGAGGGGAATATAGTCGACGCCGATCATACAAAACAGCAGGTATGGGATGATCATAGGTAGCGTATATGTATGAGCACCTACAGTGACATGCCTGCATTAGCCAGAAAATGCTACGACACGAATATGTCTAAGAACTCCCAATGACTAAAATTTACAAATAGATGGATTCAAGATGAGCGGATCGTGCACTGTGGTCAAATCAATTAGCGTTCTTAGAAGGTGCCAAAATGTGTTTTAGTTTATAGAGTGCGTCAAATACTGTAGACTTCTGGCGTCTCACAAGATGATGTATACAGTGTACAACTCAACCAACAGCGACTGACACTAATGGTTCATGTCCAGCCAAATTTCTTCGTGAATGCTGACTTATGTAAGATCACAAGAAGTTCGATGTATAAGCGGTAAAATAGCACATGTTCATACATTGGTATTTCCTGTAGGAGAATACATGCTGTGGTCTGCGAAGCACGTTACGAATGCACATCGATATCTTGTCACTAGCCAATTTTTTCTTGAATTTGTCTCTCATCAGATCATACGTTCGTGTGAGCTGTACAAAGATAGTTGACCAGCCATATAACTGGTGAAGTATGAAGGATCACATATGATAAGCTACAGCTATATAAATCGTTCGTTGTACAGTACAATTACTGTGCTGTGTGCAACGTCATTCTAGAAGCCATCGTTGAATATGTACGTATTGGATGTTGGAAGATGATAATGTGTACATACCGCTAATCAACTGCACTCGTGCATTAATGGATGTACATGACAAGATGCAATTAGCCAGTGACAATAGCGTACACTAGTAGAGTTCTGATAATTGCGTGACACATGGCTGTGGCTCTGTGATGTCATTTAAGTGTGTGCTCTTCCAGATTTCAAGGTTGAAGGAGGATTCCTTATTTGCAGCTAATCTGTAACACACAACACTTGAAGAATACTCATTTAACCGTTGTGAAGTTATCATTCATACATGATGTGTTGCAGATCAAAATGTGTCTATGATGTTCACTTCTACCCTCAGTATGTACATACCAGGAGCATAGAGAATCACGTCTTAAAACTCCAAGTAGCTGCGGGTGCCGGGTTGTAAGACTGCAAGACTGAGAATTTTGTTGAGGTCAACTTATATGCATGCAAAATAAGCTGCTTGTTTCCTTAGGGGAGAATTAGTCTCTCCGTTGTAATTACAGAGCTCTGTGAATGGATATTTCTGCAGGTCTTGTTTTAGTAATGAAGGAGTAGAAATAGTGAAAACAGGACACCGAAAAAACATAGCATCATTACAGCTGATGACCCCAGTTGTCCATCACTCAAGTCTTTTTAGTGTGTAGCATAAAGGAGTTCAGTTGCCTAAAATTTCCTTATGTTCTAAATCTACAATAATTGATTCCTATTGCTAATGCGTTCTGCTATGGTCCCTGGGAAATGGGCTAGATACTAAAAAACAACAATAAGGGGAAATACCCCACACACATGACCCCATTGTGTAAGGCAAAGCTTCAGGATCAAAAGTCCAACGAGGAGCCCAGTCAAAGGCTAATAGAAAACTCTGGGCTTGATTATTTGATAATTTTTTAGCGTTTGCTAGCAGATACGTATGTGAGTACGTGCGATTGCGGAGCATGCAGTTGATTTCGACTTCGAGACATTGTTTATTTTACATGAAATGGCACGAGTCCAACATGGCTAGCAACGTGCTTGAGGTTAGCAGGTGTTTAGCTCATCATGTAACACATGCTCATGTGGGCTGTTAGTGTATACATTTCGACTCTGTAACTGTGATATCAAGTAAGCAGCGTGCAGTACTGCGGGCTGATTAATAGGGTAACGCGAAACTTTCATCTTGACTTTATACACTAATGTAGGCCGGTTTATTAGACCCAACAAGATTGAGCGTTGCACACGGCTGGTTTGTTGTAAAAATAGGGTTATAATAAATGGTGCTTATCAGTGTCTCCAAAAGGCCAGACTCTGGACACACCTATGTGGTACTTCAACATGTGATACAGTAGCACATGGCAGAAGATGACAGACTGCAAGCTAGGACTTCATGACCAAGCTACTGTGTCTGGATGGCTGGAAGCAGAGAATTTTTCACAGGAATGATGTGCTGGAAAGAATTTCGATTAAACGGCTGGAATAGTTCTAGAATACCTTGAGGCTACTTGGATATTCATTTTCAACGCGTTTCCCTCGTGTCTTATATCCTCAGTTTATCGATCTTCACTTGCTCCAAGTCTCGACTCTCTCGTCGATAGACTATGAGGCCTGTAACGTGTGGCTGAATTAGTAGTGCCAAATGTGTGTTATGGGAGTCTTATCTACATTCTGCAAGTTACGGTACTAATAATTTCTAATGATACTGCTGATCTACAAAGAGTATTTCTTGTCCAGTGTTTAGTGTCAAGTGCTGAGCTGTGGCCAATCCTGTTTTCAGTGGTTGTAGCGATTCTGTTATTTCTTTGCACACCATAATGTAGTATCAAAAAAGTGATCTGTGCACGACCTGGAAGCCAAAGGGAAAGAAAAAAAATAATTGGACGAGACCGGAGTCGAACCGATGACCTCCTGCTTGCAAGGCAGGCGCGCTACCAACTACGCCACTCGCCCGTAATTGTTGATTGGAAGAAGATACAGATGTCCCGATTACGCAGAACGAGGTGACGCTTTACCCATATTATGAAGTCAACGTCCTGGATTGAGGTCTTATTTGGTGCTGAAACTTCTGCACCATATACTAATCGAGTTAGAGTGTGCAATGGAAGATCCAAACGACATCAGCACGAACCTGGCATCAAAAATTGAGCGTGGATTGAAAGTAGAAGGGAGGATTTACATCGTGATAGCTCATCATGGCCTGACCCGAATTGAACCAACTATATACAAGATTACAATGCTTTAACCATCAATCACCATATTCCAAGTGTTTTGGTGGTCAGGGGCTCAAGACAGGTCAGATATCATTTTACGTAATATAACAGTTGATGCGACCAACTGGTCCTAATTACAAACCTTCACGCATGAGCTTCTGGAGAGGCTTTTCGAGTTAGAATCATCACCATCTTGGACATTTTCATGATAGAGATGTTTGTGATATTCTGGGCTGAGGAGATAATTAACCACAAAACCATTCCCATTGTCATCGGAAAGGAACCCATATGATTGCAGTTATGGTCACAAAGTGAGGTATTCTTGAATCACAGTGACACTGGCTTTATCATTACAATTGATCAATAGTTTGACGGGAATGCGTGTGTTTGCAAGAGCAGGTTTTAGTCTCATCATGAAGAGTATACTTGTGACTTTCTTTGTCCTGAAATTTATCCATTGTGTGACTGTCACTATTACAGAAGTTGTGAGTGTCACTACAACCATTCCATCTTACAATATTGATCTCATTCTGCTGTCTGTTGGAGAACACGATTCTCAAGACATATCTGATCAATCTTTAGTAGAGGCACTGTCACCATACCATCTCGCTCCAGGATATAGGGGAGATTTGTCTCCCGAGGAGAACCGCAAATGGCATTTCTTCAACGAGACGACGCAGAGTTTTGCGATTGAACCAACTTCAACTTCTGAAGGCTTAGAGGTCAGCAATCTCATTGGAGGCTCTTTGACTGCTATTGAGTCAATACCTGGACCAGTGCCAACACCTTTGAACGGTAATGACGATAAAGAGGCCTTGTACTTAGGAGACAATCAGGAGTTATTCTTAGGTGAAGTACCCGTTAACGACAACAGTTATGAAATCCGTGAATTAGAGCTAGAGAAGGGAAACCCATTTATTGGAATCAAGCGGCCTTTTACAGATCGAAAGCCCAATGAACATATGCCACCACCTAAGAATAAGCTTCATACGACAGACCGTGAATTGCGAGAAATAGACATGCCTAGCAAATCAACCTCCTCCTTGTCTGACTCTACTGATCGTGACTTGATAACATCTGATGTGGTGAGCAGTGAACTATACGTGGCCACTACAAGATTAAACGACACACTGATAGCTACAAACACAATGCCATATTTGGAGAGTACGCTGTTGGTTGGAATATCTTCCAACTCAGCATCAAGTAGGACATCTACATTTACACACTCAAATACTACTACTGGTGTCACTAGTGCTACCCCAGCTACTACTAAAGTGGCCTGGCCAACCATGATGGATTCATCAAGAGACCCCCAAATAGTGACCAACAACAACAACAATCACCCGTTCAAAAGCATGCAAGTTACTCAGCGGACTAGGGCCACCGTTGGTGTGAGAACGAACAAGAGAAAGCCAATCA